GTTGCTACCCCTGTGGCATATATACTCCTCCTGCTGCTGTTTTATGTCAATCATGCAAATTCTGTACCCTTGCTGCTGCTGTTTTTTAAATTTGCATGATTGATTCAGTGGTTATATACCTCTACACTTGTTCTTTTTTTATGCATAAGAACAGATTTTGTGCACTTGCTCTTTTTTTATGCATAAGAACAGATTTTCTGCACTTGTTCATTTTTTTATCTACAATAATATATGCATGATTTATATACCACTGCTGTTGTTGCCCCTGTACTTCTTGTTAAATGGCCAAGGATGAATTGCTTAATAACATTCTATCTATACCTGTTCTTTTCTTTATGGATAAGAACAGATTATCTACACTTGTTGATTTATATACCCTTGCTGTCTATGTGAATTTCCCTCTGCTGTTGCTGTTTATGTGAATTTCCACCCTGCTGTTGTTGTTTATGTGAATCTCCCCCTGCTGTTGCTGCCCCTGTGGCATATATACCCCTACTGCTGTTATATGGCCCTGCTACTGCTCTTATTGCTGCTATTATATGGCCATGCTGTTGCTACTGCTCTAATTTCCTGTACTTGCTCTTTTCTTTATGGATAAGAACATATGAACTACACTTGTTCTATTTTATGGATAAGAACAGATGAACTACACTTGTTCTATTTTCTTTGGGTTGCTTTTTCCTCCTAGTAGCTGATTTCCTCTTTTTATCCCTTCATGCAAATGATTGTAATTGATGCATATTTCTCAGCAAAACTGAGGCCATATCTTTCATAGTATACCCCGTATTACATTGGATCTAATGCTATTTAGTCTAATGGTAGGAAATTTATAATCTTTTTCGCGAAAGTTAAACCATGTCAACGCCCGGCGCAAACCCGCCCTCCCCAACACCTGCGAGGATCCAGGAAGAAGCAAACCCAGCCACAGAGGCAGTTGCCGAAGGTCATCCCGCGACAACGGCGGTCCAACAACCCAAAATTCATGGTAATTTATAGGATAAATTTTCACCACATGACCACATAAATTTTAGCTAGCACCCCTTAGCAAATATTGCCTTCTGTTTGTGCTGCAGAATTGCCGCAGGAACAACATACGTCGATGTCGGGCGGGACAAGTGCAAGTAGGTCTAGTAGAAATCCGCGGTCACAAAATATATGGCCAACCACAGTGCAAGTTATAAGAGAGGTTGACGCTAGTGGTAGGCCCACGGCGCCCAGGACTGTCATTGGAAGATGGTCTAACTGCTGCGGGCTAGCGGCACGTGAGAACTTCGGGATCCTCCATAAAGATATCGGGAAGGTCACAGAAGCCGAGAAAGAGCGAGCTTGGACGGCAATGGAGAAATGGTTCACATTTCCAGCCGAAGCAAAGGATAGGCTCAAGCGGAAGGCATTCCAAAAGATGGGCAAAGCTTGGATGAATTGGAAGTCAAAGCTCTTCACCGAGTTTGTCAACCCGCCCGGCAATCATACGCCGTTCGATCAATACCCTCAAATAACCGAAGCGGTGTGGGAGGAATTCTGCTCTCTCAAGACCACCCAAGAGTTTAGGGAATCAAGCGAGGCACATCGCGTACTGCAACAGCGGAATGAGCACCCGCATCGGCTGGGCACCGCAGGGTACATCGGCAAGGAGGCAATATGGGCCCAAGAAGATGCAGCCGCTGCAGCAGCGAATGTCCCTGCCCCGTTTTCAGACATCCCTGAACAAAGAGCTCGCAACTGGGCGCGGGCAAGGGGTAAGGTCAACCCGGACGGCTCTGTCACATTTGAGAACAAAAGTGATGCCGTCGTCTATCAGGAACTGGTGAGTTCACTACTTAACCTAACTAATTTCCGTTCGTATAAAGTACAAGTTCGTATAAACGACTATCTTCTTTTCTAGTTGGGCTTGGTTGCTGAACAAGCTTCACAAAGCGAGGTTGAGTCCGCGTCGAAGAGGCGCGAAGATGACATCCTCACAAAGGCGCTCGGAACCAAAGAACATCCTGGCCGAACTCGGAGAATTAGTAGCGATGTGCCCTGGAAGCATGGACTCCCTCAGTACAGCTCCCAATACAGGAAACGGAAAGTCTCCAAGGAAGAGAGGGACGCTCGTTTGAAGGCCGAACTTAAGGTTGAGGTCATTCAAGAACTAGAAGCTAGCATGAATGCAAGGGTGGAAGAAAGGGTTAACAAGGTCCTCGCCGACATGAATATACCCCGAGTCACAACACCTGCTGTGCAACCAACTCCTCGTGTACAACACGACGCGAGTCCGTCACAGCATAGGAGTAGTTGTGCATCCACAGAGGTGCCGGCCCCTGGTCTCCCGATCGCACCACTAGCTGCAGTGGACCACATCGAGGTAATTGTTGTTATCCGATCCATATCTAATAAAAGACATGTACACATTCCAATATTAAATTCAAACTTTCACCTTATGCAGGGCGCAGCACAGTGTGTCCTACTAGCGAGAGTCCATCCAACTTTCGCTCCTGAAGTCGCTGAGGGCATGGCTTTCAAGCCCTCGGTTACAGACAAGGTCCACGGCGCAGACCTGCTAGCTGGGTATGCCAAGGTGTCCATCGATACAGTAAAGGACACCTGGTCAGGCTATCCGCTGCCCGTGCCCCCAAATGATGAAATCATGACTTTGGGCGATGCGCGCAAGACGTTCATACAATGGCCCAAAGAAGACATAGTTGTGAAGATGACTCCTCGTCCAAGTCGACCGACGGAGCTTACACCTCCCAAGTCTAAGCTATCAATTGAGGCTCCCCGTGGACCGGCATTGTCAGTACCTCATTCTCCCGGTGGAGCTGATATGGACTTGGCAGATATAGCTCAAAGCTTGGCTCCAATAAAGACCACAAGAAAGGCCGATAGCTCCCCACCACTTGTCAAGGGCCAGAAGCGTGAACGCGGCAAGGGGAAGGTCGGGGAGTTGGCGCCGGAGCCAAAAAGGGGCAAGGCTGCGACGTCGATGCCGGTGAGCAAATCGGGGAAGGTCGTGAGGGCGCCAGCCCAATTTGAGCTAGGCATGCCATTGGTGGAGGACAATGTGTTAGCTGTGATGGGTATTGCTTGCCGAGAGCTACATAAGCAATACATGGAGCTAAGCAATGCCAAGCGGAAAATGAGGGAGTCATCCATAGTTGGACATCACGACCACCAGCCATTCCTATCATCGCCTGCCTATATAACTATAGGTTTTGATGACCTCTTCGACCTTTTCAGGATCCGGAAGTTAGACACTGGTCTTCTAAAATGCTACTCCTTGTAAGTGCATACCTTCTATACTTGTGATATGACTGGACTATATCTCCTAATTAAATTAGTTCTAATACGTAAATATTTTAAGGTTGTGTTGGATCGAGAGTCGTCGCCATGGTAATCAGGTTGGGTTTCTTGATCCATCCATGGTGAATGAGGTTAATTTACGACAGAGCTTCACTGAGGTGGTTGACTATGTCAACCGGTGTTTATGGGCCCATCAAGACAAGGAGTACATCATGTGCGCACATAACCAAGAGTAAGAGGACAATACCCTTCGTGTATATTGTTTTTGAAGTTAAGGTTCTTAGTACTAACGCTACATAACCACTGCGCAGGCGACATTGGATTCTCCTAGTCATCGTACCTAAGTGGAGTAGGGTTACCTACCTTAACTCCAATAAGTCCAAAGATTATGATTTCAGTGAAATCACCAAGGCCTTAAATATGGCTTGGGGCCTATATGTGGAAAAGGGTGGTAGGCACAAGGAGGGCAAGAACAAACTTTATCATGACACCAAGTTTGCATGCGCACAACAGATCGGAGACCAATGTGGTTTCCACGTGTGCCACAACATGTCAACACTTCTAAGAGAGGTGAAAGATTTCGACCCTGAGGTTGTTGCTAATGGCGAATAAGCTCATTTCAATATCTACATTGCTATTCAAAACGTGCTAATTAACCTCTTATTTATTAAACAGAAAGGTAGAGCTGGCTTCAAGATCTCACCCATCAACCCCCCCCCCCCCCGCTATCAGAGGCGAAGTGTGCGCCTTTATTCTTGCAGAAATAATGAACAAGAAAGGACGTTTTCATGCCAAATAGACTCATGAACTTGGCTAGATAATTTATTGTGATGTAAAAAAGATGTTTTTATAATTTCTGGCGATGTAAAAAATTATGTTTTTATAGAGTGCAATGTAATTTACTTTCATATGTGCAATATTTATGGTACTTTACTAAATTGTCATCACATTTGATCAACTACGATTTATGTTGTACCATTCATCTGTTTTCTCCTTTTTTTTCCCTTATTGACAGGTTGTGGAGGTTCACAACGAACAGAATACAAGAAATTTTGGAAATCATTTGAGGACTTTCATGGGGTATGAATTGTGTGCTATAATAAATTAAATTGTTGCATATGTGATGTTGTAAATTGTTGCTTTGTGATGGATCTGTGATATGTGATGCATCTGTGATGTTGGGCAGTTGGGGAATATGTGATATGGAGGGGGGGTGACTGGCACCTGTGATGTTTCTGTTTTTCAGAGGGCATGGCTAGCAATTCCTGAGGCTAGCCAATATTTATCATTTATTTTTTTTCTGGAATCAACTCATCAGTGACGGTTCGGAAGAAACATCCGTCACAGGTAACCTCACCTGTGACGGACTCGCAAACGTCGGACCGTCACAGGTGACCCACCTGTGACGGGCCTTTACTTTCGGGCCCGTCACAGGTGGGTCACCCTGTGACGGCTACTATATACCGGAGATCATCACCTCTGACGGGCCTTTATTTAGGTGCTCGTCAGAGATGAGACACCTGTGACGGGTCCTAACAAGCCCTAGTCTAGCTTAGACCAACACCTCTGACGGCCTTCTATTAACTTGCCCGTCAGAGGTGGATGTCACCACTGACGGCCGGCCACCCGTCAAAGGTGACTGGACTTACCAGTGACCACTGATCACTGACCAAGCCCAAAACCGTCAAAGGTGAGGGTTTGGGCCCGTCACAGGTGACCTTGACCAGTGTAGTGATAGGAGAACTTCTGGAGGTACCCGACGCGGCGGCCATCGGCGCCGATCACGGCCTTCTTGCCGCCCTCCGACTTCCACACGCTCTCGCCGCCGACCGCGCGCTGCCGCCTCCCGGAGGCCTTGCGCTTGCTGGTGTAGCGCGGGGAGCAGAAGAAGTACCAGACGCTGCCGCTCCCATGGGTTCCCGGCGCCGGTCTGTGCTCGCCGACGAGCTCCGTCGGATCGGCGGAGTAGACGTCGGCGTGGTTGATGAGGCGGTGCTCGAAGGGGATCTTGGCGATCTTGGGGCGGAGGAAGAGGGTGATGAGGCCGTCGTCGGAAGGGCGGAAAGCGTAGCCTGGCTCCAGAGCGATCTCGTCGTCGTCCATGGCGATCGATGAGATGAACTGGATGAGGAGGTGAATCGATCTGGGGAAGGAGAGCTGAGGATGAGGATTGAGGAGTAGGGATCGATGGAACCCCTTTTATCGTCGGCGCAACGCGCGATCGAATCGTAGTCGGAATCCGATCGGGACAAGAAGAACTTTCGCGCGCAAATTAAATAACCGTTTTTTGGCGGGAATCAAACGAGCGGTCGAGATGGGGCGTCAGATTGCAAGATCAACGAACGACGAGCGAGCAAATGCGTCAGACACAGTACACAGTACAGCGAATGCTCTAGCTTCAGGTGTTGAAACTTGTAGACGCACGAGTCTCCTTGTGGACACGCTCACAGCTGCATTTGTATGCAACTCTGACCCATGTGTTCATAGTTAGCTCGATCGATCCGTCTGGAGGACCCATTCGAGGGAGGTCGGGGCATGGTTTAGCGTATCGTTTGGACCGGGGTTATCGTCACCCCGCGGTAGCATGATAACCACGATAATCATCTAAAATCGCACAAAAATCACATCCAAAAATTCGAATTCAAAACTCGGCGGTTTTGCAGTTTCACCGTGATAATCGCACGGTTTATCGCAATAACCACGATATTCGCACGGTTATCGTGGGTTGTGTAGCTGAAATCATATAAATGAAAAATAAATAGGGAAAAAATACGGTTGAATATGTGTAGAAAACTAGAAATTGAGAATAATTGGAAGAATATGTAGGATACTTAAGGCCCAATATTGTCTTCCTTTTTCCAATTTGTAAACCTTTTCAGTTTTGCCTTGAATTTAGCTTACTCTATTTTAAAAAATTTCTTCACCATTGGCAATTACAAATCAAGAACTATATCCATGATTTTTTTTCCGGAATCTTAAATTTGGTCAAAATTCATCCAAACCATATTGCCGGTTTCTCTTACCGTACCCCCGCGGTAAGCGCGATAACCGCGATAATCACGCGATTATCGCGCGATAAGTGAAACCCTGGGTCGGGGATTAAAAATCCGACTCCCTTTCACCTCTTCTCTAATCACGCTATGTATTTTGTTGTCGGCCCATTGAGCCAGGTCGCGTGGCGGTGACTAAATGGACCGAATCAGAGGTCTAGCCATGCAGCATCGCACATTCACATGATGTGCGATGCTGCTTGGATATGCCTATAATTCGGCCTCAAGTCTATCTATGAATAGGTTCACTTTAGGTTCCTTGTCTTAGTTCGATATTCGTCCTCAAATCGTAGAACAAGATACAACACATATCTCAACTCATAAAACCGGTGTATGATATATAGGTCCCATGATTATATAGCAACTGGTTTCATCGGACGTGACAATTGATTAGAGCTATATATGACAATGACCATCCCACCACAATATTTTTTCTCATTCCGAGAAGTGACTATTACCCATTGAAATGGAACCTAACCACAAGAGTGTCCAACATATCCATAACCGAATACATCACCTAGCCTGCATGCACTACAGAACAAAGAATCAATTATCTCCATTTTAAACTCCCTAAATTCAGATCCCAACCACGATCCTCCCACCCACTATCCAATATAATAGCTCCCAAATTGAGCAGATCCAACAATGTTCTAACTAAAAAAGTACTCCTATGTACTAAACAACACCAAAATTGAGAGAATCATCGCATCGCATAATACAAAAAAGAGAATAGTAATGGCATTTCTAAACCATAAAATTTATAATGGCATAGATCCAATTAAACCTAAAAAAGAACACCATATACCACGACTACATTTTTTTAACGACTCGCATAAGACAGTACGGAGTTTATATTGATAGCAGAAAAAAAAAACAATATCACAACCCTGGAAAGATTGTAACTAGGAGAAACAAAAACAAACATACCGACACCACGAGTTGGCAACTCCTCACACAATACCCTGGAGAAGACACTATTACCAAGCCGACCACCGCTAAGCGTGACCAATTGCCACTAGGCCAACAAGGGGTTTACAAACGCCTCGCCAAAACACCTGCTTAACTCCGAAAGACAACTGCTTTTACTGTAAAAGAACACCATGCCACAACTGTTTTTAATGGATCAATATTTTCTATGATCAATAATAGTTCTCGTGTCATGGTGAAATCCTGCTTGATCAGCAGCTGCGTCCTCCTCCGTTCTCCAAGCTGTTCATCTTCTCCAAATCTCTCATGAACTCATCAAATGCAATCTCAGAAGACCCACCTCCGTTGATGGCATCCAGCGCCATGTCTCTCGTCTCCACCACCCTCTCCCTGAGCTTCCTCCCTTCCTCGGTCTCCATCACCAGCCTCACCTTCGCCTCCACCTCCTCCGCCGCCACCGCCACCAACGCGCCACCCACCTCGCCGCCGTCGAGCGCCACGGCGACCTTCATCTCCTCCACCATGAGCACCCTGTTCATCGCCTGCTCCGCGTAAAGCGGCCAGCAAATCATCGGCAGCGCCGACATGATCGCCTCCAGCGTCGAGTTCCACCCGCAGTGCGTCACGAACGCGCCGGCCGCCTCGTGCCGCACCACCTCCGCCTGTGGCGCCCAGTTCTTGACCACCATGCCGCGATGCTTCGTCCTCTCCAAGAACCCCGCCGGCAGCAGCCGCTCCAGGTCAGGCTCCGGCGATGTGCTCTGCTCCTCCGGCGGGCTCCTCACTGCCCACAGGAAACGGTGGCCGGAGTTCTCCAGCCCACGAGCTATGTCCTTCAGCTGCGCCGCCGGGAACGCGCCCTTGCTGCCGAAGCAGAGGAACACGACACTCTGGCGCGGCTGCGCGTCCAGCCACGCGAGGCACGGGTGTCTCTCGCCGTTCTTGCCGGCGGCGGCGTCGACCAGTGGCCCGATGCAGTAGACCCTCGGCGTGGGCTTGTCGGGAACGCAGACGCCGGCGGCGAGCGCGTTCAGGGCCTTGGGCTCCAGCCGATCGAAGCTGTTCACGAGCACGCCCTTCGCCTCCGCCATCCGCTTGAACTGGTACAGCCGGACCTTGGTCGCGTCGCTCTCCTTGTCCTGCACCGTCGCCACCATGTCGACGGCGCGGAGCGGCGGCATGCCGGGGAGGCGGACGAGCGCCATGCCCATCTCCCTGAACGACGGCACGTCGGGGTAGTAATACGGGAGGTGGAGCAAGGCGGCGAGGGCGCTGGCACCGGAGGGGAAGAAGAAGTAGGCGGGGATGGCGAGCTCGGCCGCGACGTCGAGCGCGTCGACGCAGAACGCGTCGAGCAGGAGGGCGTCGGCGGCGTCGGGCAGCGAGCGGAGGAACTCCCGGAGCACGGGGTTGGCCAGGCGGAGCGCGTCGAGGGCGCGCCTGGCCGGGTGCGCGGCGGCGTCCGGGCTGGGCGGCGCCGGCAGGAGGCGGAACGTGATGGACGGGTTGGCCGCGGCGAGGCGCGCCGTCGCGTCGGCCGAGGTGGCGTCGTTGTCGGGCGGGTCGATCACCGCGACGACGACGGCGAGGCCGCGGCGGCGCAGGTGCTTGGCCATCTCCACCATGGGGTTGAGGTGGCCGACGCCAAGAGACGGGAACAACACAAACGTCTTTGTCCTCATGGCTCCGATCGATCAAAAGGGATGCGAAAATACGGGAACAAATGCTCATAAATATAGTGAGAGTGAGAGCGGCGTTGAATGGTAAGTAACCCCATTTCTTGGCAAAAAAGCCATGGGAAGAAAGTTTGACACGCCATAAGGTTATATAAATATTGCTGTACCAGAAAATTTTTCCACATGAGCTTTTATTTAAGTTTTGGAGGAATTAATTCAAAGGATTTTTTTCTCAGAAGTCTAATCTACCATCACTTGAGTGAGTCAGCAGTTGAGTGGGCTGGTAGACGAGGAAGGAAGGTATATCAGGTAGTATCAGGTAGCTCGCGTGTCACGTTACGGCCGTTCTCGTCAGCAATGACTAGAACACTTTGCGAGTTTTTATTTTTTTTTAAAAAAAAGGACGCGAATAGTCGGGCTTTTTTTTTTAAAACATTGTCCGAGCATATACAGATCGCACGCAGGATGCCGAATAGTCGGTCTTTTTTTAATGGCTTCTACTGTATCCGTCCTATAAGGCTATAAGTGAACTTTTAACCTCTAAAGTTCTCCACGGAGATTAAGGAGAGAGCCCATTTTCTAGTAGTAACATTTCAATCTTAAGAGACATCACCATTCACCAATGCTGCAGCTGAACAAGCACCTGTAACTGTAAGGCAGCCTGCCTGTGCCTTCATCGGTTCATCACTTCATCTCCTTGCAGCCCTCTATCAACACATTTAGATTTCACCCATTTTTATTCAGAACTTACAACATCCCCGATCGATTTTCAAAAATGGCAGTCAAGTTCTAGCCATTCGATGCTCACTGCTGCCTAGTTAGCACAGGAATCAGGAAACATGTGCAGCAATCCAGCTGTTAGAGGCACAGCCTGCGTTACAGCGACCGAACTCAAAATAACAAAGACGAACTGGCAAAGTGGCCATGGCAACTAAGATATCGAAGAGAGTATTCAAGTTATATTTTTTTACAGCAGCAAAAATGATAACCTCCACTTCACTTGCGAGTACTCCTTCAAATGCAATGATGAAAAAGGATGCCACCTGTTGATCTCACTTCCTAAACCAGAACCTTTTCTGACATAAGCTAAAGACTATGCGATTTTCTTAGAAGTACTCTCCCATGGAGAAACCAACAATGATCAACTGATGATCAGAAACTGTAATGATCATCTGATGACAAGAAACTGTTTCACTTCTTGTTTTTGTTGTCCACATTCAGCTGCTGGAGCCCAAGCAAGAGGTCCTTGGAATCCAGGTACACCTTGTTGTTTGAGCTTGCCATGGTGTGAGAGATCTCCCTGGCAGCTTCAATCTGTCGGAGAGCGAGGAAGGCAGGGTTGTTGTTAATCGCCTCACCAATCAGCTGTGCACTCTTAGCCTCACCCTGTTCAAGCAGGCCTCACAGTCAGACTCAACCCACACCAACAAAAATGAAATATATGAAACAATGAAGAAATAAACAGTGCCATTGATATGTCTTAACAATTGTCACTAAAACTACAGGTAGTAAACTTATCAAGGAATATGGTGAAAGCCATCTAAACCAGAAATAATCCATTGCATCTTTGCTTACCTGTGCTCTGATGATCGCACTCCTCTTGTCTTGTTCAGCCTTCTCAACAATGAACTTTGCACGCTCAGCTTCTTGTGCAGCAACCTGCTTGGCTTCAATTGCATGAGTGAACTCTTTTCCAAAGCTGAGACTTGTGATGGACACATCATCCAGAGCAATGTTGAAGTTGCTAGCCCTCTCTGTCAGGATCTTCCTAATCTCCCTGCTCACAGCCTGTGTTGGATAAAGGAATAATTATTACCATATATCCTACTATATTAGCTCTTAAACTAAATATCATACTACTATATTAGCTCTTAAACTAGCATAGCATACCATGGAAACATATTAGATATTTAAACACAGATAGATATGATAAGACAGTACCTCTCTCTGTGTGATTAGTTGACTGGCATTGTACTGTGCAACCACCGCTTTGAGTGTTTCATGAATGATTGAAGGCAAAACTCTCTCATTGAAATTCTCCCCCAGGGACCTGTAGATGGTTGGTAGCTTCTCTGGTAACGGTCTTGTAAGGACACGAAGACCAATTCTCACCTGTCCAAGTTATCAAATTGTATCAAACTAAAAATGTGTTGGTACTGACCTCTACCAATGTTACTTTGAAGCAAAGGTCTAAAACAAGAAATTTGCACACAGGTACCGATGAGCAAACCAATTTGTATGGTCAATAAGAGTTCTAAGTTGTGAAGAATCGGAATTTAAATGCATGTCAACAAAAAAAAAAGTGTACTGCCTCCATTGCAGGCAAAGCATAACACGCATTGCAATGCTAGTCACACACGTAAATGTTGGTTCTAAACCAATGTACCAAACCACTCACATTCTCAAAATGCTAAGCACATGATGAAAATGCTAAGCAGTTCAGATATACCCAACAAAGAAGCATCTCACATACAAGAGTCACTTAGCGACAAGTCCTAGTATAGGGACCCAAATTAAGTGATTAAGCAAGCACAGCAAGAACATTCCACACAACTTTGCTAACATTCGCAAATCACAACCAACAAATCACCTTCTACATGCTACAAATCATCATCTCAACGACATGACCTAGTCAGAAACCCCAAGTGCAAGGACAGAATTTTACCATCTGGAGATCACGGCTTCCAGAAGTGCTCTCGACGAGGTTGGGGCGGGCTCGGACATCGTAGATGATCGGCCTCTCGAACCACGGGATCATGAAGTGAGTCCCCTCAGGGTACACCTGCACCGAGCACACAACCAACCACAACAATTCATTCAAACGCAACCCACCAAATCACAAGCACACGCATAGCTTCTCTGAAACCCATCGGCATCACATCACAAGTTCACTAGTAGGCTTCGATCGATGGGTTACCTTGTCCTTGATGCCCTCGAGGCGGTTGAAGACGATGGCGCGGTGGCCTCCCTCGACGTTGTAGAGGCTGTTGAAGGCGGCGTAGATGGCGGCGCCGCCCAGCAGCCCCACCTTCACCAGCCGCCCCGCGGCAGCCGCCGGCGGCGGGCTCGGCATCTTCGCGCCCTTGAAGTTCATCTCGCCGGAGGGGGGACGCGCTCGCGGCGGCGGAAGCGTAGGGTTTTAGCTAGGGTTTTGCGTGATCCGGCGAGGAGGCGGCGGCGGCGGCGGCGAGGAGAAGAGGTGGCGGAGGAGAGGAAATGAGAAAGGAGAAGGGGTGGGGGTGTTAAAGAGGACGAACAGGAGGAATCACAGCCGTTGGATCTTGATCCGACGGCGAGGAGGGGGCGACGGGGTTGGGTTTCTTTCCTCCACTGCAAGAAAGGAGACGGTGTGCTTTACTTCCTCTGCAAGATGAGGCGCACTCCCGAAATCGGACGGTCGTGATCGTCTTTTCTTGCGTATGTACGAAGTTGGTGGTTATTTCCGCTGGAGATTTTGAATTTTATTTTTCAATTTCTTTCCTTCTTTTTTCTTCAGGGAGATGGAAAGACTCTGATTTCATATGATTTCATGTAGTCACAGCCAGTTTAAAAGCGGATTAAAAGCTCCCTTCAATCTTCTGAAGATAAGATTAAAAGTGGACATGCAAAACAAGAAAACCATTAATATGTGATTAATTGAGTTTTAATTACTATAAACTTGAAAAATAGATATATTTAATATTTTAAAACAACTTTCATATAAAATTTTTTCGCAAAAAACATGTCAATTTATAGTTTGAAAAGCGTGCTAACGGAAACTGAGGTAAAATCATTATCTTTATGAGAAAAGAACGGGGCACACTTTATTGAGAGATCATTCTATTGAGAATCTTCTGAAGATTTATAAGAAAACTGAGATCCTTTGTGCACACTTTCTGAATGGTGAAGCATGTAACATAAACAAAACTCTGAAGTTGAACATATCTGCACCTGCATCGACAGTATTGAATGGTGAAGCACTGAACATAAACAAAACTTTCTGAATGATTTTCTTTATCATCACCAGACCACTCTGAACTGAAGTTGAACCAAGCACTGTTACTGCACACAATCTTCAAACCAAAGTCCAAAGAGAACTGGAGGAGTTACACAGCCTGGAACCCTGAAGCATAGATTCCAACCTCAAACCAACTGCACAAGCACACCAAAGCACAAGCCTCTTCTTCTCCAACCTCACTCACATCACATCCTGCCATGAACAACAACAACAACAACTCTAGCCAAAGACCTTATCCACACTGAGATGGGCACATAGAAGCCACTACACCTTTACAGAGCTTCCCTCAGGAAGAAAAACTGCGAAAAAAGAAGAGCTAGAGAACTAGGTGCGCAGCGCCATGAACAAACTCTGCCTTCTCGCATGCTCGGGAACCAGACGTTCGATGGCTTCTGGAGGGATGCCATTTAGCTCTGCCAATGTTGCAAATGTTGTATCAGTTTAGCTGAGGATAAATTCAAAGCAGCAGGATTCATTTTGACATTGAGGCGAACAAACAATTAACGGAACAATTCTGCCATTTCGGGAAGTGGAAGATCGAGCATTGGCTTCAGTTTGTTCACCTAAATGCTAGGTACCATTTTGAACATAATTCATGAAATAATTCTCTCAGCTCACATAAATACTGTCTACATGAGGTGTTAGACGAGGCAGAGAGATTTAGGAATGTTTAGGTTGATGAGAATCAAATCAGCAAATGCTAAGGTTCATATGCTGTTATCGCTGTTTCATTCAGCTATGATACCTTGTGTTCTGAAGTTGAAGAGAGGAGGAAGAGGACGCCCATTAGGTAGACGAGTGTTTGGATCTCTCAACTCATCAAAGAAAGGGTGCATGCAGGCTTCCATCTGGAGAATAATTAAATAGGTTAGATGAGAGAGAAATCTAACAGTATACCACATCAGGCTGCTCAGGCCATCATAACAACCAAAATCTCATGTGGCCTTACAGCGGTGCACCGAAGATTTGGTGAGTATTGCAGAAACCTGCTTACAAGGTCCACTGCTTCAGGTGGAAGCCTTTTTTGGAAAACCTGGGTAAAAAACAAAACTTTTGAGTTACAAAAAGAACAGTGAGAAAGTATTGTTTAATTTTCCAATTGAACACACACATAATATGGACATTGCTCACACACGCAGGACCCAACTAATAGGAATGTCGAAGCGCAAATGGTAACACAGAAATTGGATTTCTTTTCCATTTGGTTTTTAATCCTTTTTGTCTTCAACAAATATTTCAAAATTTAACAGCATAGTAATTTGCGTTAAAAGATCTCCCTGTCCCAAAAGTATGTACCAAATCGGACATCGATATTGCATTAGTTTTGTCAAGGATGGGCAGAATACCTTGTGCCATGGATGAGCCTTAATTTGAGGGAATTTGAACTCCGTGTAGTTCGGATTCATGCACTTGATCTCTTCCCTTGTTGGAGTACCCAAAACCTGCAAGGCGCTATGACTAAACATGTTATTGTCAAGATCAATGGTCACAGGAGAGAACAGTTTAGGACATCATAGAAAAATGTTACCTTGATAATCTCGACCAGCTGATCAACTCCACTTTCCCCAGGGAACAGAGGCTGCATGGATGAATGTTATTAGAATAAGAAATTGAACAAAAGCAAAATATTGTATGCATGAATGAAACCTGTCCAAGCAGAAGCTCTGCCATGACACAGCCTGTAGACCACAAATCAATGGCAGTAGTATATTCAGTTGCACCAAATATGAGCTCTGGTGCCCTGTAATATCTTGAGCATATGTAGGAGATATTTGGCTCTCCTTTGACCTGCACATTCGGCGGGGAAAAAGCTGCAATTTAAGACTATCATGTGTAGGCTACCTGCCTAAGTTCACATTTCCTTGCAAGAAAACCCAGTGTGTCCATTCAGAAAACAGAAATGCTTGTGAATTTAAATTTCTGCCAAATTCAGAACTTACCAAAACTTTTGCACTGCCAAAATCACATATTTTGAGCTGGTGTGTATGTGGGTTAACCTACAGTGCGAAGGAAGACCTTATTAGTACCATCAAAACTTAGTGAATTTCAGTCTGTAAGTACATGCATGATCACGGTTTTAAAATAAATAATTGAAGTACTAACAGTTTGTCTGCATAAATGTTCCTTTATATGTGCAGTTTATACCGTTTTAATAATCTTATATATGAGACTTAATCTTAAATCCTGCTGTTCTATATGTCAAATAATTTGGCATCATAGTCCTAGTAGTGGACCTAGTGGTAGTTGATGCAATCCAAATATGTGGAGCCATGGATATTTTCTCTTTCAATAAAGAACAAAAATGACTATGTATAACCAAAGTGCTCTTCCATCAGCCAATATCATCAACAAGCAAAACAATATAAACAGTAACATACAGTTTGATAATATGATAAGTTGATAACATGTAGCATTGGCACCAAACAATGCACATGGGATGGCTCAGCTATAGGAAACTAAATAATGCACATGTGGATTGCTTTTTTCAGTTTCAGAATGTTATATCATGTATGTGGAACCAACCAATAATTAAGATATTTGGATACATATGAACCAGAATCTCAGTCCCAATGAGCAATATACTTTATGCTCTTCAGAAATATGCAACAGTAAACATATGAAAGCTCAATGGAACAAAAGGAGAAAATAAGATTGCCCAAGTTCATTTATGAATTATGACTAATATTTTCAGGGAAATGCAGATACATAAAAATGCAAAGCTTTATTACCAACATTATGCACCTTCTCTACAGGATATAGAGTTTGCTGTGAATATTTCATATAGTTAAAAGTAGACAATGTTACATATATGCAACTCCTTCATGTACCAATTAGTTATGTTTTATTTTCCATGATCCCCATTAATTTATATTTGAGGATCTGTACAGCAAAACATATTAAGCATAGAAAATAAAGGGGTTAAAATCTCACAAGAACATTCTGTGGTTTTATATCACGGTGGCAGATGCCAACACAGTTATGTATGTAAGCAAGTGCTCGGCATATCTGCAAAGACAACAGGAACAACGATTTAGATGACTTAGTAGTTAATAAATAATCAAATTTTGTCTTAAGATATGATATCATAAAGAAAAATACAACTGGAAGCACGGTTTAGTGCATGTTGGGAGAATTTATTTCAACAGCTACAGAGAGCAAACAGGTGTATAGAACAACTCATTAGCTAGAATTCTAACTGGAGTAAATAGATAAATCTAACCATTAGTTAAGAGTATATAAACAATTACATGCACTAATGTGAAAATTTTCAGTTAAACAGTAAATGATCTCTGCTGGTTCCTAGAGAGTAGATTGAAGTCACGCAATCAAATCTCAGAATTTTTTTACCGGCCAAAATGATGTGCTACTTATCTCATGAAAAATGTTATATTTCACTATCATCTCAAATCATATGACAGAAAAATTATTAGATAAGTAGATAGCGCTTGATGTTTAGCTAGACAAACAAGAAGCAAGCTGTTGAACATACATATGAAGTCAGGAAAATTGACAAGCTGGCTTGAGTAGATGTTTAAATGCCGATTCTCCATGGAAGAAATCAATCTGAATCATTAATCCAAAACTTCTAAACGTTCCAGTGCAGTCCTGGGCTACTTGAAGATAATACTCGAGTGGACACAAGGACAACACATGACTGCCACCAAGTTTGAACCATGCTTCACATGACAGGTTTTAGAACATGCAAACAAATTGGGAGAGCATGAATGCCTACATTACATAAAAATTATGGCACTCAGTGCTCCCTTGCAGATGGTTGAACATGGTCCATTGATATTTTACAGGAAAAAAATATGCATCAACTATTGATAAGCTCTAGTGTGGCATGCATGCCCGAAGGCACTGGATAACCCAGCTGAAAAATTAAGAACTTTGCAAATGTGCCCCCTTGTTCCTCGAAAATAAGATAACCAAAAATAGATTATGACCGGACATCCAAAGAGTTTATTCTCTTGAATCTATAGAAGCAATCGGTTTGGAATGGGGCATGAGATGGAAAATTATATTATTTCCTAAAGGTTACTGGTCCAATGCAAAGGCGAGTCACTCAGAAAAATAGACAACAAATCAGGGCTGACCTGATAAGTGTATAATTTGACATAAATGAGGGGCACCCGTTGATTCATTCTGCTGTACTGTCTCGCAATTCGGTTTACTGTCTCTGGAACATACTCAAGGACAAGATTGAGGTAAAGTTCATCCCTTTCAGTGGTTGAGAAGAAGTAATGCTTAAGACCAACAATATTAGGATGATCCAGCATATGCATAATTTGCAATTCCCTGTTCTTGTAACGTTTATCTTGAAGAACCTTTTTAATGGCAACAATTTCTCCTGTTTCTCGACATTTGGCCTAAGAGTTGACACGAACAGGTTATTTGCCTTTCACAGTCACATAGAGAAATTTTTACAATGAAAAAGCCACAGGCTTACCTGATATACAACCCCAAAAGAACCAGTTCCGACCACATGCTCAGCAATATAAGTGACAGACTGTTCCATTACCATAACCACTTTATCAGCATTGTTTCATGGCCAAACATCACAAATTGCAAGGATGAAAGCGAAACTATTTTTACCTGTTTAGGTAGACCATTTCGGCCACGGATCGTAGTAGCTATTATGTGACCAGCTTCAGCGCTAGAGCCGTCGACTACATCTCGTTCAGTGTTCTGCAAATGAATTGTTGGTAAACCAAAGTGCAGTCTTGGTTCATATTTCCGTAGGCTTTCTGTGAATATTCATGAGCCGTAGAAGTATGAAGCAGTGTCATAAAACCATGCTTTTCTAGGGTGGACAACATGTCAAATTTGCAGAGTAGCAAATTACAGACAAATTTTTTGAAGTTATGCAGTGATTATTTACTACTTTCTCAGAAAGGCACAGTGGCTCATTGCTACAGGAGGTGAACAAAATAACAGGAACCACAGAAACAAGAGTTTGATTCTGGTGACAGGTGACTCTTCATCCTACATCAACACTAGTTCACTCAGTGACAAACAAACACGAACAGAAACCTACCTTTTCATCACCAACATCTGGTTTGGAATCCCTCAATTGCATTTCCAGCATCTCCCTTCCTAGACATTCAACCGAACTAGCCGGGCCCTTGAATCCATGTCCCGGCCGAGAGGAGCTCCCAACGCCGCCATGCCTTAGTCCAGAATAGGCCATCCCCCACTACCCGAGATTCCCCAGGTCAGGACAAGAAAAACAGACCAGTATTCACTCCATTGCTTGCAGAAGATCAGCCCGCCATTGCAATGCCGTTTCCTCCAGCATCACTTCAGCAACAGCTGCATACACATTCCATAAAAATGTGTCAAGATCGAGATGAACCTTCTATGGCATAGTAGGAAATTTTTCTTGTAAAAGTTGCTTCATCAATTTATAACTGATGAAGAACATCCAAAAAATCTTCAGGAAGTAAGTACACTGCACTCAAGTACGAAACACATAATTCGTCTGTTAGTACACTACTCCAAAAGGCATCCGGATTTCCAGCCACACAGCGATCAAGAAGGGCCACTAAATAATCATCAAGAAAAACCGCAAAACTTGCACTAAATCCCGAACAGATCAATCTCAAAAATGGCCCAAAGATCCTCCGAAAATAAACCGTGCGATCCATCCCAAATCCTATAACTCGATAATTGGGTCCAAACCGCCGCAAACCGGGTCCGAAGGAGCATTAAAAAACGACCCTTTTTTTTCTCTCTGGTGGGATCAAAGAATCTGGAGCCACAGTACCTGGAGCCAAAATCCCACAGAGATGAAAGAAAAATTCTTGGAGCAAGCAGATCAACAGGCTCCAGTGCTCTTGGAATAATTATGGGCGAGCAGGGAATCGGAAGAGGATGAGATGAGATGGTTTGGGGCTCTCTCTGGTGTGGAGCAAGTAGGTTAGGTAGGGGGGGAGAGTGGAGTGAGGTAGTGGAGGGCAGCTGCTCTTCTCCTTCCAAACTTTTCCTTTTCTGGTAAAAAAGAATAGGCAAGGGCATGGAGGAGCAGAGAGAAATTTATGGAGGTGATGCCATGGATGGAATGGAAGGATGGGGGAGATGAGGGGGGAGAAGCAAACAAAAAATTGGGTTGTGAGCTGTGGATGTGAAGTGACATTTGATTTGAGGGGTTTTTGGTGTTTGGCTGCAGTCAATTTGGCAGTGAACATACTTGGATTGATTGACAGGAGTGTTGACTTGGGAGTGAACTTTTTCTGAATTGTGATTTTGCAAGGATTTTCATTCTTGGGGTAGTGCAATTTGTAATTGTTTAAACAGATGGAATCATGCCAAATTGCCAATGTTGCAATTACAACAGGCATCGACTTTTAGGTGAAAATAAAACATTAGAGTTAAGCTCTGCTTTTAATATTATGGATTTCCGTTGCTTTTCAAACTTATATAAACAGTGTGTTTAGTACCAAAAAACCTATGGAGGACTTTTCTAAAGTAGCATTTCAACTTCATGGCAGTAGTTTATTCATTCGTAAAGGCTATAAAAAATTAGATAAACTACCAATTGATGAGCTATGATAAAAATTAAATTAATATATCAATCCATCATTTTCAGCTATCCCAGATTGGGCAATGTTGCTAAAGTTCAGATTTTGCCGAACAAGATTCAGCTCCCTTGTGGTTAAGTGCGGCTTCCGTCGTAGCAAGGCATCCATTCTTCTCTTCCAAGCCCTTCCTAACTTTTTCTTCGAACTTTCATCTTTTCCATCACATCAAAACTTTCCTATACACATAAACTTTCAATTTTTTTTCTTTAAACTTTCAATTTTAGTCAAACTTTTAATTTTAGCGTAGAACTAAACACACCCTAACCGCAAATCCAACTCATGGAGTCATGTTCATCTCCCCATACCAGAAAAGAAATCGACAAAAGCCTGCATGTGCCACAGAACTTTCGGTAGAACGATACAACATGCATGGTTCGCCTCAGGAGACCAACTTGTCAGCAGCTGCATTAACAATGCGGGAAAAAACAAACTTCATGTAGCCCTGCGTGTGTTATCAAGTTCATCGTTCATCAGAACTATGGAGTGTACAGGATCATGCAGGTTTTTTCTTTAAGAAAAACTTCTGTACATAACCGTGGTTCTCATGTACTAGTTGTAAACGACAATCGGGTCACAGAAAATAACTCAAAATTATCCAATGTAAAATTCCTGCTTATCCATATGTTTCTTGTAGTATCTACTGTATGTTGTAATGTAGTCATATACTGTTATCCACAGATCTGCCTGCCTACCTGCAACCAGAGAGACTTGATGTAATACAGGAAAACAAGAGAAACATATAACAGAGGCAGTCACATGGCTATGCCCGAATGAATAGAAACAAGAAACAAGTGGTAGTAACAAACAGGAGAACCCGAAAGGTCCACCGAGATAGCTGTTCTGTTCATGCTCATCATGCTAAGAGACCAGGGTCCCGTCATTCGTTGACCAGGTCATGGGCCTCACAGGCGGCTATCACTTCAGTTTGCATATGCTACTGTAAAGTGCTCATGTGTGCTGTGAGATGTGGCTACATCACTATTCAAAGGGGGTCATCTGTTAGCTGTACCTCTGCATGTGGGGAGGATGAACTTAGCTTTTAATCTTCATAGATTAATATTGATCTCTGTCAAAAGCTCCACACAGTAGTATTCTTGCAAAACAAAGTCATTTGTTCCAGTTTCAGTAGCCAAAATTTGTTCCAGTTTCCAGATTCTTCAGAATGAAACGGTTATGTGAAAGGAAGTAGATACTGACCTGCACGTCTGCATGTCAAATTCCAACAGCATCAAGAAGCTCTGAATGTTGTGACACGGAGACTAGCGTGTTTGCGACAATTGCACCACTTGCAGCGACGGCCGGTACACCGATGCCTGGAAAAGTCGAGTCACCACAGCAGAATAGCTGGGGTATAGGTGTTGCCTGCCCAGGGAAAGTGGCCTCCCCAGCTTTTATGGCTGGACCATAGGTTCCTCTATTTCTTCGGAGGAACCTCTTGTGTGTTAATGGTGATCCAACCAGCTTCACATCGCATTTTTCTCTGCTAAATCTTGGACCAAGGGCAAGCTCCACGGCTTTCCACATCACCTGAGAGGTTTAAATTAACTTATCATAGAATACAGCAAGTTTCTATTTACAATCAGTGAATAAAAGAGTACTTTATAAAAAGTGTGTCTAGCTTCGATAACTTTTTACTTAACTTTTGATCATATTTGCTTCCTATGAGTCAAGAAAATTGCTTCCTTAAAATTCTAACATGTAGTAGATTATTGTTCTAGCCTCTGGAGTCTAGACGGCTACACAAGCCACCCATGTTTGCACGTGTGGAAAAGAAGGGTAAAGAGATGAAATTTCTAGGAAATATCTGAACTGATAAAACGGTGTTAAAGCGCATGGATTTCTAGGGACTAATTCCCAGTTATCAGGGGAGTAACGCTAGAAGAACAAGAGCACAGCATTTGTTCTATGTTGTACCTCAGAGCGTTCTTCTTTCAGCCTTCGATACTCGGCGCTTTTCCTATCTAGTCCTTCCCACAAACTGAAAGGTTCTGTTCCTGGTGTATAAGCATGTAGGACGTGCTTTCCAGGCGGTGCTAAGCCATTTCCAAGAACAGTAGGAACTGATATCAATACAACGTTCTGGTCAGCATCAACTCCTTTGTTCCAATCATTAACCACAATATGATGGATTCCAAGGTCCTCTCTGGCATTCTGTTCCAGTTACGTAAGTAGTTACCGTGAGAGATTGCCTGAGTTAATGTAAAAACACACATCTTAATGAATATGAGTGTATGACAACCAACCTCGACATCAAAACCCAAGTGGAGATGCATAAATGATTCACATTGTGGAGTTGCTTTCACTTTGTCTTGATATGATCTTGGGACAGCATCTGGTGGCAGCAAATCCAAAGTATCCCACATAGATGCATTGCTAACAACTGCTTTCCTTGCGCGCACAATCTGCATGAGAAGCAAATTCCCGACAAGATTTCAACAGCTGCTGAATCTTCAAAACATAGGTTGCATGATGGAAGTCAATACAAGGGAATAGGTTACTATCTAGTGACCTAGAATAACATGTGGCACAATCATGCCTCTCAAAAATAGATTGCATAAGACAACAGGGCGAGAAAAGATATGCCATCTTGGCCTACATGATTTCTATGGTCTGCCACTACTGCAAATGGGTGGACCAAGGCCTAAAGCCCCTAAACTAAATGTGATATGCAGTACTGAAGATGGTACTTTTTGGAGGGAGGGAGGGAAAATATATAGTGATTATCGTGGATTGTACACTAAAGACTTTGATGCATCCATGAGGCTCAAGGTAATGTAAGTATCATATTTGATGAAATCATTACCAATAGTAATAATATGGATCTGCATTGCTATCATTGGTTTTGTGTTCATAACTTGTATCACACAAATCCTTTCCTACTAGGTAACAGTTTGTTTTTTGTTTGGTAATAACATATCCTTAGAAGATGCTTACTTGTCCACTTTGTAGCTTGACACCAACTGCTCGACCATTCTCAATTAAAATCTTTTCAACATGCGAACGAAGAGCAAGCCTGCCACCAAATTTTTTTATTCCTCGCACAAGAGCATCTATTATTGCTCCGCTTCCCTCAAGAGGATACTCAAGCGAGCATCCTGGTTTATACCATTCTGCAAACATATAAACCTGTGGTTGTAGTTAGACCAAATGATGAAACAGAAAACATCATAATCATCACTTTTAAAGTATTTGTGTGAATTTGAATAGACACAACAGATGGGAGCTAAGTATCATAGAGGTAAATATATGGAAAACTCTGCACTGTAACTTATTCAGAATCGCATTGTTTTTTGATGCAATGAATCGCATTGCTCAGTGCCAAATATTTCGACATCCAGTTGCTGTGGAGCACTCCAACAAGATAAAAGTGCTAAGATTCAGGTATAAGTCACTGCCATCCACCAATGGGAATGCATGCCATCAACCTATACAATTTAGATCCACTATAAATACAATCACTACCATGTAGACTGCATTGACTGGTTTAGGGTCACATGAGAGTGACTACGGAATAGTATAGATTCTGAAATAGTATCTGCTAAATAAACTAGATGTAGAATATGCTACATTGAGGTTGTTCCAAGTTCAGATGACATGAGAACGTGTAACACCAGCACAGCTATTTTATGGAAAGAAGAGGAACATTGCACCGATGTAATACTAATCCCATGATGTCCTCACCATTAGGGTCAATGCACCCACAAATATATTGATAGAAGTTGTGCAACAAAATTATTCTCTTATTCATCTATATATTGCCATAATGGTATTGGTCGGTTTCAACAGTGAACTAAATGTTGTTTCTGGAAACCAGTTGGAAATGGTAATTCACTAAATTATGGCAAAGCAAAAGGTACTGAAATTAAAGGAAAACACAAATGGAAGGATAATGAATTCAATGTTAGGCAAAGCAACAGCTACTGCAAATGGAAGTAAACCTGATGGAAATTAGTTTACCATTTCTGCAGAAAGAGCACCATCAGATTTGACTCCAGCAAGTAGAAAACACAAGAGATCGATCCAATTACGAACAAAGGGGTTTTTCAGGCCCAATGAATCAACGATCTCTGAGAAAGGTCTTAGAAGTTTTGTAGCACCAAGAGCCCCTTGAGGTCCCATTTGCAGGATTGATTTCAACAGAGAAGGAGCATATCTACCAGCAGATGTGGAGAGAACACCTAAATCACCTCGAATGGAAAGTGGAGGCAAAGCCATTGCAGCTGCAGAGATAGGAATAACTGCATCCTGAGATTGTTTTAGTATGGTATTAGCTCATGCTCTAGTGGAACATAAAATGTCCCAAAGATAAAAAAAATAAGAAATGATCCTGGAAAAGAAACTAGTATCATATCATATTCAAGTACGGTGCTTTTACATTTTTTACAAAATATGCCTATAAAAGGATAGCACAGGAAAGGAAAGCATTAATAATTTATGGATTGCTCATGTGTTGCTTAGTACTCCAGTTCAGTGAGTAGTGAGTTCATCTACACGACTATGGCTGCAAAAGTATTTTCCAAAGAGTCACAATGCAGACAAAAGAAACTCACAAGAAGCTTTTTCCACTCCTGGACTGCATCAGCACCAACAAATTCATCAAGGTCCTGAAAGAATTGCGAGTCAGAATCGTGTTCAGAGCATCCAACATAAATAAATTGTTAGCATCAAAACTGCATAAATGGGAGAGAACATCTCTAAGTTCAATAACCAGCCATACCATTTGAGAAGAAATAACATATCTGAGTGAGAACTGATAATGTCACAGGTAAAGTTAAGTGAATGGTTCCAACGATTACATATCTAATGGCAAAAGACTGCTCACCTTGAGGAAATCAGTTGGACCTATCCGCGAAAGGAACTGGCCTTCAGGTACATAAACCATCCAGGAATCATATGAGGCACATGGAACTGATTCGCCTAGCGCATCAAGGACCTGACCAATTGAATGACCACATCAGCTTCCAAGCTCTCACCACAATTAACTTGCTCTAAACCCACAATGCCATAATGGGAAGAACAATTTGCTGCAATCAAGTATCACCTGGGCGAGGGGATTGGCCTGGGGGCCTCTGGACTGGAAGCCGGAGAACAGGGAAGGGCCCGAGTCGAAGTTGAAGCCCTTGATGTCAAACGAGTGCGCGGCGCCTCCGGGGCGGTCATGGCTCTCGAGCACGAGCACGTCCTGGTTATACCTCGCCAGGAGCCCCGCGCAGCACAGCCCGCCGATCCCGCTCCCGATGACGACGACGTCCGCCTCCGGCCTCTCCGCCTCCCTGACCCCGATTCAGAACGCAAAACCGGCTATGCCTATGAGCATCGATCAATCGCCGGAGAGTAGTGGTGCGGTGCGAAACGTACCCGGAGAGCGCGCCGTCCTCGCCCTCGGGGATGGAGGGGTCCGCGGGGCGCTCGTCGGCGGCCACCGCCCTGCAGCGCGCGGGACGAGCGGCGGCCGCGCATCCGCGTCGTGGCCGTGGGGCGGTGGTCGGTGGAGCGCGCGGGCGGCGAGCGCAGTGGCGGGGCGGAGGCGGCAGCGCGCGGGAGGCCAAGGCGGCGGAAGCCATGTCGGAGGCGGAGAATAGCGCGCGTCTCGCCGGCTACGCCACATAGCTTCGGGATCAGGCCGCGGTTGGAGTGAGGCGGCCGTCGTGGACACGTGGCACTTCGCCGGCCTTTCTCCTTCCGCGGCAGCCGACCCGATCTCTCCCGTGAGACATGGAGAAGATGGGAAGCGAGGCCCATACGGCCCAACCCAATGGCCCATTATGGGCTTACTGGGAAGCCCATTTTAAAGCGTTCTTCTTCCTCTCCTCGGCCCGCGCGCGCTTCTCTTCCTCTCTGCTACCTCTTCCGGCCGAAAGCTAAGAAACCAAAAACGTACGCGGCGAGCTTCCAAGAAAGGCAAGAACACAAGAATCTGCGAAATATATGGATCAATTAAGTGAAAAGAAGGTGCCTGAAAATCTCCAAACTTAATTTCGATCGATTTTCATGGCCATTAGGAAAGTGAGGAAAAAAAAACACGGCCTAATAGGTACGGTACTCAGTCGGTTTCAGAATAAGTAAACATTATTTTTGGAACCTTTTTTTTTTTGCGGGGAAGAGCTGGGAATTACTATTGCTCAACCGACAAGTCCTTACAAACTAGCTGAGAAATAAGATTACATGTGTCGCCTACCCAAAGGAAAGAAAGCCTATCAGTGCGAGCTATGTCTGCTAAAGCATGGCTAATCTGGTTTTGAGATCTGTGGACCTTCCTGATGATGAAATCCCTCTCTCCATCAATCAACACTTTAATATGTCTAACAATGAAAGCAAGGGAAGAGCGGTCCGGTTCCTTGGTCTGCATCAACTGGGCCGCCGTCAAACAATCCGTCTCCACTTCAATAGGAAGCTCATCGTCCATTGCATCGCCAGGCTGATTCCTTCCACACATGCTAGAAGCTCCGATTCTAACGCATCGGAGCACCCTTATTTATATGTCTCTCGCCTCTCCCTTGACTTGAGGCGGAGGATCGAGGATTACTGGCATCGTCGTCTTCCTTCGTTCCCTCCACACAAGAGAAGACCAGGCAAGTCCTCTTAATTTACCTTCTTCATACCCTAACATACATATCTCAGTTTCTTCTACCGGCTCTCGGTGACCTCCTTTGGTCTGTGTCCTCCCTCCTGTTCGTTCGGCTGCCAATCCACATGGATTAAGTTAGTCTGAATAAGCTCGTTTCTTAGCTCAACTATGCATGGACTGCTACCCTCAAACTGTTTCACCCTCACCTATCCAAGTTTATTTTGTAGTACACAGCTAGCCTGTTTATTACTTATGTTTTCTCCAACCGTATGTACGTATGTACGTTAGGGTCAAGCAAGCACCATCAACCTTGACATAAAGCCACTAACGTCTCTTCTGTAGTACTCCCTATGCATTTTATTTTAATGTATGACGTCGTTGATTTTTCAACCAACGCTTGACCATTCATTTTATTCAAATTTTTTGTGCAAATATGAAAATATTTATGTCATGCTTAAAGAATATTTGATGACAAATCAAGTCACAATAAAATCAATGATAATTACATAATTTTTTTGAATGAGACGAATAATCAAATGTTAGACAAAAAGTCAACGACGTCATACATTAAAATATTAAAATATAGAGGTAGTAGTAATATATAACCTCTTATGAATTGGATTTACAATGTTACTTTTGATTCTGCTTCAGTTAACGAAAAGACGCGGAAAATTAAGAGGACGTCTGCTACGTACTCATCTCACAAGAAGCTACAATACTAAATATTTTGCTTCAGTCATGGAATACAGCAACATAGCTAAGAAGAGGGAGGGTGTTATTGTTAAGATCGTGACATGATACAAAGCCCCAGGAGTAGAGACAAGTAATAAGTCATTGACCTCAACTTCATTTGTTATCCTCTTTTCTGCCATATCTTCTTGTACATGCTACTATATTTGATGACTAACACCCGTGTTCTATGGCGTTTTAACTTATGTCTGGGCTCTAATCAAGATAATCTCAACCAACCACGAAATTTGTCTAAGAGCGTTGTCTCACTTGCTTTGTATGATGGTGAGTATGCTGCTATAGTTACCCAATTTATAATTTAACAACAATTAATATATTACCCCCAGTTATAAATTAATGCTTTAACTTGCTGTCTTGTGTAACAATTAATATATGCTTTGTAATGGAATCTGTTTTTAAGGTTCTTACTGGTGGTGTGAGAGATTAGCTTTTTATATTTGAACATTCTAGTTTTGAGTTAACTTATCATATTTAGTATTAATTGTATTTCATTGCCGACCACTCCTTGTGCAGCACCAGGACAAAGGTGTGGGAATGACTATCTAACCGAAAAGAATTATCCCAAGCCACCACTAAACATATTATATGGTGAGTTATTTGATGATATTCTACCAGTAAACACCTTTTTACAGTTCTGTTTTATCACTAACTATTCTACCATGCACCTTCTACCAGATGGCATGATTTTGGCTAATTCTTTTGAAGAGACTTTTGGCCATCTATATGGTCAAGGTTCCTGGTGTGAATTCACATCAGAAAGCTTTCCTAACAACATTCGTCGTAGTGTTGTTGCACTTACTTCATGGAGTGGTGATTTTACACTAATTAATGTTTTATTGATTGTACTATTTCATTTTTGTATATTTTGCAATCACTAATAAGATATAATAATCAACAGTATGCATGGTATGCAGGAGGGAGGAGGCATTTTGCCTGCACGGGTTTTTTTATTGAATGGACGAACGGATACAGAATTATTCTCACATCAGCGAGCTTGGTTAGAGAGTCTGATGATGGATGGTAGATTGCTAAAAACTTGGCTGTAGGTGCTAGAGCTCATCATAATTTTTATTCTCCTATACTTCCTCCGTCCCATAATATAAAGGATTTTGACTTTTTACTTGCACTGTTTGATCACTCGTCTTATTCATAAAAAAAATGTGCAAATATAAAAAACGAAAAGTTGTGCTTAAAATACTTTAGATAATAAAGTAAGTCACAAATAAAATAAATAATAATTCTAATTTTTTTAATAAGACGAATGGTAAATAAAACAAATAAAAAGTTAAAATCTTATATTATAGAACGGATGGAGTATATCGCTAGCTTCTCTTTCAATTCTCACACACTTTATCATTACTTTGCAGATACAGGTGTTGCTTCCAAACAGTACATGCGATGTAGGGTATTTACAACATTATAGCTTACACTACAATGTTGCTCTAGTCAGTACCCATCACAGTTGGAATGCTCCTCCAGTATGTACTCGGCTTGACCAGCACAATTGTACTCCCTCCGTCTCAAAAAAAGTCAAACCTTGGGTTTCCGTGTCCAACTTTAACTATCCGTCTTATATGAAATTTTTTTTATAATTCGTATTTTTATTATTGTTAGATGATAAAACATGATTAATATTTTATACATGACTTGTCTTTTTAATTTTTTTCGTAATTTTTTCAAATAAGATGAATGGTCAAATATTGGACACGAAAACCAGGGTTTGTCTTTTTTTTTTGGAACGGAGGGAGTAGTTGGGTAGCAGCTATAGGATATTTCTTCGATTCAGGCAAATTAATGTTTGAAAGTGGACATTTGGTTCCCTGGACCGGCACACTTGATTGCCGCTTCCTTTTACGTTCGTGTTGCAGAATCACTAAGGTACATATATACTGCTGGCTAGCTCTGTCAATTTTTAATTTCTCACCTATTTGATTTACATGGTGGAAATGAATATATTAGTTGCATGTAACTTATCCCATCTGTTTGTGATGACAAATGACAACTTAATTACTTGCCCATGTCATGTTGGCAGGGTGGGATTGGAGGGCCTCTTGTTGATTTGGACGGGAATGTTTTGGGCATGAACTTCTATGATAAGAAGATAGGAACCCCTTACTTGCGATGGCATGTGATTAGTAAGATTCTGGGACACTTAATAACAGAAGCAAGTAGATTCATTTCTCTTTTTTTTTGGTTATTCAAGTGCTGCTCATCTGAAGTCTTCATGTTTTTTTTTAAAAAAAAATACTTGGTTGTATGATTTGCTGTAAATTAAATATATTCAATGGTGTGTTTGGCAGCAGCTCTGCTGAAGTTGACTTCGGTAGTTACCCTAGAGGGGCCACTCCCATGCTACGCAGGTTAGTTTAATGATACATCACAAAACTAGTAAATTACGACGCCTCACAAAAAATTTCTTATCACGTTGCATATATTGAACTACAGGAGTATATCTACCTGGCTGGAATGGAGGTGACAATGCCAACCTAAACAGGGTTTTTGATCAGACTGCATGTACTTCAAAATATTGTTTCGTGCTTCCCCAATCTCCACCTGTTGCGCCTGACTGGACAATCGAAACAGGTAACAGTGTCACGCTAAACAGGTTAGTTTTATGATACAATTAATACTAGTGAGTATTACAAAATGTCTCCCAAAATTAATTTTGTAATCACATTGCATATACATTGAACTGTAGGTGGCCCGTGCCCCTGCCATATTGGCGTCAACCTGACGATATGGAGGAGGAAGAACCCCCACGTGGCTTTGAGGACATGTACACATACGTGGACGGAGTCAGATTGTGTAACTTTTAGAATCATCATGTCCTTGTTCTGCTCTGTTGAATTTCTTCCTCCTTCCGATGTGTTCGCTGGTGTGACTTGTGCCATGTCATTGAAGTTAATTATACAACTATGCCCGCTGTTAGTCCTGTAATATTATTACATATGCTGTGTGCACTTGTGTTTTAGACCATTCAGCTATAGTGGTGTTGGAACTTGGAAGGTATATGAGTATATAAGTAGCTTTTGTTAACTTTGGAGTACATAAATAGCGTGCCTATCTTGGATGTGTTAAAAAAAAACCCTAAAGTATTTTGCAGTACGGAAAGTGCTGAATTTTCAAGTTGGACATGTTTGAGTTTGAATTTGCTGTATATGTTGGGTGATTTTTTTTCTTAAAAATCACATGATTTTTTAACCTTGATAGTTTTGCCTTAGATTTTATTTTGGGGTAATTGCATATTTGCCACTGCCGGAACGGTGAATTTACCATTATAAAAACTATAATTGCACATTTACCATAAAAACAGTCAGAACTTAGCATACCTACCATTAGACTCACAGTTTGAACCAACACGGTTAGCAATGTGTATTTTAACTAAAATAGGACAATAGTACCCCTTCCAACGAAATCGCAGAAGTCAATCAAAAATACGCGATCAAAACTGGTCGCGAGACTGTGTGGCACTTCGCCGGCCATTCTCCTTCCGCGGCAGCCGCTCTCTCCCGTGAGCCATGGAGAAGACGGGAAACGAGGCCCATAAGGCCCAACCCAATGGCTTATTATGGGCTTACTGGGAAGCCCATTTTAAAGCGTTCTTCTTCTTCTCCCCGCGCGCGCTTCCCTTCGTCTCCACCCGAAAGCCAAGAAACCAAGAACGCAAGAAATCAAGAACCTGCGACATGGATCAAGAATTCCATTTCGACCCTTTCACCGGCGGCGACTTCGACTACCCCGACGGCGAGTCTTTCTCCGGCGGTGCCGCAAGCGGCGGGTTTGACTACCCCGGATCCTGCGGCCGCTCTTCTTCCGCCGGCGAGGAACTTCACGGCCATCCATACCGCGACGGCTATTCTTTCTCCGGCGGCGCCGCAAGCGACGAATGCCACTTCTTGGGCAGGAGCGGCTTCCCTTCTTCAGGCGGTGAGCGACTTCTCGTTCACCGGCATCCAGACCGCTACCGCTGCGGCGAGCCTTTCTCCGGCGGTTACGCAAGAGGCCACGGCGACTTGTTGGGATGGAGCAGCTGCCATTCTTCCTGCAGCCAACTTCTGCAAGACCCTGCAACCATCGTCATCGTCATCAATGACGGTGCTCATGCCCATGGCGGCGGATTAGCACAGGCTGGGCAAGCCTCCTCCATGAGCGTTCCATTGGTACGGCTACTTCTCCTGCTTCTGATCAACGTTCTGTGCTGCTTCTGATCTCGTTCATGGCGGATTGCCGCATTTTTTTTCCCGATCATGATGTTCTACATTTGCATAACATTTTTGTGCACGATAACTCTCTTCTTCTAATCAATATTACTCCATTTGGTCTAATTAAATATGCCTAATCATGCTGTTCGATTTACTTAATTAAGGAGCTGATAAGAAAACTCGGTCTTTGTCTGTTGAAATAAGAGTAAACTGGCATACGTTGTGTTGCGTGTATGGGTACAAATGTTTAAAAAGACATCGTAGTTATCAGTGTTAACTGGGAAACATACATACATATACATATTAGTATTTTAACAAGTTTCAAATATGAATCATTTTGTGATATGGGTAGCATTGTGGTTAATTATGAATCATGCTGAATATATAATGTTATTCTTATTTTGTAAATGTTACTTAATCTAAATTATGATAATGGGACAGGTAAAATCAAAACAAGGAACATCACTGGTGCCACAGCTCAAGCTTGGTCCATCAGCTGCCCCAAACTTATTACACTGGCTCATGGAGCACATCTTATGGGATGCATTAGAATTCTCCATCAGTTGGACCACACTACGACGGCATCAACCAAAACTCCCGAGTGAATGGAGTTGGTGGATGGCAATGGGTTCACCGTTCATTCAGATAGATGGTTAGTTACTGTCCATATCCTCTAATTTAGAAATTTTGATGAACTGCTGAACAAAACAAACGTGTGTTGATTCTACTGATCTTGTTACAGGAATATGCTCTATAGCTGCCAGTTTTATGTGTGTGGAAGCACAACATAGGCTAGCCTTTGAGATCCTACATGGAATTGGTAGGTTCCCCTTAAAAGCAAAGAGACTCAAGGGTGTAAAGAAGAAATGCATAAACAAAAAGGTGTGGAGCCCTGCAGACGGAGCATTTGTAGAGGATGTGCTGAAGGTGGTGGCGAAGGGAAGGGGAGTGGAGACAATACAGGGTATCTTCTTACCAATAAATGGATATCATATGTACAAAAATGTCCAGAAAGACGTCAGTCATGAGGCAGCAGTGCGTCTCTTACTCGCCCATGGTCCACTGCTGGCAACATTGTGGGTGAATGACGAGTACATGATCTGCACAACAAAGAATGATCTTGTCTACCGTGGGAGCAGCAACAGTGAAAAGGATCCCAATCATACGGTGGTCTGCTTCGCTTATCGGTTTGTTGGCGAGGAATTACACCTCAGGGTCCTCGACGACCATACCGAAGATGGGCCAGTGAGATGGGTATTGTACGAGTGCATAGATGAAATCCACCTGTTGACACTAAAGGAACCTTTGACCAAAGAACTCATCGACAGATACAGAAAGAAGGGACAGACTGAGAGCTTCTTGTCAAACTCTGCAAACAAAGTAAAGGCCATGCTGATTCGAAGACTAATGACTAAGTACTCAGAATTAGAGAGCAGTCAGGGATCTAGCAGTTGTGGTAGGCAGAGTTGGGAAAAATAGTCAAACTTGTTCAGGTATACACATTGAACAACAGATCAAGGAGCTCCATGGCTAGGCCCGGAGGTTGAGGCTTTGTTGTATTGAACTCGGAAGCAAAGTACATGAGTTACATTGCCTCAAGAGTAGTTCTGACAGCCACGGTTATGCACTTATTCACTTCAAACATAATATAGTGAACTTAACAAGTTTTCAGATATTAGCACACAAACTATTTGAACTAATGTGACCTCTGCTCAGCCTCTGTTATACACAACCACAGAAAAAAGGATTTCTATAAAAAGAACCTTTAAAAAAATGGCACTGTAATGAAACTGTAGCAATTAATCATGGTGCAAGCAGATTTATTGCTTTCCCATCACTTAATTCAGAAACACTTGCTATTCTGAACATATTACAGTATATAATAACATAACTATTTGTATGCTCTATAGGTTGATTTTCCATCTTGGTGGTATTTATATATATTGAAAGAAAACAGCATCTGTTTATTGTACACGCAACATAATCGATTTAATGTGACACGCACTTCTTGTTGCAGCAAGATCATCCTTCCTACCTTCCAATTATATCACCAATCCAGGTAGTTAGGTACTGTCTTTAACTCTTTATAACTAATCTGAAAATTCAAAAAACAGGTCAAGTGTTTTTTAAATCACCACCAGAAGCAAAAGATATGTTATATGTTCAATCAGAACAGGGCAACAGCTATTAACATTACAATCCATCATACTATTCTAGTTACAGCAATCAATTGGTGAATATGAGGACAAAGGATTCAGACAATCCCATCACAGATGAAAGGGAAAGAGTGGAAAGGAACCTTCAGGTGCAATATTATTCAGAAAATAAAAAAGTATTTTTATTGGAGGAAAGCAACCAACAGCATATAAAGGGAACTATAAGGTTGAAAATCCTATGCAGCCCATGGATGTTAAACTGTCGTGCATATACTTGCAGTTAAATATGGCGCTAGGGATCGTTCACATATTAGAACATGCATATTTGTAGCCATATATGTATGTGCACATCCTGGTTAATCATTCTGGTATTAGACCAAAAAAGAAGAAGAGAGAAACTGCGCTGAGGTTGAGCATCCGAGGTTTTTTTTGGTCTGGACAAGAGTTGGTACTGACTCAATGAATGTACAAGTGTACAAAGTATCATCAATATGCCAATATGAAACAAATACCACGCAAAGATTATGTGATTTCGCAGCTTGATACCTTGAGTGATGTGAGCATGGATGGATTGAGCGTTTGGCCATTTGCCACTCTCTCAATGCGTGAGCTTCCAACAATCACTCCAACGGCCCAGGGGCTGCAGATCTTCACAACATCACACCCAGCAAATTGCGACAAAGTGTTTCTATTAGTGTAATGCTTAAAATTGGAATGCTGGAAAAAAACGAGGAAAAAATAATCAATGAATAGGAATCATGGATCAAACCGGAACAAGAACTGAAGCGTGAATCGACGTTTCGCCCTCCCTCCGAGTCACCGCTGTCCCGCCTGACTCCCCACGCCGGATCTGACCGGCCGACGGCTACCACCTGAGCCAGATCTGTGCAGGCAACGTCGGCCCTCGCGCGAAACCTGGCTGCCAAGCCTTTCTCTCTATAAGACCTGGCCGGCCGACGACCGGGAACCGCTGCGCTTTCCGCCGCCGCCGCCGCCGCCGGAGCTCGTGGTCGGCCTCTCGAGCTCATCGTGTGAGGCGAACAGTGTGCGAGGTGAGCAAGTGAGCCGCACGGCCCATTATGACCAATGGCCCAACAGATAGTGGGCCAAGAAGGTGGCTATCAGAACAGCCCAAATACGGCAGAAGGAAATCCGCTTCTCTTTTTTTTTTTTTTGAGAAGTCGGAAATCCGCTATAGGTACGGTTTTCCTAGTACGTCTCGGATTGGTTTCGCAATCGCATTGTCCGTCCGGTCCCTATATATTCAGTAGATCCACGGCATCGAAAGCGTACTAGACCATTAGTAGCTTGTTTGTCGATCAATGGGTTCTCTTGTGTCTCGGTTGATGGCGACTTGTGTACAAGAGGAAAAAGAACTAGAGGAGAAAGAAGAAGAAGAAGTAGAAGAAGAAGACGAAAATGAAGAAGAAGAAGAGGAGGAGGAGGAGGATCCTCAGCCTTATGTGCCTAGCCGCCCGCTTCCATCCGAAGAGTAAGTACACTAGTACGACTGATTTGATTATATCGGGGTATGTATCCCTAAACTGTTAAAAAAAATTGTATTTGACGGCAAATCCCCGTGCATTAATTTACAGGGTGCGCGACGGCTATTCCATTCGCGAGGCCCACGCCGCTCTTGACTACTACAATGCCAATCATACGGTAATTAAGTGTATATGAATTTACTACTAGTATTTAATGTTTATGAATCACTTGCTTAATTATATAGATGAAAAGTGAATTGATATATTATTGATCTTTCGCTACGTAATTATTTAGATGTGTGTCTGATCGATATGATTTATTTTATAATTAATTTCAGGGAGCGGAGTATGAACTCGTCAAGCCATTGATGGCGGCCTGCGTTTTCTTCAAGCGTCGCATGTGGTACCACGTTAGCTTGTTGGCGCGCAGGAAGGATCAGACCACTGCACCACCCATCGAATACTTCTTCGCCGAGCTACGCGAGGGCGCATCCGACTCCTTCATCGTTGAAGCATGCACCATGATCGGTAAGCTTTCCGTGTGTTAATTTCTTTCTAATAACAATGCTTAATAATTTGATGAATGTCTCCATCAATCAATGTGTCTAAGAAAATCGGCCAATCATCCTAAATTCCTAATTCAGCTTAATTGATATGTTTTCTCTCTGTCAGAAAATCCGCAAAGCTGCTCCGGGAACAAGTGTTCACTTTGCCCTACTCGCTATGAGATCGTGCACCCTAGCGAAGAGGAGCTTTTGTGTGGAAAGGAAGGAGATGTCAAGGACTTTCTGCGGTTGAGGAATTTGTCCCCGTTGCCGTTCACATGCCCCGTCACAGTGCCTGAAATTGAAATTGTGGTTGAAAAATAGTAACTACTAGCAAATTAGCAACTGCTCGCAAACATTCTTAGCGACCTGTTTATTTGCACATCTGACAGCTGGACACGATCGATACATAGATCGGTGTATCATGAGGGTGCCCCGGCTTTGTGGTTAATCTCGGGCATGTAGTGGCCTCTATGATGCCCTTTGTAATATTAAAACTTATTTTTTCTCTCCTCATAAGCTATTAACACGTCAGGCAAAGTTCTTTGATATCTTTTCAAAAAGGAATATATCAATTCAAATTCAGGTATCATCAAACAAATTCTAATCGTAGCTGTGCTTAGGTGTGCCCCTCTTCTTAGTAACAATTCCTCTTTTTATTTTAGCTTTAAGATACAAGTGAGACGATCCATTAATCCACCTACAGATTGAATAAATGGATTTGCGGGTCCACCCACTTACTCCCTTATTTGCCCATCTGTTTTGGGTACGTGTCTGCTCTCCTTAAAACTTATTTCTTGTCATGCTCTAAAAATCTTTAATAACCCACAAGTCAGTACAACTGTTTACAGTGCATAAGAACAGCTCGCAGGCATTCGAAAGTTAAAACTTAAAAATGTTGTGACAACTCGGCGATTACTCACAGAAATCTCAACATATGAGCTAGTACTAGAAAACAATCCATGGGCGATTGCTAATCAGGTAGTGTATATCGAAAAATATATATGATTCGTTATACGTGTTTTGATATAATCAATGCTCTAAATCTCCGGAGATTTAGAACACTGGATATAATACAGTACAAATGAATTGCACCAATGATGAATTAGTAGAGTACAGAACCCCTACATGAATCTTGCAGCCGCTCACGTGTGTCGGGCGGCGGCGCAGATGCCAGATAAAGGGATGCCTGAACTCGCCATCCGTCCCCCTCTGGCTCAATTGCTGGTGCGTATGGCGGTGAGCCCGGCCGGCGTGTGCGTCCTCCCAATGGTCGACGCCTCGACGGGTAGCCTAGCCGCTGCACCTCAAGCTAGCTGATCCTCTTGCTCGGCAGAGGCAGACGTGGAGGAACACGCTGACCCCGGAGCGACGCACGCAGCGATGATCATCGATCAAGTGCTAGCTAGCTGATCCTCGTCGGCGGCCACGCTTCGCCGTCGTTTCCTTGAGGCTGTGCTGGTGGTCGCGGGAAGCCATGCGGCGGATTCCCATCTCGATCGGAGCCTCCAACTCCAAGTTCCAACACCTGGATCGAAGCCAGCCGCCGACGCAGAGACGCAGTCCTGGCTGGAGGAGATAACGAGAGAGGAGGTCAGAGAGAGAGAGGAGAATAAATAGCTTTGATGTAAAAAGGTGGGACCCACATGTAAGTCGTAGGTCGAGATGTATACACGAATCAAGGAACATAATCAAACGGTGGGGAAGCACTTCTTCTCACGAATCTCCAAGCATCCCAACCCTGTTTAAAGCTGCTTGTTTCCCTCCTCTTCTTCTTCTTCCTCCTTCCGCCCCTTCCTCCTCGTCTCTGTTTTCTCCATCCTCCCGTCAACCTCCGCCTCGTCTCGTCACCTCCCAGGATCGGAGGATCCCCACCTCGGCAATCGAGAAAGAACACGACGGTGAAGCAGGCACCTCCGTTCCAGCCCATCGCGCCACCGGCGTTGAGTTCTTGCCCCCGCCTGCATCTTCCCGTCAACCTCCGCCTCGTCGCCTCCCAGGGCCAGGATCCCACCTCCGGAACCAAGAAAGGGCACGAGGGTGAGGCGGGCGCCACCGGCGTTGAGGTATTGTTGCTGCTCGTCTCCCGCCGGCGAACCTTGTGACGATTCCCCGGCCGGTGAATTCAAGAAGCCAAGAACTTGACCAAGAAACACCTGATGCGATGGACCGGGTTCACGGCAAGGATGGCGCAGAGGAAGCTCCCGCTGGCGCTTCACATCATTCCTCCTGCTACTGCTCCTTCTCCTCCTCGTCTCCGACTTCTAGCGACGATCGTCCAGGCGTGAGAGCCATCCCCTGCTCCAGCCATCATGACGAGAGAGAAATTGCAGAAGCAGACTGCTGCGCTGGGGCCGGCGCCGGTGTACATCTCTCCGGCTGCTCGTCTTCGCCGGAAAACGCTCTTGCCCACGGCTACATTAGCTGGAAGCTTGACTTTCCTCCCGTCCTCATCCTTGTGGCCTCCTGCCCCAGCGATCATGTTGGGTTTTCCGGCGAGCAGCCCATCCAGGGAGCAAGAATACAAGTAGCCCCGAGAGACACGGCAAGCTGTGCCATTTCCTCTGGCGAAGACCATCCCAGCTTCATCATGACAGTCATCAGCGAGTCTGCTGAGTTCCAATCTGGCCATCCCAGACGAGAGGTAATTCCCTAACCCTTGTCAGAATAATCTCTTAAAAAGCCATCCCAGAAACCATCATGTTGCCTTGCAAATATAAGTTAGAAGAAATATGAATAGCGTCACTATTTCTGAGAAGAAAATGTATACTGACCTCTTAGGAAGTACTATCATGTCTCTGAATAATAATTCGTTGATTATGTATAGCACCCCAAAATCCAATTGCCTTAGCCATTACTTTCCATGTTTATTTCCCACTGTGAATAAACCATATCACAATCGATGCATTGCGTTTATCCTTGAATATTTTATGAAATAAAAACGAACATCAAATTAGGACGCTAAATTATGTGCCAATGATAACTAATTTACTGAAACAAATGGATATTGCAGGATTTGGAAAGGAATTTATATTCAGAAAATGATGAACTGTTCGACTCAATTTGCAATAGACTATAGTATGACATAAAGAATGGGCGTGAAAATCAATAATTAGCAGACTGTATACAGTGATACAGATTAGTTCATAGGCACTGAAAGTTGGTATGCCTTTTAACTAACCTGTATCACTGCATGTACTGGTACAACAAAGATTAGCCAGACCAAAGAAATAGATAAAATACCTGTGTGGATTCCAGATGCGATGATAAGGGATGGATCTTCATATGTGCAAATAATTTTGCCAGATTCTATATCAAAATTACTCCTTTATCAGCAAAGAGCCTCATGTGGTGTCTTGGACATATCATGAAAAATGTGCATGCCACTCTATTCCAAAAAAAAAAAAAACTGCAAATTAGAGCTACCATCGAGTCAAATGCAATCCAGAGATGCATTTTACCTACACCTGGCTTGAGCACCACCAATAACTAAGCACTTAATCAGTTAATCCGGATCAGAAGCACTGCACCGTCAAGAATTTGATGCATTACAGCCTTCTTTTAGAATTTCCTCTGCAGGCACAATAGTTAAAAGTTTTTGTTACCATACTGAAGAAACATGTTGCAAAAAGTTTTTTTCACCACTATGATGCCATTTTGTGATATGTGTAGCATTGTGGTTATTTATAAATCATGCTAAATCTACAATGATATTCTTACTTTGTAAATCTTACTTAATCTAAATTATGGTAATGGGACAGGTAAAAGCAAAACAAGGAACGCCACAGCTCAAGCTTGGTTTTAATGATTGTGATGAAAATTTAGCTGCCCCAAACTTATTACACTTGCTCATGGACAACATCCTAAGGGATGTATTGGAATTCTCCATCAGTTGGGTCACACTACGACGGTATCAACCAAAACTTCCGAGTGAATGGAGTTGGTGGATGGCAATGGGTTCACTGTTCATTCAGATAGATGGTTGGTTACTGTCCATATCCTCTCATTAAAAAATTTTGATAACCGCTGAACAAAACAAATGTATGTTGACTCTATTGGTTACTGATCTTGTTACAGGAATATGCTCTATAGCTGCCAGTGTTATGTGTGTGGAAGCACAACATAGGCTAGCCTTTGAGATCCTACATGGAATTGGTAGGTTCCCCTTAAAAGCAAAGAGACTCAAGGGTGTAAAGAAGAAATGCATAAACAAAAAAGGTGTGGAGCCCTGCAGACGGAGCATTTGTAGAGGATGTGCTGAAGGTGGTGGCGAAGGGAAGGGGAGTGGAGACAATACAGGGTATCTTCTTACCAATAAATGGATATCATATGTACAAAAATGTCCAGAAAGACGTCAGTCATGAGGCAGCAGGTGCTTCTCTTACTTGCCCATGGTCCACTGCTGGCAACATTGTGGGTGAATGACGAGTACATGATCTGCACAACAAAGAATGATCTTGTCTACCGTGGGAGCAGCAACAGGGAAAAGGATCCCAATCATACGGTGGTCTGCTTCGCTTATCGGTTTGTTGGCGAGGAATTACGAGTGCATAGATGAAATCCACCTGTTGACACTAAAGGAACCTTTAACCAAAGAACTCATCGACAGATACAGAAAGAAGGGACAGACTGAGAGCTTCTTGTCAAACTCTGCAAACAAAGTAAAGGCCATGCTGATTCGAAGACTAATGACTAAGTACTCAGAATTAGAGAGCAGTCAGGGATCTAGCAGTTGTGGTAGGCAGAGTTGGGAAAAATAGTCAAACTTGTTCAGGTATACACATTGAACAACGGATCTTGTATTGAACTCGGAAGCAAAGTACATGAGTTACATTGCCTCAAGAGTAGTTCTGAAAGCCACGGTTATGCACTTATTTGTCGTTCAGTCTCTTCCAGATGAAACTTAGTTTTATTATTATTATTTCTTTTGTGTTGTTTCCACGATCAAGTTGTTCTGCTTCTTTTTATTCTCTGGACTCTTTATAGATTTCTCCTTTACCCATATGCTGGACCATTCACTTCAAACATAATATAGTGAACTTAACAAGTTTTCAGATATTAGCACACAAACTATTTGAACTAACGTGACCTCTGCTCAGCCTCTGTTATACACAACCACAGAAAAAAGGATTTCTATAAAAAGAACCTTTAAAAAAAATGGCTCTGTAATGAAACTGTAGCAACTAATCATGGTGCAAGCAGATTTATTGCTTTCCCATCACTTAATTCAGAAACACTTGCTATTCTGAACATATTACAGTATATAACAACATAACTATTTGTATGTTCTATAGGTTGATTTTCCATCTTGGTGGTATTTATATATATTGAAAGAAAACACCATATGTTTATAGTACACGCAACATAATCGATTTAATGTGATACGCACCTCTTGTTGCAGCAAGATCATCCTTCCTACCTTCCAATTATATCACCAATCCAGGTAGTTAGGTACTGTCTTTAACTCTTTATAACTAATCTGAAAATTCAAAAATCAGGTCAAGTGTTTTTTTAAATCACCACCAGAAGCAAAAGATATGTTATATGTTCAATCAGAACAGGGCAACAGCTATTAACATTACAATCCATCATACTATTCTAGTTACAGCAATCAATTGGTGAATATGAGGACAAAGGATTCAGACAATCCCATCACAGATGAAAGGGAAAGAGTGGGAAGGAACCTTCAGGTGCAATATTATTCAGAAAATAAAAATGTACTTTTATTGGAGGAAAGCAACCAACAGCATATAAAGGGAACTATAAGGTTGAAAATCCTATGCAGCCCATGGATGTTAAACTGTCGTGCATATACTTTTTTTGCCGGGTTGGCCGAAAGTTCGGTCGACCAATTTCATTAAGATTGGGAGAAAGGATCATTACAATAGAAGCTTACAACGACGAAATGATTGGGGAAAAAACCCCAACCATGTAAGCTATAGTTGTATGCTACAGGGATTACAAATTAATCATTATCGCCATTACAAGTGGTGAAAATTCCTGCCGACTTCCAAATGAGGATCTCCTCCTTGATGTCGCTCACTAGCTGCTCTGTGCTTCAAAATTTCTGCTCGAACACTCGCGCATTACGCTCCTTCCACAGGAACCAGCAGGTTAGTGCGAAGACGCCGTCGAAAATGTCCCTATAGCCCGTCCAAAAATTCAGTCTCGCCGCCATCCACCATTCAGTTAGGCTTGTATCGTTGATTGTTGGTGGCGCAAAGCCGATGCCAATCCATCTTTGCATCAAAGTCCAGACTCTCCTGGATAAATCGCAGGTTAGGAAAAGATGCAAACAGCTCTCCTCCTCTCGCTGACATAAGTGGCAAGAATCGTCGTGCAACCACCCTCTCTTCTCAAGATTATCAGCTGTTAAACAACGACCTTTGGCCGCCAGCCACAGGAAGAATCACACCCAGGAGGGAGCCTTGATATGCCAGATAAGTTCACTGAATGGGCAGATCTTCCTTGCCATGTAGAAGAGCTCATATGCCGAAGAGGCTGAGAGCTGGCCATCGGCAGAGAACTTCCACCGAATGGTATCATCTTCCCGATTGAGAACCACCTCCTGAATCTCGTCCCATAGCTGAAAGAACTGCGCTATAGCTTCATTTGAGAGTGCACCTCGCAGGTCTCGCACCCATCTATTGTTGCTCAGCGCCTGAGATATTGTAATTTGGGACCGGCCCACATAAGTGTAAAGGGTCGGCCATCTCCAAGAAATGCTGTGTCCATTCAACCAGTTTGCTGTCCAGAATTTTGTGTCTTTGCCATTGCCAACACAAAACTCGGCGGCAGAACTGAAAATTCGCTCCACATCTAATCCCAGGCGATATCCTGCCATGGCCCAAGGACGGTTTTTCTGTTCTATACTTTTGACTAGCCACTTGAGTCTCAGCGCCTGTCCAAAAGCATCCAGGTTTCACTTGAGTCCCCAGTCCTCCATTTGTCACCGGCACACAAACATTTTTCCAGGCCACGAGAATATATATATATAGTTAATTTAAACATGCATATTTGTAGCCATATATATATGTGCACATCCTGGTTAATCATTCTGGTATTAGAACAAAAAAAAAAGAAGAGAGAAACTGCGCTGAGGTTTGAGCATCGGAGGGTTTTTTTTTTTTTGGTCTGGACAAGAGTTTGTACTGACTCAATGAATGTACAAGTGTACAAAGTATCATCAATATGGCAATATGAAACAAATACTACGCAAAGATTATGTGATTTCGCAGCTTGATACCTTGAGTGATGTGAGCATGGATGGATTGAGCGTTTGGCCATTTGCCACTCTCTCAATGCGTGACCTTCCAACAATCACTCCAACGGCCCAGGGGCTGCAGATCTTCAGTTCTTCACACCATCACACCCAGCAAACTGCGACAAAATGTTTCTATTAGTAATGCTTAAAATTGGAATGCTGGAAAAAAACGAGGAAAAAATAATCAATGAATAGGAATAATGGATCAAACCGGAACAAGAACTGAAGCGTGAATCGACGTTTCGCCCTCCCTCCGAGTCACCGCCGTCCCGCCTGACTCCCCACGCCTGATCTGACCGGCCGACGGCTACCACCTGAGCCAGATCTGTGCAGGAAACGTCGGCCCCCGCGCGAAACCTGGCTGCCAAGCCTTTCTCTCTATAAGACCTGGCCGGCCGACGACCGGGAACCGCTGCGCTTTCCGCCGCCGCCGGAGCTCGTGGTCGGCCTCTCGAGCTCATCGTGTGAGGCGAACAGTGTGCGAGGTGAGCAAGTGAGCCGCACGGCCCATTATGACCAATGGCCCAACAGATAGTGGGCCAAGAAGGTGACTATCAGAACAGCCCAAATACGGCAGAAGGAAATCCGCTTCTTCATCATGATACTTAACGCCTGTTCACTTTGATGTCATTTTTAACCTTATCAAGTTTTGGTAAAGTTGCAAAAAAAAGTGTCTATATTTAGTTTGCTGCCAAATTTTGGTAACTATATAAGAAATCCTGCCAGAATTTTAGCAAGTTACCAAAATTTTGACAACTATGCCAAAATTTGGTAAGGTTTTTTTTGGCATCAAAGTGAACAGGCCCTTACTTTTCATCAAGTCCACTTTGCGTCCCCCAACTTTACGTCGAATCTATAAGTACTAGAAATCTCTATCCCTCAAGTGTTCAAAACCGTATAAAATAGGTCATGCAAGTATGCATGAGTAGTTTCGCTGACGTGGCATCCTAGTCAACAAGGAGAGAATTAAAATAATGTGGAACCCACATGTAAGTCACACGAAAAACATATAAAATAAAAACTTATCTCCCACCTCTCCCCAAGCGCACGGCGGCAACGACGCACCTTTCTCTCCATCCCGAGCTTCAGCCGCGGGCGCAGGGAGGCAGAGGTTGAGGCGGGGCGCAGGGAGGCCGAGGACAGCGCTGCCGACGAGGTCAAGACGGACCTATCACTCGCTGCAACACAGGAATAGGCGGCGGATGCATCCTCCTCACTCTCCTCCTGCCATCACCGTTGAGCCCAACCCCACCGAGCCGTTCCCAACGGCATTCACCTCCATATCCGGAGTGGCGGCAGCCCAGGAGGACAGAATCGACGGTCGTAGGTTCTCCATAGTGAGGAAGTGGTGGTGTTGAGGACGGATATCGAGGTGGAGGCTATCGAGCCGTTAACATCAAATTTGGTAAAGATACTCGAAGTTGAAGTCCAGATCGAAGCGGATTTGAAGGAGATAAGATTGTTTCCAAACAGAATAGCGTATCGTCTGGAGGCTGTATCAGTTGATACGGAATCAGATTCAGTTAGCCGATAGGGGTAGGAAAGCCAATACAAGCAGTGTTCAAGATCAAGTTGGATTCAGATTAAAAGCTTCAGAGGTATTGCCGAATAAGAGTTGATTTTGTAATGGGTAATTATATCTATTAATTAGGGATAAGAGTTAGTTGTTTCCATTAAGAAATTTGTGGGAGGAATCCGCCTAGGGATTCATTTGTTTATCGTACTTTAGCAAGTTTGAGTCTTGTCCGATATGGACATGGTTTGTATGTTACGGGTATAAATATATGCCTAGGGGCTTGTAAAAAAACAATAGTTCAATACACGTTTTCGGCACATCGCCTCACCTTTGTTTTACTTTTCTCGACGAGTTCTTGTTTCGAATTGGGCTACATTGGTTTCGCTCTCCAGGAAGAGGTATAGCTTATCATAGCGGTTTGTATCGGCGGATTAGCACGTCGTTTTAGATGTTTTAATATATCTTTTCTAATTGTTGGTTATCATATATCTTAGTTAATTTAGTCCAATTATTCGATTTATTTGTATTAACGGAACCTTTCTTAAGGTTTTAAGATTGTACAATATCTCATAATAAAAGCACAGTGAAATGATATGGTTCTCCTAATTTTGTGTATTTTCAAGTGGTAGTGCTGTGAGAATGGGAAAAAAAAATACACATGTGATTTTCTACATATGTCAAAGCAATTTTTTTCAATCATAGGTAACATGTCATATGTACAAGGTATGCTCATGTGGATAGTTAGATGAACAAGTAACTCACTTGACTCATTAGTGACCTACTTGATGCACCCAATGACCCTCCATGCATTTTACTCAATTAAACTGCACTACAGAAAAGGGGTGGTAAGTGAACTTATTCTTTTATTATTTTTACATACTCTTTTGGTGGGCCTTCTGTCGGCCCACTAACGTCGTCTTCCCTTCCGGCTGGCTGCGTCTCCTGCCATCGACGACGACATGGATCAAATCGGATTGGAAAGGAAGGATATAGGACCGAATCGGAGAGCGTTTCGGATTCTTTCTCCTCCTTATATACTACTGGTCCGCAGCCAAGGCGCCACTTCGATCGGAAATAAGAGATCGATCAGACGCCACCAGAATTATATATATTGTGCGAAGAAATTTGATCAGTCCAGTTATCATATTCGAAAAAAAGTAGTAATAATCTGTTCTGCCCGATCCATGGGTGCTCTCGTGTCTCGAGCTGCCGCTGCCATGCTAGGCGATGCCTCGGATGAAGCGGAGTTGAGGAGATGGATGGAGGAGGATGCTAGACGTCAGGCCAGGAAGAGGAAGATTATCTGTGCACCCGCCCGCTACCATCCGAGGAGTACGTATAAATTGAAATTGATCTGAATAGTACCGGCTTAAATAGGATGGCAACGGGGCGGGGCGGGGACGGGTTGGATAAGAACACCCCCGCCCCCCCTCCCTGCATTTGCCCCCCGCCCCCGGCCCCGCAGGGCCACCTGGGTGAAAAGGACCCGGCGGGTGAGCGGGCGCTCACCCCCGCATCACCCGGGGTGCACAAGGCTGCCAATGTTGAACGGCAACTCAGAAAGAATGAAAGATGGCATGGGGTGTAACTACTCCACTACTCCAGTCAGTAATCAATATATCACAAATGCACAATTAGTAGTAATATGCATTCTAGGGAGCCGGATGCCCAAATACACATAAACACAAGTACTAATGTAGTTAAGTCCTATGTATGACAAATACACAACAACCAACTCACAAGCAAAGCAGCAGCCAGCCAATTAGCAGTATACTAGTAGCTTTGCTCGAGGTTGAGGAGCTGGCCGCAGGAGTCAAGCTTTGCTCGAGATTGAGGAGCTGGTCGCAGGAGTCAAGCACTCGGACAGTCGGACGGCATGCCTGCAACGCGCGGCGATGGCGCTCCACTCCGGCTCGATGTTGCGGGCTCCGGCGCTCTGGTCGCCAGCGTCGCGCTCCGCTTCGCCGCCACGCCGCCGCCGCACGCAATGGGCGCCCGGGAGCTACCAAACTAATTTAGGGTTAGGTATTCTTCAGATTTTTCTTTTATACTATGCTGGTTGGGCTGTTGGGCTGACCTTTGTGGGCTTCTTTCTCATAATTTTTATCGACTGGGCTACATACCTCGGGGCCCCGCAGGTACCCGCGGGTGGGAATAGCCACCCGCCCCCGCCCCCGCATAATTCCGGGGCCCCGCCCCGATGGACCCGCGGGGTGAAATTTGTACCCGCCCCCAGCCCCGTAGGGGCGGGTACTCGGCGGGTCCCCGGCCCCGCGGGGCAAATTGCCATCCCTAGGCTTAAACTGTTTTTTTATACCTTTGGTTTATACTTGATGATTTGTATTGTATTGTACTAACTACTATCGTCCTTCAATCAAAAAAACCAGATGCAACAGGTCCCTCAACTATTAAAACTGGTGTAGATAAGATCCCTCGACAGTTTAGATGGTGGTTTTGGCTGACGTGGCGCCTACGTGGCAAATTCGACTTGGTCTTCATCTGACGTGGCGCTTACGTGGCAATTTGATCCGAAAAAATAATAAACCATGTGGGACCCACATGTCTGTTTCACATACAAAATAATAAAAATGGTGGGACCCACGTGGGCCCCACATGTCATCCTCCTACCCCTCATCTTCTTCCCGTTATCCTCTCTCTCTTCTTCACGATGTGCACTAGGGCAGCGGGCGAAGTGGGGCGACGGCGGCCGGAGCGGTGGCGCGCGAAGACCACCTCCAACTGCGACGAGCTCGAAGACCACCTCTACGTTGCCGCCGCCGCCGCGGCAGCCAGCACACCCACTGCCTCATCCACTCCGACCACGACCCCGCCGTCCTCCAACTCCAACCTCCTCCTCCACCCGCCGCCCGGCGCCGCGCCCTCCAAGTCCAACCGCATCAGCCTCCCTACCAATCCCAATCGCAACCCCAAACCCTAGCCTTCCCTCTCCTCCATGCCTCCCGTGATGGAGGTCGAGATCAAGCTCCGTCTCCCCGACGCCGCTGCGCACCGTCGCCTCTCCTCATTCCTTGTGCCCCGCCTCCACCGCGCACCGCCGCCTCTCCTCCTTCCTCGCGCCCCGCCTCCGCCGCACCACCGCCGCGCGCCCCCTCTGCGCCGCCACCGCCGTGCTCCGCGTCCGTCTCTACGGCCTCGAAGACCGGGCCGTCGTCGCACTCAAGCGCCGCCCGCGCATCGACGCCGGCGTCAGCCGCGTCGAGGAGGTCGAGGAGCCTCTCGAGCCCGCCATCGCCCTCGAGGATGAGGAGGCGTTGGTGGCGAGTGGGGGAGGCAGTGGTTGACGCGCGTGACGAGGTAGGTGGTGAATCGGTGGGGGCGCGGGGCGCCGTGACAGAGCATGTGGACGCGGAGCGCGTCGCGGATTTCTCCCGCTCCCCTCGGCCTCCGCCCGTGGCTCCTATACTTCCGCCGGCCGAGCACACGCGCCACTCCTCTCCTCCCTCCGGCCGGTGCCCACGCCCGCGCCTGCGCACCGCTCCTCTCCTCCCTCCGGCTGACGCTCGTGTGCTGCTTCTTTCCCAGCGGCCGCCGGCGATAGGCTCGAGGGGGTGGAAGCGGAGGAGGTCACGCCTCTCCAGGCCGTCGTTATCTCCGCCGGCTGGCGAGACTGCGAGAGGAGGGAGGAGAGGGGAGAGAGATGGAGAGAGGAGGAAGAAGAGGAAGGCTGGGAGTATGACATGTGGGCCCCACATGGGTCCCACCATTTTTTAATGTGAAACTGACATGTGGGTCCCATGGGTTTTATTATTTTTTCCGATCGAATTGTCACGTAAGCGCCACGTCAATGCCACGTCAGACGAAGACCGAGTCCAATTGGCCACGTAGACGCCACGTCTGCCAAAACCACCCTTAAAACCGCTAAGGGACCTAATCTGCGCCGGTTTTGATAGTTGAGGGACTCGTTGTGTCTGGTTTTCCGTTTGAGGGATGAAAATCAGATTCATTGACAAGTTGAGGGACCTCAGATGGACTTTATTCCTTTCCGCGCAGCGAGCGGTAAATCGTTAATTAACTTGAGTGCTGGGCCGGCGGAAGTCAAAATAGTTTCTTTAGGCCGTGGTGCTGTGGTGGGTTAAATGTGGCCGAGCGGACGCTTTCGGCACCGAGTACGAGTGCACGCCTCACGAAACAACGGAACGGAGGGACTCTACGATTGGTCACTCGATTTAAAATGGAGTCGGTTCACATTAGATCCCTTAATTTGTCACCGAGTCGGAAATTCATTGCTAAACCAAATTATCATATATAACCGATCTCTCAATTTATAAAACTGGATCACCTGAGATCTAGGTAGTATTGTGTAAGGTTTTAACTGACGTGACAAGCTGACTTAGCATGGGACCCACGTGGGCCCCACATGCCAGTGGGTAGCACTTTCATTCTCCTCTTTCTCTCCCCTTCTCCCTCTTCCCAATCGTTTTGGACGTCGGCTGCCCGCCAGCCAACGTTTTCGTCGTCGTCTCCTTAGCTCCTGCTGGTACATACGCATCAAGACAACTAGATGAAACTCCGCACATTGTTGCGGGAGCTTAGTATGATAACAATAAGTAAAAATAATGTGTAACATAGGTACATAACATAAGATTACGTAAGTTAACGTGGTTTATGATAATTTAATTTTAATAGTATATAGAATGATGATTAAATGTAAAAGTAAGGTGATATGATTTTATGAAAGAAGAAAAATATTGAGATAGTTTGGGCCTATTTGAAAGTAGAAAGACTTATTTGGAAATCATGGATATACACGGTGATGTAATAACTTTGTAAATTCTATCTCTCTCCCTATTTGTAAATATTATTTATATATATATATATATATATATATATATATATATATATATATATATATATATATATATATATATATATATATATATATATATGCGCGCGCGCACATGGTGGCGCTACGAAGGAAGTAGCGCGCCTCTCAGCGCTCGCCTTCCTGGCTTTTAGTTTTTTCTGGGTCCAACTTCGGATTTCTCGCTTTTCTCATGTGCCGCATCCTCATGGACCGCTTTTACTACTACCACCGCCTGCAAAGGCTTTTCCCATCCCATTTGTCCCGAGTTAAAAAGTTACTCGTCTGGTGATGTGAACGCTTAATGAGTAAAAAAATTATACGGCAAGTAAAAAAATCACTGGATCATCTCTCCTCTAATTTGCCTGTACACCACTCCTAGTATATATTAATTGCAGGGTGCGCGACGGCTATTCCATTTGGAAAGCTCGCGCCGCTCTTCACCATTACAATGCCAATCATCCGGTAAGCAGCTTATATGTGTGTGCATCACTTTCTTCGCTCTTTACTTATACGTAGATGTGTGCTTATGTTGTTCACGGATTAAATTAAATTAAATTCAGGGAGCGGAGTATGATCTCGTCAAGCCTTTGATGGCCGCCTGCGTCATTTTCAGAGGTAAACTGTGGCATCATGTCAGCTTCTTGGCTCACAGGAGGGATCAGCTGGTTGCACCACCCGTTGAATACTTCTTCGCAGAGCTACGCGATGGCTGCTCCGACGACGACTCCATCGTCGAAGCTTGCACCATGATCGGTAAGTAAAATTACCCTATTCTTACAAAAGTCATCTACATTCAGATTCAGAATTATTCTTATTCACCAGTCTAAAAGCAATTATTCTTATTCAGCTTTCTTTCTTTCTTACTTTCGATCTTCCCATTTCAGAAAATCCACAGAGCTGCTCCGGAAACAAGTGTTCGTTTTGCCCTGAACAATATCAAATTGCGCACCCGAGCGAGCAGGAGCTTTTATGTGGAAAAGAAGAACATGCCAAGGACTTTATCAGACTGATGAATATGTCCCCGATGCCCTTCACATGCTCCACCGAAACGCCTGAGATTGGAATTGTGATTGAACAATAGCAATATGCATGAAGGCATTATTATGGAGCATGCCTTCATATTAGGGTCCATAATATAATAAAAGCCTTCATGCATCATCAAGTGTACATATTATGGTCATGATGTAACAAATGCATATGTTATTGGTTTGATGCTATTCATAAGAGAACAGAAACGGCACCTGACCTGCTTGCACAAAAGCTGACGTTGAACCTCGTTGCAGATGCACAAACATCGATATGATCAAATTTCCACATAATATTTTTTTTAAAAAAAGAGAAGGTCGATCATTCATTCTCCTTTTACTACTAGAGAAAAATATTATCAGATAATTAATCAGAAACAAAAATGCATTTTTTTCCCTTTAATCATGTTGGAGGCAGCCATTAAAGTGGCTCGCTGTTATTTCAGTTTGTTCAGACTATTGGATGATCTGTTCCATGCTTTTTTTTTAAAAAAAAAGAAAAGAAAAACGTACTATCTTCAACTGTGTAGTGTAGCTGTGTAGATCACTTATTATAGGCTATTTCTTAGGTTTCAAAATATTTAACTTATACATGTAACCTAATCAGTAATCCGTAGCAATAATCTCAATCAATCAAGATCTGTTTAACTATTCTTCTTTTGGTTAGCAGCGATGTGGTTTTCATTGATATGGAGCGAGCAGTAGCAAAAATGAGATCTTTCGTTTAGACAGAAGAGAGATCCTTTCCTTCCTTTCTATAGGAAATGACTGATATTGCTAAGTCATCTTCGGCTGCTCTTGCATTATCCCTTTTCCAATTCTTTTTGTATGGCTCGGTTGCATCCGACTGATCGATCCCTAGTCACTGATTACATACATGAGTATTGGCTTTGGCAAGCAAGTCAAGGAAAGAAGAGGAAATTAAGGGCCTGTTCACTTTAATGCCATTTTTAACCTTACCAAATTTTGGTAAAATTGTCAAAAAAGTGGCTACATTTAGTTTACTGTCAAATTTTGGTAACTATATAAAAAATCCGGCCAAAAATTTGGTAAGGTTTTTTTTGGCATCAAAGTGAACAGGCCCTAAAAGTTCTCTTGAGTTTGATGGTACTAAGTTAGATGTCACAAATAGGAATTCATGGTCTACTGTATGCATGTATGTGCTAAAAGAATATAAAAAATCGGGGAATCACTTAATAAGAAATTCTAACTATTGTTCAAAACTCAAAGTACCACTGAAGAAATAGAATTAAATGGTTAACTAAGATTTTTTTTTGACTGGCTATATGGAGCGGATTTAACGTCCCTCTACACACCATCAATAGAAAGACACGAGAGATGAGGTAAGAAGAGGGAGAGAAGAAAATAGTAGAGGTCTGAAATTTAGATAAGTCTCCTCTAAATTTTATTCTCGATCCGCTCTATGCATGTGATTTCTTATGTTCAGCAACATGGTTTTATACAATTTATATTTTACGAAATGAAAAGCTATACCGTCATTTATATTTTGAAAAAGATCTTTTTTTTAAGAAAAAACTAAACGACAGAGATAGAGAAGGGAGACACGTGTTGGTGGGATTGGGATTCCACATCCTCTCCTTGTCGATTCCAAATCCCCTTCTTCGATTGCAGTGTTGCGCCTCGCGAATTCCAACCCCGATCGCTCGCACGGCCGGCCGCCATGGAGAGCCCCACGTCGCCGGCGTCGCGGCTGGACTTCTACGACTTCATCGGCCGCATGCGCCGCCCCGCCGCCGCCGACCTCTTCCACTCCATCAGGAGGTCCGTCGCTTCGCCCCCCTCCCTGCTCCCCTCCTCGTAGGCCCTTGCCCCGCGTCAATTCTGACCTGAGATTCAACTGCAGCTTCCTCGCGTCCCTCTCCCAGGGCGGCGAGCCCAACGCCGAGGTCGACGGCGGCAGGGTCCAGACCTTCTTCGCGGAGATGGAGACCGCCATCAGGGACCACCCGCTTTGGGCCAATGCCACCAATCAGGAAATCGACAACGCGCTCGAGGTGACCCCGCCCTAACCCTTGCGCTTGATTTGCTTTCTGATTCAATTGAACATCTTGCGTCTCTCTTGTTATGCGCGATTAGGGGCTTGAGAAGTATATCATGACCAAATTGTTCGATCGAGCCTTCGCTTCATCCGCGGAGGATGTGAAATCCGACATGGAGATTTCGGAGAAGATTGGTCTCTTGCAGCACTTTGTCAGGCCTCATCACTTGGACATACCCAAGCTTCTGCACAATGAGGCAGCGTGGCTGGTAAGACAACAATGACAGATCTTTGAGTCATTATTTCATTGTTCCGGGTGTTAGCCCAAAATTCAGAACTTCCCATGTGATTTTTATTGTTCCTGCACGCGGCCTGTACAAGTTCACAACGCATTGTTACCTAATGCTAATGGTCAATAGTCTGCGACTGTAACATTGTGAACAATGAACTTATGAGTTATACTTATACCCCCTAGTAATATTTTTAGATGCACTCTGAAAGCTTTGTATATTGATCACGGTGTAAGGTAAATTGCAAATTATCGTGTTGGGTTACTTTGAATTATCTCTTATATAAAACCAGCATTAGCTTGCATTTTGGTCACCATGTAGAATATATGATAAAAATGCATGGGGTCAACATTTAAGCGATTATCTTTCCCTGTATTCTTCCTATGATTGGTTCATTGCTGTAATTTTACATCTGCTTGACATAAAAGAAATACTGCCACCTGCCATCAACACACCAATGCCCAAGTTAACTCTGACCTTGGGATGTTTATGCCATTCTAGCTTGCAGTTAAAGAGTTGCAAAAGATTAATTCCTTCAAATCACCACGAGAAAAGCTTAGTTGCATCATGAGCTGTTGCCAAGTCATCAATAACTTGCTGCTAAATGTGTCAATGTCAAATGATCGAACACTATCAGGGGCTGATGATTTTCTTCCTATTCTTATTTACATTACAATCAAGGTAAGCTTACTTTTGTTCCTATTTATTCTTTCTCTAATTTTTCTCATCCAGATTGACATGATTACATGCTGACAGATCATTGAGTACTTATGGGGGAAACTATTTTGATTCCTCGAGGGGATGTCACCTCGTTTGCTTAAAAAAACATCTAAATGATTATGAAAAATTCTGGAAAAATTTGACAACACTCATATAACATATCTATACAACTCCACAAAATCTTAGGTTGAAACTCAACTCACGTCGAGATATAAAAAAGGACAAATTCAACGTATGAACAGAGAACAGTAGCGTACTGTTCACATCTAAATTTATCTTTTTTGTTTCTCAATGTGTAGATCGAATTAGAACTTGATTTTTGGTAGACCGATAGATATCACTATACTCTACGGTCTACATTGTCAATTTTTTTCAGAATTTTTCGTAACTATTTATATCGAATTTGGAAGAAAAAGGTATACGAGGGGACATCCCCTCGAGGGATTAGAATCCAATCCCTACTTATGGTTCAAGTTTTACAATCATAAATTTTATGAATCTCGTATCATATGTACAGTTAACATTAGGGTGTTTTTACCTTTATTCTGTACAGCTAAATTGGGTAACATTACTGATAAATTGCATTTTGTTACTTGCTAATGTGACAATGCCTATTTTTTACAATGTAACTAGTATAGATGTTTGGTGTATTAATGGGATCTAATGGTCTTATGGTGTAAATTTGATTGTTTCTGTTTGTTATTAGTTAATATTACTCTTATATGCCGCATTGTTACCAAAGCTTATTTTCTTTTTGGTTCATTAAGGAATATGAGTTTCTCTAGAGAGCATATGATACTAGTCAGTTGAAAGCTGTTAGTTGTCACCAATGTCTCTGTGTTACTTTGTGCATTCTACTTAGGGAATCCTATCCCTAATATATGCAACTTTTTACTATATGGAGTTCAACTGACCAAGCACCTAAAAAATTGATGTAGGCCAATCCTCCTCAGTTGCACTCAAATCTAAAGTTTATTCAGCTCTTCAGAAGAGAAACAAGGCTTATCTCTGAAGTCGAATACTATCTCACGAACCTCATTTCAGCAAAGATGTTTATAATGAATGTTAATGGACACTCACTGTCCATGGAGGAAAGTGTGTTCCAGACACATATGGAGTCTGCAAGACTTGGTAACCACATATCTGTTGCTAGCACTAATAGTTCACAAGGATTGGGTACATCCACACCAGGACAGAACGAGGAATCTGGTGATACAGAAGGTCTGTTTTTAACATTAGTGGATCAGTTTGTTTCAGAATAAAGTTTCACCTCAATTAAAGTATTAGTCTTTTTTGCACGTTCATGGTAAGTTTCCTTCTGGACTTCTTGTCTCGTCTAAGAATCAGTTTAGTTAGCAGCTATACAAGAGCATTCTGTCAAAGTATTTGAGGTGTCTACCGTACCTATGATGTTCCTCAATCCATCTAAGGTTGGGTTTAGATTTAGTTTTCCTGGCTTCAGCTGCATAATCACGATGCTTAGTTCATATTTAACAGGATTGAAATTCCCATTCATGGACTCTGAAACTGAAAGCTTGACTCCAGCGGAAGTCAAGCAATTGCACGAGCTCTACAGGCAAGTAGTCACCAGATATACGCTGCTGTCTAAAGCTTTAAGAAAGTTATCGGTAGATGAGGATCAGCTCCTTAATTCAGTAGATGATTGATGAAGCCATGTAAAAATGCTGACCAGAGATGACATGTCCTATTAACCACATAATTGATCGAGATTGTACACGCACGCAAAGTTTTCCATTGACTGTAGGAAAGCAAACGAGTTCCAGGCATCTGCAACATGGTTCCAGGGATTCCAGGATACACTACAGGTATGGCCAAATGATCATCAGAGTTGAGAATGGATTCTTGTGCCTTTGCATTGCAACTTGCAAGCCCTCTGTAATAGCGTCCACTTCTGTAATTTTTAGTTCCTGTCTGCCCCACTCCTTGGAGCTAGCGTAGTCTCTAGGTGTGCGTGAGGAACTGCATATGGCACATGTTGCTGTTGCTGATCATGTTCAACCGTTCTACCTCGTACTTCGTATGTTATACAGCAAATCTTCTGTGCTGAAAGGTATCTGTTTGCCTTGGTGCAATGGTGGGTGAACGTGGTGACATTGTGAGACATATGCATGATTTGCTCATGAAGTCATTATGGCTGTGTTTTGCAAAAAGTTTCTATGGGAAGTTGTTCTTAAAAAGCATATTAATCTATTTTTCAAGTTTTTTATTATTAAAACTTAATTAATCAAGCGTTAATCTATCGCTCCGTTTTACGTGTGTTCCCAACCCCTTCAAAAGAACACAGCCTATTATATCCGAGTTCTCTGCTTCATTGTTGAGCAGAACAGTATACTGATGCTGCCACAATCTGCTAGTGCTTGTGTAATTAACTGACAACTGGAAGCATGGGGCAACCAATCATACATGGCTTCTCTTGCTAGAATAGTAATATGCAAATATGACTAATTCAGAATATTCGGTGATCAATTCTGAGGGTTGAGCTTGAAGGTTTTCTTGTACTCGTGAAAGAGTGATTATACAGTATCATGACAAAAAAAAAACAGAGACAGTTTGCTTCTGTCATGACAGAACAAAAGTTCAAAAAAACGTGGTCGGCAGGATTCGAACCTGCGCGGGCAAAGCCCACATGATTTCTAGTCATGCCCGATAACCACTCCGGCACGACCACCTTGGGGTTGCAATCACATACTTTTTTTACTAATTGTTTCATACAACAACACTGCAATTTGATTCATATTCGCTACAGATATCGTATCTTTTATTCAAACACCGACCAAATCAGTTCATAGATATCACAGTCACCACCAGATATCACACAGCAATATCATGCGATGGCGCGAACTCATGTTCATACATATATCACTGCATCGTGTCATCTGCGCACAGCTGCACATAACGCACGCAGCTAGCACTGTCGCCCAAACTTGTCGTCACTCCAGCTTGTGCTGCTGGGCGGCGCGCCCGGGGCTCCGAGCCGACGGGTACTCGAGCAGCGGGTGGAGCGGCGGAGCCGGCAGCGCGGCGAGCTGGTGGCGACGGGCGCTCGCCGGCGGCGACGGCGATGGCGTGGACAGCAGGAGGCGGAACGTCCAGGCGAGGACGTCGGGCGCGAAGGCGCGGAAGACAAGGAAGACGTCGTACCAGTTGGGGTGCTTCACGTGGGCGTCGCCGCGGCACGCGCCGGCGACCACCATCCTCGCGTACGCCTCCACTTGCCCGCCGGCGAGCGGCACCTAATTACATATGATTAATCAATGGCAAGTTAATTAATCGACGAGCAGCTATAGCATTTGATTGTTGAACTAATCTTTACCTCTCGCTCCTCCCCTTTCCATTGCATCTCTGCGCCTTCCTCGAGCATGAACTTGCCGCCGCTGGCCTCGCCGCCGATCCAGCCGTGCGTCGCCACGCTGATGCCCACCTCATCGCCCACCTCGTACCGGAGCGACTCGTAGAAATCGATCACCGCCGCCTTGGCCGCCTGCAGGCACACACATGACAGTTTTCAGATGATTCTGAAGAACTTGCTGGTGAATTTTGAGTAGAAGAGAGATGGGTTATTACAGAGTAGAGGGTCATCCTGGGCATGGGCAGCCAGATCTCGACGGCGGCGTTGACGACGACACGGCCATGGCTCCGCCGCAGGTAGGGGAGCGCGGCGTACGTCGGGTACACGTTCCCCCAGAAGTTGACGTCCTGCACGGCACGGCCGGATCGAACACAGTTATTGCAGCAGCAGCTGATGAAATTTGATCAAGAAATCGTAGGCGTACCATGAGGTGAGGGAACGCGACCGTGTCGCCGGCCTCCTCGAAGCAGAAATCGTGGCCCAAGCTCACCGTGTTCACCAGATGGTTTACTGCATGCATCAATATTAATAAGAAATTCAGAGGTTTGATTAATTGCAAGTGATGCGTGGTACAGGTGACTGACACTGGCCGAAGAAGCTGATGGTGTCGCCGACGAGCCTCCGGCAGTCGTCCTCCTTGACGACGTCGGCGGCGATGACGAGGACCTGGCCGGCGCCGAGGGCCCGCGCGTTCTCCCGCACCGCGAACAGCCGGTGCTCCCGCCTCGCCACCAGCACCAGGTTCGCGTTCCTCCGCGCGTACTCGTACGCGATTTGCTGCATGCAAACACCACACCGATGATCTTTGACGTTCGCCGACCGGGCACTGGTTATATGCTTAGCTTAATTACCTCTCCGATGGCGGAGGAGGCGCCGGTGATGAGGACGACCTTGTTGTGCATGTTCTCCACGGTGAGCGTCTTGACGACCCACTCCACGCCGCGCAGGAAGGAGAGCGTCGGCCACGCGAACGCCAGCATCACCATGCTCGCCGGCGGCACCACCAGGTCCAGCACCGCGTTCACCACCTGCTCCATCTCGATCGATCAATCAATCGATCTCTCCCACACTATACAGTTCCTCTTCCGATCCACAGCTCAATCCAATCCAATTGAAAGAATGGATCAACCAGCCCGCCTCTGGTTTCTGGGGTTCTTGGGAGGTGAAGAACCGAGGAGGAGGAAGAAGAGGGATCAAAGATCGAGTCTCTCAATGAGTTTGCCAATTTGGTGAGGACGATGAGCAGATAAGGACAGGAGAGGACGGACGGGTGCAGGCGTGCATGGATGGCAGCTGCGCAGGCATGCCGCCATAGACACACGTCGAGCAGGACGGGAGGCGCCACGGTGAGACCACGGGGGGAAGAGGCAAGCTTTGGCCGCTTTCAAAGCCTTGTTCCATATGCCTTTCTCCTCCGATCGGCTGCATATATTACTCCTCCACCTTAATCCGCGCCTACTACAACATTTACAGTTCTGATCAGATACAATATGCATCTTGATGTGAAATCAGAGAAAGGGCCTGTAGCCTATGGTTAATCTCCATAATTTGCCTTAGAAGATGTTGTACTGTGTAATTTTTTTTTTTAAAAAAGTCAATCTCCAGGATTTGACACAGTGACGAAGACCTGCTGAGCGGTGAGTGACTCATGCATGTTAGTCCTCCCTCCTTTTTTTTTAAAATAGACGATGCCGTTTATCATTCGGTCTAATTTAAAATTTTTGTGCAAATACATATGATATCAATTATGCTTAAAGTATTTTTAGTGATAAAATATCTCACAACAAATATTTTTTTAATAAGACGAATAATCAAACGTGTGCTTAAAAGTCAAAGTGTCCTTTATTAAAAAACAATGGTAGTAGTATTTGCATGTGACTAAAATAATAATAAAAAGAAATTGGTAATATCAATTAGGATGATACAGACAAATATACACCAATAAATTTGATCTACAAATAAAGAAATAAAAGTAATAAGATCAGACATTGAACAATACCTATACAACGTAAATAAAATTTATTATTTTTAATTTTTTATGTATAGATCGAATTTAGACTTGTATATTTATACAATATCTTATATCTTATATCGCGTGCAGGCGATAACAGTTAGACGTAGAAAATATTTCCCTGTTTACACAGTGTGTAAACTGTAAAGTAATTTTGCACAGCAACCCTTCGTTTACCCCGTATTATTATTTTCACGCCCGTATTCTGGATCGCTACCACTCGTCCCGTTTAACCGTTGGATTTTACATGGGCGGCCTGGATCGAGAAGGAGGAGGGCGGCCCACGCGTATTTCTACGTGAGCCCTTCCCTTTTGGAATAACTATTATCTTTCACGCTCCTCCCAAGCTTTCGATTCTGAACCAGAATTCCACGGTGAATCGATCTTCCGACGCCAGATCGACGCGAGTTGAGAGACGGCCGTGCTCAGGACGGCGGAGCGCCGGCGAGATGCGGAGGCGGCGGCGCCGCCACCACGCGCGCTCCTAGGTTACTTTCCTCTTTTTTTTTTCTCTCTTTTTGATGCTTGTCTTCAGATGTTCAGAGTTCAGAGGAGTTAGCCAGGTAGGGCTCTTGTGCTACGTCTGTGAGAGCTTGTGTTTAGAACTTTAGATCAACCATTTTATGTTTTTTTTTGGGTGAAACAATTGTTGTAGCAGGGAGACAACGCCCTCTCTCCTATCCGGTCGAAACATCTAAGATGGTTTATGGAAAGTTCCTAAGTGTAAAACAAGGAAAACACTCTCGAGTTGGAAAACACTCTCGAGTGGAAAAACACTATCGAGTTGGAAAACATTCTCGGGTGGTTTCTTATCACTTATATGTAACTCATCTTGTTTGGAGATGATTTCTGAATACATGGCAGGTGAATCTGGCGATCGGGAAGTTGTTGAAGGATGTGCAAACCCTCAATCATAGAAGACATTCGGCTAAGAGAGCTCGAAGGAAAAAACCTGCTCGAGTAAAGATCCGGTCGAATGGAAGATTCTGTGGGGGCCGTTTCTCAACCACTCTTGCCAGCTGGAGCCAAAAGACTAGAATGACCCTGAGAATGTACTAAAATACCCCTAGGGTTGCTGACATGGCAAGGGCATTATAGGAAGATCACTAAAGCCCATGAGGGTAGAAATGTAACATCACATGTAAGACCGTAGGCTATAAAAGCCGGTCAAGTCCCTATAGCTAGAGGAGACATTTTTTAATACAAAAAGTAATCCTCTAAAGTGGTGTTTGCTGTTTGAGCTTATTTCTAAGGATAGGTAGGAAAATACTTCTTTCCGGCCTATCCCCAATCTTGTTCGTGACCTAAGGTCACAACAACAATCAATCTCTTTTTGATTGGAGAAGAAAAAAAGAACATCGTTTTCTTATAAGGCATTGCTGTATCATAATCCATACAAATTGGTCTGGCAAGCCTGAACAAATTCTTCTTCCGAGCAAAGCCTGAAACTGAGAATATGGACACATAGCAAGACTTACTTTATGTTGTACCACAGTTTCACAGTAGTAGGACAAAATATTTCAATTTTGGCAATAGTATAACAGCAACTGCATCACCCATGCATAGCACGAGTTTATGATATTCAGATCCAAATTGTCGAAGCGGCTGTACTATGTTACTCTTATGTACAGAATGAAAAATCTTCATCTCCTGAATGTAATCCTTTATTCTTGTTGCATGACACCACATTTTGACAATTACAAATAGGATCACCTCAAGCAATCCAATGGAAACGATATCGATGGCCACTAGAAAGAGCAACATCTTGATGTAAAACTGCTGGAATCTGTCGCGGAGACTTGGATAGATTGGCCCTCTCTGACAGCACCAGCACCAGCTCCAGCCTCATCTGCAGCCAATGCCTTCTTGCTGATGATCCGGTAGATCTCAGTGAGCACTGTCTGAAAAGCTTTATCCACATTCGTCGCGTCGAGCGCCGAGGTCTCGACGAAGGATAGGCCCTCCCTCTCTGCAAAGCTTGTTGCGTCCTCCAAGGACACTGACCGGAGATGCTTGAGGTCGATCTTGTTGCCGATGAGCATGACGACGATGTTGGAGTCGGCATGGTCACGGAGCTCCTTGAGCCACCTCTTCACATTCTCAAAAGTTGTGGCCTTTGTGACATCATAGACTAGCAATGCTCCCACTGCGCCGCGGTAGTATGCGCTTGTGATGGCCCGGTACCGTTCTTGCCCGGCTGTGTCCCATATCTGTGCCTTTACAATCTTTCCTTCAACCTGGGTCACAAAATTGAAGCAATTTAACAATGGACCTTTGGGGAAACAATAGTACTGAACATAAAAATAAAAATCTGTGATATCATGGATAACAGCCTAACAGGATCATAATAAAAATCTGTGATATCATGGATAACAGCCTAACAGGATCATGTATTCATTTGTTGTATGCAGCTAATTAGGTTCTCTGATTATGCTTTAAAGCAAGTGAGCCACTAGCCAGTGTTAGTTTCCTGTCAATCTAAATTCGCGTGTACTGCAATTCAGTTTGTACAAAATTTCAACAAAGAAAGAACTATCCTTTGGCCATTTTATTTTTTTTTTTAAAAAAGAATTCTGCTTTGGCGTAAGCAATTGCACTGTACCCATCGATGAAAACCAAAAGGAGGGACTGATTTCCAAGAGAAAGCGAACAATAGTTAGCAAATCAAATAGAGAAACTTGCTGAATTCCTCTGTCTTCTACTAGCTCTGAATTCTACTGTCAAGCATGGGTGTCAAACTATCAGGTCAGTCGGCGATCGTGGTCAAGCCCGCCGGCAGCACGCATGCACAAGGGCATCATCCAATTCGAGCAACTCAAGAAACATTCAGAGAAAGCAGTAACAGCGAAGCACCGAAGCAGAACACAAACAGAGCAAGCACTAGTAAGCAGAGGAGATCAGGAGAAGCAGAGGAGAAGCTAGCACTAGCAGGCATGGTGACCTGGATGGTGCGGGTGGCGAACTCGACGCCGATGGTGGACTTGGAGTCGAGGGAGAAGCTGTTGCGGGTGAAGCGGGAGAGGAGGTTCGACTTCCCCACGCCGGAGTCCCCGATCAGCACGATCTTGAACAGGTAGTCGTACTCGTCGCCGCCCTGCTCCCACGGCGCCGGCCGCCGAGCCATCGATCGATCGATTCAACCTCCCTTCTCCTTCCTCCTCAGATTTTCGCACTTTCTTGCTGCTTTCTTGGAGCCTCCGCCTCCGATCTCCGTTCCCTCCTCCTTCCCGAGAAGCTAGCTAGCTTCTTCTTCTTCTTCCTCTGGCTGGCTACTTGCAGCTTTGGTTTCTTGGCTTTGGACGGGAAGACGCGGAGGCTGATGGCGACCTGATCGATTTTTATTGGGGAAGAGAGAGAGAGAGAGAGAGAGTGCGCGTGCAAATTGGTAAGGCCACACTTGGGTTCAACGCTAATCTTTTGTTTTGTGTACGATTTGTAATTGGATTTGCAAAGGTGGAGCATGTTGTCTAGTCGTTGGCTGCTATAGAATTTTTCTGGAGTGGTCATGAGTACACAGGCACGTACCCAAGAATGTCACTAGAACAGTGGATTATGTCACTAGAACAGTGGATTAAGGGCTCATTTGGTTTGGTGCCCTACCAAATCATTGGTAGTGTCAAATCATGGGCAAGATTTGATACTACCAATATTTTGGTATAGTTGGTTTATAGGAGTTGTATTAACTTTGTTAAATTTTGACATCAATCCAAACATCTATAAGGTACTATTCAAAGTGCTAATTATTTGGTAGGGCAAATTTTGGCATCAAACCAAAACAGCCCTAAGTACTACTCCTTCCATTCCAAAATGATCAAATTTGAACTAAAAGAGTGTACTTATTTCAAGACGGAGGGAGTAGATCAGTAACCAAATAAATTTTAAATCGTAAGGTTTATTAGCGATAAAAAAATACTTTGTAAGTAAAACTTTTATATATGTATTATTAGCGTCTTAAAAGCTAATGTTAAAAAATAAATTATGATGATAAAAACATCAAAATCAATTTAAAGTTAAGTTTTAAAATATAAATGTTAGTTGCGGCTAGCAAGCCGAAGAGCAAACGCTGGTGTTATTGTGTGAATCAAAATGATCAAAATACAGTGGCGGAGCCAGAATTTTTCCAAACCTAGGGCCCAATTAGTTGAGTGTATATGATTTTGCCTTTATCTTCTAGTTTTTGAAGTTTTAAAATGGAATTTCAATGAATATTTAGAATCAGGAGTAGGGAGTAGGGCTGCAGCCCTAGCTGCCCTACTCCTGTCTCCGCCCCCTGTCAATATAGCAATTAAAATGACTAGAGATATGAAAAAAACTATATATAGGTACTGTCATAATGGCCATATGTTGAAAATATTTATCTCGGGTGCATGTAACATTTTTTTTCTAGAAAAAGATGTAGTTACTATATAACAATTTACACCTATGGTATAATGTGTTTTCAGAGTAGTTTCGCAACTTTCTAATTCAATTTTAACTCCCAAATAGCATTGTTGACACGGTTATCCCTTGCACCAGTACCATCAACCTTCCGCACTAATGGCAACCATGGTAATTGGATGTGGACACATCAGTGTAATCCTACCAATATTCCACTATGAAAAAGAAAAAAAAAGATTCCAAAACCAAAGGCACAATTTTGAGACCACCCTATCAAGGATAATTCTGCCATTCTGCTGAGCTGGGAAGAAGATTTGATCAGTTGGAATAGGGAAGATGGTATTGGAATCATTCTAACTTCCAAACAGAAACACACAGGCTCTATAATATTAACTTCAATCATGACTTGACCTCAAACTAACAATTAAACAAACTCCCTTCTGCCTTTGTTTCCGTGATTGAAAGAGTTATGGATGGTCGATGAACAGGCAGGAAGAAAGAAAGCAATGGAAAAGAGCAAGAGAATTAACGGCTGGACTGGAAGAGAACTTTTAAAGACACGCTTTCGATGAGAACCACACAAATTGCCCGGCTTCTCACGAGTTAACAATCTGCAGCTTGCGTGTAAATAAAAAGGGGAAAAATGGAAATAAGAAGAGGGGAAGATGCCACCGTGTCAACCCAAGTATGCATAAAAATGGCGAGGGCTATCATGCACATGAAAAGTCAAAAACACACTTGCAATAGCATTATCCGACACAACTCATCACTGATTATTCGTTCAATAATAGCATCACTCACAAGCATACAAGCATACGTTTGTTCCTTTAATAATGTTTGCATAATCATAGGGTATGTTTGGCTAGCCAATAGAGCCGCTGCACGCAGCCATAACTGTTGCAGCTACAGACACAAACAGTACACTGTTTGTGTTGGCTGCACAACAGTGAAGTTAAGTGCAGCCGAACAGAGCCAAAATCAACAATTAATAGTATCATTTTTTAAAAGACCCAATTACTCCGTCAGACAGACAGTAGCATGAAACGGACCAAAGGAAGCAGACTTGCAGAATAGTGACATTAGATTGATGAAGGCCAGGAGCAGAAGTGCGTGTGCGTCTGTGGTCCGTCCGATCGGGCATCGGACGGTCCAGATGGCGCGGGAGGTTATGGCTGGCGTCTTCGTGCGGCGGCCGCACCACACCCACCCGTTGCGTTGCGGCGGCCTCTCTCTCTCTTTCTCTCCTCTCTCTCTGCGGCTGCGCGGTCTCCACGGCGCGGCGAGGCAGCGGCGGAGGGATGGTGGGCTCGGCCGCGTACTCCGCGGCGTCGGCCATCGTCGTGGTGATGGCCAAGGGCAAGGGGCGGGGCGGCAGAGGCGGCCCCTCTGGCGCCAACAAGGTCAGCTCATTCCTCCTCCCCTCAGGTACCAACAGTTTGGGTAATGGGTACAGTATGATCGAATTCAGCGCGGGGAGTTTGGATTGAACTGAATGTGCCTGTGAATGAACATTGCTGCAAGGGATTAGAGGAATTATCAGTTACGAATCATTGCTTCACAAAATTCTGGGGCACCCACATGGAAGGGGAAAAACGGCTGCTGTGCGTGCTCAACCATGCAAAAAAAAAAGAGTTATTCATGAGGATTGAGTTATGTTTTTTTTGTTGTTGTATTAATCAGAACATTTAGTGTGGTACATTCTCAATTTAATAGCACATTTGTTGGATTATCAACAAATGGAAGATCTTGTATTGGACCCATGGGTAACAGGTCGGCTTTATGGCTTTGCGTCCTCACACATGACACGCTGCCTATTTATGTGTAGGTTTCTGAGCGACGGCCTCCTAGGATAACTTCCAATGTGAAGCAGAGCTTGAGGATTCTAAAATTTTGGAAGGTGCAAGCTTTGTTGCATTACCTTTTCTCTCATATGCTAAAATCTGTGATCTACTCTGCTGCACTTTGTATAAAGTCGTAGAACAGCATGTACCGAATTCATCAGGTGGGTATGGCCAAACAGGGGCACCCGAAGCATCCAAGATTAATCTTAGTTCTAACAGTTATTTACCCTTGTGTGTGCCTTTTGTATTCTTAAGCTTAGTTCTAACAGTTATGCCCTTGTCATCAGGATTATGAAAGGAGGCAAACAAGTGGACCTCAGCCTGCTACTCGGTACCGCAAAAAGAAAGTAATAAAAGAAGTGCTTCCTGATGACACAGACTTCTACGATGATGCTTCTTCCACTCTTCACTAGTCAGGCTTGCCTCTCATTGCATTATCAGGACCTCACTACATTTTTTGATTGGTGGTTCAATGAAATGCTGACATTGTTTTGTCAATTAATCTAGCACAAATCAGGGTTTGGAAATTGCTTCCCCGGTTATTCTTGTGGACGGTTATAATGTATGTGGCTACTGGGGAAAGCTTAAGAAGGACTTCATGAATGGAAGGCAAGAGATTGCAAGACAAATGCTCATTGATGAGCTAGTATCTTTCAGTGCAGTAAGAGGTTTGTTTGTAGTAGGAAATTAGATCCGTTACGTATGGTCTCAAGCATGATTTCCTTAAAACTCACTTATGCTGTTTACTTAAGCTGTAGCTGTTGAAGCTGATAGATGTTAGTATACTCTGATTAGATGTTAGGTACTTCTTATCTCTATTAGAGCAAACACCAGTTCAATAGTGGCTTATAGTGAAAAAGGTAGTCATGGCTTACAAATGTATCATCTTGCCAAGTGGGGAGCATAAGTAGATGATGATTTGTTTTTATCTGCCGGTGGTGCGTAATTTCTTCTCAATAGCTATCTGATGTTCTCCCATTCCAGCATTCTTATATCATTTGTCATTGTCATGCTTGCAGAGATAAAGGTTGTAGTAGTATTTGATGCTGCAGCCTCTGGGCTTTCTACACACAAAGAAACCTATAAAGGGTGAGATAATATTGTGAGCTGATATATCTGTGGGAATTGTTACTTCAAGCAGTTTAGCCTGTAGCGAAACTTAACAAATAGATTTTACTTCATGGAATAGGGTTGATGTGGTATATTCTGGTGACTTGTCTGCTGATTCTTGGATTGAGAAGGAGGTAATGCTGATAAATTCTTATTCAGAACAAAGGATACCCCTAGTTGACCAGACATGTGCATTTACCGCAGTGCAAAATTCACACGTAGATTTAAATTAAGCAACAAAAGCATTGATTTATGAAGCATGCATAACTGGATGTCTTTATGCCAGAAAATAGTTGGGTCCGTTTCACCAGCAGTAAGGCTCCAGTGGTGGGCCTTATACTAGTTATATTTTTATACCAACCGTTCAAATACCTGGTGCTTATGCAAAAGAAGATCGGTAGAGCAAGCATAATTTATTCAAGGGTTGTACACTAATACTGATCTCAAGTGATGCACTCTTGGCTCTTACCTGCTGTATTTTCATCCATGGGCATTAATTTCTCATATTAACATGGTAACACTAAATTTCCGCGCCTGTGACATTTGAATTTTGAAGCAATGAGCTTCAAATTTCTGTATGAAAGCAAGATGTTTCTTTCTCTGATTCTTTGACCAACACAGGTTGAAGCTTTGGTGGCAGATGGATGCCCGAAAGTCTGGGTTGTAACATCTGATGCATTGGAGCAACAATTGGCACATGGAGAAGTATGTTGTCACCCTTTTGGGGATTAGCTGCTTCTATCATATCTGCCTGCCGTTAGACATTTTTGACCGGTTTATGGTTTAGAACTTTTATCTTTTTGTCATGTTCTGCAACATATTCTGAACTCACAGTAGCAGAAAACACATTTTGTATCCTATGCATTTAATCACCAAAATTTCCCAACGGGGGTCCGAAAAACACAAGTACTGGATGTTATATGTCCAAACTGAATATTTCCTTCAAAAGAGTAAAGGCAGGAAAGATAATTGATAATTGATATCTTGACATTTCCTTCAAAAGAGTTAAGGCAGGAAAGATAATTGATATCTTCAAAAGAGGAATGTATCAAACATGCATAATGTGAATCTCAGAAGTGAAACTTATATCTCCTATAGGATTTTGCTTTGTGGTTTTATCATCAAATGTTTTATTCTTGATGGTTAAAAGGTTGTTCCCACTGTGTAGGGTGCTCTTATTTGGAGCTCTAAAAGATTGGTCAAAGAGGTTAGTTCTTAATCTTTTTTATCCTGCACACATTACTTGCTCAAATAGATGCTCTTCACTTGAATATCTGATTACATGCATTGTGCTGGTATAGCATCCTTATTTTTGGACCAAATGTCTTGTTGTAACTATGGTACAAAATGTTTTATATTGTTTAAGCCATGCTGAGTAATCAACAAGATACAGATGGCTGACCTAGGACTTTCACCACCAGCCTGAGGCCTGGGACTAAAAGTCCAATGCGTTGCATTTTTTTCACTGTGATGCTCTAAATGTGACCCAATACATGCTGGGCTGCCCAGGGCTTGACGCCAAGTTGGGTCTGCCTGAGTAGGCTTGAATCTCCAATTCAAACAGACATACTGTAAATACGCTATTGAAAATTAAGCATAAGCTGAAAACATTACTTTGCAAAACTATGAAGTTTCTGATAAAACACGGGAACTCTATTGTTGCATATGGAGATTGCTTGACAACAAATTATTTCATCTTGTGGTTCTGCAGATAAAAGAATCAGAAAAGGAGCTTGATGAAGAGCTGAAGGAAACCAGGTTCAGAGTTCAAACTTTCCTACTTATTTTTTTTCTCTCTAATGTGTTTATTTGAGCATCGCACTGAAAGTATTCTCCTCGAGCTGCAACAGAAGAAAAGAATGATGCCACCAAATTATTTAAAAGAGAAGAAAATGCTAAACCTGTTTATATTTGGATTTCGAAATTGGCAGATCAACATCGTTGCAAGGGAAGCTTTTTCAGCACAAGCTGAAACCTAAAGTAGTGCATGCATTGAAAGATCTCCGGAATAAGCTTGAAGAAGAAGAGCGGAGAAAGAGGTGACTACAGTGTGACTGTATGACCTAGAGGCATGAACAAATGGCTAACAACCGCACCTGGGCATGAACAAGTTTGTAAAATGGCTGACAACCTCACTTGCTGCCTTGCATTGGATCCGTAGGGCATTGACATGATGTAAGATAGGATCTGGTTTTTTGTAAAGACCCCGTTTGGACTTCGTAGAGAGAGGCTTCAAGAGGTTAGGCATGCTTTTGCATCAGAACAATTTTGCAAGCTGCAGAGAAGAAAGGCATGAACTGTACAACAATGTAAATATCAGCAGATTCCTCTAAATCAAGCTCAACTAACGAGATCTTGGCAGGAGATCAGTGTACTCTGTTTACTTTATTCTTTTTGTTTCTTCGAAGGATGCAAGAAAGGAAGAATACATGTATGCGTATATGATTCTGGTTTTCCAGGAATGCTACTGTCTGTCATGAAACTCTCTACGATTATACATAGCGAAGACGGTAGCCAGCAATGCAGAGTTGCAGACAGAGCACTGGCTTGTCCTGTCCAATTAGTCAAAATCTATCCAAATCATCCGTAATGGAGTAGCTAAACACAAACCATTCATCACATTCACACTGATATCGATGGATGAATGCAAGGTGGCTACCTCCAGAACCATCATTTAATCAGCAAAATTGACAACCATTCTTCAGTTTACCATTGGAACAGGTTCCTGAACAGCATTCGCCCTCACAACCAGTATTTGGGGAAAACATAACGAAAAATATCAACTGACCCCACAAAGAACAAGGGCCTGTTGATTTTATTATCAAGGTTTCCACCACAAATTAAGTTGTCCCGAGTCTAATAAACATGAACAAAATAACGGGAGGCAGCTAGATGAGTAACAACACAACACAGCGGCTCAGCTCAGATAAGGCAGCCAACAATAGCACCATATGCTTCAGAGCACAGGGCATCACCATCTCTGCTTCCCTACCCTGTATGTTTTATCAGCACAACTTCAATCCTGTAAAGGTAATTCAGAGAATGATATTAGTAAGGTGCCACAGCAGAAGCATGCCTGCTAGAAAGAATTTGGAGCCACCACCCTCCAATCTATTTCAGATGGATCGACATACATAATACTACTGTAACTGGGAACCTGCACTATCTTACACTTCTCTTTTGACATACTGTGATATGGCTTGGTTTTCCAAAGTATGAATGGATACCATGATTTCAGCTAAAATTTCTAACAGTTTTTTGCTATCTGAGATTCTTATGAAAAACAGATCTTGGTTGAATTGCATATCCTACATTTGAATAGAATGCTACAGATACACTGATTATTTGCCACAGAGATAAACACCAATGTAGCACAACAACTTCAGTAAATGACTAGCGAGCTCTATGAGAGTCAAGAACAATGCTTGATTGATCAACTTTCAGTATAATGGAAGAGAAATGCATAGAGAAACTCTATTGTAACTACCAAGATTATGTCGAAATCGGATCCGAGAAGCTCAACTAGTGGACTCCTGAGCTGAAAAGTAAAATTGTACCTACAAGATCTATTCTTGGCCTTCAACTGCCTTTCTAGTCAAACAACATGACTAACCTGGTCTACTGCTATATGATTGAATTGCAATTTAACCAACAAGATGTAGATTTACTGGATGGTAAATCAAGAGACAGCAAGCAAAAGCAATGCATAATACCTCATCGTCATCATCGTCATCCTTCTTGATGCGAGTGGTTCCACCCTCTTTGCTAATGGGCAGCTTCATGTTCCCGAACGGAGTATCGACATCGATCTTGCCCTTGATGGTGTAGCCAGTGCCCCTCCCCCTGATCATGTCCCAGACAGCAGAGCCGAAATCCTTGGGCCTGAAGCTGAATGGGACCTGCATGGTGGTGATCCCTTGCTTCTCGATCGTTGCCGACTCGGTGAGCTCGGCACTGGCGACGCTGTCGTCGCCGAGCCACATCTCATACTCGAGCATGTTGAGGCCCAGGTCGAAGTCATTCTTGTTCTCGAGCTTGAGATGCAGCGTGGCGGTGGTCTCCTCGAAGGAGAACCTGTGGAACTTGATCTTCTCGACGTCGACGTCGGGCTTGTAGGGGATGGGGATCTCGCCGGACTTCTCGAGGGGGAGCTTGATCCTGCCGATGATGGGGACGTCGATGAGGAGGACGACCCTGACGAGGTAGGGGATGATGCTCCCGGGCTTGATGTCGTTGTAGGTGCTCTTGATGTCGTCGTAGATGAGTGAGATGGGGATCTTGACGGTCTCCTCGCCATGGGCGTGGATTGTGCCGGCGTCCGGGATGAGGCCGGAGACGAGCTTGCGGCCGTCGCTCTCGATGAGGTAGTCGATGTCGACGAGCGGGATAGGGACCGGGTTAGGGTTCTTGATGAGCACGTCGACGACGAGGTCGGCGCGGTGGAGGCTGATGTGCGGGATGTGGACGCCGGAGACGTCGGCAGTGGGCTTGCCGAAGCCGACGGCCCCCTCGATCTTCTCCCCGATGTCGTGGATGAAGTCCTTCACCTTCTCCATGAATCCCCCGCCTCCTTCCTTCTTTTCGCCGCCGTCGTCGTCCCGGCGGTCCTTCCCGCCGCCACGCTCCGTCACCGTGGGGTTCTCCGACGAAGACGACATGCTCGCTAACTTCAGGTAGCAACAACAACAAGCGATCGAATCAAGATCTCACAGCAAGATCAAATCAAGCAAACAGATCGCACGCCATTGCTAACTCCACAAGAATCACCAAAGACTTGATCACAAGAAAGATTGCTTTCTTTTCTCTTTCCTATTCTACACGGCTAGGCTACACACGGCAACAAGATCTGAGGCACAAATATCCTCCAAAACGAAGCGAGAGCAAGTAGAAAGAAACATAGATTGATTTTTTCTTACTTTACCTGTGGGTTGATGCGGAGATCTGGACGAAGCGAGTGGAGATCGCGAGCGGAATGGAGAAATTTAGAGAGAGAAGAAGAAGAAGCACGCGGAGAGATGAGCAGAGCAGAGCACGAGCTTATCGTGGAGCAAGTACGGCGTGGGGCCCACTTGCAGTGACACGAACGGACTGCCAGCTCAGCTATACTGTCGGCTGGACACGAAGTCAGAGGCAAAGCGAGAATTTTTTTCATTTTTAAATTTTTATTTTTTAATATTTAAAAAATATTATACCATCCAAAATATTTACATAAATTACCCCTGACACCTAAGGGTGAGTTTGAGAGGAGGGGAAAAGAGAAGATTGGGAAGATACGTAAAACGAGGTGAGCTATTAGTACATGATTAATTGAGTATAAACTATTTTAAACTTTAAAAATAGATTAATATGATTTTTTAAAGCAACTTTCATATAGAAAATTTTTGCAAAAAACACACCGTTAGTAGTTCGAGAAGCGTGCGTGCGAAAAATGAAACAAACTAACTCACAAACTCCTCCTGCCGAACGCTCCCTAAGTGGAGGGTGGCAAGGTGTGCGTATTTTGCACCGAGATATAATGCAATTTTCACCTTGTAAAAAATACAGTTTTCTAGTTTTTTTTATCTTGTCCGTCCTCACATCACCTTGCCGCCCTCGGGATCTACTTCTGTAAATGTTTTCGCCGTACAATATTTCTGTAAATATTAAAAAATAAAAATTTAAAAATGAAAAAACTTAGGCAAAGCGAAGTGGCTGGAACCTTTACCTGGGCCAATCAAAAGCCGGTCCATTTGGCCCACTAACCCCGGCCCAACAAAAACCGGTTTAATGGGCCTCCATCTAAAAATCCTATCCTTATCTATCCACTGGACACGAAGGCAACACACCTCGCCTACCTCCACTCTCTCGCGCTCGCTCTCCAATGCCGCCACCAATGGCGCTCTCCATCTCCTCCACCGCCGCGGCGACCGCTCTCCTCCCGACTCTCCCGCCCTCGCGCTCGCGCCTGCGCGTCGCGCCGCGCAGGGCGGCGGCTCGGGTGGCGCGCGTGGTGTCGGCCGGATACGCCGCGGGGTTCTACGGCGGGGCGGCGGCTGCGGCCGGTGGCGAGAACGACGAGGTGGGGGATGAGGAGGGTTCGTCCTCGGGGTTCGGTGCTGGGCTAGGGATAGGAGGCGGTGGGCTTGGGATGTCGGCCGCGGAGGCGGCGCTGGCGCTGGAGGAGCGGGAGATGCCGCCGTGCCCGCCCGGGCTTCGCCAGTACGAGACCATGGTCGTGCTCCGCCCCGACATGTCCGAGGAGGAGCGCCTCGCCCTCATACAGCGTTACGAGGAGGTAAAAATCAAAATTACTAGTAAATAATTAGCTGCACTGACTAGGCGCCAATGCATTTGCTATCTGCTGCAGTAGACATGAATTTCCGAGGAAGATTTGTAGTGGCCAATGCATGAGAATTTTATCTTTTGCCAGTTTATGGTAAATCGGGCTGAATTTATGGCACACTGGTAAAACTCAAAATCACTACTAGTGGTAAATAATTAGCTGCATTGACTAGACGCCAATGCATTTTGGATTTGGGCTATGCTGCAGACCTGCTCCTGCAGTTGACATGAATTTCTAGGAAGGTTTGTACTGGCCAATGCATGAACTTGTCATCTTTTCCCAGTTTATGGTAAACCAGGATGAGTTAATGGCATACTTGTTTCTTATTAAAAATGCTGTCATTTGGCTCGTTCTGTCATTAACATTGCTTAAAATCATATATCAGTCATTGTAGGTGAAGCTGAAGCAAATCATTTTGTTGCAAATGTATACTTTCTGGTCAACAGCTACAGCCCCATATTATTTGCGTATGTCATAGTGGAGATACAGGAAGCATAAAATTGTTTCTGCTGTAGAACATACGTTTACTACAGAACCTACCAAAAAAATAGTTTTGTTATTATATATCCATCATTCCATCCTGCGCGCACAATCTCCTGCATTGTTTAGTAGGAGTAGTAGCAATCACCAGTTAACACGCATTCAAGTTTACCTTGGTCTTTTTTTTTTTTTGTCCCATAATTGTCTTGGTTGATGATCAATCAAGCCTCTTGCCCATTCTGTAACCTTAAATTTGATGGTATCCTGAAGTGTGACTTCACTCCATAAGATGTTCACTTGCTACAAACCTATCTGCAATTTGCTTACTGAGTTACTTATGGTGGTTTTTCGCATGTCTTGCAGCTCCTTGTTGCGGGTGGCGCCATGTATGTGGAAGTCTTCAACCGAGGAGTCATCCCACTGGCATACAGCATCAGGAAGAGGAACAGCAGGACTGGTTTGCCATCCACCTACTACGACGGAATCTACCTCCTTGTGACATACTTCACCAAGCCTGAATCCCTGGATGCTCTGCAAATGAGGCTCAATGCTGACGACGATGTCATCCGCTCAACCAGTTTCAAGGTCCGCAAGCGGAAAGCCTTTTAAGATCAGTTTCACCACCTGGACTCAGGTTTCCATGTTTTGGGGAATATGTTTATATCATACAAGAATCCTACTGCCATGGGAGGAGATTGGTTTTTCGCTGCAATCGTTGAGAAAAAATGTCGCCCTTTCTGTTGATAATTTAGAAGAAATTTGTCTTCCTTTTTTTTCGTTATAGCACTGCTCTGATCTTACCTGGTACTCCTACACGTTAAGGGATATTGAACGAACACTTTTGTGGAGCATGGCCTGCTGGGGCCTCTGGAACAAGTTATGCTGTTAACAAAATCAGGGCTCATTTCCTGTACGCCATGGCATTTCATTTATAGGCTGCCTTACCGTGCATTTCATTTGTTGAGTTTTGATCATTTGTTTAACATCAAGACTACCAGGGCATTTAGCTGATAAGAGGGCAAAACACACTGATGGCTGGGAAAAACTAGTTTTGATTAACACAAAATCGTCTTTGGTACACCATAAGTATGATATAAAGTAGTATATGCTGGCCAACCATAGTAGGTCAGAAACAAATGCATACAGCACAGTCTGACGGCATATATCCATGCTCCAGAGTTCTTCAGTAAAAGCTCAACAAACACAATATCTCGGAGGACCACAAGTATCATGTAGAAAAACCAGAATACTCCAAAATCAGCCATCATGGAGCACCAGATTCAGTATCTATCGTGGCGCCTGAAAATAACAACTGTCTAATGTTAGCTCCTAGTGATATAAAGGTTTCCATATCAAAAGCAGATAATTTCATTGTGTTTCTTTGTCATTATACTGTCAAAAGTTTATGGTCGGAATAAATCGCTATACAAGAAAGGCAGAGAGAAGTGAGCAAAGAAACCATTGAACCATACCTGCGCTCCCTGGATCGAGAACGTTCCCTTCTCCTTGAATCATGGCCACGCGAACGGTCATAATCTCTATCCCGATCGCGATCATGGCGGCGGTCCCTATCGTGGCGCCTATCCCGATCACGATCATGGTCTCTTCTGCTTTCTCGAGGTTCAACTCTGTCCTTTCTTTCTGAATCTCTATCCCTGGATGCCTGACCATTGCGGTCCTTGCTGTATTCTCTTGATCTGATGAGCACAGCATGTACTTTCAGATTATGCTGACACTACATGAAAATGAAACTAGGATGGAAAAGCACATACCGCCTGTCATCTTCAGGTGCCTTCCTTCTTTTACTTCTCTCCTCCTGGAAGGCGGCATAGAATATTTTATAATGATAAAATCATGATATCAAGGCTCCAATTTGCATAGGAGGGAAACAGATAAAGGAAAAAAAGTAACATATATATAAAAAAAAGGTGCAAGAGATACATTACGGTTAAATTGCTCCAGCAATTAATTTACAAACTTAGTACTTACAGTAAAAGATGGCAAAAGGAGTGCACTTTCAGAGTAACTTAACCGGTACTATTTATCACCATCTCTACAAAATATGGATCACCCAGCAGAAAACAATCTCCAGCTTCTGATCAACATAATACTAAGCAGATTATATGAGCAGCTTGACACAATTAAGTAAACATGATTGTCCATACCATGTTTTGCACACTCCTACGCTTACATTTGCAACTGTACATGACAGCTGTTGTTCCCATGGATAGGAGGGATGATTGGCACATGAGATTCCAATTATGCAACATTGACGAGATTCCAATTATGCAACATTGACTAGTTCCTGTAACGACTAATGTAGTAGCCACTGTGCCCTCCAATGTGAGAAATGAAATAATATATAGAGAAGGTGAGAACCTGAAGGTTCTTCCTTGAGATAAGAAAACTCACAGATGCCAAAAGGCCCAAAACAGAGTAACTCTTTAAAGCAGTAAAGGGTACATAACATTCAGCACCTGATAAAGATGTACAAAATTTCCACCTTAACAAATTCAGAGAAAGCACAAAACCCACATACTTGGATCATAATGTACAAACAGAATATAAGGTCAAATAAGATTGTGTAGATTTCTTGGCTTTTTGTGATTATGCCTTTAGGGCAGTAGACATTTGGAATTCTAAATTAATTATCATTCCCCAAAAACTTTACTTGCGGTAAGTCGGGTATGCAAGAATGTACCTGTAGTTCTTTCAGTTTCTCACGAATCAGCATGTATCCCAAATGTAGCTTTCCTCCAAAATGGTCAGCAAGGCGTCGATCACTGGATACAATATAGCATGAGACATATTTCCTACCAAAGGTGTGAATTAAATATGAAGTTTCAGAACATTTTGGGAGCAAAAGGAGCTAAAAGGAATTACTTGTCGTAGACACTTAGAAATGCTCCACATATGTCACAGAGACGCAACTTCTGATCAGTCTACAAAATGAACCGGGAATACCATTACTCCATTAGCAATAGTACAATGTATAAACAACAGTAAGCCATACTTTGAAATAGAATTATAATATAAATGATAAATAGAAAATTCCAGTATGAAAATGAAAGCACCAACTAAAATTTTGAGATAGTACAATTATATATGCATAGAACCACTAAGTCACCACATTCTACGATATCAAGAAATTCACATCTACGAGTCTATCAAGAAATATATATATATAACCGCAAGTTAGACCAAGTTCATTACAGTTTCAGTTTGCAAGCAAGAAAGCATCTAAATATGATGAATGGACATGGTAATTTTTAGAAAGAACTGAACTATGGGGATGGTGTTGCAAAAGATGTACTCCAAGATTATAGAATAATCGGCTTATCACTTTTCTAGTAACATATGTGCAAATGGCCAGACAATGATACATACCCCCTTGAGAGCAACAATAGCTTGCATGATAAGCATAAATTTCTTAATGCATAAAATATGAGTTTTCACTTAATAGCAGACTCTATCAAAATGTACAGAATTTTATAAAAATGTCCTTAAATACATGTCCAGGAAATGCATATTTTTTATCAGCATCCCAGTACAGAGTAAAATCTTATAGAAAAAAAAAAAGCTCTTTAGCAACCCAAGTGTTGGGCAAAAAATATCATTGAATAACTAGTAGCAAACCAAGTGTGTCTAAGGCGACAATAAGCATTGCAGAATCTACTGGTCTTCAATAAAGAAGGCAAAGCTAGTGATAGCACTGTGTAAATTAATACAACAAAAATAAGTAATCAAATAAAATTAACCATGTTAGGATTAAACTCACAATTCGAACATCAGCAGCAGTATATTTAGTAGGATCCGAAGTTGGTTCCCTCCGTGCTGCCAACTGGTCATAGAACAACAGCAACAATAATGGAAGGCATTAGTCATGATCTACACAACCACAGAAAAATAGACAAAATGCCAACGTCCTAAAAAAATAAGAGTTATCATTTATGCTGCCAGCAATTGAAAGGCTAGAAATTAACCCAGTACTAGGCTGTGAAAGGATGGACACAATATAGTCAGTGTACATGACGATATCTACCTTTTTCAAAGCCTCTGCTTCTTCCATAACTTTCTGTGCTTCATCTACCATCCCTTGTTCACCTAACAAAAGGATGAGCAAGATTATATCACATAAACTTCTTTATGTCATTAAAAAACTACTAGCACCATAACCAATGCAAATGCTCCCTCCATCCCACTCACTAAGGCGCGGTCAAACTTGGCATAGTCTTCAAGACAAATCTTTGACTTTAAATTTCTCATATACTATAATGTTTGTAACAACAAAATCATAATCATATGAAAGTAAATTTAAATGATAGTCCAATTATTACTTTAATCAAATAAACTTTAATTTATAATAAACTATTTATTGGTCAAATATTTAAAGATTTGAATCTTAAAATGCGTGTGCGCCTTAGTGAGTGGGACGGATGGAGTACACTGCAAAAATAGCATCTTAGCTTGAAAAGATTGGAGTTGATAGGTATAAAAGGGAAAAAAAAAGCACTGCTGCCTGACTAGCAAATAGTTCATATTGCTACTAGAAACTGTATGTGCTGTGAACTGAGTGAGTGAAACTGAGATAAACTACAAAAATAAACTATATCTTGGCCCTTGTAACTGAGCCAGTAACCTCACAGAAGAAAACAACCCGCATGCATACTACTTAGTAATAAAGTAGAGCGGTTCTTTTCATACCAAGCTCTTCAGCTTTCTTTATCTTTTCGTTGATCATTTCTTGAGTGCGAGCATCAGGGGGAGCAGGTGCTGGTACTGATGCCATTTGAGGTGTTGGAGTAGGCTGAGGTAATGAAGCTCTGTCCTTGTTAAAGGCATCAAGCAGAAGGGTAGCCTGCAACAAAGAAGAAAAATGCCAGTAGGATTAAAACTTTATTTACTATTAGTTACATGTGCTGGTATACACAAACTATGAGAATCGAGAGCACATATATTCAAGCTTTCAAAATAATACCTGCATGTCAGCCCTTTTAGATCTTAATTCTTCCACCACTTCCATGGTCTTGATTTTATCATCAGTTTTCCCTTCAAAATCTACATGTTGACGAGAAAGATTAAGTATTTTGGTAGTAAAACTTATAACTACGAACTAGTGAAACCAAGTACTTCCTCCGTTTCATATTATAAGACTTTCTAGCATTGCCCACATTCATATAGATGTTAATGAATCTAGACACATATATGTGTCTAGATTCATTAACATCTATATGAATGTGGTATATGTGTCTAGATTCATTAACATCTATATGAATGTGGGCAATGCTAGAAAGTCTTATAATATGAAACGGAGGGAGTAATATGCTAGAACCCTTCTGTATGTTGACAAATCAAGTAAAGACTACGTTGAAACAAATTATCCACATCCGGACAAAATTACTGCTCATTGAAGTTGCATTTGATGAATGAGTGTTCAACATTGCAGTTAAGAGAATTTTTAGTGCATAATCCCTCTATAAACACCAACACTTGTACATATACAACAGTAACATCTAACTGCTTGGACAGTTAACCACATCTTCAAACCACCTTGATTAATCTTTTGAGAGTAAAAGCAACTAAAGGGTTTTTACAATTTAAAGTAGCTGTTAATTTAGGCCTAAAGAGATTAATAAGATGCTTTTACAATATCCCTGTAAACTGAGAGTGAATACTTTGAAAAGACAGTTAGCAGTCACCCTGTAGTTGATAGGATCACTGGAACCCTGTGTATATAAATATTGTATATACTCCTATAGAGGACTCCAATGGTGGTGGTGAATGGTGTTTGTCACCAGTCTCACCACCCACCACCACTGCCATGAGGGACCCTTACTGGTGAGTAAGTGAACTTCTCTATAGACGAGTGTACAAATATATATTAAAGGAACTATGTAGCTTGACGTAGATGTACAATTTTTTGGGAAATATTGATAACAATGGGGATATTATTGTTGTTGTTTAGGGGGCTTTAGAGTGTATGGTGGGGTTCTCTTTTTCAAATTCTGACGCAAAGCATGTGCATTCAGCTAGTGTATTTAAATATCGTTACCATAGGTATCAACTTCTTTCATTTTTTCCTTGATCTCCTTTGACAACTGCAACACCTCATCTGTCTGCAAATGTTAACAAGCAAGCAAGCAATTCAATTGAAGTTCTAGACAAATAAGTTTCGATGCATATAGTTGGATAAATACCTGAGTAACCTCAGAAACAGATATTGCAATAGCAGCCTTGGCATCCTCATCAGCAAGACGCTTCAGCGCCCTCTGAATTTTCCTCTCGCACTCCACGATGAGCCTGTCTATCATTTCCTCGAGTTCCCTATCATAATTTTCTGTTCCTTTTGCCTTTACTTCTTCATAACTGCGAACAGTTCAGGAAGGCAAAGACCACTATACTCTATACAGTAGAGTGCGGAATATTTTAAAAGGAGAAAGATGAAGTGTTCCATAAGTCAAAGGATACTCCTTCCGTAGCTGCAGCGAATGAACTTTGGGGCAAGGCCCGAGATCCATTTTCTGCCATGAATGAATTAGCCGATTAGTTAACAGAATCACAGCACGAAATTATCTCAAATGAGAGAACCTAGATTTTGATTCACACCAACGCAATAGGCTAATAATATTGATTTACACTCCGAACCCTAATCTACGGCCTGACCCCAAGCGCTTACCCACCAAATTAACCTCCCACAAAGAAAAAAAAAACACAGAGAAGCATCATGGAGATGAGTGGATACTGGATACTGAGAAGGGGGAAGGTACCGTGAGCTGGAAGAGGTCGTGGGGGCAGAGGCCGGCGAGGAAGAGGCGGCAGACGTCGCGGTCGTAGTACTTGCGGCTGACCTCCCGCACGTCGCCGTTGCGGTTTGCCCCCATGAGCACGTCGAGTTGCTTCCTCATCGCATCCATGGCGCCAACCTACCTCCCCTCGACGCCCTCGGGGAGGAAATCGCGGGCGAGGTTGGGGTTTAGGGGCTCGCCTAGGGCTAGGGTTTCTGCCCAAATGAGCGAGCGGTAGGCGGCGAGACGCTCTCGGCTCTCCGACTCCAACCCAACCAGGATGGGGAAGACGACGTCCGGTTGTTTTATTCGGATGGGCCTCTTGCAAGACCATGTGGGCCGTAGGCTCCTACTAATGGGTCTACCATGATTGGGCTGCAACTAAATTGACAGGTCAGCCATTCTGGCGTGGGCTGGGCCCGATCCAAGGATGGCGTAGTCACGACAACACAGCATCTGTTGGGCCCGATCCACCTATATTATTTAGTTTTTGTTTTCTAAAATTAGCTCAAGTTGGGCAAATCTACAATCTACAATTTTAATAAAATAGTTGTGGTCTTCTATCATTTATGTTTGGGAAATTTGAATTGTCAGCCAAAATTTAAATTTTCAAACTTAAATTTGAAGTTGATTTTGATTTTTTTTTCATCGAAACTTATTTTTCAGCCTTTACTTTTAGATCATTAAGAATATGTATGTAAAAATTTCATTCACAAATTATTTTTCGATTGTAGATATGCCAAACGATGGGGGCTGAAAGCTGAATCTCTCCATCCCAAAAATAAATAAACACAAAACAACATGTAATACATACTGCATAAACATATACATATTCATAGTGATATGATATGTCAAATCCTATAATTTCTTCGTCCCAAAATGTTAACACCTAGAATATGATTTGATGAATATGGACAAAACTTTTGTTTATTTCGAAATGGAGGGAGAAAACCTGCGCACAATATTACACACATGAATGTCAAATATTTATCATTTATTTTCGTTTTTTTAGTATGTGTTAGCGGAACTCAAACGTAGATATGCACATGATGTAATGATGAAAAACTATACAAATTTTACTCAGATAACTTTTAAAATGTTTGGAATATGCTCATAACATTTTTTTCCATTTTCCATAAATTAAACAAAGCAAAGGAAGGTCAATGACAACGTGGGATTATTTCACGAACACCAACAAACAAAACCGAGCAGACATCCATTCCCTTCCCACTCGTCAGAAGCATCCGCCGCCTACCTGCCAACCCCTAGAATTCCGAAAATGCCCCTGGACCCCGACTCCTCGCCGGCGCCGCCGCACCGGGACTGGTTCTTCCCGCCGGCGCCGCCCTTCCTCCCGTCCTCCAGAGCCCGAACGCCGAGGGCCCCCTTCCCCTCCACCTCCCGCTCCTCCAATCCATACTCCTTCCCGGACCGCCGGCCGCCTCCTACCCCGCGCTCCCGCTCCCGCTCCCCCCTCCCGCCGCCGGAGCAGCAGAAGCAGCAGCAGCCGCCCCCGACGACGCCTCCTCCCGCCCCGCGCCGTCGCGACCCCCGGTATGCTGGCGTCCGCCGTGGCGATGTCCGAACGCTCACCGCCGAGAAAGCGGCGGCGGCGGCGGCGGTTCCTACGGCCGCGCAGGTGCACGGGAGCAAGTCAGCGGCGTCGGCGACCACCCTCCGATGGTCAGGGATGGTATCCGTGGCGGTAAGAAATGGGTGAGCTCGCGGGGTTTTCGCGTTTGACTTTTGTTGACTGACGGTTTAACCGCGTAAACCTGATGCTTGCAGGCTATTGTGCTCTGCTTCTCTTCCCTTGTCCGCAGTAACTCCTCGCTACATGATCAGGTCCACCATTTGAAGGTAAAATTCCAACTGATTCCAATGCACATTCTGCATAACTGCGCACTTATACGCGGATTCTATCAGGCTCAGCTTGCGGAAGCTACTACAAAATTGCAGTCTTGTATTACAGAGTCCTCGATGGATATGAGTAGCATATTATCATATCAGAGCAATAACAGTACTTCGCAGAACAGAGGTCTTAAGAATTTCTCATTGCTGCTCTCGCTTTCTACGCTGTACGCCCCATTACTCATTCTTAAGTACATGGACCTTTTCTTAAAGCTGAGGAGTTCGCAAGACTCCGAAGAAGAAGTTCCCATAAACAAGCGGTTGGCATACCGAGTTGATATATTTTTATCACTTCAACCATATGCTAAACCCTTGGTTCTACTTGTTGCTACATTGTTACTTATTGGTCTTGGTGGCCTGGCTCTTTATGGTGTAAATGATGATAGCCTTTTAGATTGCCTCTGGCTGTCCTGGACCTTTGTTGCTGATTCGGGCAACCATGCAAACGCAGAAGGCTTTGGACCAAAGTTAGTTTCAGTTTCAATTAGTATCGGTGGGATGCTGGTTTTTGCCATGATGCTTGGGCTTGTAACAGATTCGATCTCTGAGAAGTTTGATTCACTGAGGAAAGGAAGAAGTGAGGTCATAGAGCAAAGCCACACGCTGGTCCTTGGGTGGAGTGACAAACTGGTAATCCTGCATTCAATCCTGCTAATCTTTATCGCAAAATTCCATATTTCTACCTACCTGTCCTGTTATGTTCCTTGTTGTTTGGGAATGATGTTATACCAATAGCTATTAAATATAGCTCTAACTAGGGACGTCATTGCAACTGTTACATTGCTTTTTATTGCATAGCAGTCTCGCTACAAAAGTAAAGTAGTTAGTGAATTCTGGTATTTAGTTTAAATATGCAAATTTCTTATATATCTGTTTCTGCAGATCAACTGATCTGAGCACAAGCTGTTCCTCTCCAGATTACTGTAGTCTAAGTGTCTAACCTATTTCCTTTTGTGGCAACAGGGATCATTGCTGAACCAAATTGCTATTGCTAATGAAAGTTTGGGAGGAGGAACCATTGTAGTGATGGCTGAGAAAGACAAAGAGGAAATGGAAGCAGACATTGCTAAAATGGAGTTTGACTTGAAAGGAACAGCTATAATTTGTAGAAGTGGAAGCCCTCTGATTCTAGCTGACTTGAAAAAGGTAAACATTGTGATGTAGTGATTCTGCTAACCCGCATTATGATCTGTTGGCACTTGGCAGTAATCAATAGACAATTGGATGGTTGTTATGTTAATTTAATGACTCACTATTACTTTACTAAATCTATATGCAACTCTTTGTTGAACTGAATCTGCCTTCATGTACAAGGTCTCAGTTTCTAAAGCGCGTGCAATTGTGGTTTTAGCTGAAGAAGGAAATGCTGACCAGGTACATTGTGCTAGTTAATTTGTATTATTATACATGACGCTTTAGCTTACACCATTGCCTCTTTTCTAGAGTGACGCACGCGCATTGCGAACAGTCTTGAGTTTAACTGGGGTCAAAGAAGGGCTAAGAGGTCACATAGTTGTTGAGCTTAGCGACCTTGACAATGAGGTTCTAGTCAAACTTGTTGGTGGAGACCTTGTGGAAACTGTTGTTGCACATGATGTGATAGGTCGTTTGATGATACAATGTGCACGTCAGCCAGGCCTTGCTCAGGTTTCTTTCTAATCAACAGTAATTTCTGAACAAAGTTATTTTTTGATGACACAAGTTCTTTCTGGATAATAGATACTTCTTCAAGGGAAACTCATACTGAACATCCTGATTTGATTCCACTTATTGTCTGTATTATGGAATCTCATGTCATGTGCATCCAGAAAACCTATTTTAGTACAAAGTCTGATTACTTTTTGAAACTTTTTACACACTTGTATTTTTCGCTTGATTGTGGATGTAAATATGCTACTATGTTGACCACTTGACCCAATTTAAATCACTTTATAGTTATGCTCTTGTTTGCACTGCCACTAATTGACTTAGTATTTTATCTACTTCTGTGGTTCTTTTTAGCCTGGCACGGCATAATTCTTAAGAAACTAGCCTATCTTCTTGTTCTACATGCGCAATAATTCACTCTTAAATATTTCCTGCATGTACATAATGCTTACTATAATTACCTGGCTGTTTGAGTATTGCATATAGTCTACTACATGCACAGCCTTCCTATTTACTAATTTAATGTGTCCCTTTAAATACTAATGGAGTTGCATAAACAGATATGGGAAGATATCCTTGGCTTCGAAAACTGTGAGTTCTATATTAAAAGATGGCCTCAGTTGGATGGTATGCAATTTGAAGATGTGCTCATTAGCTTTCCTGATGCCATTCCATGTGGCATAAAGGTGGCATCTTATGGTGGCAAGATTATTTTAAATCCGGATGACTTTTATGTCTTGCAAGAGGGTGATGAGGTGCTAGTAATTGCAGAAGATGATGACACATATGCCCCAGCGCCATTACCCAAGGTAACCATTAATCTGTAAGAACAAAATTATCTGAAACTTTCTGTTCTTTTTATATCATCTATCAGGACTTTTTTTTGTATCCCTTCTGGCTCTGTAACATTAATATTGAATTACTGTTGTTAGTCATGCCATGTTTACATATTTAACTATTTTCTGTACAGCTCCTTAGATATCTTATTATCGGTGCCTGTCAGCCTGTGCATTGCTAGTCTACTTGTTGCATTTCATGAAGTATACTCATCTTGGTTGACGTTGTTTTTAAGCTCATTGCTATTTCCTCTCATTTACCATTTGGCATCTTTTATTGATATATTTATCTGAATCACTAGCCATATCCTATTTACAACTTACTGCATCAACCTAATTGCTTCAAAACTCTGTAGTATTTCACACGAGTTCTTCCAATGGTGTCTTATGCGAATTCTTCTCCTTGTAATATTGTTAGGCTCTTGAGATCCATAAGTGCAGACAACCGCATGGTTGTCAATAGAATTTTAGCTTCTGCCCAACTGGAACTAGATTGCTTTTGCACAATTCAAAAGTAATTTCTCCTGCTTTGCTCATTAAGCACCGGAAAAGACAACTGCATGAGTCAATTTATGCCTTATAGATGGCAATTACTCCCTCCATTCCAGAATATAACAACTTTTAGCTATGAATCTGGACTAGTGCATGTCCAGATTTGTAGCTAAAAGTTGCTATATTTTGGGATGGTGGTAGTATTAGCCTTTGTTGTTACTTGCTAAAAGCCTAAAACTACAAAAGCTAGCTAACTTACTAGGAAAGTTCTAACATAGATACTGCACATATATAGAGCATCCTGTAACGAAGCTTACAAAAGCGAAGTCAATTTTATTATTCAGGTTAAAGAAGCTGTTTACATAGACATTGTTCACCCCGAAAGAAATCCTCAGAAGATTCTTCTTTGTGGATGGCGACGGGATATAGATGATATGATTGTGGTAAGCCTTTCGTTGAAGCTCCTAATATTCCTTTTTCTGTAAAACTCTGCAGGTTATGAGAGGTTACCTACCTAAAGATTTTGTTGTTCCCAAGTCTCCTGAAAGAATATTGTTTTGTGGTTGGCGGCGTGATATGGAAGATATGATAATGGTAACTTGATGATAGATCGAAAACAACATTTTGTGTCCTCTATTGGAATATAATATTCCTATTGCTATGGTAGTACTAAAGGTTTTGGAGCCAAAATTTGCCTGTGTCAAAACTATGAAAAGATATAATATCCCTTCCTGTTCTGAGCTTTACTTATTTCTAATTACTGCCACGGCAGCATGGTTGATGGAACAAGCCAATGTGCCATTAAGTGCTTAGTGTTTTGGAAAACAGACCTGATATTTCTTATTTTTGCCCTGTGTTTTATCTTTCTCAGTGTTTTTATCCCACTGTGGTGCTGTCCAATTTTTGTAGTGACTAGTGAGTTTGTACTGGCATTTGGCCTTTTGTTTCTTCACATGATCAGATCCATGGTTAGCTCTAATATCATGAGCAACTATAGTGTGTTTTGCATGATTTCCCCATGAGTTAATACTGTAGTTTGATACATATGTTGAAATGGTTGCATTAACTTAAACATCTATAATCATATGCTGTGCTTGGCTTCTCCAATTGTCATACATTTCTTTTTATATTTTTGCATTTAGTATAATAAAAAATATATTCAAACCCTTTTGTACTGAATGTCCATCAAAAAATGCAGGCCTGTCCATTTGAAAATGTAAGTACTATGAGAATTTTGTTTATATATGCTCATTTTTTTTCTTAAAAAAAAGAGTTATGTTTATATAGCAACATATGATTACCAAATGATGTACGTTGCAGTGCATGATTTTTTGTTTTGATGAATGGATAATGCATTTAATTACGATCTAGAGCAACAGTGTGACTTGGTTTTAGGTATTCAGGTACTCGATGCTTTTCTAGCGCCAGGGTCAGAGTTGTGGATGTTCAATGACGTTCCTGAGATGGACAGAGAAAGAAAGCTGATAGACGGAGGCCTGGACTTCAGTCGTCTAGAAAATATTACTTTGGTTCACCGTGAAGGAAATGCTGTTATTCGCCGTCACTTGGAGAGCCTCCCTTTAGAATCATTTGATTCTGTAAGTTCTGAGAACATAGACTGTAGTTCCTTTAGGAAAAAAGCAGTACTGTTGAACCTTCCTATGAGTACAATTGCTTGCTTCTTTCCTCCGGCTGATGCTTATATGCAACACACAGATACTGATTCTGGCAGATGAATCTGTTGAGGATTCAGCAATCCAAGCTGATTCAAGGTCGCTTGCAACACTACTGCTGATCAGGGATATCCAGGTTCTCTCTAGCCATGGGGAACTAATTTAAACTGTTGTTCAATTTTGGATTTTACTTAGGATTGCTTTAGATCATATCTCTGATCACATGCAGTTGTCTTCGATCATGTACTATTTTTCATTTCTCAAGCCTACATTAGAATATTTTGCATTTAAACAAAGATAGTTGGCTCACACCTTTAACTACTGCAGGCAAAGCGACTTCCATTCAGGGAGGCGATGGTTTCACATGTTACTCGAGGAAGCTTCTGTGAAGGTTCTTGGATTGGGGAGATGCAACAAGCATCTGATAAATCTGTCATAATCAGTGAGATTCTGGATCCTAGGACAAAAAATTTATTGTCAGTGTCAAAAATCAGTGACTATGTTCTATCAAATGAACTAGTGAGCATGGCATTGGCAATGGTTGCTGAAGATAGACAAATAAATGATGTCTTGGAGGAGCTATTTGCGGAGCAGGTATGATTCTCAGAGCTGATGGCTCCATCGTCTATTGTATGAACTAGAGTTGCTCCTAAAAAGGCTATAACAATCTGATCACATGTTTCCTCACAAACATATATGCAAATGATGTTGAAGTTGTCATCATTTAATAATATTTTATCGGAGCATCTGATTTTAAAATAAATACTAGGGGTCTGAACCTGGCACTACGATAGGGAATTCCATTGACTTTACCTGTTGGCTATAGAGACGTTATCGTGCAAAGATGTTGTGTTGGGTTTTCTCTCGTCCAAATGTCTGTTGTCAGACATGTTCTCTGGTTTCTGGCTGACCAATGTCCAAGTTGGCATCTGAACTTTCCTTGCAGGGGAACGAGATGCAAATACGACCAGCTGATCTCTACCTTCGAGAAGATGAGGAGTTAAATTTCTTTGAGGTCATGCTACGTGGTAGGCAGAGAAAAGAGATTGTCATTGGCTACCGTCTTGTGGATGCTGAACGCGCCATAATCAATCCACCAGACAAAGTTTCAAGGCGGAGATGGTCGGCCAAAGATGTTTTTGTTGTAATTACCGAGAAAGAATGAGTTACATCATTTAGCAAACCATGAGAAATCACCACTAGTAAGGCAAAATTGACAGCAGTGCACGTAAGAGATCAACACGAGCAGACGACTGTTGCATTGCAGAATTGACATCCGGAAGAAGGCCAAGCACTAACTGCGTCAGCGCGAGAGAGCAATGCATAACCAGATTTTGGGATCAATCTCGGGCTATGACTTGCCAATTGCAATGTACATAAGTGCGGAATGATCCATGCCATTGCGCAGAAAGGATGAGAAGAGAAACACCAAGCACGATTTGCTTAGATCAGTTTTGTTTTTTTAGAGAGGGGCTTCGATCCTGTTTATTGTATAGTATTACATCTTTTTTGTGTACTCTGTTAGAAACTTCCAAATACTCCGTTGGCTCCGATTGCTGTACACGCGAACAACAAATTCGTATCTTACACTAATGTATGACAAAAGATGGCAAAGTAACCTGGTACAATTGGTCATACTGCTGACATTGAAATTTTATATGGTACAAAATGTGCGCGCCATGCACCGAGCTATATAAACTATGCTACTCTCTGTTTCGGGTCATAAGACATTTTGACTTTAGTCAAAGTCAAACTGTTTCAAGAACTGTTTTAAGTTTAACTTAGTTTATAGACAAATATAGTAATATTTATAATACTAAATTAGTTTTATCAAATCAATAATTTAATATATTTTCATAATAAATTTGTCTTGGGTTGAAAATGTTACTACTTTTTTCTACAAACTTGATCAAACTTAAAGTGGTTTGACTTTGACCAAAGTCAAAACATCTTATAACCTGAAACGAAGGGAGTACTATATTGGAAAGGCTAATCGGCGAACGTTTGTGAGCTTGTCGTGCTGGGAAAGGCCGAATCTGAGTGGTGGCCTGCTTGACCGAATTATATGGGTGTTTTGTTTTTTTAAGAAAATTGCACAGTTGCTTGTATGGGTATGTTTGGTACAGCTCCAACTCCTAAATATAACTCTAGGAGTTGGGTCTAACTCTAGTATATTTTGTGAGAGAGCTCCACCCAACTCCACTCCCAATTTTGGTGGAGTTGAAACTGTTTGGTTGAGCTTCAGCTTCAGGAGGGGTGGAGCTGGAGCTGGAGTTGTGCCAAACAGGCCCTATATGTCATCTAGTTTTTGAATTTTTAAAATGTAGTTTTAGGCATCCGAACTTATTAAACTGTGTCTTTCAATTATAAATTGCCACAACATGGCATAGCACAAAAACATTGAAAAATGCTATGCGTACGATTTGAACTTACGATCGTGGTACGATCTAACGCGGATGACAAGAATTCATGGCACTGGGTTAACGGCTGCATACCAGCATCTACGCTAATAAACACAAGTTGTTTCATCGTACAAATATTGTAAACGGCAAATCGTATGTATAGCATCACTCCATAAACATTCGGAACCCAAATTTTCTTTTTATTTTTGTTCCTTCTCCTCTACTTTTTTTTCTCTTTTTTCCTCCTTGTTTTTCCTCTTTTTTGCCACACAGATAGGAAGGAAGAAGAGAAGAGAAAAGGGAGAAGAAGAAAAAAAAAAGAGCAAACACCCGTGTGATATGTCACGTAGGATCTTGGAAGGGTTATGGCATTTTAGGACCGGAATGACAAATGTATTTGAGAGTTTAGGATCTAGATGATATAAATCAACGAGTTTAGGGATTGACCACACACTTCAATCTTTTGATAAATTGTTTTTTTATTCTTATGGTATGTTTGATAGAGCTCGAACTCATAAATTTAACTAAAAAAATAAGTACGCAGTGAAGTTTTGGAGCAAGCTAAACTCCGCTCCCACTCTAGCCACTATAGTCCCTTTTGGGTAGAGCCAAAAGAGCCGGGGCTATAACTAACAAACAAACACTTATTTCATTTTATAGAAAAATTCTATATATAAACTTTTTAAGTCAACACATGAGCTTGCCTTTCAAATAGATGTTCGAAACAAAGAAGGAAATAGTTCAAAATAGGATACGCGGAGGCTTAGAATTTCACACGTGGGCCTATCTAAACATTTTCATGGATCATGCATACATTCGCGCGCATATTAGACACACGTAATAGTTAAAAATTTTAACACCGATTTTATTCCTAGAGTATCAATGTATGTTATAAAACAAACATGTATGATACTTGTTTAAACAACAAACATCAATAAAAAAAATGATCAAGTTGTAAATAAATTCGTAAAAAGATGGAAAGAAAAAAAATCATCGTCCCTGTGACTGGCGAGTTGGCGACTGTCCTCGCATTCAACGGACAACGGCCCATCAAGTCCATTGCCTCAACCCTAGTCCCCAACTCCGCCCCCACCGCCGCAGGCGCGCCGCCGCCTCGCCGACCCGTCGCCGTCGTCGTCGCCGCCTCGCCACGCCTCATCATACCCCTGTAACATCGCGTCCGCCACCTCGCTCGCGGCCATGGTGGACGCGGCGGCGGCGGCGGCGGAGTGCGGCGAGCTGGACGGGACGGACGCCATGGCCTACGGCGACGACCGGACGCCGCGGGACGGGATGGTGTTCAAGTCGTACGAGGAGGTGCTCAACTTCTACAAGCGCTACGCCCTCCGCACCGGGTTCGGGGTCTGCGTCAAGAAGTCGTCCTTCACCAAGGCCGGCCTCTGCCGCCGCCTGGTGCTCGTCTGCAACAAGTGGGGGGACGGGAAGGAGGACGCGTGCTACCAGGCGAGGCCGACGGCCAAGACCAACTGCCAGGCCACCGTCGTCGCGAGGCTCTGGAGCGATGGCCTGCTGCACCTCATGGATGTCAATCTGGAGCACAACCACGCGCTGAATCCCTCCGCGGCGCGGTTCCTGAGGTGCTACAAGACGTTGCCTAGTGGGATGAGTAAAGATCTGGTGGTGAGGGCTGCCAGAGGGGAATGCTCGACCTCCGGCGACATCGAGGTCCCGATATTCGATGATTGGGGGAGGCTCAAGATTGGGGAAGATGATGTAGCGGCCATCAATGGCTTTTTCGCGGATATGCAGGCGAAGCAGGCGAACTTCTTCTATCTCATGGATTTCTACGGGGAAGGCCATCTGAGGAGTGTTTTTTGGGCCGATTCGAGGTCCAGGGCAGCGTACCAATATTTCAACGACGCTGTTTGGATTGATACAACCTGCTTAAGAAATAGGTTTGATACACCCCTTGTTTTGTTCCTAGGGGTGAACCATCATGGTGAGCTTGTTCTGTTAGGCTGTGGCTTGTTTTCGGATGAGAGTACGGAAAGCTTCTTATGGCTGCTGAAGTCGTGGTTGACTTGTATGAAAGGATGGCCTCCGAATGCCATAGTTACGGATGATTGTGCCGCGATAAAAGCCGCAGTTCGTGAAGTATTTCCAAATGCACGCCATCGAATAAGTGATTGGCATGTGTTAAGAAGTATCTCTGAAAAGTTAGGAGAATCAGCACAATTTGAAGGAATGAAGACCGAATTGGAAACTGTAATATATGATTCCTTGAAGGATGACGAGTTTGAGGCAAGGTGGAATAACTTGATCAGTAGATTTGGCCTTCAGGATAATGAATGGATCACTTTTCTGTATGAAAATCGCCATTTCTGGGTCCCCGCCTTTCTGAAAGATACCTTCTGGGCTGGGTTATCTACTGTTAACCACCATGAGAGTCCAAATGCCTTCTTTGAAGATTCAATCAACCCAGAGACCAAATTGGTGACATTCCTTAGCAGCTATGTGAATCTTTTACAGAACAAATACAAAATGGAGGAAGATGATGATCTTGAGTCATTGAGTAGAAGCAGGGTGCTAGTATCGAAGTTTCCTATGGAAGAACAGCTATCTAGACTATACACCTTTAAAATGTTCACTAAACTCCAGAATGAGCTGAACGCAACCATGAATTGTGAAGTTCAGTTGGATGATTCAACATCCTCCATTGTAGTTATTGATCTAGCTGAGTCAAGCGGAGAAATGGTGAATAAAAAATATGAAGTCGTTCACTGTATGGAGACCGACAGGATGGAATGCAACTGTGGCCTGTTCCAGTTCAGTGGCATTGTTTGTCGGCATACATTATCGGTGCTTAAATGTCAGCATGTTTTTGATATACCCCCCTGTTATGTGCTTAACAGGTGGCGGAATGACTTTAAGCAGCTTCACGCCTTAGATAATCCATGGAAGGATTTGGTAACAAGTAATCATATTGAGCGCTATGATTATGTTTCTTTGCAGTGCCTCCGTCTTGTTGAGATTGGAGCATCATCAGATGAGAAGCATCAGCATGCATTAAAATTAATAAGAGACATACGACGGACCCTTCTTGATGATAATTTGTGCCGGGAATTGGAGCAGAAACTTACACCATCTGAACGTGCTATTAATGGTGACAGCCACATGCAAGCTGGCTCATCTGAGGGAGGGCCAGCAAAAAAGCGCCGTGGCCGTCCTCCCAAAAAGAGTAAAGATACAAATGTGGAGTCCGTGTCAAATCAATATGCCCATAAGGTATCTCCTTACGTCGACTATGTGTACTTTACGCTAGTTTGTTATTTGTACTAATCGAGTTCATTCTTGTATTGAAGGATTCTTTACTGGTATCATCGGACGTTAGTCAGAAGGATGCTTTTCATTCTTCTTCTACTGCCTCAAATCTTGGTACTCATGTCAGGACAAATGGTGTTGTTGACCTTATGGTAGTAATTATGATCGATGCTGGGTTTTGTTCCGTACATTGTTTGGTATGATAGTCTTGACTATGTAGTTACTTTTTATTGTGTACCTTCCAGGAAGAAGTTAATCCAAATGAGCTATCTTTTGATAGCCGTTATGGGGTGCAGTCTAGCCACCCACACCATTATGGCAATCAGCTGCATCCAAGCAACACTATGCAGGTTTTTTTTTTCTTTTCAACAAGAAGCTTGCATTTCCATTTATGATTTTTCTCCCACATGTGCAACTGACAAAAAGAAGTAAATAATTTCTTAAAATTGGATAGTTTGGCCAAACTACATCAACAGCAGAGCACTCTAGAGTCCAGTGGATGTACCAGAATATATTTCAGGTGGATGCTTACTTTGCATTTCTAGTACTTTTGTAGAGTTTGCCAGAATCAACATTTTACTGTAGTAATGTGATTTGTATATGCACTTATGTGTTATAATAAATGTAGGACGATCAAGTGCCTTATGGCAGACGGACATGACAGCAATCAAATACTGGGTTCAGATGGTGCCATTTCAGGTTTCTTTCTCATTTTAGTTACTGTACCATTTTAGGGTTCTGACTTCTGAGCTCTAACTCCGAAGCAGTCCCACCATCAGCTCATCAGTCATCACGATTGAATGTTGCAAATTTTGATGAGCAGAGCATGGAAACAAACAGATACACTCAAAATTGTACGATATGTAGGCAAGTCTTCTACACTGTAAATTCAGGAACCCTGTATTTTGTAGTTAGATACCCCCAAACTCAATGGTAATGATACTTCACAGTTCACATTCACACTCTTGGGCACACAAACATTGATGGATAAAATTGAGATGTTGTAGGGGCAGAAATATTTCATAAACCCAGGAAATTCTGAATTTAATTAGTCCCTGTGACTACGGCATCATGTTCTCTACTAATATATGATTCACCATAACTTGGCACTGACCATAACATATATCAAGTGTTAATAGATCTGCGTCATGTGCAGTCATCTGTTGAATGGCTGTACATCTTTTTTTTTTTATATGTTGTGTCCATTCCTACCTTTTCTATTTATCAGCATAATAATTACTTACGGAGTTCACTTATATGCATGTATAGGAAAATTACTTAAGGCACCTGCAACTGCACCGTCTGAATCAATGTGAATTTTGGAGTTCCTGTATTTGATAGTGTGTAACATATATTGAAATTATAGCCTTTTGTTTTGCAATTCAACACATTAACTGTTGCCTCGCTAGAGAAGATACAGAGAAACACCTTCCAACTAGTTTGGCTATCTGGAAATTTCAGCATTTCAAATACTAAGCTCATTGCATATACTGGATAAGGAAGCTATGTTGTTTCTAATCAGGAGATAGCATTCCTTCTGGGACATTTCCAAATTCTGAGACTAATTTCTAATGATTATCTTTCACGCCGCAGGTTTTCATCAGACATACAGAAGGAAAGAACTCTTTCTCAAGAAAACAAACTCAAGGGAGGCATTCCCCTCTGGATGTAGAGCAGATCTAACATCAGAATAATCGGAACACAGTAATGTGGCACAAACTGGTCATTTTGTCTCGTCTATAGAAAACTAGGAATGTAGTCATGTTACATCTCAGATCTTGAAGCAGCTAAAATTCGGTCGCTTTCTCGTAAGCAGTGACCTAGCTTGAAATTTAGTCTAATCAAGAGTACTCCTCCATTGACATGTGAATTCTTTCGTTTGTTCTTGTGTAAATACCCGAGCGGTGAACATTGAAGGTAAAGAAAAGACCAAGCCTGGGGATCATTCTGCATATTTTGTTACCTCCCATTATTGTGATTGTTATGCATCATAATCGTTGCAGATCCTGAAGATGTGCGGTAATTATTGATGTAGAGGTAGGCACAACTGGAAAAGAAAATTGGTAAATAGCTGGCCACTCCATTTTTTATGGAAGCTGTCATCATAGTTATGGTTGATGTACACCAGCCGTGAATCCTGTGGTGATTACTGGCTACCGATTCATGGAGGAGTTTGATTGATGGCGTTCTTATTGAATATTTGGATAGGACGTATGCACGTACATTTGTCTCAAGAAAATACTTGCGTAGTAATGTATTAAATTTTTAGCGGCCTTTACGGATGGCAACGGGTCGGGTCGGGCACGGGTAGAGCAAAACCATGCCTGAACCCATGCCCGTCGTCGCCCGTCCAAACCCTACCCACTAGGGTTAGCGGGCAAAACTCTGTGCCCGCACCCATGCCCGACGGGCACTGGTATACCTGACGGGTACCCAATGGATCTCACATGAATAGTAACTCGAAAGATACATAATTTAACAAAGAGAAATAAAATCAACAATTTACCAATTTATCAGTTATCAACAATAATTTGAATTACATCACAACTTATTAGTATTAGTTAGTATCACAAATGAATCAAGAGAAGGGGGTATAAGAATTAAGAGATAAGTCGAAATTAGCTAATACATATGTATCGAGTCGGGCATGGGTTACCCATAGGCAAAAAATGAAACCCGGCTGTTGCCCACGATGTCTACGGATTTCGGGCGGGCGTGTCCACAGGTAAAAAATCACACCCACGCCCATGCCCATTGGGTCGGGTATCCGCGGGTACCCGACCCATGGGCAAAATTGCCATCCCTTACCAATGAAAGTTATATATGAAAGGCTAAATTTATGGGTAAAACTTTTATATATGTTCTAGCCAATACCCAAAAATAAACTACGATAAAAAAACATCAAAATCATTTTAAAATTTAGTGGCATTTGGAGATTACCTATCAAAGTTATACATGAAAGGCTAACTTTATGGGTAAAACTATATATATATGTTGTAGCTAATACCGAAAAATAAACTACGATAAAAAAACATCAAAATCAATTTAAAATTTAATTAAGAAATAGATTACGATGAAAAAACATCAAAACAAATTTAAAATTAAGTTTTAAAGTTTAAATGTTAGTTACGGTTGATAAGCTAAAGAGGCTGATGGAGTGTCTATAAATATAGTGCGTGTTTGGCACGAACATATGTGCGTGTAGCTAGCTGATCAGTGACTCGAGGCCGGGGCACATGGCGTCGGCGATCGTCGACGTCGCCGGAGGCGGCCGGCAGCAAGCCCTCGACGGCTCGAACCCGGCGGTGGCACGGCTGCGTCAGCTCATCGGCGGCGGCCAAGAATCGTCGGATGGGTGGAGCAGGTGCTGGGAGGAAGGCGTGACGCCGTGGGATCTCGGCCAGCGGACGCCGGCCGTTGTCGAGCTGGTGCACTCCGGGACCCTCCCCGCCGGCGACGCCACCACCGTCCTCGTCCCCGGCTGCGGCGCCGTACGTGTTCAAACTAGCTAACGTCGTCGTCGTCTCCCCATCGTTCAAACTACTATAGCTAGTATTTTGCTCTTCAGCTTATGAACTGTAACTAAAATTTAAAATTTAATGTTCTTTTTATCGTTTTTGTTTGCGTGGTTTATTTGAATTTCCATCTCTCCAACACTCGTACTTACGTACGTGTGCAGGGATACGATGTGGTTGCACTGTCCGGCCCCGGCCGCTTCGTCGTCGGCCTCGATATCTGTGACACGGCCATCCAGAAGGCGAAGCAGCTGGTAATTTAATTTATTTAACTAAATCTATTCTCATCAAACAATTGTGCAAATAGGGTAACAAAATGCATGAATTAATTTTGGCAGTCGGCGGCGGCGGCGGCGGCGGCTGACGGCGGCGACGGGAGCAGCAGCTTCTTCGCCTTCGTCGCCGACGATTTCTTCACGTGGGAGCCGCCGGAGCCGTTCCATCTCATCTTCGACTACACGTACGTAATTGTACCATGTTTGTTTATTTTGTACTAGTTTAATCAAAGATTTACGTGTTGCTTTCATAACTCTTTAATTACTTTTTGAACGAATTTTAACTCTTTAATTATTGGTGCTTCATTAAAAATTTCAGATTCTTCTGTGCTCTGCATCCGTCGATGAGGCCAGCATGGGCGAAGAGAATGGCCGACCTGCTACGACCGGACGGAGAGCTCATCACCCTCATGTATTTGGTAATTAATCGACGGTATCAACATGTCTAAAAATAATAATAATATCAGCCCCGATAAGAACTAACCAAAATTAACCTGATTTTCTAAATTTGTTCCTTCATTACATATTTACATATGCATGCAGGCTGAAGGACAAGAGGCCGGGCCACCATTCAATACAACAGTGCTCGAGTAAGATCATGCATATTGATCTTTGTACAAATGAAAAATGAAAAAAAAATAGATGTCACTTGATCATCAGAAAAATAAATCCGCTTTCCCATATAGTTATATGTTCCACAGACACGTAACTGTTCTCCAGTATATAGAAATCTGATCACAAGTCTGCTATACCATGCATCATGCAGTTACAAGGAGGTGCTGAACCCGTTGGGTTTAGTCATTACTTCTATCGAGGACAATGAAGTCGCAGTTGAACCACGAAAGGTGATTAGTTAACAAAGAACATGAATTATTACATATCACCATATTGCATTAACATTATTTGCTTATTAAAAAAACATTTCGGTTCTACTTTACTCAACTCATGGCCTATAACATCTGCTGTATGTATGGAGTAGTAGTTACTACTCCCTCTGTTTTAGATTATAAGACATTTTGACTTTAGTCAAAATCAAATTGTTTTAAGTTTGACTAAGTTTATAGACAAATATAGTAATATTTATAATACTAAATTAGTTTTATCAAATCAACAATTGAATATACTTTTATAATAAATTTGTCTTGGGTTGAAAATGTTACTACTTTTTTTATAAAATTGGTCAAACTTTAAACACTTTGACTTTGACTAAAGTCAAAACGTCTTATAACCTGAAACGGAGGGAGTAGTTAGCTAGCTATGTACCACAGTAAACCCAATCTGATGATACTTTAACCTCGATTAATTTCCAGGGGATGGAGAAAATCGCAAGGTGGAAGAGGATGACAAAATCCGACTAATAAGATAGTGGAGGACGCGCGCACTCCTTGTTCGCAGCATAATATGTCTACGTCACCCGCACATGTCTCTAATAAAAAGAAGGAAAGAAGGAAAAATGAATTTAATGGGCCTGATTCGAGCTTGTGCATCCGTGTAAATACATAATATAGTGTAATTATTCTATACATCTCTATGCAAAATGTATGGCGTGGCTTAATTGTTACAGTAAATTAATTACTTTTGTCTTCTATTACTACTCTCGAATAGATCTCTTTCCCTGTGAATTACACCATTATTTAGCTCACTCCTCTTTCTAAATCTGTTTCTCAAAAAAGAAACTTCTTTTCCCTTTCAACTGATTGGATTTTTTAAAAACTGAATTGGTCGTCAATTATGTGGCACTCTTATGGAGTAAATATTTGCCTTCCAATAAATAGGAGTATGAGTATACTGTTTCCAAAAAAGAATAGTATAAGTATGTTCCGTATGCTATTGAACTGCGTTATAGATCTGTCATCTTCTTTGACAATACATTGATGAATTTAGACACAAATGCATAGAGAATGGAGCAAACTGCCATCAGAAGCAGGTAAGGATTGCCATACAGGCGCAACAAGTTGATCTCACAGCCACAAGGCCACAACAAACGGTGTTTCAGTCTGCTTCCAACAAGCAATGCACATTTTTCCTAGGTCGGTTTCCTTGATTTAAACAAAGGGCTATTCACACATGTAATCTACATCACCATTGGGGATGTCCTTGGGAAGTAGCCATGTTAAAAAGCCCTCATTGGTGTCTCCTCTTAGCCTCTGGGATGAATACTCCACAAGCATGTCCCACAACTCGCCAACCGTCCACCTATGGCGCAATATCCACTGGGTCACCTGTCGCAGTATGATGGGGCGAAAAAAAAAGAGAGGTATGAACATAAGAACACCAGAGGCTTAGCAAAGAATTGCTGTATGGATTAACATAAATTGGAAGATCATGTCTCCAGGTTGAACATCACAGTAATTGTTTTTATTGTGCAAATTATTTTATTAAACTTTCTAAATGTGCACCAGACCACATCAATGACTGATTCAAGGAGACACTCTATTGGAGGATCTACACCCCTTAACCCCAAAGGATATAGGGTTTTTAAGTTTTACCACTAAGGCCTTGTCAAGAGAGAGGGATTACAGGAGATTGAGGGGAAATAATTCAAAACCACGATAGGTGTCGAATAAATCCCCTCTAATTCCCCTTCAATCCTCTTGGGAAAGGGGTTGAATGAACAAGGCCCAAGAGAATTTTCATCTCGTTTTGTCACTAAGCTGAACATCCCTCTCACTTTTTCCACTCAATTGAACTAGCCCCAGTGGCTGAAACAAAATAGACGGCAAATCTGAGATATCATAATTTCCTAGTGGCAAAAGCAAAAGTATCCAAAGGCTAGAAATCATAGAATACATTCACAGAGCCATGGACAGCACAAGACATGGAGCTTACAATTATTCTTAAGATTTTACTGCTAAAATGAAACAAGTACTTTCGTACAGCAAACATAAAATGTAGGAAGGGTCGAATAGACATGCATTACCTCTTCTAATCTTTTCAGTGATTCGGACTCAAAAGTGTAGTAGTTAATAAAAGATCGGAGTGCCTGAAAAGCAAGAACATACATGAACACTCCAATGATGTAATTACATGAAATAATCGGTAAAAATTTAAATTATCGAACATTTTCGCTGTACCTGTGATGCAGCAATCCATTGAATCATGCTCTTGATTTCAGGGTTTCCACCAAAAGCCCCGCAACCCCAGTTTCCAGTTGAAACTCCTATGCATTCATCAGGAATGACACTTGGACAGTTATCCTTTGTATTTAAATCCTGAACCATGTGAAGAAAGTTAAGACATAACTAGAACAGACTGCTTAAGTACTTCTGATGCCATGATATGCATTAAGTTACTGCATCAATCTGAACATAATACTGAGCATATTATGTCAGGTCTTATTTAAGATCATATAATCAGGCAACAGAGTGTGGATTTGTTTGAATCGCCCTTAATTACTTCAATGGTTTACAGACAGAACAATGTGATAGGGACAAGCAGATTCCGATAAGTCAATTTAACTTAAGCAGAGAATGCAACGTTGACTAATAGACCATGATGCTTGTCACTTGTCAGTGCTTGAATTAAAAAGTGAGTTTTGTTAACAGCAAACTCCTGAGGTATCATTGCTCAAATACCTGGACAAGCTTTGCACAGAGCTGATGATTTGATTGATCCAAAAATCCACAAAAAGCCTTGTTCACTTCCCTGCGTACAGATTTACCATAAATAAAAATAGTAGAAGAATGCTAAAAATATATAGTATTTTTCTTAGAGAGGCTGTGAATAGTTGAAATGACAGGTAGCTAGTAAAATATGAAAGTTATACAGATTTAAGTGAAACTGAGTGAAACAAGAACAAGGCATACCTTAGAAGACCACTAGATTCAAACTGTAACCTAGTTGGACAGTCCAAAGCATCAATTGCCACTATCCTAGTTTTCCGTCTACCCATCGCATCAAAGGGTTTGCTATCTAAGTAGTCACCAGTAAAACGGAATGAGGAACCATACCTGTAAAAAGCAAGTTAAGAGTTTATACCACGTAAAAATCATCACAAGTTGTAAAGAAAAGCATCCATAAATCACGCCGGTTGATAATTGATATATGCTGTGGAGTTTATTTCAACCAATGATCTAGATCAAGAAATGGTGGATAAGTGTTTAAAACTAACCCCATGTACTGTGAGAACCTTTCTGCACCAACAATTTCTATAGCTTCATTATCTTCCATTGAAACCATGAAGAGCATGCCCACGATCAATTCTGGGTTTATCATGAACCGGATTTCTTCCTTCAGCACAGAAAATACATCATTCATAAGGGAATCTCGAAAACATTTATATGAATGTCATTTTTTATACAAAACTGAGGGCACTTCAATTCACATCATACACCCATGCAATTAAAAATCAGTTATGAAGCGTCGTGACTAATTTCCCAAGTACACATAATATGACAGATAAGCTACATAAAAGAATGCAGCAATGTGCTGTACAACTGAATGATTTGGGAATAAACACCACATAACTAATGCAAGGCAAGCTCCAGATGGAGGCACTTTTACAGAGTTGAAGATCAAGGGAGTAAGATCTGCAAAAGAAAGAAACCTGCACGCAGCCTCTGGAAAGTGCGCCACCTCCCAAATATCTATTTGCAAAGTCAACTTCAAGGGCTTCTTGTTCCTCATCTTCTATCAAGCCTGAGGAAAATACCTACTAATGAAAATAAACAAAACAATCAGCAGGTTTCATCACACCAGTTAAAACATTTGAGATGTTTGAATAATCATAAAGGCAAAGGAACGCCCAATTTTTATCTTGATAATCATAGTTTTATATGATATAAAGGATTGTTGATGGGTTAACTAATTTACCATCTCTTCACAAGATTTACTTCTTATGTAACAAAAGAAAGAAGTCAGTAAAAGGGACTCTAAATTTTGAAACGCACCCGGAATGTGCAAAGGGGAACACCAGATTTCATCCAAGTATCCATGTCAGGGTACGTAATGCCATCAGATTCAGGACGGCGAGGAAGAACCTTACGCTCAAACGAAACGGAACCAGTAGGTGTAGAAGCGGTCACCCTGTCAAAATAGTGAACAAGGCACCTCACCTTCTGCTCCTGGCTTTGCCTCGAATTATAACACAGTGCCCTATGGATCAATCAGTAAACCACAAAAGCATAACCAATAAGCTCGAAAAGTTCAATCATTTAGCCCAAATGTACCAACTCTAAGAAAACTAGATCAAAATGGCAGTGGAATTACGCAAATAGGCTATCGAAATTGATCGCCGGGAGGCACGCCTCGGCCCTATCGGCGGTGGGGAACAGGCAGAAGAGCGCGCAGGCGAGCAGCGCGGCGGCGAGCTCCTGGCTGAGGAGCACGAGCCCGGCATCCTGCGAGCTCAGGATGCGGAGCCCGCGAGCCTCGTCGCCGGCGGCGCGGTAGTGGCCCTCGAGCAGCGTGGGGAGGCGGAGGAGGAGGCGGGCGAGGGAGGGGGCGACGTGGTCGAACCAGTCCCGCGCCTGCGCCCGCGACAGGAGGTCGTCGAAGAAGAGCGCGAAGCCCTCGGCGGCGCGGCGCGGGAGTGGGTCGAGGTTGAGCGCGAGGCGGAGGTCGGTGAGGGCGTCGGCGAGGACGTCGCCGGAGGAGACGCGGCTCACGTCGGGGCCCAGCGCCAGCGCCTTGAGCGCCTCCTGCGCCGCCGGCGGCCAGAAGAGCGCGCCGCCGCGGAGCACGACGGGGAGGTAGGGCAGGATCGAGCGCAGGTCGCCGCGCGCCTCCATTGCTGCTCCTCCTCGAGCTCGACCTTGCAATTTGCATGAACCCCCCGGAAATCGAAAATATTTTCGAATCAGTCTCGCTTGGATCTAAATGCAATTTTCGTCACAGCTTATCCGTTCCCTCTTCGCCATGGGACGCAATGGCCGCGCTCCCGCCCACGCCTCGGCCTCGGGTCCTCGCGGCGGCGCCGTGCCACGTGCCTTCGCGCCGCCGCCGCCGCGTGTGCGATGGGCTATGCTCGGCGGCGGCGGCGGATAATGGCTGCGCCGAGTCACCGGATGTCGTTCTCGAGTGCAAGCGGCTGAACAGGCTCGTGAAGTCCGGGAGGCTGGCGGATGCTCTCGACCTGTTCGACCGAATGCCGAGGAAGAACGTCGTCGCGTGGACCTCGGTCATGTCCGGGTACACGCGCAACGGGCGCCCCGAGGCGGCCCTAGCGATGTTCGCGGACATGGTGGAGTCCGGCGTCGCGCCGAACGACTTCGCGTGCAACGCGGCGCTGGTGGCGTGCGCCGACCTTGGCGCGCTCCGCGCCGGGGAGCAGGTGCATTCGCTCGCCGTTCGGGCGGGGTTCGCCGGCGACGCGTGGATTGGGAGCTGCTTGATCGAGATGTACTCGCGGTGTGGCTCCTTGCCGGCGGCCAAGGAAGTGTTCGACCGGATGGATTCACCTGACGTGGTTGGGTACACTTCGCTCATCTCGGCATTCTGCCGGAACGGCGAGTTTGAGCTAGCGGCGGAGGCTTTGATCCAGATGTTGAAGCAGGGATTGAAGCCAAATGAGCACACAATGACAACCATTTTGACGGCATGCCCAAGGGTTCTCGGTCAGCAGATACATGGGTATTTGATCAAGAAAATTGGTTTGCGGTCGCAGAGCGTCTACTCGTCGACTGCACTGATCGATTTCTATTCGAGAAACGGTGAGTTCAAACTGGCAAAGGCGGTTTTTGACAGTCTCCACTGCAAGAACGTGGTTTCATGGTGCTCCATGATGCAGCTATACATCAGAGATGGAAGGCTGGAAGAGGCATTGCAAGTGTTCGGTGATATGATTTCAGAGGGTGTTGATCCTAACGAGTTTGCACTATCAATTGTTCTTGGAGCTTGTGGATCCATTGGTCTGGGGCGTCAACTGCACTGCTCAGCAATCAAGCACGATTTAATCACAGATATCCGGGTGTCGAATGCTCTACTGTCAATGTATGGTAGAACTGGTCTTGTCGAAGAACTGGAGGCCATGCTCAACAAGATTGAAAATCCTGATCTTGTTAGCTGGACCACTGCTATTTCTGCAAACTTCCAAAATGGTTTTGGTGAGAAGGCCATAGCATTGCTTTGTCAGATGCATTCAGAAGGATTCACACCAAATGGCTACGCCTTCTCCAGTGTGCTGAGTTCTTGCGCAGACGTGGCATCTCTGGATCAAGGAATGCAGTTCCATTGCCTGGCTCTGAAACTGGGATGTGACTCCGAAATCTGCACCGGAAACGCACTGATCAACATGTACTCCAAGTGTGGTCAGATGGGCTCTGCAAGGCTTGCATTTGATGTCATGCATACTCATGATGTTACATCTTGGAACTCGCTGATTCATGGCCACGCACAGCACGGTGATGCAAACAAGGCACTGGAGGTATTCAGCAAGATGCGTTCCAATGGCATCAAGCCAGATGATTCGACATTTTTGGGAGTCTTAATGGGTTGCAATCACTCTGGTATGGTAGAGGAAGGAGAGCTGTTCTTCAGACTGATGATCGATCAGTACAGCTTCACGCCAGCACCTTCTCACTACGCTTGCATGATCGACATGCTGGGCCGAAACGGCAGATTCGACGAGGCACTGCGCATGATCAATGACATGCCCTTCGAGCCTGATGCCCTGATATGGAAGACGCTGCTGGCATCTTGCAAGCTGCACAGGAATCTGGACATAGGGAAGCTTGCTGCAGACAGGCTGATGGAGCTTTCAGACAGAGACTCCGCGAGCTACGTGCTGATGTCGAACATCTACGCCATGCACGGAGAATGGGAGGACGCCAGGAAGGTGAGGAGGAGGATGGACGAGACCGGCGTCAAGAAGGACGCCGGCTGCAGCTGGATTGAGATCAACAACGAGGTGCATACGTTTGCTTCAAGAGACATGTCTCACCCGAACTCTGATTCCATATATCAGATGCTAGGAGAGCTTGTTGCCGTGATGCAAGATTTTGACGAACTTGAACCGTTTGATGTACATATATGCTGATTTAGATGCCACTCCAGATAGTATCAAAGAAAGTAAAGTTTCTTTCTTTTCGGATCAAGAAAGTTTTATGTGCTGTGTTTGCTAAATAAAAGATGTATACCAATTTTATTTAGGTAAGGGGAGGGCGTATGATCAAATTGCCCTTGTGTATATATCAAAGCCCAAAGGTTTCCTCTTTTGGCAGGCGGCACCACTCCTCCTCATCTTCCTCCATTAATAGCGGCGGCGGCAGGAGGACGCACGTTGCCGCGGTGCCGCCTTCACTTCTTCCCCAACACCAACAGATCGAGAATCATGGTTTTCCAATGTTGCTTTACTGCCATGGGAAAGATGCGGAAATCTAAGAGGACGGCTGATATAATCTCACAAGAAGCTCCAAGAACGAAGGAGAGATAAGCAGTACTAAGTCATTGATCTCAGGTCCGCTGGTTTTCCTATTTTCTGCATATCTTCTTGTACCGTATAACCCTATTTGAGTACTAACACTTGTGTTGTATGTATATATGGCGTTTTAACCAGGCGACTTAAATTCGGGCTCTAATCAAGATGTCTGGGCTATTCTCAGTGTTGAAGTTGCATCAAATTTGTCTAAAAGCGTTGTCTCACTCACCTTGTCTGATGGTAATTATATGTTTTGCTATTGTTATACATTGTCAAATTTATATTTGAACAATGTCCCCTGTTATAAATGGTTTAACCTGCGATCTTGTGTAGGAAACACACTGATATATGCATGCTCGGGCATAGCTATCGAGTGCCAGGAGGGGTCTGGTACAATTTTCCTGACCTCGGCTAGTTTGGTAACAGCTTTCTATGATACTGAAGAAGTCTATGATAACTTAAAGGTGGTGCTTGTTGTCATCCTTTACTAATTTTTGCTTGTTTGCTTAGGATATTTTGTGACTCCTTTCTTGCTTTGCCATTATAGATTGAAGTGCGCCATGAAGGCAATGAAGTGCTCAAGGGTTATTTGGCAAAATATGATTTAGACAAGAACTTTGCTGTTGTCTACACCATGGAATCTCTTGATGTTCATATTGTACTTACCGAAAATTCGAGGGATAGGTATATCAACAAAAAGTTAGTAGCTGTAGGGCGTGACAAACATGGCGTATTAATGGCCAAAAGTGTGATGGTGGCTGGTTGTCGTGATTCAAACAGATCTGAAGATAGCAAAGAAATTAGGTTGATCTCTGAGGTAAACTCGCATAATGATACAAGCACATCTTAACCTTTTTCTGTTACTATATCTATATGCACTAAACTTTATTATCAGGCCTGTAAAAGTGGAATTTTTTTTCTATGTGAATGTTGTTCAATATCACTTCCTTTTGTTCAAATGGAGTCCTTGTTGACCATCACTTTATATTTGTGTTAGGACTGGGAAGGTGGACCGCTTTTTGATTTTGATGGGAAATTTGTTGGCATGAATCGTTTTTCGGTTATGGATAGAACATCTGTCCTGTCATGGGTCTCAATTCTCATTATTTTGAAGCATTATTTGCCATCCCTGCAAAACAGGATTCTTAAACGGTTACAAAATGTCAAAAGAGTCAGGTATGTCTTTGCTTATGTTTGATCCTCATTGGTTCACCCACTTTATTACCCTGCATGTGTTCATACGGTAGGCTGGTTTGCATGTCAAACAACATATGAGCGAATTTGTTCTTCAATGATCTGGATTGTTAGCTGCTGTTCCTTTTTATAGGTCCTCAAAACTTCAGATCCTCTTTTTTATCTTTTTCCTTTTTCTCCTTGCCTATGATGCTACCCTGTAGGTGTTGGCATTGTGTTATGCACTGGTATGACCCGTTTTACCTTTGGGTTGGTGTTCTTCTGCAGGGATGGAGAGAGACCCACAGGTGAGCTACCTGACTATCATCAAGAAGGTGAGCACAGTGCCATAGTGCCATACCTTGGCACCACCAAACATGCATGCAAATTTTGGTTGTATGTAATGGTATCTATTTTTAATATTAGCTTTTACATTTGAACTTTCTAATTTTACATGAACTTATCGCATTTAGTTAGTGTATCTCAGCGCTAATCACTTGGCCTTGTGCAGCACCAGTACATAGATGTGGTCTCAACACAGAACAGTTTGGGTATCTAAACTCCATGGGTTATCCCAAGCCGCCAATAAATGTGTTAGACGGTGAGTCATTGTTTGTAAATTTGCTAACTTATCGCGCATCACATCTTTCTACAGTTTACTACTACGAATTAATGACTATTCTACCATGTATCTTCTACCAGATGGTATGATTTTGGCTAATTCTTTTGAAGAGACTTTTGGAGATTTATGTGGTGAAGATCTTTGGAGTGAAATCAATAAAAAGGTTCCTTGTGACATACATCAAAATGTTGTTGCACTTGCTTCATTCAAAGGTGATTTTACACTAATTAATGTGCTATATTGATTTTCCCATTTCATATTTGTATTCGGTTGTCACTAATAAATAATAATCAAATGTATGCATGATAATGCATGGTATGCAGGAAAAAGGAGGTCTTTTGCATGCACGGTTTCTTTATTGAATGGAAGGGATGTACAACTATTCTGACATCTGCGAGCTTGGTTAGAGAGTCTGATGATGGAAACAAGATTGATGAAAACTTGAGGGTGGGTGCTAATCATGTAGCTCCTCCTAATTATTTTGCTCTTTATTTTTAAGTCTCACTCACTTATTCATCAATTTATTTGCAGATTGAAGTGTTGCTTCCAAACAAACAACTTAGAGAAGGAACACTACAGCATTATAGTTTACACTACAATGTTGCTCTAGTGAGTGTTAAGGACAAGGATTTCCATGCTCGTCCAGCAAATATTCAGCTTGATCATAATCATGGACCTGGAGTAGCAGCCGTAGGGCGTTGCTTCGAATCAGGCAAATTAATGGCTGCACGGACGGATGTTGTTGATTGGTCGGGCACACTTGATTGTGAGATGTTCCTTATACGTTCCTCATGCAAAATCACTAAGGTACATACCGCTAGATAGCTGTTGATTTTAAATCTCTAGCATGTTTTTACATGCACGGTGAAAATTTATAACCATCGCGTTGGTTTGTAGGCAGGGATTGGAGGACCTCTTGTTGACTTAGAAGGGAAAGTTATTGGCATGAACTTCTATGATAAGAAGATAGGAACCCCTTGCCTGCCATGGAATGTGATTCTCATGGTTCTGGCATGTTTTGAGAAAGAAAAGTATTCGTAGATTTCTTTTCTTTTTTTTTGGTTATTTAAGTGCTTGCAATAAAATCTATTCGATTGTGTGTTTGACAGTAGCGGTGGTGAAGTTGGCAGTGGTAGTGATCCATGTGGTGCGCCTGGCTGGAAAATCCCTCGAGATGAGAGTGTCAGGCTAAACAGGTTGGTTTTCTGATAAATCTCAACAGTTAACACTTAACACTACCAATTTACAGGGTCTCATATTATTTTCTGATCGCATTGCATATATTGGAACTAAACTAATAGGTGGCCTGTGCCCCTGCCATATTGGCGTCCTCATGACGATGTGGATGAACAAGAACCCCCAGAAGGCTGTGAGCACATCTACACATACATAAATGGTGAAAGATATTGTTACAGGTAGAATCTGCTTCTTCTACTCTGTCTGTTGGATCTACTACGACGCCGTTTGCTAGCGGAGCTTGCTGCCGTGATTCAAGATTTTGATGAGCTTGAACTGTTTGATGTACATATGCAGATTTAGACGCCAGATGTAATATATATTACTAAAGAAAGTTTATTCGAATCAAGAGATCTTTGTGTTGTGTGTTTGCTTCTGCAGAATTTCCTGGTATTTCGGGATTCCTAATTGGATGTGGAAAACGATCAGGAACCCTAATTCTTGCCGGCCCATGGTCATGGAGCCTGAATCTGAAACGCATAAGATGTGGATGCGTTATATGTGGAGTTAATTTAGTACCACAACGCCAAATCAGGCGGGAGGTTGGACGTCCGGGGGTATAAAGGAAGAGGCAAGGGTACCTCTGCTGCATACTTACCTGGACGGGGTCGATGGGTGATCAATAAGGCCCATGGCCTGGGCTAATGGCCCACATTGCACTTGGTGGATGCGTTGGCCTACCATCTCCCCAAGTGGGAGAGTGGACGTCATAATTTGTGGTAGAGGGGGTACGCGTTCGCGCGGCCCCTTCCAAATTTATACAAAATTTTGATTGGCTTCATTTTGAATCAATCCCCTACCAAATTTATCTAAAATTTTGATTGGCTTCATTTTGAATCGAAACTACTTCTGCTTTTCTTGGCTGAATTTTGAATCGTTTAAGACTAAAGCTTGTGCTCTGAAAATACTTAATGGGATCATAGGACTTTGCATAATCTGGAGACCGGAATGCACCCAACTGAGGATAGGATGTACCGTACAATGCATCCAGCCATAATAAAATTGCAATCTTGGAACTCGAAAGTTCCCAGTTTCAGTTTGAGGATAGGATATATCATCAAAGATTGTCGCAGCCACATATGAAATTCAGAACATGTTGCATCTATTGAAAGTTCAAACGATGTCTGGAGTATTTGACACCTCTGAAGTGAAGCTGTGGAAAAGAGAGGAAGCAGTATTCTTGCACCTACAGACCAATGTACAGCACAAATCTCAAACCGCAAACCTAAGGTAGCAACAAAAGGCAAAGAGAAATCCATGTGATCTGCATCCAACAGAGAACCCCACAAAAGAAACTTCTTAAACCAATTGCAATTACACACAGAATGCGCTGATTACGAACTGGCATGTGCCGGGAGGTCTACCATGAGCTAACATCTTAATTCTCAGTTGCTGGCGCCGGCTCTGAGGCAGCTGGCACTGCTGGTTTTTGTTGAAGCAGAGGAGAGAGCGCCTTGACAACAATGCTCATGTTGGGCCTGAACTCTGCTTCGTATTGGACACAAAGAGCTGCCACCGCAGCAAGCTGCAGATAAGTGCAACCAAGTACATCAACATGACATTATTTCAGGACTGCTACTCCAAATGATGTAAAAAGCATGTGCATCATAGTGTGTGTATGTGTGGGTGGGTGTGAGAGAGAGAGAGAGACGAGAGACTGACCTTAGCAACTCCCTTTGGAGGATATTCACTCTTTAACCTAGGATCTACACATTGTTTGACCTTGTCTTCGCTTAATCTAGGAGTAGCCTGGAGAGAAAAAGTACACAAACAAGTTAAATTTGGAACAACTACCTTTTCTTAAATTTGGAACAACTACCTTTTCTATCTCACTACGGGAGTAGTCTGGCTAATTAGATGGAATCAGAAAAGGTGTAATATGTATTTGAGAAAAAAAAAGGAAAAATGTAAACTATTTGAGAAATCAAGGTTCTCTATAGCAATCCAGATACAGGTTGTTTTTTATTCAAATAATCAAATCCAAAGCGACCTATAAACCTAACTAATTATTATTTAGAAATCATTTAAGTCTAGGATTGTCAGTGTCCAGTTAGCAGACAGTTATTGCTACGATTTGCAGTGCTGATTCATTGAACCTTCAATAAGTTGATGGACTCTGCTAGACGTTCATAGCGGTATTTCAGCATGCTTTTGTTGGCTAGATTCTTTTGTTTCATGTTCCTCAATGATGTCTTCTCTTGCCACTAATTACTTTCTTGGTCTTTACATATAACCAGTAGAAATGAAGAAAATTATTATAATTGACCAAAAAAATTAGCAACCAAAGCAAAAACAAGATAAGAAAACTAGTAACATGTCCGTGCGTTGCAACAGACGAATACAACTGAGAATGGGTTGCATGGGCCCATACGACTGGGAATGGGCTGGATCGAGCATAAGGCGCATACAACTGGTATTTTTCTGTTATTTTCAGGCCTAGAAGGCAGTGCTTGTGTGCTTTGTGACGCGTGGGAAGGAGCGTATGGACGACTCCGCTTTTAGGTGGTAGAGACAACTTACCCAAGTGACTAGACTTTGCTGTCCCCGAGGCATTGTGTGGTCCACTGGTTTCCTTCCAGTCAGGAGTTCCAAAAGAACTACACCAAAACTGTACACATCACTCTTCTGCGTCAGCTGGCCAGTCATAGCATATCTGCGGCAAGTAGGGTTATATAAGTTAAGAGAGGAAATGCATAAAAATACACGGCATCAAGTATTTCCACAACTCATGCCAAGAACACTTATCCTCATTTCGCTGAAACGTTCATCTACCTGGACAAACTAGCAAACAAAAGACTTGTTTCTAAAGAAATTACAATTAACTTACACAAGACGGTGAAAAGATCAAATAACAACAAAACAGATAAAACACAAAATTAGTGAACAGATTTTTCCTTTGTAGGCAGAGGAAAGTAAAGGCATTATGTTTGCTCCAGATATAATAGCTTTGCAGGTAGAAGAAATATCGCAACAAACAAATATAATAATCATAATAATGCTCAAGAGGTCAGTCGTAAAAGGTTCCTGCTTAATTCAGCCTAGGTAATCCAACATGATGTTATAAATCACTTAGATGCATCACACTCATTATGCAAATTAGCAATGTTCTGCATAACTTTCCAGAATGAATGCTGCATGCAGATAGTGGTTCACAGAATATGGAGTATAACATGTCAGTTGACTTCCCCCAAAAAGAAATTAAGGCACTGCCCAAATACTGGTTGTGTTGACAGACCTCTCTCCAAAATGGCATATTCACACCCAAAATAAGTTGGCTTTCCCAAAAAAAAAATATAAGGCACTATCCAAAGATAGTGGTTGTGTTGACAGACCTTAAATGGCATAATCACACCCAAAATAAGTAAAGTTGTTTTTTGGCAACACCTACATGGTACCATTGTCAGCTGTTTTTCAAACAAAAAAAAAAGGTTATGTAAGAACAGCTACATGCATAAATTTCACTACAACCCAAAGGCATTCAATACTTGGTTCTACGTACTATTTGATGTTTCCTGCCAAACCGATTAACTAGATCAGTTTGCTATTCTGCTAACAGAAAAATAGCATACATAGCTTAAGGCCCAAATAAGTACTACAATGTACAAGACAACTCAATATCAATGTATAACAGGATATCATACTATCAAAATGGAAGTGTAATGGCCAAGAAAAAAAAATAGTCATTGCTTGATTAAAACAGTAAGGTCAGAATTACTTGTCATCTCTTGGATACATAGCGAACATTAATTTACTTGCCAAATGTGTAAAAAAAAACTGTTGCAATTATAAAAACCAGACAGATCTTCCACCTCGTCAAGGCCCAGGATCACCAAGTCGGCCTTAGTTTCTAAAAAGTTATACTATGAATTTCTATATTCACTAGCCTCAGCAGTTTTTCATGCAATCTTGTGAAAAAAGAAGTCATCAGTTTGGATCAGGGAGTTCTTTTTCAAAAGAAAAAAAAAAATACCACAACCACTCACACTGTTTGGTCCATTGTCATTTAGGTCAGTAAGTCTCACAGTATTGTGCCATGGCCTCCACATTTGAGGCTTCATGCATGTGGCCCTGGTCGGCAGGGCTGCCAGCCAGCCACTGCCTCTGGTGTTACTTTGGAGGCACTGAGAGTACACAGTTCTGATCTTAGGAGCACATAAGATAGCTCTGGTGATGTCTATTCGATATGAACCTGAAGGTATGTGCACCCTTGCCCATGAATACAACCATACAAGCACAGCAAAAATATGAAAGCAAACTAGACGAGGATAACCTACGAATTTGTTCATCCAAAAAAAACATATCAGACCTTTGACATTTCAAGGCAACAATCCTTAAAGATGGGACCTACCACATTGACAAGAATAGACACCACAGTGACTCTCTCAGTTTTTCAATACACTATGTCAGTATTAACATATTTTAGTTGGTTCAAAACATATATTTTAACTACTGTTGGGCTGGATTAAAAATTGAAGTAAGACGCGATATAGTGAGTTCTATGAAGAAATGCATTGGTATAAATTAGACATTACTCTGGTGCATGATATCCAAAGGTTCCTAATACACGAGTTGAATGAAGGCGTGCTGCCATATCTGGAGCTTGATTTAAGAGATTGAAATCTGCAATTTTTGCCTTGAAGTCCTCAAACAGAAGTACATTGCTTGATCTGATGTCCCGATGAATGATTGAAGGCTGAACCTTCTCATGCAGGTACTCTAAGCCTTTTGCTGCCTCTATAGCAATTTTTACCCTCTGCGTCCAATCAAGTACAGGACCAGGCTGCGCACCTTGAACTCCTTTTCTTCCTGTTGTGTTAAGAGAAGTTGATTATAACTGACCTGGATTTGCATTCCACATGCTAAAGATAGTAGGTGCTCAAGGTCTTACCATGGAGAACATCATGAAGGGAACCCATGGTCGCAAATTCGTATGCCAGTATACGATAATTGCCCTCTACACAGTAACCCAACATCTCCACAAGATTTTCATGCTTTAGCCTTGATGCCTGGGAGACCTAGAGTCCACAAAAACATAAACAAAAGTAATAGCTTTAGAATTGTTGCACTGTCATCAAGTCCTGAGACAGACAAATAGACAATGTGAAATTTAAGCTAAGAAACCTATGATTCTGCAAGTGATCACCTGTTTCAAGAATTCGTCGTTAGGCTCATTTTCAGATGCATCCAATTTTTTAACTGCTGCTTGCCTCCCATCATCCAAAGTGGCATGGTATACTCGTCCATATGAACCTTCACCAATCAGAGCATTTGATCCAAAATTGTCGGTTTTTTGTTTTAAGTCCTCCAGTGACAACTCAGGGACATCAATTGTAAGTGGGGCTATCTCTGGTTCAGGTTGACCAGCAGGAGGTTTTGAAGACTTTTGCTTGGCTGATGAATGGAAACATAACAATATAATCAGAAAGGGTTCAACTTCAACATCAAAACTTCATATCAGCTAGTAGTCATACATCATACACATTCCAAATTATTTACTCAAATAGATCATAGCAGAATATCTTCCAATGTTCAAGTGAAAATAAACAACAGAAAGAACCAAGTCTGTCACAAGAGCATTAACACCCAACTTTACCACCCACAGAACTTTTTGTGAATTAGGCTCAAAAGAATATAAGTGTAATTTGCCTAATGCAACAGTAGCTTGCTATATAAAAGCAAGAACTGGCATTCCACGAACACAGCTTGAAACATCTTCCAGCCAATTTGCATAGGATGGTAAATATAGTGGCGCATATGTTAGTATGGTCCTTACTCCAATTGCATCATAACAAAAGAGGAGTAAAGGATGGTTCTATAGCAATCTTATAATGGGCCAACTGTTACTGAAATTCACATGGAAAACACACGACAAAATAACCGCACCATCCATCTTATTGCCCTGAGCATTGGAGCGTTCCTTCCCATGGTCATCCTCCTCGTCAAAGTGGCAATTACAACAAAACCACTGCCTCATATTGTCTCCTCACAACTTGAACACCTGAACCAAATGCACGGAATAGTTAGCATACGTATAAAGATCAGAGCACATAATTGACCAATGCATTAAATTACGCAAGAAGTACACTTCTGTACAGTGTACAACATCTGTACTCTCAGCAGGTTGGAACTAAGTCAACTAGAGTCTTACTGTTTTCCTCTACGGAAAAGCTTACAGTTTCCAGATTCAACATGCAACAGTGTGGACCAACATGCCTTCTTAGAAGCAGTAAACCTAAAATCTAGTAATCTACAAACCACTGTGAGTACGGCTATTTCAGGTACTATGCGAGCGTAGCAATCCAATCGCTTAAATAAGCAATAATAATAATAATAATAATAATAATCAAAGTGCTAATAACCAGGATGGATTGGGGGTATCCACTCCCAGACAGAAGTATGGATTTGAATTACGCTGACAGCAAAGTGAGAAGCAAAACCCACACTGATGGAACAGCGATCAGAGCAGAGGGCTACCACTCACCAAGCAAACGAAATCACCGCCGGGTTCGATGGCGATGGCGCGACGAGAGAATTCGAGACACCACCAGGGGGAGCTAGGGTTCAGAGGCGAGACGAAGTGGAGCTTGGGCGCGCACAGGCTCAGGGGAGGGTGGAGGAAGTGGCCGGCAGCGGCAGCGGCGGCGGCGGCGGTGGCGCAGCCTCCGCGTCCTGGTTGCCTGCTCGAGTTAAAGCCGCCGTCCTTATGGGAGGGGAAGGGGATTATTAGTATTAATCGGTATTAATCCGGCTCGTTAATTTCGCGATTAGTATTAAGAGCGGCGGGATTAGCAGGCGTGAGGTGGCCGGGAATGTGATTGTGAGCTGGTCGGCTGCCGATTTCCTTGACAGGTGGGGACCAGAGACGTGGGGCCCATTAGTCAGTGCGGTTGGGCTGGAACCAGGTGGCCGTTTTTGGAATTTTCTGGCTGCGCACAACATCAGCGTGGACTGATCCTCCCCGTGTGGGTGACATAGGGGGACAGTGAGCATGTGGGGCCCGCATGTGCTTAGGGGAGGAGCGTGTTAATCCGCCTCCATGTTCGAAATGGATGTGGGGCCCACGACAGAAAACAGCACCGAAAACGTGTGGGTCCCAGCGGCGTGCGCAGATAAAAGCAAGTTTAATAATGTAGCCTACTACTAGCTCCAATTTATCTATAGCCAATCTAATAGCCAATTCATACGATAGTTGCTTGCTATACTATTAATATATGGTCCCACATATCATACACATGTCTTGGAGTCCGCGCTGCAGCTGGCTACAGATTTATAGCCCGCTGCTCTTCTCTCTCATCTTTTATCTCATTAAAATATGCTTATACCTGACTAATAGCCTGCTATTGTACCTGCTCTAAGGGCAATTATTATGGGCATGTGTAAACAGTGAAATTTGGTAATCGGCAAAGACGTCATCGGCTTAGAATCATTATCGGCTGCAGCATCTCGGAATCAGTCGATGGGAGTTATCAAGTCACCAATAGTTGGATTCTTGCTATATTCGGTTAAGGAAATCAATCTACTAAAGAAAGCTTATCCCTAAGTGACCGAGTTTAAAGAGGATGTGGCATGGCAGTTTATCTATTAATTAGGAATAGTTTGTTAGTTTCCTTTTATCTTTAGGAAAGTGTGTTTAGTGTCCGATGAGGACTTGTATTTTCCTTTTATCTTTAGGTTAGTTTCTTTCTTGTCCGACAAGGACTTGTATCAACCCATGGGTATAAATATGTACACCCGGGGTCTATGTAATCTATCACTCTGGATCAATAACACTCTCGGCTATACCTGGCCAAATGGGCCGTGCCAAGCCGGGCCGGCCCAAGCACGACCGCACTGTAGAAGGCCCAGGCCCGGCACAGCACGCCGGCCTGTGGGCCGTGCCGGCACGGCCCGTTTACCCCGTGCCGTGTCTGGGCCGACGCCATAGCCCTTGGGCCAGCACGGCACGGCACGTTTACTGTAGAGGGCTGGCACGGCACGGCACGGCCCGCGAGCACGGCACGGCACGGGAGCAGCCTAGGGTAGGCACACCGCGCACGTGGCGCCAAGCGGCCGAGCCGCCGAGGGCAGCCGCAGGGCCAGGCGGCGGGAAGCGCGCGTCGCTGCGTTCGCTCGTGGCGCGTGGCAAGCGGCGTCGCGACGTGTCGCTGGGGCTGGGAGGCTGGGTCGCTCTCGCTCTGACTGCCTCCGTCACTCCGTGCCTCGTTGGGAGCAGCCGAGACGGTGACAGGCGACTCAGCGAGACCCCGTACGGCGGCCGAACAGCTAGTCAAACGACGAATGCGAGAGTGCCACGTGTCCCCAACGGCTAGTGAGCTAATCCAACGACCGCTGTTTTTGAGAAGTAGCCGTTGGAGAGCAAAAAAATGGAAAAAAATTCGAAAAAAATATGAAATTTATTTCTATAAATAGGACACCCACCGGAGCATTCTGAATCATCCATACCTCCCATTTTGTGCTCTGTTGTGCTCTTTCGTGTGATAGATCGATTTTTTGATTTAGACAAAATTTGACAAAATTTTGTCTAAAATCAAAAATAGTTTGTGACTAAAAATAGTGCATACAAGAGGTGTAAAGCCAAGCAAAGGTGGTAAGAAAGAAGTACGTCATATATTCAGTTTTATGTATTATTTTATTTTATGTTATGCGAATAAATATTCTGAAATTTGTTTATGTTGTTTTAAATTTTCAGAATGGACGAATCAAACATTCCATCGTTCACGTTAGGTGATTTCGACCCTAACTACGTGTCGAGGTCATTCCCAACTAGTGAGTATGATGCCACCGGATCAGCTCCAACACCACCAGTTATGGAGCCACCGGCGGGTTCAGAAGCATCCGGCACTATGAGTGGGAGTGCATCGACGAACACCGGCTCAAAGAGATCAAGAACTTCCGGTGTTTGGCAACATTTCGATGAGGTGGCCATGACAGGCCCTGATGGAAGGCATGTAACATTCGCGAGATGTAGAATATGCAAAAATAAGTTATCTGCAAAATCATCTGGTGGAACAGGACATTTGAAGCGGCATGCCGAGGCTTGTGCAAAGAAGCAAGGAATCCAACTACGACAGCAACAACTACTACTAAATCCTGATGGTACGGTACGTACGTGGGAGTATGATCCTATGGTAGCTCGAGAAAATCTTGCCCGTTTAATTGCTAGACAAGATTTACCCTTGAACTTTGGTGAGAGTCCTGCATTTGAAAATTACATAAAAAATTCTCATAATCCTAGGTTTCAAGCTGTTAGTAGACAAACCACAACCCGTGATTTGAAAAATGTCTATGACAAAGGTTATGAATCACTGAAGGAATTATTTAGTACATGCACCTTTTCTGTCAGTGTCACCTCAGACATATGGAGTAGTAGGGCTAAAGAGGATTACCTTAGTGTAGTTGTACATTTCATTGATGATGATTGGCAAATGCAAAAAAGAGTTCTTGGCTTAAGGTTAATTGATGTTTCACATACTGGTGAAAATATAGCAGAGAGAATTCGAGAGGTTATTGATGAGTTTAACCTTGCAGATAAAATTTTTGCTGTAACAATGGATAATGCATCTGCAAATTCTAGGGCCATGGAAATTCTACAACCATTATTTTGTATTTATGCTCAATCATTTCTTCTGCATCAGCGTTGTGCATGCCATATCATTAATCTAATTGTTAAATGTGGGTTTAAGAGAGTTAATGTACACATCGACGCTGTTCGTCAAGCAATCACGTGGTTAACTGCTTCAAACCCACGGATTGCACAGTGGAAAAGGTATTGTTGTGCATCGGGTGAGCCCCCACGTAAGTTTTTAACCGATGCAGACCATCGGTGGAATGCCACTTATTTTATGTTAAAGGTTGTATTACCTTACAAGGATTTACTTACTGTTTTCCTTCAAACACGTAATGGCCCAAAAAACAGTGACGGCCAGCCAATACTGACTGATCATACCTGGCACATTGTTGAAAGGTTCAATCAATTTCTTGAAACGTTTCATGACTGTACTCTTCTGTTATCTCAAGTATATTATCCAACAGCTAATTTAATTTTGCATAATATTCTTGAAATTGCCACTTTGTTGAAAGAGTATGAAAATGATGACCTTTTAATGCCCGTTGTCTTTAATATGAAACAAAAATATCTTAAATATTGGAAAGACATCCCCATGTTGTATTCTTTTGCATTTATTCTTGATCCTAGGGGAAAATTACGGGGATTCCTCAATATTCTTTCACTTATTGGAGATATTATTAATGTTGATTATTCTACCTATTATGCTGATGTCAAAACTAAATTCTATGAGGTATTTCGAAAGTATGAATTAAAGTTTCAGGGAGATCGCTTGTAAAGACCCCCACCTGTCCCTGCAGCAGGTAAGAAAAAATTACAGTGGAGCAGAATTTGGGGCGGTTCATCTTCTAGCCATGGTGGTGGTACCAGTTCATCAGCAGCAAGTGGGGACGCTAGATCGCATGGTCCTGCTGAAGAGTTGTCCAACTATTTGGATAGCGATGCCATCAGGCATGAAACGTCAGACTTCAACGTACTCGGGTGGTGGAATGATCATAAGATGTCATATCCTGTGCTATCAAAACTAGCACGGGATGTGTTGACGGTGCCCGTATCTTTGGTATCCTCCTAATCAGCCTTCAGTCTATGCGGAAGAATTATCGAGGACAGGAGAACAAGTCTGAGCAGCGATCATGTGGAAATACTATTAAGCGTCAAAGACTGGGAACTTGCTGCAGAACATGCCCAATACACTGCTGACAACCAAGAATTGGCCGCACAGTTCGAAAACCTTTATTTAGATGACGAACAATTAGGGTAGCTAGTTTATATTTTTTAAGTATTGACCTGTTGGCTGTACTCTTTTCTTTGTCATGGTTTTCTCAAATATGAGTTTTTACATGACAAAGTTTTTAACGAGGCAGCATGTATCATGTAAACATCAATAAAGGTCATTACTCTTTTTTCCCCATATTTTTCTAATATTTTTCTAAGTCTAATTATTTTTCTATTTTTCTCCAACTATCCATTAATTTTCTCTTAGCTTAGTTAACTTTCGGACCTTTCTCTTTGATTTGAATTGTTCCACTGACAGAGTGACAGGCGATAGACACACGGACAGAGGCAAGTCACTGAGTCAGCATTCAGCAAGTCCAGCGCCACGTGTCTCCCTTCGGCCGGCCGGTCCCGTGGCCCCGGCCGCTCGCTCCCGCGTGCCGCGTCCAAATTTTCATCCGCGCGCGCGCCTTGTCGGCGTTGTCGCCTTGCCAGCTTGCCTGCAGTCGATCGTGCCAACGGGCCGACCACGACCCATGGGCCATTGACGTGCCCGTGCCGGCACGGCACGACACGACGTTCCCTCGGGCCGTGCTTGGGCCGGGGAGTAGGCACGTGGGCCGGCACGGCACGGCCCGCTACAGGAGTCGTGCCTAACGGGCCGTGCCCTAGCGGGCCGTGCCGCTGGCGTGCCCGTGCCGTGCTGGGCCGGGCCGCCCGTTTGGCCAGGTATACTCTCGGCGCATCGCCACCCTCTTTCCCGAGGTTTTTACTTATCTTCCGGCAGGATTTGGGCACCTGACGCGGGGCTGCATCGGTTCAGTTCGATCTCCGGCGAAGGGGTAAGTCCTACGTTCCGTCGGGCCCTGGTGAATCTGTCATCTACGTCGGCATCGTTTAAGGCTACATCGCTTCGATCTCTTGGATCGCTCTGGTTTGGTTGATTGATTTGCCTACCTGATATCTCAAGTCTATCTCCAATTCCATTGTGTTTAGAGACGCATCGGTTTAGTTGGGACTGTCTCGGTTAGGTCCGATCTTCTGTCTTAGCCGATATATCTCTACAATCACAATGCTGTTCTAAATAGATTTGTTATATCCATCACATTAGACAGATCTATCGGCTCATCGAGTATTAGATTATCATATACAATCTCGTGCTGCATCGGTTAGGTTCGACCTACTAGATTGTTGTTGATAATATAAGTCTTGCTAAGCTGATAGGTTCATGCTACTGTTTTATCGGGGTGCTAGCCGATAAGTTATCTGGACATTGCATCGGCTTAGAGTGATAGATTACATAGACCCCAGGTGTACATACTTATACCCATGGGTTGATACAAGTCCTTGTCGGACAAGAAAGAAACTAACCTAAAGATAAAAGGAAAATACAAGTCCTTATCAAACACTAAACACACTTTCCTAAAGATAAAAGGAAACTAACAAACTATTCCTAATTAATAGATAAACTACCATGCCGCATCCTCTTTAAACTCGGTCACTTAGGGATAAGCTTCTTTTAGTAGATTGATTTCCTTAACCGAATATAGCAGGAATCCGACTATTGGCGACTTGATAACTCCCATCGGCTGATTCCGAGATGCTGCAGCCGATAATGATTCTAAGCCGATGACGTCTTTCCCGATTACCAAATTTCACTGTTAACACATGCCCCCTAGTTTTGGAGTATGAGGACTCATGCTCCAAAATTCTCTTCTGTCTGATCTTGTAATCGGCTTTCATGAGCTGATACTGATGTGTTTGCCCCCTAGCCGAGGTTGAATGATCTTGGCATTGACTTCTTCTTTAGACATGTGGATATAAAATTCGTGGTCCCACCGGGCGTGCCAAAAGCGTGTTGACAGAAAACACGAGGCCTGGGAGATCTGCTTAACTCCTGTGCAGGTCCAAATATGATGAGATGTGGGCGTGCCAGTCAGTTTGATCCTGCAACGGACAAGATATGCAAATAGTAGATCAAAATAGCCGATCGGCTGACAAGCCGATGGAGTAATTCCAGCCGATGGCCGATAATAGCCGATGCCGATACCAGCCGATAGCGATAGGGTTTAAACAATCGGCTATATGTCCAATGTAGATGATGATATAAAGGCAATCGGCTGATGATGATGTAATAAAATAACAATATAATCCAGTATAAACCAATCGGCTAGCAATGACATGATAAATAAGCATCGATCCGAAAGTTAAAGCACACATCGGCTGGAGGTCCGATGTCATGAAATCCACAAGATTAGATTAAACAGTTAAATCTTTGTTGTCATCGGCTAAATCCAACTTGTATATATATGTAATCCTTATAAGCCGATGCAACGTCCAGATAACTTATCGGCTAGCACCCCGATAAAACAGTAGCATGAACCTATCAGCTTAGCAAGACTTATATTATCAACAACAATCTAGTAGGTCGAACCTAACCGATGCAGCACGAGATTGTATATGATAATCTAATACTCGATGAGCCGATAGATCTGTCTAATGTGATGGATATAACAAATCTATTTAGAACAGCATTGTGATTGTAGAGATATATCGGCTAAGACAGAAGATCGGACCTAACCGAGACAGTCCCAACTAAACCGATGCGTCTCTAAACACAATGGAATTGGAGATAGACTTGAGATATCAGGTAGGCAAATCAATCAACCAAACCAGAGCGATCCAAGAGATCGAAGCGATGCAGCCTTAAACGATGCCGACGTAGATGACAGATTCACCAGGGCCCGACGGAACGTAGGACTTACCCCTTCGCCGGAGATCGAACTGAACCGATGCAGCCCCGCGTCAGGTGCCCAAATCCTGCCGGAAGATAAGTAAAAACCTCGGGAAAGAGGGTGGCGATGCGCCGAGAGTGTTATTGATCCAGAGTGATAGATTACATAGACCCCGGGTGTACATATTTATACCCATGGGTTGATACAAGTCCTTGTCGGACAAGAAAGAAACTAACCTAAAGATAAAAGGAAAATACAAGTCCTCATCGGACACTAAACACACTTTCCTAAAGATAAAAGGAAACTAATAAACTATTCCTAATTAATAGATAAACTGCCATGCCACATCCTCTTTAAACTCGGTCACTTAGGGATAAGCTTCCTTTAGTAGATTGATTTCCTTAACCGAATATAGCAAGAATCTGACTATTGGCGACTTGATAACTCCCATCGACTGATTCCGAGATGCTGCAGCCGATAATGATTCTAAGCCGATGACGTCTTTGCCGATTACCAAATTTCACTGTTAACAGCGAGGCGACATCTATATCAAATTTTTACAAAGCCTGAATAGTTAGTTTTACTGGTTTTGGTTTATTTATAGGTGTTGTTAAAGTGAGGTTTGCATTAAGAGAATGACTTTAGACCAACATCATAATGTCCTCCAAAGTCCAAAGGGGAAATGGTAAAGGGAAATAGGGAAAAAAAAGAGTAATATATGAAAATGGGGAAAAATAGGAAATTTGTAGCAAACAATAGATGGACCAGACGGGCCGTGCCGTGCCGGCCCACGGGGGGAGGCGTCGGACCAAGCACGGCCCACAGGCCAGCGTGCCTTGCCATGACTGGGCCGGATACAGTACCGTCGTGGTCGGCCCGGCCCAGCTTAGCACGGTCCATTTAGCCTACAATACCCCTAGCCAGTTGCCACTCCCGTCCCAAACCCTTCCCCGAATCACTCCACCGAAAGCGGCGCTGCTGAGGAAGGCCGACGCGGCCACGGCCACGCTCTCCGCCGCCGCCACCGCCACCGCCACCGTCTCGTCGCTGCATAGTTCGCCGGCCTCCCGTCTCTCTCGAATCTAGAGACGCACGCCGAGCTCAGAGACCCGATCCTGCTAAGGTTTGGTTGGTAGCTCGAGCAGCCGACGGCGACGACGCACACCCAGTTCCCGGCGATGTCGGCGGCTGCCACCGCTGGGACCTACTCTCCGGCTTCTGCCGCGGGGGAAAAGCGTCGGGAGAGGAAGGAGGAGCTGCGGCGCCACCTCGCCGAGGACGCCGACTGGCCCCGCGCCGACGGCCGCTCCTTCCACGACTGCCGTCCTGCATGTAAATCCTCCTCCTCCACCTTCTCAACCTGCTCCGATTTCTCTGTTTGCTCTGATTTAGTGCCGACCCTCATCTCCATGGAACGCCCCCATTCGTGCTCAGGGGTCCGATTAAGCAACATTTTCTGCCATCGCCTGGTCTGCGCTTTAGGTGCTCGACGTTATGCCTGAGTAGTACACACATGTCTTACATACAACGGTAGTTCCATGTCCTCAGTGGCAGAGCAAGGATGCTGATGATGGTGTTGTGGGGCGAAACATTCCCACTGTCAAATGTTTTCTTTTACTGTTCAAGTCATCGTCCTACTGTGAATATACCACGCCTTAGACTCTTAGGCACTGACGTAATCGAAGGAAAATAGAACGACATTGCGCTCTCTATTTGAGCAGGGTATTGAGGAAGACCTTTTGTTGGTTTTCTGAGCTGGAGCACTCCATAAAACAGTCAGGTCTCAAGTGTAGATTTACAAATAGAATGTGACCAAAATAATTTGAGCGAGAAATCAAATTGTTATACCTCTCTAAGCTTAAGTGCATATTGCTCATGTTCCAGACTTTTCACAAGTTGAAGTTTCCTTGCTGAACTTTCATTTAGTGTGTGCTTGTCAATAAACGAAAGCATGTGCTTGACGCAATTTCTCTTAATGTTCTGAGGTGTTTGTTGCTTAATACATACCAATCTGTTATTTTCTTCCATGCTGATGTTAATTATGTAATAGCAAACGCTGCTGTAAAATCCTATGTCATGTGCCTCTGATTGCAATAGGGCAGTACAACATCCAGAACCACTATATGCAAGCTTAGAAAAAAAAACTTGAATTTATATAGGATTTTACAGTATGCATCTACCAACCTTGAAGGAAGAACGAATTTTTTTCATGTATGAATATTATGATCCATGTTACATGATTGCAGAACCTTCTTTGATATATTACCTGAAACTGTGTTTCACTACCTCTATTTCTTTCTTCCTTGTAAGTATTAATTTTAACCTCAATGGTACTGCAAATTGTTCTATGATCACTGGAATTTGATGCTTGAAACTAGTGGGACTCATATGTTGCTCAGAGCCAATAATAAATTTGATTTGTTTGCAGTTATGCAAACAGGACCAACAACCGCTGCATCAGGATCTGCTTATGCAGAATTTGGGAAGACAAAGGTCATTGTGTCAGTGTAAGTATAGTTGCATTTTTATACAATCACGTTATGTATGTAAGTACGTTATGGTTTAGTTTCCAAGTGTTAAAGAACATATCTTTCATTAGATCCCAATGTGAAAGGTGTCTCATAAACTCAACTTGCTACTAAAACATAATTAACAGTTTCCATTATGATATTCCCAATCTATCCTCCTACACATCATTCCAAATTTGAATTTTTAAAGATTTTGGCATTTGTGGGACCAAATATTAGCAAGTTAAGGTCAACTGAAATATGTTTACACTTCAAACTTCTTTCTTTGAACTTGAAATACACTTAAAAGTTACTAAGCTCTTGAGAACAGTTCATAATCAGCTTGGATTCATGTATCAGTATGTTTTATACATCTATCAGTTTAGCATGCTAACATTTATCAGCATTTTATAAATTTGTGCTCTTATGACTTTTGAGGGTTTTGTCTCTATGGCTTACCCTTTCTCAAGGGGCAACCCAAAAAAAAAAAGGCAATCGCAATGATAGTTTGAAGGCCTTGAGGCTGACCTTTAACATGTACTTCCTAGCTTCATATTACATCAGTTTCATGTATCTTGTCAGTCAAAACTTATCAGATTGTATATTCCTGTTGAAATTGTCTTATTGCTCCGATTGCTTGGTCATGTTTATTTGATTATTACTTTCTCAGGTTTGGACCGAGAGAAAGCAAGAAAGCAATGTTGTACAGTGATACTGGTAGACTCAATTGCAATGTGAGCTACACAACATTTGCCACTCCTATACGTGGGCAGGTCTGCTGCTTTATTAGCTCTCCATTGTCTCTTTGGAGAAATTTGTTACTGGACCATTTATGCTTGAAAATAAGTGTTGAAAGTTTGCATCTTTGTTCCAGGGAACAGATAACAAGGAGTACTCCGCAATGCTTCATAAAGCTCTGGAAGGCGCAGTGATGTTGCACACTTTTCCAAAGACCACTGTTGATGTTTTTGCCTTGGTTCTTGAGTCTGGTGGCAGTAAGATACTATCCTTGAATTTGATCTCTGCCTTTTCATATTAATATTGATCTTGCTGCATTTGATATGCTCAGGCTGTTTTACTGTAATAATCCGTATTTACTTATTTTAGGAAGAATTATGACCTGCACTTTAACTTTGTGAACAAGGTATAATATGATGGCACACAAGAATGTGTCTTGCTTATGTTTTTGAGAGAAGCCTTCATATCATCATGAGTTATTCCACAGAACTTTATTTCCTTGCAAATGGGAATTGAACTACTTTCGTTCATACTGGAAATTCAGGTGATCTTCCATTCTTCCCATCATTATTTCTTTGATTTCAGGTGATCTTCCCATCATTATTTCTTGTGCTAGTCTTGCGTTGGCTGATGCTGGAATCATGATGTATGACCTTGTTACATCAGTATCTGTGGTATGGCCTCACATTCTCTCTCCTTTACCATGTGTGTACTTAAAACTCGACATTTGAATTTGAAGACAATCCACCTGTGCTTCTTTGTCAGTCCTGTTTTGGGAAGAACATAATCATTGATCCAACCTCTGACGAGGAAGCATGGCAAGACGGCAGCCTTATGGTGGCGTACATGCCAGCCCGCAAAGAGATCACGCAGCTAACTCTTACTGGAGAGTGGTCTGATGGCAAAATCACGAACGTGTGTGTCTTTTCCACTATATTAACACATGATACTAAAACATTATGAATTAATAACATTTTGATTCCTTCCACTAATAGGCGGTGGAGCTCTGCATGGATGCCTGCAGTAAGCTCTGTGACATACTTCGGGAGCGCTTGAAAGATGCTTCCAGCTTGGCTGAGTGAATAAAGTTTTAGCAGCAGGATGTTGCAAGCTCAAACAGATATCCTTAGCTGTACAAATTTTGTAGGCAAGGGAGGCTGATGCCTGATGTTTGCGGGACTACATGATTATATGCTGATTGTTTCCTTTGCAAAACAGCTAATTGTTCAGAGAGAAAGTAGCATTGTCTGTATGTTGTTTTGTACTACTCCTGATTGTAATACTTTATAGATGAAGCCATAAAAGAATGCAAAATTAGCTTATTGTGGGATCTAAAGGACATAGCTAATATTTTGAAAATGGTTCCATGTGAGATAAGGATCAATTGAAAAGAATGAAAGAAACAAGGAAACCTCTCACCTCAGCTTGAAGATTCCTTGAGGAGTACCAGTGGTAGGAACTCCTAGGATGCCCATGTTAGAGTCCTCAATTTTGGGAATAAGGAAGATTGATGTTAACCATGAGGTAGAAATCTAAGTCCTTTTTTATTTGCAAACTTGGTGGCAATCGTAGCGTGACCTGAAACTGAAATTTGCTTTGAAGGGTTCTCTGCTGCTGTTCATATGTGTGAGCAATCTAATTGAGGTGGTTCCTTTGTATGTCCTAAAATATGCCTCAGTTTGTTGACTTAAATATCTCTGCTGGCAGGTTGTCATCATCCCCCTTGGGATCAGTCTGCTGGTTAATAATTTTGATGTACAACTATTCCTGTACTTCGAATGGCATCTAGAATTGTCAAGCTTTGTTAAAAATTGACAAACGAAAATTACAGTATACCTTCATGTTTTCTATCAATAGTACTCCATGACACTGTATTTAGTTAGTATTACCTCCATCCCCAAATATAGAACAATGACACTTGAGTTACCAAAATATAGAACAGTGACACTTGAGTTATGAGTACGAATGATTTTTTTCCGTACAGAAATTAACGAGTTGAGGACAAAAACTAATGACTTTATCACTGGTTGCAAATTGCATATATGAAAAAAAGAAGAAGAGAGAATCCTAACTCAAAACATATAACCATCATGTGATGGGCATTGGTTAGTGGTAGCAGGAGTATTAGTTAGTTCAACATGTGAGACAGGCTCATCATTCACACATTAGGTGGCAAGGGCCTTTTCCTGATTGCACGGCTTAAAGATTAACAACAGCATCTACAGCACTTAACAACAACACAGCCTAGCAAAGCATTTGCATTTGCATGGCAATGAGCAAAAGCGAACCCCAGCCCCCCCGCCCCCCCCCCCCCCCCCAAGCCCACGGAATTTTTTAAAGCGAAAGTGAAACCACGCACAGTGCCACGTCCGCCACCAACACCCTTCTCCACCATTTTTTCCATCTATTTATTTATTATTTTCTTTTCGAAAAAAAAACTGTTCGATCGAAGAGGGAGAGGAGAAAAAAAAAGAAAAGGAAAAAAAAAAGCAAAACGAGGAGAAGGTCTTCCAAGTTCCAAGCCTCTCTCTTCTCTTCTCTTCTCTTCTCGTGCGACCGCTTCCTTCACCGGACGCCGCCGCCGCCACCAACCGCCGCCGCCGCGGGAGCCGGCGCAGAGGATCACAGCACAGGTGCGTGCTGGCTTGGAACCTAGGTTACTGTTCGCTCGCGCGCTTCCCCTTTGTGATGCTAGCTAGCTAGCTATTGGAGATTTGACTTGTGCGGCGCTCGCTTGTGTGTATCTCAAGGGTTTCCTCGGCGGAAGCTGCGCCACTGTTCGTTCTCCTCCGCCGATTTTGCTCTGGCGGATTTGGGGAGAAGTTGATTTTGCTCTGAGCGCCGCCGGTGGCTCGGAGGTCTCTGTGTATTCCAGCTCCTGCCATCCGCCGCCGCCGCATGAGGAGGTCCCCGTCAAGTGCACAGCTCCCGTCGCCGAGCTGCCAGGTCTCCGCGGAGCACCACCGCCAGCGAGCCAACTAGGTGAGCTCCCTCCCGCCGAATCGATGAGCCGGCGAAGCCCCCCATTACTACCTCCTCAACAAAATTTGGAGTGGCGATGGAGAGGTAGAGCGCGTTTTACTCAGCCCCGTCCTCTGATCAACTGTCATGTGATCCTGTGGATAGCTAGGCGTTGTTTTTCTTCAGCGATCTTAGGGTGATTTGTTGTTTTTCCTTGTCAATTTGATTCAAGCAGGTCAGAGTGGCTCCATTTGGTGCACTAGCTCTGCAAAAAGCTTCATCGTTTGGATGAGAGATCCCCGTTATATGGAAATGGACTTAGGGTTTACTTTTCAGTAATACCAATTGCCACATTGGAGTCGGGAGAAAAGTTGTTTCAGAAGCACCCGAGAGCTACTGCTGGTTGGTTTTGACTAAGCTGGGTGATAGCATGATCAAGCAAATCCTTGGACGGTTCCCCAAGAAGCCATCCAAATCCGGAGACAAGGACCCTATTGGCAGGTCAAGCCCCTCAGTGCCGAATCCACCATTGGGTCCAAGAGGTGCAGAAAGGTCCTCCAATTTGAGTAGCCAGACACCGGTTATCTCAAGCTCTGGGCTTAGTTATGGGAGTGGCATGCATGTTGGGAATGCAAACTCAAGGGTGAACGGGAATTCGGTACAACCGACTGTTGAGCTGTTGCCAAGCTTTAAGGATGTGCCCAACACAGAGAAGAATAACCTGTTCGTAAAAAAACTGAACTTGTGCTGTGCCACATTTGACTTCACAGATCCAACAAAGAGTGTAAAGGAGAAAGAAGTAAAGAGGCAAACTTTGTTGGAACTTGTTGACTATATTGCCTCAGCCAATGGGAAGTTTCCGGAGATAATTATGCAAGAGATCACAAGGATGGTTTCTGTAAACTTATTCAGGACACTGACTACCCCGCCCAGAGAGAATAAGATTGAAGCCTTCGATGTGGATGATGAGGAGCCTGTGATGGATCCTGCATGGTCACACTTGCAGATTGTTTATGAGCTGTTCTTGAGGTTCATTCAGTCTCCAGAGACCGATGCCAAGTTGGCAAAAAGATACATCGATCATTCATTTGTCCTGAGATTACTTGACCTCTTTGACTCGGAGGACCCTAGGGAGAGGGAGTACCTCAAGACGATACTTCACCGTGTCTACGGAAAGTTCATGGTACATCGACCATTTATAAGGAAGGCAATCAACAACATCTTTTACCAGTTCATCTATGAAACTGAAAAACACAATGGAATTGCAGAACTATTGGAGATTTTAGGAAGTATCATAAATGGGTTTGCACTGCCACTTAAGGAGGAGCATAAGTTGTTCCTTGTCCGGGCCCTGATTCCACTTCATAAGCCAAAGTGCATTGGGATGTACCATCAACAGTTGTCTTACTGCATTACACAATTTGTTGAAAAAGACTGCAAACTCGCAGACACTGTTATCAGGGGCCTATTGAAATATTGGCCAATCACAAACAGCTCCAAGGAGGTCTTGTTTTTGGGAGAGTTGGAAGAGATATTAGAGGCTACACAACCTGCAGAGTTTCAGAAATGCATGGTTCCTCTTTTCCGTCAGATTGCACATTGTCTAAACAGTTCTCACTTCCAGGTAACATTAATTGCGTGACTGTCATTAAAAACTTTCCCCTTCATTTTTCATTCCACCTTTTACTCCCATTTCTTCTTTAATGTAATTTTCTTTCGTCAGTTTATCATGTTAAAACTGAAACAGATGCATTTCCTGCATGGTAACCGTCTCATTTTGCACATTTTGTTTCTGTTCAAGTTAAGCTAGCCTACATATAGTGTTTATTAAGTTTAATTACCCTTTGTTGGGTATTCACTTAGAAGTTAGAACTATACAGCTCAGCATTATAATAGAATATCAGAATGTAGTGAATTATCATTTACAAAGTTCCAATCATCTGTCATGATAATTTCGTTTGTCCAAATATTTGTTAGTTTTATTTGTAGGGGCTTTGTTTCTTCTTTCTTTTTTAAGTGACTTACTGTTTGGTGGTAAATCAGAATACAAGCTAAGGGCTGGTCACTCTATAATTAGACTGAAGAACTGGTGAGCAGCCAATCTTTCGCAAAAGCTAATCCTACCAATTGTTCTCGTGTACACCGTAGGCTGCTGAGTGGATTTCTGAAGTTATTTTCCTATATATTATTGTGCCGTTTGAAATTTCAAACTAGTGAAAAATGTTTGTTATGTGCTAACCATCAATTAGTGTTACTCTTTGGGTGGACTTGGGTTTCCAAGGGTCCTTAGTGAAAAAGAGGCATGGAAAACAAAATCCCTCTCAACCACGTCAAAGAATAGCATAACTGGCTGTTATAAGCTGTAGCTCGGAGTGTTTTTTCTCATGGTTTACTTTCTTAGTCTAGCCACGAGCTACTTTAGTGTATCAATGCATTGACACTGCTATCAGTACGGATTTATATTCATATGTTACTTACCAACCAAAAACTTGAAGGGCAATTGATCTTTCATCTGTGACTTTTCTTATCAATTCCCAAGGTATGATGGAGTTTTGTAAGTTGAAATAGAAAACAATCTGACTCCTTATGCCCTTCAAATAGATAGTAGGGTTTGACTAAAACAGCATTCATCTTTAGAGCCCTGTTATGCTCACAGTTAGGATTGACTAAAACAGTGATCATTTATAGAGTCCTGGTGTATTTTTCATTTTTTTTTATTAATGGCTTACACTGCTCATTTGGAAACTTACCTTGAAATTGTATAGAGTTTTAGTTCTGTTATGCGTCTTCCCTGAATCTTGTTACATAGAAATTGTTTTTCATTGTTTATTTCTTGTTATGTTATGAGTGGAGAAATATTGTAGGGCTAATTCCGCATGCTCAGGCATGAGTCTCCCATAACTATTTGTTTGACTATGCCAAAAATGCTGTGGAGTTTGGAAACCTAACAGTGTGAGAGTTGACCCAACACACAGGGTATACTTGCATTTTATTTCAATAGAGCCCCTGTCTTACATCTCAAATCTGCTTTTAAGTGCAGGATTTTGTTTCTGGTTCTTTGTAATCAGTTAATCACTCCCTGCTATTATGAGGATTCACAATTTAGCACATCAAATTTTGTTTAATTGTGCAATATTTCATAATTACCAGTGCATCCTTTTTTTTCCTGCGGGGAATTGTTAATGCAAATTATATTGAAGCAGCAGAAACATGATATACGCATATTGGTTGATGGATTTTATCTAATAGTGCTTATGCTACTTCTAGGTTGCTGAGAGAGCATTGTTTTTGTGGAACAATGATCATATCGAGAATCTGATCAAACAAAATAGTAGGGTGATCTTACCTATCATCTTCCCTGCACTCGAGAGAAATGCTAATGGGCACTGGAACCAAGCTGTGCAAAGCCTCACACTTAATGTTCGGAAATTGTTCTCCGATCATGATGTTGGTGTATATGATGAGTGTCAGCGGAAATACGAGGATGAAAAAGCCAAAGAGAAGGAGACAAAATTGAAGCAAGAAGTCGCATGGAAGCGCCTGGAAGAGATGGCATCAGCAAAAGCAACGAGTGGAGCAGCTGTGCTTGTCTCTCGAACCTTACCTCGCCAATCTTCAGCTGTCTAGCGCATTGTTCAAGTGGTAAGGAAGTTTACTAATTTTTGGTTGCATTGCAAGTTTGAGGTAGTGGCTTCTAATGTATGAATCCACCTCATTTGTTAGGTCCTTGGAGATTCAAAAAGCACTGTACAGGATTGAACTGTACAGACAAGGTATATCAAGGCGGGCATATTGATGGAAGATCTGAGAAGCCAGTTGGGTTACGCAGAGTACCAGCAATCACCTCTCAATCCTGAGTCTTGGCTTTTGATATGCTGAGATCTGCAGTTAATTGCTTTACTATCCTTTAACCTTGTCCGAAGTTGGTTGCGAACTTGCAATTTGTTTTCAGCTGGTGCTGCAATCTTCCCATGGGTGTTTGTTTTGGAAGCAAATGGTTGTTGGTGGTCAGTAGATAGAAGTTAGTTAGTCCTTCAAAATGAGTCATCGTTGTTCTCCAGTTGGCATGGGCCTTCATGGTTGTAAATGGAAACAGAAATTTTTTTCTTGAGTACAATATGAACAAATATCGCTCAAAGAATGTGTGGGGTGCAGCTTACTTAATCTTATTACTATGGAGCAGTATCCAAGAGAGGATGCTCAAAACTGATTAAGCCAAGAGCTGGTAAGTGGAAACTTCACCTAAAACTCTAGGTTTCTTCTTATTGAATGCTCTGTCGTCGACAATAATGGCACATGGTATGCCTGGCTGACACAAGTCACAAAATGATTCAAGAATGAAGAGCTTAATACTGATGCTGCTCAGAATTCAGTTCAATACTTCAATGGCAATGCTGATCAATGATCACCTAGCTACTAAAGAGACAACAACACTGATCAATATTGCTTAATGGCAGAAAAGATATGATCACTTGCTTAATTGCCTTTGTTCCGCCTGGCGAGCAAGGTGCTGAACGGCGGGTGGCAGTACCTGCCGTCCTGGAAGAACATGCCGGCGACGACCCTGTACATGGCCTCCGTCATGTGGACGCCGTCCCAGTTGACGTACTTGGCCGGCTGCGCGCAGGCGGTGGTCACCTCCGGCGAGCCGCAGGTGGAGAAGATCTCGAAGTTGTAGGCGCCGCCGCCGGCGCCGCAGCAAGTCTTGAAGGGCTCCGTGAAGCCGTACCTCGCCGGGGCCGCCATGACGGCGAGGTGGGCGGCGTAGTAGTCGGCGTAGGCGATGACGGCGGCCGGGTGCTGCCGCCGGAGCCGGCGGAGGCTGGCCTGGAGGCGGCGGTTGTGGGCGTGGCTCTGCTGGTTGACGGTGGCGGCGCAGCTGATGTTGTCGCGGTCCTCCGGGCGGGCCAGCGTCATGGTCAGTGGCAGGCAACCGGTTAGAGGTAGCCCCTGTACGATTATGTACTTGGCCCCCTTCTTCAGCAATGCCTGCCATGCATCCAATTATTGTTCTCTCTCTCGAAGGACAGAAGGTAGGTAAAACCAATTATACGAGAAATGTCAAGCGGTCTTCCGGTTAGCTCCACAATTTAGTGGGCTAGACGATTTGGGTTCGAAGCGCCACCTCTCTAATTATTTGATATTAGGTCATTCCCTAATATTTGTGTTTTTTTAAACCAATTATCATATACTTAGATTGTATGTTGAATGGCTGCGAATTACAAAATCACAACTTAATTATAAACAAGAAAACTATTTTAAAATAACAGCATAAAAAGAGAGAGAATACTGCTAGTGCTCTTTTGTGTTTGTTATTAGTTTGTTTTTTTTACTTTTCCAGTATTCAGAATAAGTAGTAGATCAATGCACATGCATGTCCGGCTAGCTGCATTCAAACTTGGTATGGATTCAGAATTTGAGAGTATAGTGTGCTAGGAGGAGAAAGAGCAAGGCAGTAAATGGTGGCCGTCAAATTTTGGTGGCCATCAAATTTGGTTGGCTGATTGATTCCAGTCATCAAAGCGTCTACTGTAGCCTCCCAACATCATGTTCAGCGACTTAACTCCATATTCTTGAGATGAACAGTGCAACTAAGTACTCCTAATCGCATGTAGGCTGTAGCTCGGTGAATACTCCGGCTAGTACGAACTACGAACTCATGTATTCGCACACTGAAGATGGCAGCATAAGCAGGGAATTCCCATAAGCAGTACAGTAAATGTTTGCAAACAAGCTGAACAGGGACAGCAAAATTAAAGAGATGTCACTGTGCTTCCTGATCTATCTACTCTTCTGCATGCGGCTGCAGACCTGTAGCTACAGGGTCGCCATGGCTGCAGCTACAGGGTCGCCATGCTCTTGATCTGTCATGCTAGTAGCAAATGCACCGACAGGGGTAGATACATTAGGACAGGCTGGGTTCTAATTTCTGAACCATCGAAGGCCTTATAGTTACTCGCTTAGTAAAAAAAAAACGAATCTAGGCCTCGAAAAAAAAATCCAGGAATGGACATATAACACATTCTAATACAACGTACCAAGATAAAAAGTATACTCAGATACATAATTCTATATTGTTTTTTATAAGACGGTGAAAGTATTAGTTAATGCTCTTAGCTAATATCAGCTCCTATGTTCCTCTCCAGTACATCCAAAAGTCTAATTCATATTTTATTTTTTTAGTTTTTCAAAACTCTAAAATCTATTTCTAGTCGTTATATGCTAAATTAAATTGTTACCTAGATATAATATATGTATATAGTGCATGATGGATGCGTTAATTATTTATTGGTCTTACTTATTCGTCCTAGTGACAAAAAAAAATACTTTGTACTTTTGTATGAATGGAGTACTCCCTTCGTCTTATAAAAAACCAACCTATTACTGGATATGACACATTCTAGTATTACGAATTTGGATATCCAGTGCTAATTCGTTTTTTTTTTTTGGGACGGAGGGAGTACAAGCTATCGACAAAATTTAGGTGTTAAAACTTGATTTTGATGTTTTCCTATATAAGTTTACGTTTTAAGCATTCGTTTTTAAATGGCTAAGGACACCTATATTAAAAAAAAAGTTTTACCATTATTTTAATAAACTATATAACTTATAATTAGTATTAGACCGATCGACTTATAATTTTACTGTCACTGTAATTACTATCCTGGACCCGCATCGGACAACCTCTAAATTCTCGTCTTGTCTTGTTCTACTAGCTTAGCACTTTGTGTAATTTGTTTAACTAAAAGCAATTAATTTTTTTTTCAGGAACTAAACATAGCCAAAAGGCCGAGAAAAAACAATTAATTAATTAATGAGATATATGTATGTATATATATATATACCTCGATGAAGGTGGTGAGCCTGTCGACGGCCATGTTCCGGATTTGGTCCTGGGGGATGGTGGTGGCGGCCATGAAGCTGTAGGCGTAGTCGTTGGCGCCGATCTCGCCGACCCAGAAGAGCGCGTCGCCGACGGCCCTGGCGGCGGCGGGCGACCGCCGGAGGTGCGCCTCGAACCAGGCGAGCTCCGTCATGATGGACTGCGGCGTGATGTCGACGCTGAGGTTGTTCCTCGCGAAGAACTCGTGCTCGATGGCCGTGGCGCCGGCGACGGCGAAGTTGACGCCGTGGGTGGCGTTGGCGGCGGCGGGGGAGAGGTACGGCGGGAGGAACCCCGGCAGCGCGAGGCGGTCGGCGAGGAAGTCGACGACGAGGCGGCCGTCGGAGTAGCGGTTGGTGGAGCGGTGGAAGAAGGTGGCGCCGTACGGCGGGCTGGACACGTAGCCGAAGGAGTAGGGCCCCGTCGTCGAGTGCGTGTTCCCCGTGTCCGTGAACGAGTCGCCGAACGCGTACACCGTCTCGAACGCCGCCGCCGCCGGGACGGCGACGCAGGCGATGAGGAGGATGAGGAGCAGGATGACGCGAGCTGCCATTTCCGGCGAGATCGAGCTAGCTAGCTATGTCAGTCACACTCGTCTGTGTGCTTCAGTGTGTTTCCGCTTCCACTGCTTCTTATAGAGAGTGAAGTGATCCACCTTCGAATTAACCGTAGGTAATTTAATTTCTAGATTACTCCTGACCATGTAAATGGATTAAAAATGGGCCAATTCTCTACATGCCCATGTAATTTCACCCAATCCCTTCTACGCCCCTGAAATTTGTTTGATCTCTTATATACCTCTGAGTTTTTATTTGGATCCCTTACATACCCATTCCGTTAGTTGACCATTAGTTTGACCGTTAGTTATTGTAGAAATTACTTTCTTGTCCTTGGTATATTGTTAAAAGCTAGAAATTTTTTTATGTGTAAATTATTTGAGTTGTGAAAACCAATAAGGAATAAATTACTAAATATTTGTTATGAATTTTTAAAAATAAAACATTATTTCATTAAAATAAAAAATATTTATTGTCAAAAAAGTTCTGCACAAAATTTGAAAATTACTTTTCAACAAATATTTAGTGAAAAAAGATTCGTTGTGAAAAAACAAAGGAGATGTAATTAGTTTATCACAAATTAGAAAATAAATTTCAGATCAAATTTGATGAATTTCGTATATCTTCCCAAAAAATTAAACCTAAATAACATTTAGTTTTTGCTCTTAATTTTCTGGTGAAACTAATGTATGGATTTAATCATAATTTTTTAAAAATAAAAAATAATAAGTTTTATTTTTTAAGTTGGGAATTAAATGATTATATTGCTTGTATTTTGTATAAGTTATTTTTTTTCATATGAAAATTTATTGGGTAGGTACCACATATGTATATAGGATGGGTAATATAGTCATTTTAAAATATTTAACGGTCAACTAATCGTCAACTAACGGAGATGGGTATAGATGAGATCAAAATGAAAATTCAGGGGTATATAAGGGGTGATGTCAAATTCAGGGGTATTGAAGGGATTGAGTAAATTTTCAGGGGTATATAGGGAATTTTCTCATTAAAAATCTATGAAAATCATGTAAAGGGCAAGTGTGGCAAGAAACTTCACTGCATTTATTACCCGCGCAGATAATTAGTTGGACGTTGAATAATTCCCAAACAAGTAATAGCACCGTACACTAGTTCTGCTACGACTACTTACCCAATTGGTATTACCCATCGTATATTGTACTACTCCAAATAATACATCATCGTCCTTAACGCCTAATTACTATGTGCGTGATACGAATCCTATTTAGTGATAGCAGTACATACATACGACTGGAATATATAGGATTGGACGACTCTTTAGTTGTGTCAACGATCTCGGCCTTCCTGATAATATTTTTTTCTTCAGTTTTTTCACCATTTTTATTCTCCTTTTTATCTCTGACAGTGGAAGGCTCTGGATCAGGAATAAGTAGAAGTACCTACCAGTAATTGTAGACTGATGGTACAATCGCAGGCAGTGTCATTAGTGCACGCCGTGTGCCGTGTGGGGATTCAATCCAACATGAGACTGACAGATGGTGGTGTGGGGTTAATAAGTGGACTAGTGGAGTCATTTTAATTAATGTACCAGTACTAGTACAGTACTACTATACTCTCGGAAACTCATGGCTCGCTAATGCGTGTGCACCATAACCATGCCGATTTGTTAGGTGGAAGCATTGCACCCCAAAATCAGACGTTGTACTAGGATGGTACGCGTAATTCAGATCTGCTTCGATAGGTGTTTGGATCCAGAGACTTAACTTTAGTCTCTGTATTTAGACACTAATTTAGAGTATTAAATATAGACTACTTACAAAACTGATTATATAAATGAAAACTAATTTGCGAGACAAAATTTTAAGTCTAATTAATCCATAATTAGAGAATATTCGCTGTAGCATCACATAGGCTAATCATGGATTAATTAGGCTCAATAGATTCGTCTTACGAATTAGTCCAAGATTATGAATGTGTTTTATTAATAGTCTACGTTTAATATTTATAATTAGTGTCCAAACATCTGATGTGATAGGGACTTAGAAGTTTTAGTCCCATCTAAACAGGGCACCTTTTACCAAGAGCAGACCGGAGGTCATACTCACATTGAAGTATTCCCTTCGTCAATGTTTTTTGAACTACTCTTTTCACCTTAAAATAAAAAAAGATATAACCATAATTTATATTAGATTTATTTATGTTAGACGGTAGCTATACTACAAAATTTCATCCGAACGAGATACCGAGTAGGTATAAGATCTCGATACCTCATAGGTACCGGCCGATACTTGTCAGATACCAACTGATAAATGGTACCGATAGGTATTAGTTGATACTTGACGGATATCGCATGCGTCTTGCTCTCTGTCCTGTTGCTTTGCATTGGACTGATTTTTGCTCTCCGTCTTCTTTGCCGCACGTATCATGGGCGAGGTGAGGGGATCCCATCCCGAGGGGTGGACACGGGATTCCGGTATATAGCATTTTTATTATTTTGAGATGGAGTGAGTACATCAAGAGAGTTATAAGTTGGTTTTCTCTATCTTCCTTTTTTAAGGCTCTGTTTGTTTCAGCTTAAGATTATTGTAATCTAGATTATTGAGACATATTAATATAAGCTGGATTATAATAAGCCGACATAGAATAAATTGTTAGATGTTTGTTTCTCAGGATTATTAGCCGGTTGTTAGGTGTTAGCAAACCAATAATGAAAAAAAGCACCTTTAGAGTGGATTACTAGATTATAGTAATCTAGCTTATAGATTGTAATATTCTATCGTAATAAGCTATCTGTTTGTTTCAGTTTACTCATAATAATACAGATTATAATAATTCTAAGCTGAAACAAACATGACCTAAGAAAAGCAAAAGCATTGCCACTTTTGTATAGTTGGTTTTCTCTGTAACAGAGAGAGCAATCCTGTAGGGTCATACGATGGCATGGCATTACATGGTTACTCTTGCTTCATAGTACTAGTAGTAGCTCTCTCCTAGTGCTATGGCAGCGGCAGAGCTCCGGCCATCGGAGACGGAAGGGAGACTTCGATCTTGTTTCTAGCTGGGCCTTTTGGGCCCAAACACTAATGGGCTGCGGACGATGCAATCGCCAAAATATTTCTGCAATTCGATGATGTCGAATATTACAAGTCGAGCACGCTAAGCATCTGTGTGTTTATAATGTTGCGATAGCAGCCGCCGGTGTCGATACACTACTACTTGGTACATGTTGGCATTAATTCGCAATGCACTTTGATAGCTCTAGATTAAGACCGGATTTAATCTGGGTTATTAGTTACTCTATCACCTTCACGTTTCTGTCGACCGGAATAAATCCGGGTTGCATGGGCCGGACGACGGAGACCGGCACAAACTAGGCAACAAAAGCAAGCATGGCAGATCGATGAACTGAGGAGAAAGAACAAAACCGCCACGCCAAAACTTCGCCAAAAACGTAGTATGCTAGTCATTTTTAATTAATTAAATCTTTTAAGTTTGATTAAGTTTGTAAGGAATATAGTAATATTTTAGCATAAAAGGGGTGGATATTCAAGATAGTGCTACCTCTAATCGCTAAATTTTATTTTATAAATTTTATCAAACCTGAGAAGAGTCAAAATGACTTATTATATAAAACAGAGAGGGTTCTATAGAGTAATTTAAAGTCACATTTGAAACAGATTGAGAGTTAAATGATGGATGACGGAGTAATAGCTTGGAAAAAGCAATGTAATCAATATCGATAAAGAAAGTTTTAGAGAGTTACCATAAATTTGGAAGCGTGACACAAATGATATATCCGCTAGATAATCAACATTCTGTTGCTGGCTTAGCATCTAATTATCTGCTTCATCTGTTTTTAAATATATGATGCTACTGAATTTTGGAGGTAACATTTAACCATTTATATTATTCAAACATATAATACAAAAAATGCAAAGAGAAAAAGGGCACATTTAAATACATCTAATGGTAAAACAAGTCCATAAAATAAATGAAAAAGGGATAAATGTTGAAACATCATATTCATAAAGTCAACATCACGATCTTATGTTCAAAAACGGAGATAGTCTTATCTTATCGTATATAGGTAAAGTAGCCTGTTTGGCACAGCTCCAGCTCCAGCTCCACCCCTCCTGGAGCTGGAGCTCAACCAAATAGTTTCAGCTCTACCAAAACTGGGAGTGGAGTTGGGTGGAGCTCTCTCACAAAATATACTAGAGTTATGGAGCTGGGTTTAGACAGCTCCACAACTCCTCTCCAGTCTCAACTCCTGGAGTTTTATTTAGGAGTTGGAGCTGTACCAAACAGGCCCGAATTGTCAAAGTCTCCAAAGGAATTATTAATGCCGATCTCGCATGAAACATGTGCGTAAAAAAATTTCGTAGGAGGCCGACGGGCACGAAAGAGGCCCGGCCCACCACGCTGCTAGGTGGGCCCACACATGCATAGACCATAGCGGTGACTTGTGCGGCGTCGTGCACCCCGCACCACCGGCCCACGTGCCGCGTCCCACCCCAATTTCATTTCCGTATCCAAATGCTCCGCCTAGTAGTAGGAGTACTAGTTTAGGTGGACTCGCCACTCGCCTCTCCGACTCCGACCATCTCCGCCTCCGCCGATGGACGCCCACCTCCTCCTCCTCGCGCGCCCGCGAGCCCTAGCCCTCGCCGCCGCGCGAGCCCCCGGTGGCGTCGCCGGCTTCAGGCGGCCCGCCTCGGCGCGCCGGGTGGCCCCGCGCCGCGTCGTACTTCGACCGGTGGCGGCGCTGGGGGGTGGTGGTGGATTTGCGGAGGTGGGGGAGCTGTTCGGGCGCGTCGAGGCGTTCCTCTACACGGTCGCGGATGCGGCCGTCTCGGCGTCCCCGGAGGTGGTGCAGGGAGGCGGCGGGGGGACCAAGGAGGCGGCCGGGGACTGGCTCTCCGGCATCACCAACTCCATGGAGACCGTGCTCAAGGTGAGCGTGACTCTTGACTTTGTTCTCATATCCAGCTGGTTCCAGCGTCTTGCCGTGTGCGCGCGCGCCTTCTCCATTCAGTGTTGTGCGATGCTGTCACCTATGAACCTTTCTGTGTTAAGAATGTAGCGGAGTAGTAGGTGAAAAATCTGCTTAACCTGGGTTAGATTGCTGTATTGCCCGAGAGCGACTCTCTGGGCAATGTAATCCATGTATCACTGTGTTGCTGTTAGTTGCACAGTAGTATTCTACTCTGCTGATGGGTAAAGCTTTCTCTATGAGGAATGGAGTAAATTTAATTAGCTTTCTGAGCATCCTTTTCAGATCAGGCAATTATTAGCATTCCCGTTGAAAGGAAGGGGTTTTGCCATAGAAGTGACCTTGTGACCTTGGTTCAATCATGGGGAATTTCTTCAGCACTTTCATCCACTTAACAAAAAAAAAGAAAGCAAAAACACGATTCCCTGATATCCATGCCCAAAGTAGTTTAGGTAAGATTTGGTTGTCATAGCTGTTGATGGACCATAAGGCAAAAAAGAACTGAAGGATATGTGTGGAGACCTCATAGGAAGAGGGAAATATGAAGTGATCACATTCATATTTGTTGTTTGGCTAATGGCCAACAATTATTACTCAATATTCTGTTTGTACTGTGCCTTATTACTAATTAGGGAATTAAATCACTTGCAACGGAAAAGTATGGCCGGAATTTCCATGCTATCTAATTTCAACTGTTTTCACTCTTTAACCGACAGTGGGCAAACGCTGTTTTACCACCAAATCTTCAAACAATTTATCTCCCTGTTCTCCTGCCACTACAATTTTTGTGCATGTGAGTGGCCACCATTATGCATAATGAGTGGCCACCATTATGCATTGCATCTAGGATATCTTGTGGTTTGCATAAATTTTTATTACTCTTATAACATTATACCTTGCTTGCTACATATTTTCAGGTGATTTACATTTCTTTTTTCTATTGCAGGTTTTAAAAGATGGTCTGTCAGCTCTCCATGTTCCTTATCCGTATGGATTTGCAATCATCCTTCTAACAGTTCTCGTCAAGGCAGCTACATTTCCTCTTACAAAGAAGCAGGTATTTTTTTTTGCCATGTTGCTGCGTTAGAATAGATAGTGGTATAATTGGGTTGTGGTTATATATCATATCGTGAATTGTTCAGATTAAGGTGGTGAAGGATACTCTCTGATCTTTTTTTTTTCATAATTAAGATTACTTTTACGATCATATCACTCCATGAAAATGTTCATTTTGGCAGATCTTTCTGTGAGACATATTATAATTTGCCTGCACTTTTCACCCACATTTTTAGGAAGTAACAAGATTTACCATAACCCAACTTATGATACATTGTGATCCACAGATGAACGAATAATGTAGCTATTTTCAACACATTATTATAGATGATTTGGTACATATCTGTACTGTTCTATTTCTTATATATACCGGCTGTAGCTTCAAGCATATCCAATAAATTGGTGATTCCTTTCAGGACTTTCTTAGCGGAGCCAGTAATAAATGCATGCATGACTTAATCCATACTGACATTGTGACAGAGACTTCAATGCGGAAACCATTTGACTGCAAACATGTGTATCACATGGTTATTCACCCTGCAAGAATATTCTGTCACCTTCTGTCCCAAATCAATTGATGGCATTTTGTAGTAATAAATGTTCATGCAAAGTAAAACTACACACATTCTATTCCTGCATAAATTTTTATTTTTGTTCATATTTGTTGTTTCTGGTGTAGGTTGAGTCTGCAATTGCAATGAGGTCACTGCAACCTCAAGTTAAGGCTATTCAAGAACGTTATGCTGGTGATCAGGTAGGTATATTTTACATATTGATCTGATTTACAATAATATAACATGCTCACATGTTGAATCTTCTGTGTGCACTGTGGGCTAATGGCAAGGTCTTGCATTTATTTTAGTTAGCAGTTCATTTGATTGGGGGTAAATTCCTTATTTATGTAGCAATAAACTGAAGCCCACATTAACTGGAAGATCTAAGTCCTTCCAAGACATGCAGCTAATGAGGTCATTTTGTTCAAAATGTTCTGTAGGAAAGGTACTTATTACGCAAGTGCATACTGCAAATAAACTCCATGTAAACAAACTACCATTTACCCATTTCACACGGGAGATTTAACACAATGGTGTACATTGTAGATCATATTAATGGATTTGAAATACTACCCGAGGCACTTCCATCTGTAGGTTAATTATTTATTCATATTTTCCAGGAAAGGATACAGCTTGAAACTGCTCGTTTATATAAGTTGTCAGATGTTGACCCGCTCGCAGGTAGTACTATTTTTGATATATTTCCTATCAGTGTTTGCCCCTCAATGTTCAATGCATAGCAAGGCTTTGTAGAATAGTTTCACATTATATTGGTTTTCTGTTACCCTTTTTCTGGTAGCAACTTAGGTACATTCCTGCATTAGTTTTACTTGCAGTTGACTTAACATTTCTATACAACAGGGTGCTTGCCTACTCTTGTGACAATACCGGTTTGGATTGGTCTATACAGAGCTCTCTCCAATGTAGCTAATGAGGTTGATATGCTTGTGTTTTGTCATTTCTATTTTTGTTGAGTAAACATCCGCATCACCTGATGCATCCGTGTCTTTGTTCGAAAGGGACTTCTTACCGAAGGCTTTTTCTGGATACCTTCTTTGGCTGGCCCTACAACAATTGCTGCACGGCAAAGTGGCCAGGGAATATCATGGCTATTTCCCTTTACGGTAAGCACACAGAACTTGATAATTCCCTGGTATACCCAAGCAACTTTTGTTCATGTGCAACTTCAATTTTTTACCTAATTGTAAAATTTGACTTTTAGAATTGTGATCAGGTTGTTAAGGCCATTTGTAAGCCGGTGTTGTCTGCTTGCAGGCATTAGAAAACTGTGATTGCATGTGATTTAAATGTATGTGCACAATCTCTACTCCGTTGGTTGTTCTAGAATGTATTTGCAAAAATCAAGCACATGCACATCTAATTATTTCTGGAATTTTAACGGCGGACAGTTAATGCTGCTTGCTATTAACCTATATAAGTGCCTTGGATAGGACCATTTCTGAATGTTAGTTGACATTTATTTCATTGACCTTGGAGTCATTTCTTTTCTTCTCTTTTTTTTTCTTGACTCCAGTGTAATTGATGATGTTGTAGGATGGTCATCCACCTCTTGGCTGGTCGGACACTCTGGCATACCTTGTTTTACCAGTTCTTCTTGTTATTTCCCAATATGTATCTTCTCAAGTAATGCAGCCACCACAGGTTTGTTCTACCAAAGTTTTCAGCATGTTTAGTCCATTGTATTCAATTCCTTTTGGTCCTCAACACTCCGATGGGAATTTTCTTATCAGTTGAATTATATCTGTATGGTGCTTCTAATGAATAAACACATAATTTCTATCGGGTTCAATTATTCTTGGTATAGAACTCAAGATTCTGAAAAGATCTCCAGAAGATTACCTGTAAAGATATGTAGTCTGTACAGTAATAATTTTGTTGAACTCTATAATTTGTTCCCTCTTCATGGGAAATAATCCGGACCACTGAAAAAGCACAAAAGATCAAGGCACACAATTTCTTTTTCTGTATCATGCCAACTTACACCAATAGCTGATTAAGTTTGTGTTCAAACTTACTGATTGCTATATTTGTCCTGCAGAACAATGATCCTAGCCAACAAGGTGCTCAAGCTGTAGTGAAGTTCCTGCCTTTGCTAATTGGTTATTTTGCTCTCTCTGTTCCTTCTGGACTAAGTCTATATTGGTGCGTGTGTTTTACAGATTTCAACCTCTCTTTATTCAGATTTTTTTCTTTTAATAATAAGAGCTTCATCATAACTTTCTTCATGGTCTATTTAGAATGAACAGAGCCAGATTTTCTACACTATTTAGAATGGCAAATATATGCAATTCGCTGTAAACCTGTTACTTTGGCTATTGAAGGAATGAAAAACTTGGTTTACATATGTGAAACTCTCATCAGGCCTAATCATTTTTCTTCTTCATTAACTGGTGAATTTTTCATAGTTTGTGGTTGTCATTAGCAATACTTTTCTTGCAGGCTTACGAATAATATCCTTAGCACTGCACAACAAGTATGGCTTCAAAAGCTTGGAGGTGCCAAAAATCCCGTCAAAGAATACATTGATAAGCTCGCTAAAGAAGAATCAACTAATCTTGGAAAGCCCGAGCCTGCTATTAAGAGTGATCCTCTCCCTAAAGTTGGTAAACCCCCGGCCAGTCAAGAGCCAGAACCAAGTGGACCACAACGTGGTGAAAGGTACTGTCTAGTTTTCAGATATTGCTTGTTGAATGCCTGCATTATTTCAGCCGTGGTCACAAACCATTAGATCGATGAGCCTTACAATAATGGACATTCAACAGAGATTTTGGTTGGTATCTTGGTAAATGAAAAGTTAGTTAATTCCTAGAAGCTAATCTAGTTGTCCAGTTGTGATTGATATTTAAATGCAGGAAATGTCCAATTGTAGTTTCCTGAATCTCACAAGTTAGGGGAAAACATGAGTACTTAAAATATATTCTATTCATTTTGAGTTTCAGATTTAGAAAACTAAAGGAAGAAGAGTCAAGGAGAAAAGTGTTTTTGGAAAAAGCGGAACAGACAGAACAGGCAGGCACACAAGCTGGCATCGTCGATGGAAAACAGAATTCAGATGCATCTGGAGACAACATAGATGAACAGGTGAGGCATTTTTGTAATTTTGTTGATTGTTTTATCACTTATTTCAGAAACTGAAGTTCTCTGTGCTGTTGACAAACTCAAAACAGGAATCTCATGAAAATGAACCAATTATAGCTAACGGCAATGGTGGACTTAGCCATAGTACAAATGAAATGATACCAAATGGAAGCATGAAAGAGGTATGCTTTGTCCTTATCAAGGCAACAAACATCTTTAAGTAGGTAAAGTAGAGAAACAAATAGCAAAGCTCTCTCAGACCCAAGTTTCAATCAATCAAAGGTATTTAGATTCTAATATAACCATTCTATATTGTAGGATATAATTCAGGAATCAACTGACAGCCATTCTTCAGTTATCGACCCTACGTCACATGACGCTCATAAATCGAGGGACGAAGAGAACGAACAAGATGCAGTGTAGAGAATGGACGAATGGACAAATCTGCAGTGTAGTAAATGGAAACTGGTGGTGGTGGGTCTAGCCTTATCTGCTGCTATAATGTGCCTATGGAGGATCACCAATTCATGCCTATCTGCTGCTTCAGCATGTTCACCCAAGGATAGGCAATTGACCATACGTGCTAGTTGCGAGCTTCAGACAGACAGGATACAGCTACAGGAGTCGATTCTTACAAGAAGATAGTAGGCGGCATAATCTTTTTGAAACAATGCCCTAGCATTGTGCTTTTTCTGCCTTTAGGAGACTCAGGATGTAGAAGAGCGTAGCTTGTAGATTGTCCTCGAGGAAGTAATAAGGATTTTGTTGACCCCCCATGATGCAGATGCAAAGGTGGCTGTAAATGTATGTCTTCCTCGCCTGATTTTGACCACATTCTGATCGACTCAACATTTAGCATTTTACGCAAACTACCAGTAATCTTGAAATGCACGGTGCCCTGTTACATGAAAGAATTTGAGGCAAACTTTTGCAATGTTTGCTCATTATCGTACAAGGATGAAGAAAAGAACGAAAATTGTACATCATCAAATTAGCACTGCTGTATGTATATATGTATGTATGTATTGTCAGTATATATTGACACAACACAAGGCTGGAGGTTTCTCTCGTTCCCAGCATCCTCGCCCTCAGAAGGCGAACACGCCGGCGACGAACGCGGCGGCGGCGCCGACGTGAGAGGCAACACCAAGGGAGTAACCGGCGCTGGCGCCGCCTGCCGCCTCGCCGGCGGCGCCCGGCGTGGTGGTGAGCTCGGGCTTGGGCTCGGTCATGGTGGTGCCGATGGGCGCCCCGACCGGCGCGGCGTCCTCGTCGTCCATGGCGTCGTCGGCCGGCGAGTCGCCGTCGAAGGAGCCGAGCGGGGTGTTCGCCACGGGGGTGAGGATCGTCGGCTTGGCGTCGTCGGCGAGCGCCACGGCGGCCGCCGCGAAGAGGACGGCGACGAGGAGCAGCAGCGTCCGGTGACCGGCGGCCATGGCGCGGATATTGATATCGATCTCTTCAACGGAGGAACGAGCAGCAACTAAAATTTATAAAAATGGTTCTGTTTAATTTGGAGATGGAGATCGAGATGAGCGAGGCGTTGGGAGTTTGTGGAGGATATATGTGGGAGAATTTGGCGCGCGGTTGACATGTGCTGTATTCGAGCGGTGGGGAAAGCGCGGGAAGGGACAATGGCTGCGCGGGTCCCACGGCCGTCGACTCGCCCAGATTCTCTCCTAATTTGGGATGAAGATATGACAGCATCATGGAAGGCTTGAGACCAAGATTTTCATTTCGTTTCATCCCAACCCCCACAGTAAGATTTTGCACAAGCAAAGCAAATTAACTCCCCTTGGTAATAACTGACAGAAAAGAACACCACATTGCGTTTTGCAGTGCAATCCTCCTTTTCTTCTTCGTTGCCTTCCTTCTCCGCTTGCGTCGGCGGCGGCGAAAGGCCCCGGACGATCCAACTCGTGAAGGGTATAAACGATAAACCGTGCTAACACAGGGTGTCCCGTGAAAAAGAGCCTCTGGCCCTGGCACCCTCTTGAACTCGATCTGGACCGTGTAATCTTCATCGGATGGTGTAGAGATATCCGGATCTGAATGTTCTTTCGGTTATGTGCGGCCCAACAGCGGGAGTAGGACTTTGTGCGGCCCATATTAATTGTGCCTGAAAGGTGCCGTGACCCACGTCCGGCCCATACTAGTTTGGGCCAGAATTGGATTTCAATTACGTGCGGCCCATTTCCCTAACGGCCAGTACAGGAAATTCAGTTTCATGGTCGAAGCGGCATATTTGTAGACGAAAAATAATTTGTGAATAAAACTTATATATAGGTGCTCTTAGCGATCGAAAATTAAAAGCTGAAAAAGAAACTTCGATGAAAAAACCCCAAAATCAACTTTAAATTTAAGATTGAAAATTTAAATTTTAATTGATAAGTATGAACGTAAGCGAAAAGATTAGGCTTCAGTCTCGTGCGGATACATCCGTAAAAGAAGAAGAAGATTCGATTTGACAACCCATTCTACTTTGCAATTGGCTACACAATTCACAACACACGACCTGAATCGTATCTGCTCTGATCAATTGGAGTGAGTGCAAGACATGCAGTCGAAGCTGATTCAACCAAAAAAACAAAACAATACGTGACCATTTGGAGCAAGAGAAGGTCTCTGAATCTGATCAACCCCTCTCTGATGGAGGTGAGCTCTCCCTCTCCTCCTCCACCGACGGCAGGCTGGGTTCCCACGTCCTCCTCGTCGTCGCCGGCGCTCTCGACGTCCTGCACCCCGTCGACGGCACGGCGGCGGAGTTCCTCTTCTTCTTCCTCCTCCTCCCATTCTTCTTCTTCTTCTTCATCGCCGTCTCCTTCTCGGTGTTCTGCTCGACGGCGAGCCCCCGCGCCACCATCTTCTTGAACTGGCATTCCTCCCACCGCTCCTTCGCCTCGAAGTACTCCCTCGCGCAGCACCACCTCCGCGCGGCGCACTCGTCGCCGTCGTCGTCGTCGCACGCCGCCTCCTCCTCCGACGACGACGATGCCGCGCCGCTGCTGTAATCCTGCGTGTCCTCCTCCTCCTCCTCCTCCTCGTCGGCGTTGTCGAAGGCGCCGACGGAGCTCTCGGGGATTTGGCGCTGGAGCCTCTCGATGGTGCGCTCCGGGAGGAGGTAGAACTTCTCGCCGGGGAAGAGCGGCTGGAGCGGGCGGGCGCGGGCGCCGTGCGGATTGCGGAACACGTCGGGGTAGGCGAGGCAGAGCCCCGGCGGATGCTTCCGGATCACCGTGCACGCCAGCACCACCCCGCCGTACGCCTCCACCACCCCGCCCTGCATCACCACCCGCACCACCGCCTCCGGCGACCTCACCGTCGACGACGACCACGAGCTGGTAGTCATCAGCTCCACCGACACGGGGACCTCGCCGCCGCCCGACGCCGACCGCACCTCAGGCCTCCTCTTCCTCCTCGGCTTGCCACCATTGATGCGCTTCCAGAGCTTGCGTTGGAGGTACTTGCTAAGCGACACCGCGGCGCACGACGGCTGGCCGCCGCCGCCGCCGTGCGACATTGTCGCCGTTGATTGATCGATCGAAGGAGGCAATGCGAGGGGGAGATTGCTCGATGCGGCGGATTCGAGCTAATATAGTTGAGAATTTTGTCTGTTTATTACTTCTTGGATTCATCGCCGGCTTCTTGTTCTCTCGCCTTTGGATGTATCAACCGATGAGAAGATGGTGACACTAGCCAAGGCAGAAGAAGGCACCACGAAATGCCACGAAACCATGGGCGTTCCATCACATTGGCAATTATGCATTATAGTTAGTTCTATGACTTCTAGGGGAGTCAATGTGTGACATTTTTGGATAATTTGGATAATATCTGCATGTCCCATTCAATTTGATTCAACTGTGTCAGTAGTGGTCACTGCCCAGCCTAATATGTAACGAAAAATATTTGCAAGAAGAGCAGTACTTGTGCTTACACAATTGCTGATCTCACCTACTTGCCTGTACCATCCTACAGATGTTGCAGTCAGAACAGAACATGTAACAAGGTACGTAGAAAGAAGTGGTTCAGGCAGTACAGAATTAGCAGTAAATTTTAAGGGACAAAGAAGTGGTTCATACGCTCTAGGGGGAAAACGGACTTATAGTATTACGGAGTAGATTTACATGTTGAACAAGAAACAGCTTTGACAAGAAAGGCATATCTAGCTATTAGTTACCAGAACAAGATATGATGAATTGATGACACTGAAGATGAATACTGATATATATACAGGTGGCCTTGAGGTTTCAGATAGGTACATGCATGCACGAAGATAACTACCTACTCATTGTATTACTGACAAAATTTGCAATTTTCGGTTAAGTAGTCTCCAGCTGAGAGGAAGCTCAGCATCAGAATGAGGAAACAACGACGAACTTTTCAGGTTGTCTGCTCGTGCTGTTGTTTCACTATAGTCGGTTGGTCAGAAAATTGGGGGGAGTACAGGCATGCTGCCTCATACTCGCTGTTCTCCAAACTCAAGGAACACGTCCTAGTACTCTCTGTACCGCCTTCTTTATGCCCTCCTGGTCTAGGCTGGTTGTCAAATATAGTTCTTGGACCTGCCAGTTTAAAGGATTATAATTTTTTACTTACACTCTGTCACACAACTACAACAATTATTCCAACGGCACGCTCATCAGACAACCATTACAATCTTTCACAAAACTTGTCGTACTAACTTCCGGTGTAACCATTTTGAAGACTTGTTTGATATTTTGGTTTTACAGGATGTACCTTTGTTTTCTGTTCAGTTGGGACTGAAAACCGACTAAACATCAATCCTTGCCTAATGAAACTCCTTATAACAAGAAAACAGTGCTATATCAAGAAGAAACTAACCTGTCGCCCAGCTCGAGCAAGAAGCTTGAACTGATTGTCCTTAGCTGGCACCTGCACAATGAGATCCAACACATCAGTCCATGTTTCTATCTTGTGAGCTTCGACTGGTTAAATTGGAGACATTTTGGATCATACACTGGAAAGCCAGAGTTCCAGATCTTGTGAAACAACACGTTTCTCCAATGCTCGGCGCCCAAACTGTACGTCTGTTATACTGTGAAGAAATAGAACTGATTAAAACATGGAGATTGCAACGTAAAAACCTATTCATGGGTTCCCTCCTGGTTAACAAAACTGTTCTCTAGTCAAGAAGAGCTACTGGGCACATAAAGTAGTACATCAACATCAAAAAACCATACACCAAAAAAAAAAAAACACACAAACAGAAATCATACCCATCCTCTTGCAATAGTTCATTACATATACCATCAAGTCCTGGAAGAAGATCAGCTTCTGAAGGAGATGAATCAGATGATATGATCCCAGCACTAGGTGATTGATCAGCCTCCTATAAACCAATATTAATGCATGAGTTGACCTTTAAAATAACAAAGCTAAATAACCTGCCACAAAGACACGTGCTTTCGACAAACTAACCAAAGGAATAACTTTGTCCAATGTCTCCAGTAGAGGATCTTCCTCCAATTGTCTGATTGATAAAGCTATCCTTGACTTCTCCCTATTTGTGAAGGAAATGCATCAGTATCAGATTATGTAACATAATTTTCTGATTCATGATAATTCTTCCAGCATATGCTGATTTGCCCTATTGCGAAGAAAGCAATGATAGGAAAAAAAAATAGATCATAAACTCCTCTCATTTTATTCATCAGCCCTCAAGAGTCATAAGTGATCTATTTCAATGCATCAACTTGGTATTCCTTAAAGACAATCTGTGTTCTCAATAGTTATTGCATCGTTAAATCCTAATCTATATAGATTTAAGGTGTATTGCGCCATTCTCCATCGCTAGATTCAATTAAACATATGCTATTTTTCATTGGTACAGTCAACATTGATTATATAATTGCAAACTTTCTTGAAAAAGTATGGAATGAGATCACGAGAAACTACATTGCGAATACACATGCTGACAATTGTGGAGGAAGACAGTAAAGAAGTATTAGATACTTACATATCAATGTTCACCACTATGACCTTGACAGTATCACCTTCATTTAAAAAATCCCGGACATCTTGGACAAGATCCCAAGAGACCTCAGAGATATGTACAAGGCCAGTAAGATGATAATTTCCTGTTTGAGGATAGATTTTGTCAGAAAATCAACAAAACATTTACCAACAAAAATGACAAGGGGTGTTGCCAATGGGTACCATCAGGAAATCGCAGATGAACAAATGCACCGTAGTGGAAAACTGAACCGACAATTCCATCATAGATAGCACCAATCTTGACTAGAGAAGAATGAGTGAACCAACTTGCATCCTTCTCTGAGAAGACAAGCTTCCTTTCTTCCTCGTTCACTTCGACCACCTAAAGTAATTAGCTTCAGTTTCTGAAGAAAAATGTGTAAAGTTCGAATCCTACAATCTGGTGCCCGCTCTTAGATTGTACCCATAGTAATAGAGAATTGAAAGCCAATGATACAACTTTGCCAGAATGTGCTTGAAAAAAAATCATAATGCAGTTTAGAAAGCAAAGTTAAAGAATATCACAGTTCCTTGGAGAGGGACACCCAGTTTAATACTGAAATTCCGCCACACAAGCAAACTAAAAGTAACATTGATCAGCGTTTTGATCCAAAACCAGCATGTGTTTGTACTACTGCATGGTATAGTACCATAATCTAATTGGTAGCTCAAAAGGTAATTGAAGCCTCTTAATTACCTTGACAGAAATGGAAGAACCCACAAGGTCCTTTGTAACATCTTGAATGGGCCTTTTGGGGTCTACAAGGAAAAAACCATACATCCACCATGAGTTCAGTTACGGTAGCCCACAGCTGCAATCACCTCTTAATCCGGCGATCAATTGCAGCTAGAGCTGGTTCAAAAATCTGGACAAATTCTGCAAACAACTCAAACTAGAGAAACTGACTACCTTTACACCAATGCGCGGGGCTAAGGAGAGGGTTGGGCACGAAGCCCTGGAGGGAGTTGAACCTGACGATCAACCCGCCGCTGTTGGCCCGTATCACCTGCAGTTTCAGGATCTTCCCCTGGTCCCTCTCCGCGCGCGCCGCCTGCCAATCCGCCGCGAACTACATCCAAACAACACGAAACCCTCACTCGATCACACGCGCGTCAACATCGCACCAAAAACAGCACGAACAAAACATCTCCGCACCTGCGCTAGTCGCGCTTCGTCGACCGGGGGAGCCGACGCCGACGCCGACGCGCCTTCCTGCGCCGCGGTGGTGCCCGCGCCCTCGGCGGTGGCGGAGAGGTGGAATCGCTGGTGAGAGCGGGGAGGAGCGAAGGAGAGGAGCGTTGGTGGCGGGGACCTCGCGGTGGAGGGGGAGAAGGCCGCGGTGGTGGGCGCTGGCCGGAGAGCCGCCGCCGCCGCTGCCAGCATTGCGCCGCCGCCGGTGGTGGTGGTGGTGGTGGGGAGGGAGGAATGAGTGGCCGTGGAGGGGAGGGAAACGCGGGCGGCACGAGGCGGATTATTTTGCTAGAGGCGAATGGATGGACGGATTTGATTTGGTTTGGGTGGGAGATGCATCGTGGCCGTCCATTCTCCGGCAGCATCGCGTGGTGCACGCCACCCAGTGCCTTGTTGACATGTGGCTTACTGATCTTCTTAACTTTTTTTGGGGGGGAATTTGGGGTGAATAAAAATTCCTTATCCACATGCTGATATTCTAGAATGTTTCGAAATGGAGAAGAAAATTTGTCAAGTTGTCTAATGTCTTTGATATTTAGATATTTCTGAAATTTGCTTTCAGAATGAGTCAATGACATGTGCATAATCTGTTGTGCAGCTCCATTTAAAATCCAATCATATTACTACCATTTTCATTGCACAGATATCGTTTTATTACACAGCCAATCAAGGAAAAATTTATGACAATAAACCTATTTATTATTACTGAATCAAATGATATACTAATATGCCTAAAAACAGCATCATGTTCAGCTCAGCAGCATTATGTATGGTGATGGTGTGTCATGGTATGAAGGGAGGATGATGAAATCATGCTGTGGAGCTCCAATGGCGGGCCTTCTCGAAGCCATTCCTGCCATAGTAGTAATCCTCCATGGCCTGCTGGATCTCGGCGCGGGTGTTCATCACGAAGGGGCCATGCTGCACCACGGGCTCGTTGAGCGGCTGCCCGCCGACGAGCGCGAACCGGAGCGGCTCGCCGGACTTATTCCAGACGCTCAGGCCGTCGCCGGGGCCGAGAACGAGGCAGTGGTGGGCGGTCGCCGGCGACGCCTTCTCCCTCCCGAACACGCCCTCGCCGTCGATGATGTAGACGAAGGCGTTCCAGGCCTCCGGGATGGGCTGGTGCAGCTGCGACCCCGGCTGCATCGTGAAGTCCATGTACATCGTCGGCGTCCGCGTGTACACCGGCGAACGCACCCCGAAGGCCTCGCCGGCGATGATCTTCACCTCCACGCCGTCCTTCTCGGCGCAGCTGATGTCCTTGCTCATAAGCTCCTGGTACCTCGGCTCAATCCTGCATTGAAGAAGTTCATCCAATGAGCATTTGCAAACATGCAATCTTGCAAAATTGGAGTGCAAATCAAATCAATCATGGTGTGTATACATTTTGTCCTTGGAAGAGAGGTTGATCCAGAGCTGGAGGCCCTTCTGCACACCGTCCGCTGCCGGCATCTCCGAGTGCACGATGCCGCGGCCAGCCGTCATCCACTGATGAACAAAAACATGATCAAGATTGCATTGTCAGCATCTGAAATTAGAAAACAAAGTCACCCTTTTTTTTTTCTGGTGAAACGTCAATTTCTGAAAGTGATGAAAGATATGTCCCTAGTTGGAGGGTAGAGTAAGACCTGGACATCTCCCGTGCCGATGGTGCCCTTGTGGCCTGCAAAGTCTTGGTGGGTGAACGCCCCCTGAATGGAAGAAACCATGAGTAGCATTTCAGCAAACACCTTACGGGCATAAAGAAAAGATGAAATGGAACTACAAGAAGTTTAGTCATCCGTACTTCGAGCATGTAGGTGACTGTCTCGAATCCTCTATGCGGATGGTCGGGAAATCCAGCAGGCTTGGAAACTGGTAAAACAGAAGGGGAAAATTAAGATCATTCGGGCACAAAAAGGGCCGCGATTTTACTCTACCGGTGAATTGGAATTGTGTAATTACCAGAGAATTCATCGAGCATGAGGAAAGGATCCAGGTTCCTGAGCTCGTACCTGCAGAAAAAACAGAGGTCAACGCCCCCCATCCATTAGAACCCAACACGATTCGGCAAAACAAATCGATCAGAGATTCAGAGATAGGATTGAATCGATGATGATCCTTCACCTGCCGATGCTCCTTCGCACGGTGGCGCCGTCGCCCTCGGGCTGGGACTCCGCCAGGAGCTTCTTCACCACCGTCCTCGGCTTCTCAAAAGTCGCCGCCGCCGCCGCGGCGACAGCATCCGACGACGAAGACGAAGAAGACATGGTTGCTCGAATCAGCAAGAAAGCTGCAAGCAAGATGAGCGAGACAATCAGGAGAAGCAGCAGGAGATGCTTGGCCTTGGATTTGGATTTGGATTTGGGGTTAGAGGCAGTAGTACAGGTTAGTGATCTTGCTGCTCTGCTGCTCTTTGGTGGTGGTGGCGGTGTGTGGCGAGTGGCGTTGATCCTGGCGAGACGAGAGGAGAGGGTGGTATAAATAGCGGAGGAGGAGGGAGAGAAAAACTTCATCATGCTCCTCGTCATCATCGTGGATCCACTCCTCCTCTCCCCATGTCCCTCTCTAGGAGGATAAATACTAGCAGAATTTGACCAAGGATTGGTATGGTGTTCTTGTTGGAAATGATCTTTAAAAACAAAATAATTTGTTTTTTTTTGGTAGGTGATTAATGGAGAGATATGCGGCTGCTTTGCTTGGGTTGGGGTTGACCAAAAAAAAACAGAGAGAGCAGTGTGTGTAGTGCCTCTGCCTCGCGTCACGTGTGGATGAAAAACGCTTTGTTTTATTGGTTTCTTCCTTCGCGGGAGCGGCTGCTTCCGGAATCGCGGCGCGGCGCGGGCGAGGTTGGAATGGATGGAGCTGGAACGTGCCAACGACGTGCTTACGTCTACTCTGCGTCATCCTTCCCCTGACGTCACCCTCGCGTCGGCGTTAGGCAATCGACGTCCGTCGCCTCGTATCCTCTTATTTCGTTTATTTCTTTCATCTTCGCTTTTTTTTTAAAAAAAAATGTGTTCTTCCCCTTCTTTTAATTACATTTTTTATAATTAACTAGTTGGGTGCCCGTGCGTTGCAACGGCAAAAAATGTATGCATTAAAGCATCTCGCCTGTTATGAATGGCAAATGAAGAGGATAGAATGTGGCTAATGTTCCTCTCTAAACAAAGGAATATGGTTAATGTATCAGACTATCAGGTATACTTGAAAAGAATTTTCTCTAACCATTAGGCATTGGCACAGAAGAATACGGTTTCATTTTCTAAGATCACAAGTTCTAAATATTACCCTCTTAGGTGATACATAGTTAGTTGATGTTTTCCTCAAAAAAAAAATTGGTTGGTGCTTCGGGAAGCAGTCACGGACATCACACACATGACTAAATTTAGAGTAAATCCCTTGTATACCCATGAAAACTTCCATAATCTCTTCTATACCCCTAATTTTACTCGATCCCCTCTGTAACCCCGAATTTTCGCTTTCATCCCTTCCATGCCCCACCCGTTAGGTTTCCGTTTGATCTGTAACGTTATCTGTGTGTTACATTGTCAGTATTTTCAAAAAATACCAAAATACCCCTGGCAGTGCAAACCCTAGCTAAACAGATCTAATCCCCTTCTTTCTCCCCAATCCTTTCTCCTCTCCACGCGCAGGCCGCGCCGCCGGTCCCCGCCCTCCCCGTCGCGCGCGCAGGCCAGGAAGGCCCTCCCGTCGCTCGGTGGGGGCGCCGCCGGCCCCCGCCCTCCCCGTCGCGCGCGCCACCGCCATCCCACGGCCCTCCCCGTCGCGCGCGCCAGCCAGGAAGGCCCTCCCGTCGCTCGGTGGGGGCGCCGCCGGCCCCCGCCCTCCCCGTCGCGCGCGCCGCCGGCCACCGCCCTCCCCGTCGCGCGCGCCGGCTAGGAAGGCCCTCCCGTCGCTCGGTGGGGGCGCCGCCGCGCGCGCGCCACCGGCCCGGCCCCCTCCCTCCCGTCGCTCGGTGGGGCGCCGCCGACCACTACCCTACCGTCGCACTGTGGGCCACCGCCGGCTGCCCTCCCGTCGCGCGGCTACCGACCATAGCCCTCTGTCGCGGGCGCCGCTGTCCACCGTCCTCCCGTCGTGTGGCCAAATCCACCACCCTCTATCGCTGCGCCACCCAGCACCGCCCTATTGGTAGGAATTTTCATTTCTTCTTCTTGCTTATGTAAAGTAGCAATTTTCATTTCTTCTTCTTGCTTATGTAAAGTAGCAGTTGATGAGTGATTGATTTCTTGTTTATAGGAGTGGGTTGTTCATTGGTGTCGGTAAGAGAAACAGTTGAAGCCACCATCTCTGCAGCACATCTATTGGGCATGGCAGATTCAAGGCTTAGCACGGTTCCTTCATGGCTCCCCGTTGGGTTAGTGACCTAACTTGCTCTCATTCATAAGTTTGCTGTAGTTGTATGTGTGGGGATCATTTTGGTTGATGCATAGATTGATAGACAGCTACTGTGTTCATCCACAGGATGGACCCCTTAACTACATATCTTTTGGAAATCAAACTAGCCGGGGATCAAAAAAATGCTAGGGTGAAATATGATTGGTTTATTTTCAATAAGATGATAGACTCAAATGCTATGTGCTACAAAGACTTTGTTGATGATATTGCAAAGTCATATCCATGGGGGCCAAATGAAACCGTCACAATTGGCTATGTGGATATGGTTCATAAAATTTCTCATCATGTCACAACTGACCAGGATATGCTAGAAATGTTTGAAAAGTTTGTTGATATCAAGGTGATTCCAATGATTATTCGTATACATGGTATGAATGAAAATATTGATGAGTTAGACCACACTCTTGTTAAAGCAAACATATGTGTTCCCGATACTCCTTCTCTGGCAACCCCATCTCAAGTGGATTTCAGCCAACCTAGCAGCAGCACTCTGCCTTCTCATGTCCTCATGCCATCAGACACATACTTAATAAACCCATTTCCTATGGCTGAGCATGTTGGTGTGGATGATTGACGGAGCTCGTGGCTCCTCACCGGGAGACCGCGCAGGCCCCCCTTTGCCGGTTCGGCCGGGGGCTTAGGGTGCGATCTCAAGCTCTCTCTGTATGTGGAAAGATTACTCGCCGGCAAGACACACGAGACACGGCGATGTATACAGGTTCGGGCCGCTGCGAGGCGTAATACCCTACTCCTGTGTTTTTGTGGATTTGTGTATGGACAAGTTACAAAGGATCAACTTCCTTTCCCCTCAGCCTTCCAAAAGGGAAAAGTCCCCCCTCTAAATGGGCAAGGTCCTCCTTTTATATCTCAAGGGGATACCACATGCACCTTTCTCTTTCCAAACTGGACTGTTCTTTTTCTCTTTAATGGGCGGAGATCGGTACGGTTTCCATCCGGGAGCCCTTCTGATGGGACAGCCCACACCTACCCCCACCTCCCCCGAAGACAGAGATGACGCGGGACCGTGGCTGTCTGTCGATGACGCGATCAGTGCCAGACCGGTCATTCTTGTCCACCACGCGTCAGCTTAACAACGTGCATGTTTGCCCTTCTTCGTGTAACACCTTGCCTGTAATGGTTAGGATGAAGCCTGGTATAAATCTGACCAGGGCTAACGTGCCATCTCTAAGAGATAACACGCTAGCTCCGGCTTGAGACGAGTTGCCTTGAGGCTTTCGTCTTGACGGGATGGGGCGAGGCGTGCGTCAGACCGCCAGTCGCCACCTAACCCTTGATCTGACCGGTCTGTGACTGGTCACAGACCGGATAAAAGAGCGTGCTGTACTGCGTTGCACGCAGCGTGACACGCTTGACCAGACTGCAATAAATGCTGTTAGGTGAGCACAGCTGTGCTCACTTATCCCATATATGTGGCGCAGACTTCTTTAAGGGGTCGGGGTGCCCCGGCCCTCGGGGCCGGGGCAAGCGCAACCCGACCCCCCCTCGGGGGAAATCACGAGGAGGGCGGACACCTCACCCTCGGGCCCGACGTCCCCGAAGGTGCCAGGCCACGTGGGCGATTGCGTCTGCCTCAAGCCTCTGGTCATGATACTCCCGGTCCCATATCACCGACAGTAGCCCCCGGCGTTATGCCAGAGCAATTTCCCTTCCCAAGGGAAGCGGTCAGGTGTGACGCCACCCCTAAAGCCTGGTGACAGGTGGGACCGGTCTCCGTAGTTGGGCAAAATACCCAACGGTCTCAATCCATGCACATTGGTAATGGTGACTTGGCTGTCCATAATGGGCGGTCTCTTCAAGACTGCCACATTACCTGAGCAGCGCACGAATCTGGGCGAGCCGATTTGCTTCGCCTGGAGATATGGTGATGGTGCTTTTCTCGGAGCCATCAGAATAGCGTATAGCATCTTCTGGGCCCGAGGGTATCGGGTTTTGGCGTCCCGGAGGGCCTCACTAACAAAGTAGATGGGCCGCTGCACCTTTCGGCGGGGCCGATCCTCTTCGCTAGGGGCCGCATCTCCAGGGCGCTCTTCATCCGAGAGGCAGCGCGGGGCGCCCTCGGCTTCTGCGCCGATATCCTCGGGGTAAGAGGGCGACAGGCGCGGCCTTCCCGCAGTGGCCCCGAGGCTATCCTGAGGGTCGGGGGCGCCTGACACCGTCGGACAAGCAGGCGGAGGGCCGACTCCGGCCGTCGGGGGCCTTGGGCCGCCGTTCGGCTTGGGGGCCTCTCGGACCCTGACTTCTCCCCGTGGGTAGCGCTGGAAGAGTTCCCTTCCGGAACCGAGGACGGCGCACGCGCGCAGGTCCGGGACGCCGCCGACCACATCGTCCACAGCTTCGAGGGTACGGCCCCTCGGCTCGCGTTCGCCCTCGACTCCGACGAGGAGGGCGGCGACGGTGGTGCGGACGATAACGACGACAAGGCTGGTGACCCGGGCGCGTCGGAGTGAGCCCCCAGGCCCCCGCCAATCTTGAATAGCTTTTTCTTTCTTCTTCCGAGGCCTTCGGGCCCCCTTCTTGTATAGACTAATTTAATCTGCAACCAAATAAAGAGGAAATTTCTATGTCAGTTCTATTTGTTGTGTGTATGAGACGAGGATGGTCTGTGCCGCGGTCCTTCTGTGTCTTGGCTTGATCAAGGGCTCGTGCCCAAGTCCTAGTCCTCAAATGGCTCGGGTCGGGGCTAGTGCCTGGGGAGATCCACATGTCGAGACTGGCCAGGCCGGGAACGTGGTGACCGAGGGTTATGGGTGACCCGATTGTGGGTTTTTGCCGATTCCCCCCCGGAGTTCACCACGCCCCGGGGCACGGCTCGGTTCTGGGCCCCGTTTGGCGATTTTAGCTGACCGAACCGAGCCCCCGAGGGCAAGGTTGAGCACGAGTGACCTATTTCAAGTCAAGATTCTTCAAAAAGGAAACAAAAGCACAGACACAACCTTTAAGAAATCGAAAATGCTTTTGTTGAAATACGGAAGAGAAAAAAGATAAGCCCCCGGCCAACCCTGCACGCCCGGGGGGGTGCGGGGTTGGCCCGAGCCCGAAACCTGACACCCGACCCCCACTAGGGGTAGAAGCGACGAAGGTGTTTGATGTTCCACGGGTTAGGCAGCTCTGTGCCGTCGCCCGTGGCCAGCCGAACGGAGCCCGGCCGGGGGACGCCGATCACTCGATACGGACCCTCCCACATTGGTGAGAGTTTGCTCAGTCCAGCACGCGTTTGGACGCGGCGTAGGACGAGGTCGTCGACGCAGAGTGATCGGGCCCGGACGTGGCGCTGATGGTAGCGCCGCAGGCTCTGCTGGTAGCGCGCGGCTCGGAGGGCCGCGCGCCGCCTTCGCTCTTCCAAGTAGTCGAGGTCAAGGAGCGCCGGCCTTCTTTCTGTCGCTCGCAGACCTCCCCTTTCGGGTGGCCAGCGAAACGCCCTCGACGGCGAGGACATGACCCTCGTCGTCGGAATGGGCCAACCTCTTCTTCCTCCTCCTGTCCCGCCGCCCTGTCTGAGCAGCGGATCCGGGGGCGGCCGAAGCTGCCACTCCGGGACCGGAGGGGTTCCAGGTCCATGCCTCCTCCTTACGAGCCACTCGATCCGCAAGCTGAAAAAGCTCCGCGGTAGTCTGGGGCTCTTTGGAGGCAATCTTTTCGAGCATGCGGTTGTGCCGCACACCCCCCCTGAACGCGTAAATCACCGCGTGTGCAGGGATGCATGGTATGGTGTTGCGGACTTGACAGAACCGCTGAATATACGAGCGAAGTGACTCATCATCCCTTCGTTGTACCGCGTGTAAGTCCGCTTCTTCACCTGGGCGCGGATATGTGCCTTGAAAGTTCATGGTGAACTGTTGGCACAAATCCTCCCAGGAGTGGACCGACGCGGGTGGCAAGTTCATTAGCCAACCCCGCGCCTGTCCCTTCAGGGCCATGGGAAAGAAATTCGCCATGACCCTGTCGTCTCCCCCAGCGGCCTCGATCCCGGTCGTATAGACCTGGAGAAACTCGGTGGGGTTGACGCTCCCATCATACTTCTCGGTGATGGTGGGCCGGAACCTTGGGGGCCAACGGACATTCCGAAGACTCGCCACAAAGGCTCTACAGCCGACACCACCAGCCGGGGGCACGGAGGGCTGATCCTCACGTCCATGTCGAGGTGACACTCTGGACGAGGAGGCGCCCTCCGTTGCACGGGGAGTACGCCGGCTATTACGCTCGATGTTGAGGCGGGCATCCGGCTCCCCATGCTGATCCTCCCGAGTCGACGGTGTCGACGAGGGAGTGGCAGCCGAATGACGTGCAGCCGCCGCCGCTCGCCGCGCCCTCCGCCTTGATGACACGGAGCCGGTGGTAGCGGCGCCGGAGGTCTTGGTGGTGACGGACCGTCCACCAGCACCCAGGCGTTGCTGCGCCGTCATGACCAAGTTGGCCACGTCGTCCAGCCATCGCTGGGCTGGAGACTCCGGGTCAGGGACGACAGGCGGGTGTCGTAGGAGCGCGCCAGCAGCCTGAAGCGCGCCCTGAGGCGTGCTGCCGTCGCCGTAGACGAGGAGGCGACGCTCCCCATCTCGCCGTTCTCCTGCACCACCCGCGACTGGTGATGCTGCGGATTTCTCGACTCTCTCGAGCGCCTCCCCCTGCTTGGGACTTTGGCGTGGAGGAGGTGGGGGAGTGCGAGCTCGACGGCGCGGGTTTGGCTCCCCGTCATCGCCGCTCACACTCGGAGAGAGATTGTGCGCCTTTGCTTGCTCGGCCATTAGGCTGAACAAGGGAAACTTGGCGCACACGGAAGAGTATGAGAGCTCAGAAAACACACGCTGAGCCCCCTACCTGGCGCGCCAGATGACGGAGCTCGTGGCTCCTCACCGGGAGACCGCGCAGGCCCCCCTTTGCCGGTTCGGCCGGGGGCTTAGGGTGCGATCTCAAGCTCTCTCTGTATGTGGAAAGATTACTCGCCGGCAAGACACACGAGACACGGCGATGTATACAGGTTCGGGCCGCTGCGAGGCGTAATACCCTACTCCTGTGTTTTTGTGGATTTGTGTATGGACAAGTTACAAAGGATCAACTTCCTTTCCCCTCAGCCTTCCAAAAGGGAAAAGTCCCCCCTCTAAATGGGCAAGGTCCTCCTTTTATATCTCAAGGAGATACCACATGCACCTTTCTCTTTCCAAACTGGACTGTTCTTTTTCTCTTTAATGGGCGGAGATCGGTACGGTTTCCATCCGGGAGCCCTTCTGATGGGACAGCCCACACCTACCCCCACCTCCCCCGAAGACAGAGATGACGCGGGACCGTGGCTGTCTGTCGATGACGCGATCAGTGCCAGACCGGTCATTCTTGTCCACCACGCGTCAGCTTAACAACGTGCATGTTTGCCCTTCTTCGTGTAACACCTTGCCTGTAATGGTTAGGATGAAGCCTGGTATAAATCTGACCAGGGCTAACGTGCCATCTCTAAGAGATAACACGCTAGCTCCGGCTTGAGACGAGTTGCCTTGAGGCTTTCGTCTTGACGGGATGGGGCGAGGCGTGCGTCAGACCGCCAGTCGCCACCTAACCCTTGATCTGACCGGTCTGTGACTGGTCACAGACCGGATAAAAGAGCGTGCTGTACTGCGTTGCACGCAGCGTGACACGCTTGACCAGACTGCAATAAATGCTGTTAGGTGAGCACAGCTGTGCTCACTTATCCCATATATGTGGCGCAGACTTCTTTAAGGGGTCGGGGTGCCCCGGCCCTCGGGGCCGGGGCAAGCGCAACCCGACCCCCCCTCGGGGGAAATCACGAGGAGGGCGGACACCTCACCCTCGGGCCCGACGTCCCCGAAGGTGCCAGGCCACGTGGGCGATTGCGTCTGCCTCAAGCCTCTGGTCATGATACTCCCGGTCCCATATCACCGACAATGATGAATGCATATACTTAGATAATGAGGAGGCTGTTGCTGGTCAAGCTGATGAAACTAGAGGTGAAGGGGCTGCCAATGAAGAATCCGAGGATGAATCTTGGGCTACATCTGAGGATACATCTGAGGATGCATCTGAGGGTGATGGTGTTGATGAATCTGAGGATGAGTCAATGGCATTGGATGGGATGCCAGAAAATATTCCTAGCGCAACTTATGACAAGAATGACCCACCAATGATCGTAGGAAGCATATATCCTAACATTGATGAATTTAGATTGGCAATAGCACAACATGCAATAAAAAAGGAGTTTGAATTTAACATTATCCGGAGTGAACCAGGGCAATATACTGCAAAGTGTGCTGCTCAAGGCTGCAATTGGAGGATCCATGCATCTGTGGTTGCTGATGGTGTCACTATGATAGTATGTATTTAATTTAAAACAGCATGCATTCTTCAAGTATTGTATATGTATTTTATTGTGGTATTGAATATCTTTATATTTCAGGTGAAAACCAATCCTTTTCCACATGAATGCTCAAGTACGAGAAGAAGTGAGACTATCAAGGCTACAAGCAAGTTTTGGATTTGTGAGAAAGTAAAGGATTGGTTGTTGGAGGATGCTAGTGTGGGAGCGAAGGAATTGCAAAGAAGGATCCATGAAACACATAAGGTTAAGATCAACTACAAAAGAGTGCATGCTGGTAGGGAGCTTGCTATCACAAAGTTGTATGATAGTTGGAGAGAGAGTTTTGACATGTTGTATAGATACAAGGCACAAGTTGAGAAAGCAAGCCCTGGCAGTTTTTTCATCATTGACCATCACACTGTTCTTGAAGAGATAAAATTCATAAGGCTATTCTTTGCCTTGAAACCATGCATTCATGGTTTCCTTACTGGTTGTAGGCCATATTTGGCTATAGACAGTACTTTCTTAACGGGCAAGTTTAAGGGGCAGCTAGCAGTTGCTTGTGCTGTAGATGGACATAACTGGATGTATCCAGTTGCTTTGGGTATATTTGACTCAGATTCTGTTGAGAATTGGATGTGGTTCATGCAACAACTAAAAGATGCAATTGGCACTCCAAGAGGCTTGGCTCTTTGTACTGATGCAGGGAAGGGGATAGATAGTGCAGTGCATGAGGTAAATTGCTTTATTATGCACCAAATTCATTCTATTCCGTCTCTAATAAAAGGCAAAATGAGCTAATTCTCCTTTCTCCTTTCTTGTAGGTTTTTCGTAATGCAGAACACCGGGAGTGCATGAAGCACATGGTCACCAACTTCAAAAAGAAGTTCACTGGCAAGATATTTGACGATAACCTTTGGCCTGCAGCATATGCATGGAGCCCTTACTTCTATGAGAAACATATGGCAGCCATGGAAGAAGCTAAACCAGAAGCAGTAGCATACCTTAGGAAGTATCACAAAAGGCTATGGAGTAGGAGTCAGTTCTCTACAGTTTGCAAGGTTGATTATGTGACAAATAACCTTGCAGAAAGCTTCAACAATTTGGTGAAAGATTGGAAAGCACTACATTTGTATGACTTCTTGGAGAGGATTCGACGGTGGTTGTTGGTGAAATGGGATAAGAGGCAAAGAATAGGTAAGAAATTTGAAGGCCGCATTCTACCTCATATTGTCAAGGAATTGAATGAAAAAAGTAGAGATTTAGATATGGTGGTCACAAGAAATGGAGACTTTGAGGCAGAAATTGAGGTTAAAGGAGGTAGTGGGTTTAGACATGTTGTCAATTTGGAACACAAAACTTGCACATGTAGGGAATTCCAAGTTTCGGGGAAGCCTTGTATCCATGCTATAGCATTCATCACGTCAATTAGAGGAAGGCTTGAAGATTATGTGGATGATTGCTTTAGTGTGCATCGATTCAGGGCAGCATATGAGAAATTGATCCCTTCATTGCCTGACAAGTCACAATGGCCACAAGCTGATCATGGGTTCTTCTTGGCACCACCCATTCTGAAGTAATCAGCTGGGAGACCAAGAACTTTGAGGTACAAAGATTGCACTGAGAAAGGAAGCAAAAGGAGTAGGAGACACAAATGCCCAATTTGCAAGAGCTATGGCCATCATTGGCACAATTGCAAAGAGGGTGATCCAGAGCAAGTAGCAGCAATGCTTGCTAAAAGGTACATATTTCTTACAAATTTTCATTTTGTTTCTAATAAGCCTTATGACATATATTTTCTCTTGTTGACAGAGGGCCACCAAAGAAGAGAAGGAAGAAAACTAATGAAGTAACCTCAGAGACTAGTATCATGGCTGCTCCAATAGTTACACCAATAATGACATATCCTCCTAGGTTAGCCAATCTTTTTTACTTCATTCTATAATCAGTTAGGTACATAACAATTCAGTTAGGTACATAACAATTCATTTTTCACAGTCAAAGCATTCATTTCATTGAGGATAGTAGGACAAGGAACAATAGCTCAAGTTCAAGTAGATCAGTTAGGTAAGTAATTAGATCAATTATATCAATTTGTTGGTATTATGCTGCTCTATGCGATATATTCATAACTCTCTTTTGTAGATCAAGATCACTTACTGGCTCAAACCAACCTGAGCCATCTAATATGATTGCAGCCATGCCATGTCTTGGAGAGCAAACACCTCCAGTTGCACCGAAAAAAGCCAAGAGCAAGACAAAGGGAAAGCCACCATGTTCTGCTGTTCCAAACAGCCCAGCTATGGGCACAAGGAGCAAAAATAAGAGCCCTGCAATGGGCACTAGGAGCAAAAGAAAGCTTATGGACTAAATTATATATATATATATATATATATATATATATATATATATATGGCTAGTTGATTAGGTTTTATTTGGTACTGACAATTTATTATGTGGAGCCTGATGGATTTTGTTGTTGTTTGCTGTGTTATGCCTCATGATGCAATGATGTAGTGGTATGGACCTTATGCTATTATGCTCATGATGTACTGCCCACTTACTGTCATTTGCAACATTTGTGTATGGAGTGGAAAGTTGGTTTGGTTCCTGCACTACTAGGTATGGAAATGAAATTGTGGTCTTTGCATGATATGAATTGTTCTGTATGGATGATGGAAATGAGATTGATATGAAATGCTCTTTGTGGATGATGAAAATAAAATTGATATGAAGTGCTTTGAATGGTTGCTACTGATTTGATTGATGATGTATGATGCTCTTATTGATCCGGACTATTTTGTTTCACAAAATTCTATATGGATACTCTCTTTATTTACATCCTGCCTAATTTTTTTTGTATGGATATGAAAAATTTTTTTGCAATGGATTTCCTCCTTTGTCCACAACAAGTTCAGCTTCCTATTGAATGTACCAATTTTTGTTGTACAGAGGAAATTAATGTCACTTTGATTTTCTAACCCTATTATTTTTTTTGATCCTATTATTTTTTTAAAACGAAAGTGATGTATTGCATTTTTTTCCAATACCACAATAAAAGTTTTAAACTTATTATTAGCCTCATAAATACACATATTGTGTGGTCAACGTTTTTCAATTCTTTTTCAATCTACCTAGCACCTGCTGTTCCTCCTCCATCTACAAGGGTATTATGGACATTTTCAATCACATGTAACTGGAAAATGAAGAAAACCTAACGGGAGAGGCATGGAAGGGATGAAAGCGAAAATTCGGGGGTATAAAGGGGATCGAGTAAAATTGGGGGTATAGAAGAGATTAGGGAAGTTTTCATGGGTATACAAGGGATTTACTCCTAAATTTATCAAGGGTCATGCACTTGATAAATCAAAATTGGAGTGTGACCTTTTTGGGGTCTACTGATAATAATCTTTTGGTACATGCTAAATTTCAAGTTATATGCCTTGAACAGAATATATATATATATATATATATATACACAAAACTGAAAATCATCTTAAAGGATTACAACTGAATTTACATGGAATCCAATCCATTAGACATAAATGAATCTGAGTAATTCTCTGGATAGTACACTATGTGTTCACGGTAATCTTTAAAAGCTTATAGAATCCTCAGTACATCGAGTTGCAATTTTGCACAGATAAATACAATTCTCTAAGAAACAGGAATGAATAATAAGAAATGTCAGTGGTAGCATATGGGGCAACTGTGGAGGCACAAATGGACGCGCCAAGAAAATGTAAAAATGTGCTATCAATTGCAACTTAGGGTGTGTTTGAGGAGAAGGGGATTGAGGAGATTAGGAAGATACGCAAAACGAGGTGAGCCATTAGCTCATGATTAATTGAGTATTAACTATTTTAAATTTCAAAAATGGATTAATATGATTTTTTAAAGCAACTTTGCTATAGAAATTTTTTTGCAAAAAACACACCGTTTAGTAGTTTAAAAAGCGTGCGCGCGGAAAACGAGACTCAAATCTCCCCTATGTCCCCAGAACGAACGGAGCCTTAGTGAACAAATCTTGGAGAAGAACAATAGTTTATTAGTTCAGACAAAAATGAGAGTTTTAACTTCTATACTGAGAAATGGAATTTTATACAAAACCATATACCTTTGAAGCATGAAAAAAGGGGTCACTCCTATGATCACCAGGAAAAAGGCAACATCAAATGAGATTGTAATTTTATAGTGATCAATAGGATTTTAGTACTGACCTGATTATTTGACAGAGTCTCTGTTCACTTGGTAAAAGAGTTCACAATTCAAATTAATCTGCTTTAGTCACTACTCATATTGGAACACTATTCCATGTATATACCTTGAGACAAATTCCAGGCCTGCTGATCAATTATGAATTGACCAGCACATTTGGACTGCAGTGAAAACAGAAGAAAAATGATATCTCAGTCAATAAAAAAGCCAACGTGTGAGAATAGCCGGTAAATTAGAACTAAACTGCACATAGATATTATACTGCTCTTCCTTCCTAATATCTGACCATGCACTGATTTGGCTACTCCCAAGAATCAGATGGGAATGATTAGAACAAACCACTGTGTACAACTATGATATGAAGTATATGAACCGTTCATATCTAAAACTCTGCATTGCAACAAGACTACCTGACCAAACTGATCCATGGAAGCAGATCTGAAAAATGCATCAAGCTTAACCAATGTAAACAAAGAAAAACAAATCGAATGGGATGCTCATCAGTCGGGATAACACCAGATAAAATATGACATGCTCACAGCCATCAAGAAAGAATGTTGATGGCAGCGGCATGCATGCCAGGAGATACTTAACGATCTTCTCCACCAAGAAACAGCACAACCCATGTCATAATTAACATGCAGCATGGATCTGGCTAGGCCATTGAATGAAGAGTACCCTGAGCTAAATCTTAGCAAGAGGGAAATATATTAGGTACGAATAAAGGTTTTATCCTAATGAAATTATGTTGCTAGGCTATCGAGAAAAATAAATTGTATTTACCATTAGCTTCCAGGTGTTGATAATCCATCAATATATGCATATTTCCATCCAAATAGTTCCTTTTTGAATATCTTCTGTTGTTTTTTGATATCTTCCACTAAATTGATGCAAGAGGAAATACTAATAGTGATTCTCATAGGTAAATTAAAAACATCTTTTTACATTGCACTAACTTTACTTGACAACTCATATGTTTTTAATATGCAGAGCTAGCTGACGATGATGCCGACGACACCGCCGGTGACTCGCAGCAGCGGGCGCGCGCCTCTCCACACTCCAGCGAGCGTGCTGGTGGGCGCGCCTGCAACCACCGCCATCATCTCGTCCAACCCCTCAACCATACTGAGGTCCGCATTCCCATCCACCATTCCGATGGGTCCGATGCAGCGGCGGCAACGGAGGGTGATGATCGAAGAGCTCGGTCCGACGATAACGACGGCTGCGCAGATGATCGGGATTTGAGGGAGGTTATGGTTTATGGAGGGGGGCGGTGGCGCGATGGAGAGGAAGGGGGCGAAGCGAGGGACAGCACAATACGGAGGGAGGACAACCGGAGAAGAAGGCGCGGGTTGGGCGGGATGGGAAGGCAGCGCGTCGGTGGGGTGAGGAGGCGGCGCGCCGAGGAGGAAGGATGGGGGGCTGGGGAGTGCGATGCGGAATTACAGATCGGAGAGAGAGGGAGCGCGATGCGGATCGGGGAGATGAGAAGGGGTGCGACGGGTGGATCGTGGGAGAAAATCTCATCCGCTGATGCCTGTGAGAGGATCCTCCGATGAATGTTAACCATTCGATCGTTCAGGACTCACCACCACCACTACGAATTTTTTAAGTAGTAAAGAAATAGAGCGATAAAAGAATTCACATGATCTTGTTAACGATGTTGGTGTGGAGCCCCCAATATTGGTATCCATGTCTTAATGTGTGTAAGCCAGCTAAACAATCCTCACAGCATGCTTCACATAAAGAGTAATAAAAGGTTAGCTACATTTGAAGTGTTTTGCCACACTGAGTTCCAAATCAATTTTTGGCCATGTACACATAAAATTTGCTTTTCCATATATGTATGAGGGCCAGATAAAATAATCAAGTGTCTCAACAGCAGTATGTTTTTTAGAGTATGATTAACATTATGGTTTTTAGAGCATGATAATTGCAACAATTAAATAATTGCCAACTTTTTGGGCTGCATGAGTGTCTAGACTGAATCCAATCTTAAGCAAAAGGGTAAGCAATTTTCCCTTGCTAAAGTAAAATTTTTCCATTAGAAATTACTGAGGGAATCGATTTCATAATTGCCTGCAAATTGCTTTAAAAATAAAAAGGGTGGTCAGATGCCATTCCTTTTATGAACATTTCCTTTTTTTTTCTCCTTCCCTGATAGCACATATGTGTTTTCTTTATGAGATTCCCTTGAAAATGAGAACGTAAAATGATCTAGATATAACCAAAATACCCATCCAAACATGCCAAAAAGAAAATGAAATATTAAAGATTCCTAAGCTCGAAGAATCTACTCACTGATAACGTAGGATAAAAAAAAAACTCACAGGTGTAACTATAATGGTATATCAGTGACCAATCCCAGAGAAAAGAGACGTGAACTTCACCCACGATATACATGTATGGATGCACCTTAGCATAGCATAGTGAATCAGTACAGGTTGTGCTTAGGTATTTACTGAAAATCCTTAATATTATCAACAATATACATGTTGTTACAAGCATTTCTCTTAGCAATTCAGTGTACGAACTGTAGTTCACATCCTTGTTCATTTCGTTATATCAAGCAAGAAATTTGTGAACGAAAAAGGAAGTTAACGCTATTTTATAAATTCAGATAAATGATCGATTTGACATGTTCAGAGTAACAGTTTACTCTAGTTTGATACACTTCATTGGAAAAAAAAAGATCCAATGATCATGAAGACAATAACCAATTTAAAATCTTACTGCTTGCACATAATTTTACAAGGAAAATAAGAGCAATTCTATATTATCAGGAAATGGATTGAATACCAATGGCATTAATATGACACATAAACTGTTGCAAGCTTCAGTTATGATGTCAGTAATAGAAGGGAATGAACCTTCAGGATCAGGGCTCTCAGGATGAGCAAGGAAAAACACCGTCTAGGCAAGCTTGTTCAAGCACTCCTTAATCAGCACGATCAACAAGTTGCATTTTTTTCTAAGACTTTAGTCCAATTGAGGATAGATCAAGAAGAGGAAGGAGCTCGCATTGTACCAGGGCAGAGAGGACTGCCGACGCTGATATTGTAGGACTGACTGTGGCGCTCGGAATCATTTGTAATCATAAGCAAATTAATAAGCTACGTGGATGTGGTTGTTGTAATTTATTTGGAGTAATCAGTTTAATTTAATCACAGACACATTGTGAAATTACACGTTTTTTGGATGCCCTATAGCAAATTTTGCTATCTAGAATAGAAACTGAATGACTGAGACGTGAATCCTAACAGCCCACACAACTCCCTTGTTACGAAGTATTCGGCACATGACATCAGCACAAAGAGAAATCTGCTTGTATGTCCAAGGTACTGTAGGTTCAAAGAAAGAAATTCTTGACTGGATGTCTACAATTTAACCCTTTGCATGGTGCAGTAGAAATGTTTATAGACCATTTAGCGAAGATTGATCCATGCAGGAGACATTTGCACTATTTGTAAGGGGTAATCATGATGGAAGGAAATTACCTTTACCAAACAGAAATTTAGTAGAATCAGCCAAAAATCTCCTTGATTGTGCAGTAAACAATAGCAATTGGCATGGTGTCCAGTCAGCTTTGCTTCGACAATCTGAACTTTTTTTCCCTACATATTAAATAATTTGATATCAAAGGTTAAGTCAGTTTGCGAGATATAAGTTTTTTTTTTTTTTAAAAAAAGAAGTGTACCATCACTTCAGAGACAACTGTGATAGTTAATCTACATACAAAATTAAGTTTGAGGGACACAGAACTGAGTATGAATGCTTAGCACTTCGATCAGACTCCACAACACACTATACACACTTAAGTTGACAGAATTGCATCTCCTATAGGATTTGCAGAAAAAACAGAGGAATGAATGTATAGCACCTGCAGATTGGTGTATTCTCAAATGATCCTACAGGTAAATCACAGGAGGCCTCTCATCTGCATGACAGAAGAGATAGATTGCTTTTAGTAAGTAAACTGAATAATAATTTTTTAACACCACAAATTGCAAAATACAGGATTGGTCCAATCACTTGGATGGTCAACAAATGAGAAAACTGCATGCCAGATGGATACCTTGTTGATCTAACCACAATATAGAGCACTCAAGAAATCTAGAACGCTGCTCGATGAAATGTGTATGTGCTGCCAACCAGACCTAGCAACTCCTACTTACTTCTAGGTCGTCGGCGACGCGGGCGCGGGTGTTCCAGAGGTGGCACGGAGGAGATTGGTGGGGTGGCCCTCGCTGGCGACGCGGATGGGAGAGATCGGCGTGGGCGGAGCAGATTGGTGAGGGAGTACCGACGGTGGCACGGAGGAGATCGGCACGGTCGGAGCAAATCGGTGGAGAGATCGGCTCGGGCGAAGGAGATCGGAGGACGACGACCCTGGCAACTCCTGTTCAGCCGTGGTGGAAGACGGCGATGGCGGCGACGAGGACGGCGGGGGCGATCGATGGCGGCGGCAGTGGGGGAGCGATCTGGTGGAGGACGGCGTGGGCGGCGGGGAGGATCGATGGCGGCGGCAGCGCGGGACGGTGGGGGAGGACGGTGGGACGGCGGGGAGGAACAGCTAGTCGAGGAGGACGGCGAGGGCGAGCGGGCGAGAGGAAGGACGGCGAAAAGCGAGCGGGCGCGCGGAAGCCGGAAAGCCAGGGCGGAGAGAAGCGGATGCAGCGCGATTGGAGCGCGATGGTGTGGACGGATAGGAGCGTTTGGAGCGTCGATTTGGTGGGAGGATCCTCCGATGAATCTCTCACCACCACCACTACAGTTTTTTTTAAGTAGTATAGATTTCAATTAATTAAACATTTTTTTGACTTTAAACCAGGTATCTTTAGATTTATGTCACTTTGGATTCATTAATAAATGGTCATATGATCTTACAAAAGCTTAATCTAAAAATATTGTTTTAAAAGGTAACATATGTAGGTAATAACATGCTTATTATCTTCTTCATCCTTTTATTTTTTGAGTTCCAAAATCAAAGTGAAATTTACGACTTATCTTCTTCCTCTTCCCTTTTTTTTTTTTTGAGTTTTGAGTTCCAAAATCCGACTAAGTAATTTTTCTCCACCTCTTCTATCGTATTTTTTTATCTCCCTCTGTTTTTATGTTTGAAAATCTAACTTCGTCTGTTTTGCCGCTATGCGTTATAACTTTACATGAGGTAATATTTTGAGACGATATGAGAAGGCAAAACATTGCAGCACAAAATTCTAGTACAAAAAATGAGAGAATTAACGCCGAAAAGCATGCAAAATCCGGTACAAAAACTTTCCTCCGATCTTCCTCAAATCCTCTCTCAAAAAACTCTCAAAAAGAAAAAAAAGAATTAGGCCTGAGCCTTGGACGGAGCCTTGGTTCTTGCAGCTGGAGCTGGAGCCTTGGCTTGGGACTTGACTTGGGCAGGAGCCTGGGACTTGGCTTGGGCAGGAGGAGCCTGGGACTTGGCTTGAGCAGGAGCCGGAGGAGGAGCCTGTGACTTGGCTTGGGCAGGAGCCGGAGCTGCGCCTGAGGACGAGGACGATGACAGGGTCTGAGCCTGAGGCTGAGCTTGAGCTGGAGCTGGAGACGAGGAGGCCTGGGACTGGGACTGCACCTTCTCTGGCGTCGCAGGGATGGTCCCTGTCAGCGCAGGGAAGTGGGCAGGAGAGAGAATAGAGTCGCTCTCGTTCCTGCCGTTGCCTTGGTTACCACCACGCCGGTAGCCACCATTGTTGGAGTAGCCTCGGCCCTGCTGGTAACCACCATTGCCAGAGTAGCCTTGGCCCTGCTGGTAGCCACCATTGCCATTGCCGGAGTAGCCTCGGCCCTGCTGGTAGCCACCATCACCTCTGTAGCCGCCCTGCCTGTATCCACCATTGCCAGAGTTAACCGCGCGCTCTTGCTGGAATCGACCATTGTTGTTGCCATTGTAACCACGCTGCTGATATCCACCATTGTTGTTGCCGTTGTAACCACGCTGCTGATATCCACCATTGCCACGCCCTTGGTAGCCACCGTTGTAACCAATATCACGGCGCTCTTGGTAGCCACCGTTGCCCCTAGCGTTGCCATGTGGTTCAGCGCTGTGGTCACGGCTGTTTTGCCTGAAACCACCATTGCCACGGCCAGGGCCACCACCACCATTGTAGTACCCTTGTGAAAAGCCATCTTCCTGCACACGCCTAGGTGGAGGACGAGGGCGGTACGCTTGTCCATCAGCAGGCTTTAACAAGTCATTGAGGTTTATAGCCTGCAAAGTTAAGGAAAAAAGAGGTCACGGACTTTTGTTAGATCACATTATTCTAAAATGTCTCTTTCCTTAATTCAGGATTAATTGCAAATGCATAAATTAAATTCTAATTCTAATGTTGTTGTAAAGAAGATTCTGTTACCTTAGGAGCTTTGACTTGCTTTGCTGGCTCTTTGCGCTGCTCATTTTCAGCCTTCTTGCTAGCATTTTCATCATCAAGCTTCTTTTTCTCCAATAGTTGCATGCCCTCAAACACTTCAGCAGTGACCTTCCTCCCTTCAGATTTCGAGTCCTCCAAAGCCTTCCTTTTCTCTTCAAGCACTTTCTCATATTCTTCAAGGGTCATGTCCTATTTCAAAGTAATTAGTCAGTAACGATCAAGGGTTTGAACACTTAACGGTGAACCTCATTTATGACAAGTGAAGTAAAATATAGAGACCAACCTTTCTCTCTTCTTCCTTAAGAACCTCTGCCTTCTCTGCTTCTTTCTCAGTCTTTCCGGAAACCTTAGAATCATGCTTCTTCTTCAACTTCCTCTTAGCGGAACCGCTAAGAGTGTTGCGCACCTTCTTCTTTTCAGGGTCACCTCCATCCTTCTTCGAATTGTCTTGCGCAACATCCCTGGAAATAGTACAGGATTACAGGATTAGGTTGGCTCCAGGAATCACCAAAGGCAATTTATTTCAAAATAACAAAACAAAGTATGCAACATACCCTGTAGACTCTTCTGGTCCAGAAACAGGCTTGGCAACAGCATCCCCTGCAACAGATTCCTTCTTTCCTGTTTCACTGGCTGAGTCCAACTTATCTTCAGATTTGTTCTCGGCAGAACAAGCAGAAGCAGTTTCAGACAACTGTTTCTCTTTAGGCCTGTACTGCAGATTCTTCTTCCTGTACTGACCCCCATTGTACACTTGCCTCTGACCATTATTGTAATTCTCTGCATACTGACCATCATATCCATAGTCCCCGTGATAATTCCCATTGTTTTGATACTGGCCGTTCCCCTGGTGGATAGGCTGATATCCACCATTGTAATGGCCTTGGCCATTACCATTGTAATTGTAGTTTTGATAACCATTGCTATTATTACCATTGTAATTGTAATTTTGATAACCACCATTGTTGTTGGAATAGCCACGGTTGTAATAATCATAATCGTAATTCCGACCTCCACTGCCATTCTCTTGGCCGTTATTCTTCCCCTTCACTGAAAACAAACAAGAACAATGCAATGTCAGATCCAAATCGTGTTGGACACAAAACTGCAGGCAGCAGGGCATTTGATTAATCATAATATGATCAAAAGCTAATTAGTCAATCAATTGGTGATGTATAATAAATAATCATAACCAGAAGGGCAATTGAATCAACGGAGTTACTATGTATAAAATGCTCGTGGAAATCAATACAACATTGTACATAACCAATGAGAGGCAAGCGATAGTGTATTTAAGCCAGTTCAGGAGCAGGAAACATGCATATTAAATATTAAATTATCAGTTCAAATTGTAGACTATCGATCCAGAACACCAGATGAATCAAAGCGGACAATTTACTCAGTCGATCAATAAACCCAATCTACCCAGGCAATCAATAATAAACCCTCAAAAGTGAGCACCTTTAATTATTGTATCAACAAATCTCGTACCTACAAACCCCCAAACGAATATAGATTGGAACTACACACAAAATTCAAACCCCCACGAATCTAGATTAGAACTAGACACAAACTTCATCTCAAACACCGACGTGTATATAGATTAGATAATAAATCCCAGATTGCCTTAATCCAGAACCAAAACCAGATGCCGTGTATATAGATTAGATAAATCCCAGATTAAAAGAGGATTGAGAAAAAAGAAAAGAAACCATACCATCTTTGGCGCCCTTCTTCGTGGGCTGTGGGTTGGCGGCGGCGAAGGCATCGGCCTCGGCCTTCTTCTTGCCGACGAGGATGGCGACGGCGGCCTCGCCGGACTCGCCGTCGGCCTCGCCGAGGAGGTCGAAGGGGTTGGACATCGCTCGCGGCTGCTAGGGTTTGGGGGGCCCTAAACCCTCGCGACGTGCGGCGACTCCCAAATCTCTCTCTCTCGAATCGACTCTCGAATCGATCGCTTCGTTGGTTGCTTCGTTGCACCTTGGGCGGCGTGAGGGGGGTGGCGCCCCTTATATAGGGGGAGGCGCGCGACGCGGCCGCTCGTGGGCCGTTGTATTCGAGCTCGACTAGGACGCCGAATCCGCCGTTGATTCCTCCTCCTTTGCTCGTGATCGGATCGGATCCGGCTTTTGCTTAAGTTGAGTTAATTGTGCTGCGTAGAAAACGTTGCCCCGTTAATTTGCTCGTTGGTTGGTTGGTTACAGTGTAATCAGTGTGCAATTAATTAAGCAAAGCCATAATAATCTCCAGGTTACGAAGTTAAATTTTAGTCGTGTTTTGATTCGGTTTTGAGAAAAGGAAGAAGGGGTTTGACTCTTTCCTTGCAAACCCCGGAACTGATTATTTCCTTGTTTGAATACGTGTACGTAAGTGTACACATATTTGGAGTAATCTGATCCGTACTACTTACTACTCGTACCAGTAGCGCAACATTTGTTCACGGTTTCGATTAGGATCTTAAGACACAGCAAGTTTCTGTATAGTTTCGTACGTAAAACTAACTCGGTCTGGCCATGCATATAAGTTGCTTACGTATATATCGATCTGGATCGATTCGAATCGATCGAAACAAGTTGCCTAGCTAGCTAGCAAACACATCGTTATATCATCGAATCGATTGATCTGACAGCTGAGTTGCGTTCGTGAAACCGTGAAACGAAGTTGATCGTTTGATCAGGAGACGAATCGATCGACATGAATCACGGCGTGACGGCGGCCGTCAACATGTGGGACCTCCTCACCGTCGACGACCCCGGCCACGTCCCCGGCACCGTCGGCGCCGCCGAGTCCAAATGTGATTATTTCTGAATATTTATTTATTCCTTATTGCTCTGTGTTGCTATATACTACTACTCCATATTTAGTTGGATCGATCAACTAGATAGGTGACGCGCGCGTAATTAATTGTTAATTGCAGCAAAGCGAAAGAAGAACAAGAAGAAGAACGCGGCGGCGGACGACGGCGACGGCGAGGTGGTGGTGGCCAGCACCGCCGCCGACGAGCCTTGTGCTAACGCCGAGGCAGCGAGGGGATCGGAGCCGGCGGGGAAGGCCGCGCAGATGAGCAGCGGCAACCAACAGGCAGCGGCGGCGTCCAACGACGACGTCGACGGTGGTGCTCCGCCGGCGGCGGCGGCGGCAGGAGGTGGCCGCCGGTCTCCTTGCCTTACGGTGGTCGGTGAGATGGTCAAGGCGGTCGTCGCGGCGGGCTTGGTTGCCTTCTTCTACGCCGTCGTGACCGCGCCCACTACCGTCTGATGATCCAAAATATTATACCACTAGTGGTTAATTTCATGCATCTTTGTAAATTCAACACGATCAGTATAATACTGTATAGACTTTTCTTTTTTTTCTGGAAAATATGCATTTGGTAATGCAAATCAATCAAACTATAAGATTATTATGCTGTTCTAATTCCTTTTAAAAAATTATAGAAAACACCTATTAATTGTTCCTTAAAATCTGATAGTGTAGATGCAGCCCAATGAACTTTGTCTAATATTACAAAACGTTATGGAAATATTACGAAGAGGGACAATAAAATATACAAGCATATAAAGCTATAGCTACTCTGATGTCAGGAAGGGATGAAACTGATCTTTAGATGCTGCTAGCCCCTTATATTTTTTGAGGGAAACTACGGCGGGTTCGAACACCTCTAGCCCCTTAATTATATTTGTCGACAGAGAAGCAGTGAGCAAGGCTTCATATGTCCGCATGTTTAATTTTCAACGTGCAGAGTGCTTAGAACGACAGGGAAGTCTGCAGTTTTATATTAATCAAAATCAAATCTCTATAATTTTGTGACTTTATTTATCATAGGCCCCTATATTCTCTGCATAGATAGATCGTACGACCAGGTTTTAGGACGACTTCCCAGCATACATATCAACTCCTCCATGGGCGTTTGGTATTTGTTGGGAAATTGCTATACATACGACTTGTATGTACGACTTGTGTCCGACCAACACTCAGCTGCTGCTCGCCCTGGCCCATATGGAAAGAAGCAGACTTATATGGAATGCAGTGATTGGCTGATGAGGCGGGTCGGACAGGAGTCGGACGATAGGGTCGTATGTATAGCTCGATTCTGTTTGTTGCGACAAGGTGAACAGTGTCAATCAGCTTGTGATGTTGCTCAATGCCTTCGGTGCTTAAGATGGATGATACTCAGGATGATAGCACAACTGGTGTAGTAAATTCGGTTCTACGAAATTCAGTCACAGTAACACAGTGCATCGTCCACAAATTGTCCCTCCCGATGCATATATTGTGGTGAGATCACATCGATATGGAGGAGAAATAATGCTTATACATACTGAATCAGCAACCTTATTCCATTTCACTCCAAAAAAATTTTAAAATGGTTGCATTATTGTATGTTCTAGCTACTGTCTACTCAAGAGATGTCTTCCAAGGCAAAGAAAATGCAAACTACTGTCTGTATGTACTCATGCTCACTCCACATCACTTGTACAACGCATCAATCTCTCTATGATATTTGGCAGTCACTTTGTCCCTCCGTAATTTCAAAGTGGGTGTTAGCAAACCATTATCCACCTGAATACAACAAAAATTTTTTTTGTCAAACTTGCTAGCATGAAGAGAACTAACAAATTACCAGTACTAGGTGAAAACTTACCGTAAATGGTTCATCGACAATTAGAATCGGGCCAATTTGGAAGGAACAATCCACCATCCTGGCATTTATCAACAAAATATTCAACACAGCTCTTAAGTTAATTGGCAACTCAAAATTACAAGCATTCCCCCTCTTGACTATGCCATGCTACCATCCCTCAAACCCCTGTCTAAGTATCTAAGGTTTCAATACCCGCATATCAACAGCAATTTCCATAATCCTACTCTCTCTCCTTTTCTTTTTAAAAATTTCTTTCTGTCTGTCAACTGAGAGATTTAAGTCCAGTATGATTCTGGCCCATCGTAAAATCAACTAAAACTCTCTAGTATATTAGGCAAGAGAAATCAGAGCTCATAACAAACAGGAGAGAAAAGTAAAAATAGCATAAGCAACTCTTACCAAGTTCTCAGCTCATCATATAGCAAGTTCAAAACCTTATCTTTGGCTAGTTCGTTATTCCCATCAAGAATGGACTTCCTTTTAGCTGTTGCTAGAACTTCATCATAGTTGGGAACGATAAGAGCACCAATTCGCCGCTTGTCCTATGCAAAGAACAAACACATAAAGTTCATGATTTTGCTGGTGCACTAATATTTTTCATCACTCAATCTTCAAATAAAATTCCATCATAGACAACAATTAAGGTGGTCAAGGTTACAAGTTTCAAATAATGGTGACCCAGTGATTCTACAAATTATATTTCCTTACCGATTGAAGAACAAATATTTACCCACATAAAGGAGCCTAAAGTGACAGATGTAATAATAACGACAATACATATGTATCTCTATTCTTTAGATCATCTCATACCTGGCCAACAACAACTATCTGATTAATCAAGTCACTCCTGCTGGCTGCTTCCTCAATCTCAGCAGGTTCAACATTTTCACCTGCAAATCAGAACATTCAAGAGCAATCAGCTCTAATTAAATATTCAAGGGCAAGAAGATCCATATATGATTTCCAACCGCACATAAATTCAAGTTTAATAGTGGTACATCACAGTACCATATATTCATAATCAACAATAAAAACAATAAAATATTTTAGAAAATACATAAGGTTACATTGTGAAAAGCAGAAACCAATTACAATCTTTAACCTGTTGTGAGAACTATTGTATCTTTTGCACGCCCTTCAAGAACAAGCATCCCTCCACACTTCCGACTTGGCCCTGTTGGACAGTGAGGTGCAATCCAACCAATATCCCCTGTGTCAAACCAACCTTCTTGATCCAAAACTTTATTTGTAGCTGACGGATTCTGTGACAACAGAAATTTTAGGCGATAATATGGAATTCCTAATAAAGTTGAATACTCAAATGGCATAACTTCATTGAGCATGGTGCCTTGACATAGATTATAAGATTGAACTAATTGGGTTCTCACTCTTCATTTTGGTTTGGGTGATATCCGTCAACACCATCTCATACTAGCTTAGTGACTCTTTTATGAGAAAAGGTATTTCCAGAATACCACAAGCCTGACCTTTTGTCAAATATTTTATGGAAGATATATCAGGTTGCTAAACTATGTCCAATATGAACTAGTCAGTGCTACAACTATGATGTACCTACAGCATTACGTCTTACCAAGATATATAATCTGATGTTCATTTCAGCCCAATATTGTGTTCGTCTTGACCCAAACATGTTTACTGCTCAAACTTAATTTATAGTTAAAAGCTTAATGGTATCAGTAAACTGAGAAAATTGAACCTTGTAATATCCCTTCATCACTTGGGGTCCTCTGACTTTCACAACCCCCTTTGAACCATCTGGAAGAACCTCACCAGTCTCCATATCCACAACCTTGATTTCCGTGTGCTTTACTGGGTGGCCAACTGTGCCAAGAACCTGCAATGTGACAAGAACTACATATTTAGTGTTATCAAAGGCTTTACACAGGAAATAGTATGAATAATCAAATCCATGCAAATATGCCAGGAATACAATAGGAGCTATAATCTCACAGTATGTTGACAGACTAATGAGAAGTATGACGATTGTTTTCAAGACGCCATCCAGATGCAGTTCACATCAGACAAAAACGTTCATAAAGCACAAAAATATCATTTCTCCATTATTTTCCCCTAAAATTGAATATACACTACCACAAAAGTTGGCCCTTCTTCATGCATTCCACAGGCCTTTTATGCATTTCACAGGCCATGTATGCTTCCAGATGAAAGCTTACTGGTGCAGTAAGATAAAAACATTTGATAATGGGTAAATCTGCCAAGGGCAGGCTTCTAATAATATCATCGTTTATTGCTGAAGCAAAAATGCCCTCTGGCAAGAATTTGTTTCCACTTATGGTGAGTAAATTTGCAACAGAATATGAAAAATATCCGGATTTACTGTTTAAGAAAAAAATGGCCTCAGAAGAATATGCTTTCTAATACACAAAACTGTTACTTTTCTTTTCCTTTTTCTAAACACACCACATATCCAAGATGGAGTTTCCTATAAAAGGTTATGAACTTCTTTATTCTGGTTGTTTTCACAGGAATAAGCATGTACGCAGTGGCAATACAATATCGAATATATTCTTTTCATGACAAAACCTGTGTTTGAAAATGCTAACAATGCACACAAATAATATCTAACCAGCATAATTCCGAGTTTGTGCGTGGGGCAGAGAGGGGGGGGAGGGGGGGGCGGGGAGCTCTTACGTTACAGAATGGCCGTCTAGCAGCTACAACAGGGGATGTCTCTGTTAGACCATAGCCATTTTGCACTTTGACACCGATGGCCTGGAAGACCAAATTATTAATGAAGCCAATGAATATTTAACAAAATAAGTTTATTAAATGATAGACATCTACCTCAAAAAATTTGTCAACATGCATCGGGAGACTTCCACCACCACTAATGCCAGCCTGCAAGTTACCACAGAATTCACCGAATATATCTGTAATCAGCATTGGTGTTAAGGAAACTCCTTTCACACTCAAGACTCGAACAAGGATTATCAAGGTAACACAGAAACAGGCACATGGTGTTAAGTAAAGTACCTTTGAAATCCCAATTGCAGAATGGATTTTCTTGTAGACTAACGTCTTTGCCAGATTATGCAAAGGCCACAGAAGTGCAGCAACAATTCTTGCAGATAGCCAATTGACCATATACACAATAAAGGATGGTTTGACGGGATTGTTCGATAGGACTGTTCCCTTTCCAATGGAAGAGGAGAAAAATAAGAAGAAATTTGGATATTAGTGGTAAAGAATCATGCTACACCTACAAATAGAATTCATGGGATAGGAATTTCTAGATCAAAAGGTCATCATATATGAGACAAAGGGAAGATAACATCTTTGACTATTATAATTGCAGCAAAGAAAATGAAGTAGCTTGTGTCAGCTCAGGGTCCAGACCTCGTATATCCTCTTTGCCTCCATATATAGCAAACTTATCTTAATAAGTGCAAGAGCAACAAATTTCCGAGCAGTTGAACTGGAAGATATCTGTCTCTGAATTGAGCTTTACAAAGTGAAGAAGAAACATCAGAAAATAGATTGAAAAAGCAATCATTAAGCATTACAATTTCGCAAGAAAATGCCTGCATCAAGGACAAAGAAGAACATTGCCTACACTGACTGGGTGCTTCCTATAAAATTAGTTAGAGCTTACAGCCATTCAACACAAACATTTGGCAATAGAACTTAGATTATACAGGGAGTGCTTGGTATGGAGCCACATTGAGGGTATCAGTGAGCTGAAATAATGTTACATCTCTAATGCAAATTCATGTAGAATACTATATGGAAGCAGTTCAGCATTGTAATAAAAGAACTAACCTGTAGAGAATCTCATAGACCAGTGGAACTGATACTATGTATTGAGGTTGGTATCGTTGCAAATCTTCCTATCAATAAATAGAAGATAAGTCGAATTTTTTTTTGACGCAAAAAGAGATAAGTCGAAATTGACTAAGCAACTTTGGCATCTTCGGAACTAATGGAAAATAAAACTAGTGACCAGAAAGGAGAATACGGCAAGCGAAAGTAATCCTATCATATCCATTATGATACTTGGGTTTGCCTAAAGATTACTACTTAGATGGTCTGGAGTCCTGCAGATTGTTACATGCTTATACTATATCAAACTCAAAGTTGTTATCCGTCAGTAAGCTGCTAAAGAAAACTACAGCATTTATGAATGTAATTATGGTCACAATAGCTCCTTAGTGACATCATAAGGCCCTTTATGCAACTAACTATAATAAGCTTATTTATGATTATGCATACCAAAATGTTACCTTCAGGTACTTGACAGTCGTGTAAACTTGTTGAATTCCATAAGTGAAGATGAAGTACTCGCTAGCACGCTCATATGCATGCCATGGTGGAAGCATGCTTAGGAACCTATCACCAGGTACTGCTGGTACAAAATCCCACAAATTTTTAATCTGCAAAACATAATTGCATAAAACTTTACTTGGATAGAAGAGGAACAGGAGTTCAGGTGTTCGCATAATAAGAAATCACATCAAGAGGAGACAAAGTAGAGGTTATTTAGCAAAGTGCAGTTTAAATTGCAGTATTACTTTCATATAAGAAAATCAATATTACTGCTCTTTCAACCTGATGCAAGAGGTTTCGGTGGGTAAGCATCACTCCTTTTGGTGTTCCACTCGTTCCACTGGTATATATTAGTGTAGCAACATCATCTGGAGTAATAGTTTCAAAGACGACCTGCTGACCTATAGGAAAAGAATAAAACAAATTATGACTATAACACAGAGTTCTGACAAGACAACATCAAAGGAACTGTTTCTGGGGTGTAGGTTGAATGTTTGAGAATGTTGAACATGTAGCATAGCCAAAATTGCACTTGTAAAGCATAATAGCACAACTGCATGAAATGTCATTATCATTGTAAAAAGGAAGAACTTTCCACAAGATTAAAGTTGAGCGAGAGTTTTAGGTTAATGACTATTGTCCCAAGAAGTGCAAGTGCTCATCTTTAAAAAAAAAAAAAACAGAGCCCCAAGAGCCAAGAGACACTGTTGGAAAAGGAGGGGTGGGTGGCTGGGTGCAAATAGCTTAAATTGCAAGCTCTGAATATAACTAAACAAACAAGAAAACATTCAGCCAGAATATGCAGAACAGGTAGTCAATATTACTATACTGGCAGATCTATTAATTGTTTACTAGTACTGGATGTTTAATTGGTAAACCAATAAGTTTCTGCATCCGCCAGCAATGAAGAAATTTATGTTTGAACAAGTAAAGTACCAACAACTTTTAAGAAACCACCTGTGTACATTGTCACTGTCAGTCAGTAAATTTATTCTCGTTATACATGTTAAATTGGATCACATTAAACAATACCTTGTTCATGAGAGTGACGCAATGTATTACGGCTTTCTCGTCCGAGTTGAGTGATATCCTTGAAGTCATAAAGTGGTATTCCATTCACAACTTCACTGTTTAGGCACGATTTCTCACCCCAAAGTAGCACAATAAATCTTGCGTTAATCCTCGAAATAAAAGATTCTGCAAGCCGGTTAAAGAATTGAGGACTGTCCACAACAAGTGCAATGCTGTGATAGGGAAAAATAACAATATCATAATATGGAAAGTAAAAAAGTGAAAGTGTAATGAAAATTAAATTGCAGAAGCACAAGACACTCATGGTACTACTATCATCGAACGATTCATATTGATTATAAAAAGGTCCACACAATACCTAGATTTATAATGTATGCATAAGTACCATGATAAATGTATTTTAGCCCAATGAACATGTCAAAATGAAATCTGCCCTGTTATTTTCAAATGCTGAAACAGGTTGAATCTAAAAGGTTGCCAATTTGAGTAATTTGTACCAAGAAAAGTGTATTAATCAATCCAGGCATCCAGCTCTAATTCTACCTCTAGATAGCAAGGAGCATCAAGCTTGCGCCCAATCACCCATACGGGCGCCTAGCCGTGTCCCCATACCCTAATATTTAACAGTCAACGCCTCCCTCAATTCATGCCTCAACAAGTCAACATTCCATTGAACAGAATTAATTGAACGACTCAAAAGGCACTTCCAAAGGATTGATTGGCTTCAAAATGCCAAGTACTGGATTCCGGAAGGTGCCGAGCTCAGCAGTTACAAACAGAAACTAATTAATCAATTTGGTTTCTGCAATTAGTACCACAATCAACAGTGGATTCACAAGGCTATCTGGTTGGAAGGGATAAATACCTAGAGCATCATTTAATGTTTTTGCGTAATTTTGGTTATCTAATGTTCACCTAGATCAAATGGTCTTGAATTCATACTTGAAAAGGAATTGAGAAAACTCACCTTTCTGAATGAGTGTAAATTTGAAATAATTCTTCATCAGAAGATCTTGTTCCTCTAACAACATTTATAGCACCAGTAGCCATGATTCCTGCATTCCATGTCTCAGTGAAATAAAACTTATGAACATAACTACATAGCTAATAATGTATTCGAACCTCAGTCAAAGCAACTCATCAAGAAACCTGGCATCATAGATTATACGCGCACATTTAACAGGCAGATATCTGTGAAACAAAAAGGTGATTACCTTGATCTGCAACTAGCCATCGGCATGAGTTATCAGCAAAAAGGGCTATCTTTTCATCTGGAGCAACTCCAATGGCCCTTAGACCTTGAGAAAAATCCAATATTTCTTGTTCAAGCTGATTAAAGACAATAATTAACATGTCAAACTCAAATGTGAAATGGCATATGATACTAGTGCATTAACTGACAGACACACACACGGATAATTAAAAGAAGGAATATACAACCCCATCATTTAGCCTTCAGCTTATAAGCATAAGCGAAATTTTGAATTTTATAACTTAATTTTACAGTTGATTTTGAGGTTTTTGTTACCATAGTTTTTTTTTTGCAGCGTTTGCTTTTAAATCACTAAGAACATGTATATAAAAGTTTAGCCCAAAAATTATTTTTTAATCTAATAAGTTGTTTCGCCTATAATAAGTATAAGCGAAAAAATACGATGAGGCTGTTAAAGGATTGCCAACTGGAATATGGATGTAGAATGCAGATAACTTTAGCTGACCCTTTGTTCTTATCAGTTGTCAACCATAAAGGCTTAGTTCTTTCTTTGGAAAGCGCACATGTAGAGTTACAGTTTACGGCAAAAGTTTTCAGGTAACTATGCAGTAAGAAAAGAGTACCATATAGTACAATTGTCTACTTGGTGTTTCTATTTTGGAAGAATTGTCTAGATCATCAGATATAAACAATATCGTTAGTAAAGTTCAAAGATGTACCTGCTTATAAGTCAATTCTGAAGGAGGTTCATGGTAAGGATCTACCAAAGCTACACGGTCAGCATATTTTTCTGCTGCTGTCCTCCAAATGTCTGGAACAGCCATCCAATCATGCGTAGTCAAACCATTTCCACCAGGTAATAGAGCACTCTCAAGTAATGGTGAGCACTTTCTGCGAACTGGGTTTTCTAGCTGCGATGCAGACATATGAAAGTTTTGGTGAAAACGTTGTAAGCGTCATATGAAAATTATTGTCTGTTGCACAATACTGAAGACACAATTTCACACGTATACTCATAATGTCAAAATCCAAAGCAATTCCAAGTAAAACAACCAGCAAAAAAAACGGCTCCTGCAAAAGCTAAACACAATCTACTGCTTGCTTTTTGAAGCCACGATCCTAGAAATGAATTCGTGACTGAGAGCTTGGGGACGAGCCGCAGCCGCTGGGGTACCTAGCAAATTATTAGCGAGGTGCGCCACCTGGATCGCCATAAATCGTGCGGCGTTTGCGCAATCTCTACCCATTCGAGAATCACAAGGAAATAGCAGCGGAGTAAGCACAGCCCGTTTGGATTCATCACGCTCACGGATGCGCTACGAGCAGGATAGAACCTGAACGAGGCAACGAGATGACACACTACCGCTAGTAGTAAACGGGACGAACACCAAGCGGACGTGCCTGGTTGTAGGCAGTGAGTGAGTGAGTGAGTGAGAGTGACTGACCGTGGAACCCGCGGAGGGGGACGCCGCGGCGGCGTCGCACCGGAGGACCCCACCTCGGCGGTGGTGGTGGCGGCCCCGGCGGCGGGCGGGGAGGAGGAGCAGCAGCGCGGCGGCGGAAGGCGGTGGGTGGAGGAGGCGGAGGCGGCGGCGACGCAGGAGGAGGAGGGAGGCGGTGGGGAGCGTCGGCGAGGGGGAGCAGAGCGCCGCCATTTGGCCGGAGGCGGAGGAGGCGAGCATCGCCGGGCGCGGCGAGGTGGCGGCGATCGGGGGGGTCTCCACTGACGTGGTGGGGTTGGGGTGGAGGGGAGCAGCAGTGATGTGTAGCACACTAGCGGAAGGGGGATTGGTGGAGCGGCGGAGATGACGACGACGACGCCGAGATGGGTGGAGAGGTGAGGTGAGGTGGGTTGTCTGGTCTCGGGCCTCGTGGACTTCGTCGCTGTATGGACGGATCGAGGCGTGGGGCTCGTGAGCCTTTCAATGTGATCCGGATCTTTTGCGCCACTGATAGTATACTGTACAACAAGCGCACGCTCTCCCTCATGAATATACACACGCATTATATATATACTCTGCTCCTAAAAACATAAATTAGATCGGTATATCTTAAAGTTGATAAAATTACCACTGACACATATCACCTATCAATGAAAAAATAATTATGTGTAAATACGAACACTCATGTCAATTATAAAACTTAAACCGGATAGACAGGTTCCACCACAATGAACCTAACTAGTTAAACTAAGCTCGCTTTACTTCAAGGTTCACCTTTTTTATTGAGCAGTGGATTCTAAACACTAATGGCACGACGGTCTTCAGCAAATTTACTTTTGAAAAATTAAATTATCGACTTTGAAATTTCACTTTGAATATACTTTCATTCTGCGTCGAAAGTCGAAACCTTGAGTTTTTGTGGGGTTTTGGTTGTTTTTCGTTGAAAGCATGAACTTGAGTACAGTACATACTACCAGTGCCAGCCAAGAAAACGCATGAAAAGATTATTCAACAGCCTGCGAGAGAAGTGGAAGAAAACAAACCCTGCAGTGCTTATTTCTGCAGCATTGTGGTGTCTTTTTTCATGTGAAATTTCAATATTTCAATCAAAGGCCTCAATTGGCAAGCAACTCTCTCCCGTGTGAGTTGTGATAGTTCTGTTACAAACTGATTATACTACAGTACAATATGGAATCCAATTTATGGTCATGGTCCCATATGCTTATTTCATAACGCTCCATGATTACAATTGCAGCATCTGTCTAGGATGAAAGCGCGGACACTCTTCATTAGCTTGGAGTAACGCTGGGAAATTTGCATGATCCATGACCTGGAGAGAAAAATTTCACCGTTTCAACTTTCAAGAGTTAAAAGGGCAGCTCATTTCACTGATCCAAGCAAGCCAGTGTACACTGGAGTAAAACATATGGAGTATCTCTGGTGGGATGGCATCTTCACTGTCCAGTGAGCATTGAGGCGGCTACAGTCTATCTTAAAAACTGGAGTACTCCAGTCTCTGCAATATTATTTTCGTTTTAAATTTCTGTAACAGAACTTGCAATACTCTTGTGGTCGTTTCTCTAATGAAAAGGGGGAGGACTTTGTCCTCTTTGTCTTAAAAAAAAAGGCCAAAAAAGCATGCAAGATGAAACTTGTTTATAGCCCGGGTTTAGTTCTCAACTTTTTCTTCAAACTTTCAACTTTTCTATCACATCAAAACTTTTCTACACACATAAATTTACAACTTTTTTCTTCAAACTTTCAATTTTAATCAAATTTCCAATTTTGATGTGTAACTAAACACACCATAGATACATTGCAATTTGTTAGTACACTCCTATTGTCCTTGTCCCCAAACAAAGGTGTGTTTTTTTAACCTATCCCCAACTTCTATTCTCTTATTTTTCACGCATATGTTTTCTCGAACTGCTAAACAGTCTATTGTTTGTTAAAAAAATTAGAAAAAATATTTTAAAAACCATATTAATTTATTTTTTAAATTTACTTTAGCTAATACACAATTAATTGTGCACTAATAAATAGTTCCATTCTACGTAACGGGAGATGACCTAACCCCTGCCTCTGAAAGTAGCCTAAAAACTTTAAAAAGAAAAGAAGAGGCACGTTGCCGCCAAAGAAAAAGAAGACGAAGTACGGGAGCGGTAGCAAAACTCACTTGGATCGGTGGTGGTCTCCATGGCGAGGCCGGCGAAGTAGCACCAGCCGCCGTACACCTTGCTGAACTTGTTCCAGTGCGCGCTGAACACGTAGCTCGCGTGCGCCGCCACCGTGTTCGGCAGGTAGCACTCGCCGCCGGCGCGCACGGGGGCGCACAGCGCGGCCTCGTCGGCGCACGCCGCCTCCATCTGCTCCCTCACCGCCGTCTCGTTCGCCGCCGCTGCCCCGACCACGCACCACAGCTTCCCCGGGTACGGCGCGTCGTTCGTCGCCGGCGGCGGCAGCGGCGGGTACGACGCCGGCGGGCGGCGACCCGTCAGGTCGACCTCGTACACCGCGCTGCCGTTGGGGTGGAACAGGCCCCAGTGCCGCTCCGTGGCGGGCCCCGTCTTGAGGTCCTCGTTGAACAGCGCGAACACGAACGCCGGCATGCGCATCCCCGGCCGCCGCGGCGTGCCGGCGCCGGACGCCAGGTGCCGCGCCATGTTGCGGTTGTACGTGGCCGCGTTCCGCGCGTTCGCGCCGAACTGGTCGAGGTCGCCGGCGTTGGGCCACCCGGTCTCGGCCAGCGCCATCCTGACGCCGCAGTGGCCTGCGCGGCACATGGCGGCGACCACCGCGTCGAGCATGTGGTCGAGGAGGTTGGTGTAGGAGAGACCCGTGCCGGGGTCGTGGTACTGGTACGCCGGCGACGGCGATGGCGATGGCTCGAGCAGCGCGTAGTGGAGCGGCACGATGGTGTGGTTCGCCGACCAGGTGAAGTAGGTGTACGCGTCGACGAAGAGGTAGGAGTCGGTGCGCTCGAGGAAGGCGAGGAGCGGACGCACGACGGCGTCGGCGATGTCGGGGCGGAACACCCCGGCGGACGGCGGGAACACGTTCTGGCCGTCGAGGGCGTCCATGCCGAGCGTCGTGCTCACCTTGACGCGGCGCATGCCGTGGCGGCGGAGCGCGCGCTCGAGGTTGGCCATGGCCGGGACGAGCTGGAACCAGCGGGACTTGGTGGTGGGGTCGGAGAGGACCTCGTTGCCGACGAAGAGGTAGCGGAGGCGGCGGTTGCGGCGGAAGGGGAGGAGCGTGGCGGCGACCCACTCGTCGGCGGCGCGGCGGGAGGCGGCGAGCGAGGGGATGAGCTCGTTGGGGACCCCCGGGACGAACACGAGGCCGGAGGCGGCGGCCGGGGAGAGGAAGGTGGCGTTGGAGTCGTAGAAGCGGACGGCCGCGGCGCCCGCCGAGCGGGCGAGCTCGAGGGCTCGGTGCGGAGGCGGGAGGTCATCGCCCAGCCTGCCATAGTTGACACCCAGGAAGTGCGCGATCTCCGACGCGGCGGCGCCGACGACGAGGAGGAGTTGGAGCGGGAGGCGGGATGATGCCATCGCCATGGCTGAGCTCTAGCGGAGCAACTCAGTTTAGTAACACAGTGTCAGTGGCAGAGCGGGATTACGCACTTGTTTATGAATTGATTACTCCTCGGACCCAAAATATAAGCACTTTTAAAATAATACTAAGTCACTTTAACTATTAATAGCCTAAAAATTAAAAAGATCAATCATTTAAATTAATATTACTATATTTATCATTAAACAAACTATCATAATATGCAACTTTTCTTATTCAAAGCATCTTAACTTTATATATATTGTTAGTAAAAGTAGCATCTCAAAAGCTATATCGAAGTAAAAAATTTTTGCTTATATTAGTATTAACCTATCGATCCGATCTCAACGGCGATCAAGGCAGGAGAAAACCACTGTTTCGTCCATTGGATGTTTGGATCAGGTTTCAGAAATCAGAATCGATGCGACTCATGTTTCGATGAACGTTGAGGACAGTTGACCTCACGTTATCAGCAACCTGATTAATTAAAACTTCCAGTTCTTTTTTACTACTTCCTCCGTCCCAAAATAAGTGCAGCCATAGTTTTCCGCGTCCAACTTTAACCGTTCGTCTTATTTGAAATTTTTTTTTAAAAAAATTAAAAACATAAGTCACGAGGAAAGTACTATTCATGTTTTATCATCTCATAATAACAAAAATGCTAATTATAAAAAAATTTCAAATAAGACGGACGATCAAAGTTGGGCGCGAAAACTCATGGCTGCACTTATTCTGGGACGGAGGTAGTACTCATTGTCTTAGGAGATGTAGCAGACAGGAAACGTGATTAGGTGAAGAACAGCAACGAAGAAAAACAATTGCAAACCTTAAAACAATCACAGCAGAAGCATTATAATACTACCAGAAGATTAATAATGCACATGATGCATCTTCTTGAGTTAGTGCGACTAATGAGCTCAACCTTAGGGGTTAACAATCTCAAAAGGGAACAGCATAGCACAACTTGCGGGCACAGCATAGCACAACTTGCGGTCTCATGGTTCAAAACACTACTAGTTATATTTTTCTTTCATAACAATGTGATGGATAGATGAGAAAGAACGATAGATTTAGTTCATTTTGATGAGAGACACATGCTAGTTATATTTCTCCCGCTTCAACTCCTCTGGGGCAACAGTACTGCAGTTGCTGAAAATTAAACCAGAGCAAGAAACACAACTACAGAAGAGAGCAGAAGAAAATTTCGAACCAGAGAGCAAAAAGCAACATTTGTACTGAACTACCATGTAAAATCAATGGTCTCTACTCGGCAGCTTCGGCATATGACATGTTCTTTGTTTCCCGCACGCGCTCAAGCAGCGCCGAGCTGATTTGGCAAACGAGAGCTCCTTCCCGTGTAAAGTTCTTCATGTGGCTGGCAATGAAAGGGCGATGCCTAACAGCAGACAACCTTCAGAAAAGAGGGTGGCCGCACGGTGACAGCTGCGCTTTGTGCAACAATGAGGAAGAGAGCTGTCAACACTTGTTAGTGGACTGTCAATTCACAAACAGAGTGTGGAGAATGTTAAGGAGCTGGCTCGGAGTCTCCTTTTCCTTGCCGGGGGATGAAGGGGAACACTTGACGGAATGGTGGCGACAAGTGCGGCAACTGTTTCAGCCAAGCTACAGGCCGGCCTTTGACACCCTATGTATGTTGGTCTGCTGGATGTTATGGAAAGAGCGCAACTTGAGAATCTTTGAACACAAAGATTGCACTGCAGCGCAAGTTTACAGAGCCATTAGAGATGAAGTGCTGATTTGGAGGGAAGCTGGTGTGTTCAAGCATAGAGAGACCCACACAAAGGCCCATCAACATTAGGATATTATGTAGTTCACCCATTTATTTAAGTAAGGGACTACCTATACATTTGTCGACAAATTTTCTCCTAAAAATTTGACAATTCTACACCTTGCGCATAAGTAGGAACAGCCTCTGGTCCAGCTCAAAATTCGCAGCACTGGAGGGATCACCCTTAAGCATCACTAGGAGGCCACCAAATGATGCATACATCTCCCTGGAAGTAAAACAATATTACAGCATGAGACAACATGGCATTTAATAATATTCAGACCACCTGATATTGGAAAGTGTTGGGATTTAAATTACTATAAAATTCAAAAAAAGAAGAGGTCGAGCAATTCATATCTGAACAAAATTCATCATGATCGATTAAAACTGAAATCAAGTTCCTTTGATGTTTGGTATATCTTATAGAATTTCCTTTGTAGGACTCTGTTGCAGACCCACAGTCCTGATTCATCATATCTAGCAGCAAAGGCTTCATGGTTACATTTTATCTAAAGCCATAAAGAACATCAAGCTAGTTGTTGAGGTGCTCACTTGACAAGCTCAAATAATATGGAATCCCATTTATTATTTGTTCTCGAGAATCAGGGCATCTCAGGGCCAAATATTTCTAAAAAGAATATGTACCAGGAAGAAGAAGTTGGACATCATACAGGCAAACAATATAAGGCATTAGCATTATTGACAGAAATTCATAGATAAGTTGTCTGACTACCATTAGTAATCTCAAGGAAAAAAAATCATACACTTTTTTAGCATTTTGATCAGAGGTGTCTTTGTCTTCTGAGATCTTATAAAGCTTCCCATGCATGACATACTCATATTTGTCAGCCAGAGTTTTCCTGCCAGCCTGAAAAGGAGATACTTCAGTGTTAACTTGCCTACCGGGAGTTTTATCTATGTGCCTCACTTTTGTAATTCTACAAGCAACAGTGGATACAAATTATGCATCCATAACTAGCAGCATTCGATATTACACAGAATTTCAAGGCCTACTTGTACTATTGAGTGTCGTACATGAAATTACTAGCAAGGGGAACCACCTGTGTAAAGAAGGCGCTATCTGGGGTACCATCTAAGTTCAAAGTAGGAACCAAGACCATGGTAAATCTGTCACCTGGATGCATAGGATAGACATCTGTGGCAACATCTAACTGCATGTACATATCGAACTGGTCACTGCGAGCTTCGATACGAGAAACTGTACCCACAAAAGAGGACAAAGAAGCATGAAGTTATATTTGAAATAAATAGCAACACATTCTAGGAAAGGTTGTCATATATAATTTACAGCATGTACTGACTGAAACATCAGCGAACGCATATACAAATGATATGGTGCGGCAATCCTAGAGTACAGAACCCCTTTTTTTACCTTAATTAACCACATGATTCTGCAAGAACATGATTTGGTTGACAACATAGTAAGTTTGAAAGGGGAAAAAATATGAAGTGGTTCTTTCTTTTCAGTTAGGTATGCATCAATAGGTAAATAAGCTTACAATATCTAAATCATGAGCTGCAAAGATACAATTACAAAGCTCCTCGATTGCCAGATAAACAACTACGTGACGATACCGCGGTGCATCAATTCATCGAAGAAATAAAAAGAAAATCGTTTAGGGGCATCCTAGCATCTAACACAGCATTTATCGCACATAACAAGCAGCGCAAGGTTTTGAAACCATTCTCCCGAAAGTGAGAAAAAAAGAGAATCCAGGGATTAGTCACCTCTGTCAAACTTCTTGCCATCAGGGTCGAGCCTGGTGACAGTGAAGATGTCCTCGAAGAGAAACTCGGCCATCCCACCCTGACGTCCCTACATCAGAGGAAGTGATCAGTCAGTGTAAACCCTACGCCATCGATCCCCCCACAAACCACTACTACCGAAGTGACCGGAAAAGAAAATTCGATTCGCTCCGGCGGAGCAGGCGGACTACTTCGCAGAGATGGGTGGATTGAATATCAACCGGAGATAGCGGAGGAGGTTTTATATGCTGCGAGCTCACCGGAAGAGCGGGATTCTTCGTCAGTTCGTCCGCCCTAGGTCAGGGCTATCGCAGGCAGGACGGCGGCGAGACGGCGAAGGCGGAGCAGTGCTACTCGGGTTGGGTATAAAGCCAGAAAAGGCAAGGCCCAATTGGGATTTGGCTAGCAGGTCCAGCCCAACTTCTGAGTCCCCGCGAATTTTAGGAGGAATAAGTTCATCCGAGATCCCTAAACTTATCAACGAATCCGATTTTTTCGTCCTTCAACCGAAAAAACAGATACAAGACACAATAGGTCCCTCAACTATCGAAACCGGTGCAACATAAGTCTCAAGGCTGTTTGGATGACGTGGTGCCTACACATAACTTTAAAAATGTCATGTTAGAAAAAAAAATATTTCAATAATGTGTAATTGAGCTTTAATTCAATTAATGTTGTACATCAAATCCATCTGAGCTCTGCACAGAGCATTTGTTTTTTCCATTGTATAATAAAAAAAGATAGGACATATAAACCATTTAAAGTATATTCATACTACACATCGAACAAATTAAATTTAAACCAATATATATGCTTGTCGTGCCAATTGAAAAAACAATTGTACTCCAAAAATCCATTGTATAAATATATATTCTTTTCCATCAAAACAAGAACATTGATTGTTTGCTTCATGAACAGTGATTATTTGATCAAATAAAACACATATTTCCAAAAGGGATAAATTTGTTTTTTTTTTACAAAAGTGGCTATGTTTAAATTGCCGATATCTTAAATTGTACGTCATTGCAGTGCGATTTGTTCAGAGTGAATGAAAAGTGCATTCATAAGCCATTCCATTTATCTTGTTTCCAAAAGTCCATGATATGTTAGAAATCAATAGGGCATAATATGTAAGATATTCCTACAAACTGGCCACTGGAATTAACCTGAAAAAGGGGGGAAAAAGAAGCATTGGATTATGCTATCAGGATGTGCAAATCCGTTCAGAAGAAAATTGAGAACCAGTAAGGCTTGCCAAGTGCATCCTACATGGTCAAGCTCTTATCTTATACTACCATTTCAGCACACTTTGTTTTTCAGATCGATCATTGAGGATATTATGATAAACTTTTGCTGCCATTGCGCTGCTGCATGCGCCGCACATCTACATAATCCTTTGCTCTAGGGCCAGTGCTCCCTCAGCAAAAAGATCTATCAGAATAAACAAAATATCATCAGAAAACACATAGGATATCATTAGAAAACAGTCAGGAATTTCAGTACAGCTCATCGCATATGCAATGTAAGTTGCAGATTGTTTAAAACAAAGATGACCCTCTTTGCAATGCACAATAATTTACATTTGGTAACATAATAAATCGACAAACAACCATGTAGTTACCTGAAACAGATCAATACAAACATGATCAACAAAGCAACATGATTTATAATACGAACCCCTAGGGAACATATCAACCATCGACAAACTGCTCTTGATCAAATCAAAGAACAACAAATTGGAACGCAACAAACACATATACACAGGTAAAAAGAAAAGTAGATCGAGCGATGCTTAGGCCTTGCTGTCAGGCGGGATCGATGGCCTGCGGGAGCAGGGATGAGGAGTCTTGCGTTTGACATAAGAGAACTTTCTTTCCAGTCTATATAATTAACAATTGGATAGAATTAATATACTCCAACAAGCAGGTATATAGGGTCATTGATACACTGCAAACTCATTTTTATTAAAAAACCAAAGACATTCCTTTGATCGCAGGATGTGCATTATACCTTCTTGGAACTTGACTCTGTAAACTGAGCAATGAGACGAGGGTATGTCGTGTCGAGGCCTCGGATGATCCCGCAGCAATTCCAACCTTGACAAATGATCTGAAATTGAGCAATGATCTGAAATCCGAGTATTGGAATTGATTCGGGTTAAAATACTGTGATCATCCGAGGCACCAATTTCAGGTTAAATACCACTAACCGCTAAGCAATTCCATCATATATATTCAGCCAAGTAAAAGTAATAGGAGAAATTATTGTAATGTCCTAATTTTCCAACCCAAATTAAACTATTTTTAAGTGGAGCATATCATCATGAAATTTTTGTGCCTGAGCTTCAAAGATATCATCACCATGCAGTTTATTTTACCAAAATTAGCAGCTGAGCTCTATCTCATCACGATCAAGGAAAAGGGAGAAATATAATTCAATGTTCTATCAATAAAAACTAACCTTGCCCTGGCAAGTTGCAGCCCAACTGCTCACGCTGCACACATGTGCTCGCAAGTCACAATTGATCCAATATTTGATGGGATCTATGATGTACAACTATAATGCAGTGACAACCAATGATTCTCAAGTATGCTATATACACTCCACGTTGCAGAACAGCAAATTCAAGGATCCAGTAAAACTGTTTTATTGACTATATAGACAGAAGGTTTACGATTGCATCTGTGTACCATCCGCTGTCATAATGAGAACCTGGAAACAAAATTCATATAAATAGATGTAAACAGTAGTTGCATGATGGAATCCCAAAAATATTTGGTGAAATATCAGTTTTTAATAACTCCTGTAGGAAATTTAACCAGTATAAATTTGCCATCTAAACTTACAGGGAGACACAAATTAACATGTTCAGAATTTCAGATAGAACCTTTAGAGGCATTTTGTCAAGCAACTCATGAGCAGCAAGGCATTCTATAGCATTAATACAAACTACACAATGCTAGTACTAAACGTTCCATGGGGACTTTCACCATCACAAAATTCAGAAAAGCCACAATAGCATCTGACTGGATGAGTGTCAAGCATGCAAGTAATGTCAAAAGTCACAAACATTGCAGTTGCAGGCATCAATATGCTTGATTCTGTTAGAAGTACTCAGTTGGCGGCGGCGATCCAATCAGGATTTATACCAAACTAAACGAAATTGAAGTTATACAAAAAAAAAATAAAGTCAATCGAAATGGTTGGCGACATAGCAAGGATTAGCCGTACCTTCTGATGTGCTCCCATATTTCAAAATTAGTGTGCAATCAATTTGACAATGGAGACGGGATTCGACGGCGGCGCAACGCGGTCGGAGCGAGGGGGCACCGGCAGTGTCGGAACGCGGTCGAGGAGGAGGGGCGCTTTCGTGCCGGCGGAGTCGATTTGGATGAGGGGAGGAGGGGAGTTGGCGGGGAGGGGCGCCGGCGGCGTCGCGCGCGAAGGCGGGCCGTCAGAATCGTCTGTGGCGGCGGCGGGGGAGGGAAGGATCGGAGCGGCGATGGTTAGGGTTAGGCGGCAGCCGGCGCTGAGAAATTTGTGATCTTGCTATCGCAATTTAAAATGTTATCCTAAACTAACGGAGGTTCACTAAAGCGCCCTTCACTGAAATGCTATTTTGGATTTTTTTGTTGCTAGAAATGATTTCGCTCTATTTTAATTTTTGTTCTGACTAAAATACCCTTGTCTCTTTTATCTGTTTTACCGGATCGAATCGATCTCATCCAGCGTCATCCCGTGGCTTCGGCGTTGTGAGGAGGAGCCTGGGAGCGGCATCGGCAGCGGCGACACCCGTCGCGCCTGCGCATTGGCTCCGGCTCCAGCGCCGGCGCCGGCCCCCACCACTCCTCCACCTGCTCGGCTGCTCCTCCTTGTTCAAGATCTCCTGCATCTGCTTTCTGGAATGGAGAGGGCAAGGGTACATGCACTGATGCACACGAACTCCAGCTGACCATCCCTGATAGAGTCGAACAATCCAATGGACGGCCCGACGCCATGCACAGTGGCGCAGCACACGAATTCCTCCACGCCCGCCTTGCTCTGCAGATCAGAGAGGTCGTACACCACCGGTATAGAGAGGTTGAGAGAAAGGAGTAGCAGGGGTAATTTGGTCACAACACAAAATAAAATAGAGCAAAAACATTAGTATTAACCCAAAAGACCCAAAATAGCATTTTAGTGAACACCCCTTAGTTAAGGATAGTATTTTAATGAATCACTTTGAAGGGATAGTATTCTAGCGAAACCATCCGTTTGAGATAGCAAAATCACAAATTTCTCGCCGGCGCTGCGTGCGAGAGAAAGAGAGGAGAGGGGTCGTGCGCGGGGTGGGGGTGGGTGGGGAGCGTGCGTGGGGAGAGAGGGGAGGGTAAGGGATCCGTGCCGTTGGATTGTATGACTATGATTTGAGAATCCTTGGATTTGATGAATGAAGTATGAAGGATGTAAGCAGTAGTTGATGAATCTATCTATCTATTATTATATTATTAAATGAATAGAAAAAGAAGCCTCCACGTTTGTTCTCATGGCCTATAAATTCTCACATTAATCGGAGAAAAAGAAAATTAGAGTCCATATAGAAATACAATTTAGAAATAGCTGAAATTCGGAATTAAAAAATAAGGAATATTAGAATAGGGGACTAGAGTCCATATAGAAATACAATTTAGAAATAATTGAAATTCAGAATTAAAAAATAAGAAATATTAGAAGAGGAGACTAGAGTCCATATAGAAATACAATTAGGAAATAACTGAAATTCGGAATTAAAAATAAGGAATATTAGAAGTAGGGTATAGAGTCCATATAGAAATACAATTAGTAAATAACTGAAATTCGGAATTAAAAATAAGGAATATTAGAAGTAGAGTATAGAGTCCATATCGAAATACAATTAAGAAAAAAATATAAATTCGGAATTAAAAAATAAGGAATATTAGAAGTAGAGTATAGAGTCCATATAGGATTTTTAAAACTAACTAAAATTGGGAATAACCATAATAAAATTAAAAGTAGAGTTTAGAGTCCGTATAAAAATACAATTTACAAATAACTAAAATTCGAAATTAAGAAAAACATGGGAAGAAGAGTTTAAAATCAATATAGGAATACAATTTAGAAGTAACTGAAATTCGAAATTAAAAATTAAAGAATATTGAAAGATGAGTTTAGAGTCCACATAGAAATACAATTAGAAATAATAAAAATTCAGAAATAAAAATAAATAATATTGGAAGAAGAGCAAAGAGTATATAGAAATACAATTTACAGAAAATTCAGAATTAAAAAAAGAAAATATTAAAATACGAGTCTAGAGTCCATATAGGAATATATATAATTTACAAATAACTAAAATTTGATATTAAAAATAATTAATAACTAACACGTATATAAAATACAATATGGATATTACACATTAGTAGTTTTGTAAAGTTATTGCAAAATTTTAAATTATGTTGTCATTTTAATATATTCGAATAATATAATGAGAAAACATATATACTTTTATATGAGAGATAATATAACGATGCTATCCGCATAATCTGTGCGGGCCACCATGCTAGTTATAGGGTAGAAGAAGAATAATCACCTATTTAATCTCATCTCTCCTAGCTAAGGAAGAGCAAGGACCATCGGCGAGTGGCCGCGAGCCCGACCTAGCTGACCGTCGCGCCGGCGCCGCACGTCCTGCTCATGCAGCTCATCCCGTACCCAGCGCGAGGCCACATGCAGCCTCTGCTCCACCTCGCCACCGCCGCCCTCCACATGCCCGCCGCACTCCACGTGTGCGGGCGCGCTCCGGCGGCAACGGCAGGGTGGTGGCCGTGCTGTCGGATTTCTTCAGTGGACGCAGTCGCTCGCCGCCGAGGCGGGCGCCCCGCGGTTCGTCTTTGCGCCGTCCGGCGTGTTCGCCACGGCCGCCACGCACTCCCTCTTTTGTCGCATGCCAAGGCTGCCGTCGCCAACGGCGGATGCCCGGTCATGCGAAGGAGGGATCGCAGCACGAGCTGCCACGGCACGGCAGGGAAGGGGTGCCACGACGCGGTCGTGCAGCTCTCGGCACCGCGCCGCGCGAGCTCCAGCTCATCGGAGACGGGTGGCGCCGCGGCCCCGAACTCCTCCACGAGCCACCGCGCGGGGTCCGCGTCGACGCCACGGGCGAAGACGAGGAGCGCTCCTGCCGCCAACGCCGTGTCGTTCTCCCGCGTCGCCGCCGGACCTCCTCGTGACCCCTGGAGGATGGAGAGAGGAGAGGGAAGAGAGATGGAGAGAGGAGTAAGAAGGGTGAGAATGACATGTGGGCCCACGTGGGCCGCACCATTTTTTAATTCATTCTTTTGGTGTAACTGACATGTGGGGTCAAAGTTTTTATTATTTTCTAAATCAAATTGCCACGTCAATGCCACATCAATGCCACGTCAGATGAAGACCGAATCAATTTAGCCACGTAGGCGCCACGTCAGCTAAAACCATCGTGCAAACCGCCATGGGACCTATATTGCATTGGTTTGACAGTTGAGGGACTCGTTATATCTGGTTTTCTGGTTGAAGGACAAAAATCGGATTCGTTGACAAATTATTCCAGAATAAGTTCACTAGAGGTTCCTCAACTTAGCAACAAGATTTTTTAAGGTCCCTTCAACGCAAAACCAGAAATGTGTACCCCTAAACTCACACAAAACGTTCAAAAGAAGTCCCATGGCAGTATCGACTCAATTTTTGCCCGGTTTTACTGACTTGGCGCTCTATGGGCCCCACATGTGCGCCGTTGAGGCGTTAATAGACGGGGGCGACGGTGGGCGAGCGCGGCGGGCTGTGAGCAGAGCAGCGGTGCACGAGTGCGGTAGCGGAGCGGCGACGGGCTGCACTCTTCTTCAACGAGCTTGGGAGGCCGGCGACAGGCGAGCGCATCAACGGTCGGGAGCAGCGGATGGAGTAGTGGTTACCGCTTCCCTTTCATGGCCCCACCAACTCGCCATCCCCACTCTGTCGCCACCGCCGCCACTGCCATGGACGAAACCCTCGCCGCCATCCTCTCTTACCTCCCGCCTCCCACCTTCTCCACCGCGAACTCTCACCCCTCTTTGCTCCGAGCGTTGTCACCGCAGCGCTAGCCTCCCACTTGGGCCCAGTCGCCTCGACGCGCCTTGCCTCCGCGCACCTGGCCTCCGTGGATCCTGACATCGTCGCGTCCTGGTTCGCCTTCCTCGCCTCCAAGGAGGTTGGGTGAACTCGCCATCGTGAATGGATCCTGGCACATTGAGTGGGGTTCCCCATCGATCTCCTCGGCTGTGCCTCCCTATGTCGCCTCTGGCTCGGTCTCTGCCAGTTCCTAGACACAGTCGGCCTTCCTCCAGCCTTTGTTAACCTACAGGAGATCGTTGTTGTCCACTCCTCCATGCAGGACCACGAGCTTCACGCCGTGCTCCCCCGCTACCCCGGGCTCGAGAGTCTCGCACTTGTGCTAACACATGACTACCCGAGATGCGTCCATATCTGGTCGGGGAAGGATGGCTCGGACGACGACGCGACGGGCGGAGTAGGCCGGCCGTGCTCACCCACCGCCGCCACGCTCTTCGTCTAGCCACCTCCGCCGGTGCGGCCCCCTTCTCCGCCCACCACCTGTTCCGCCCACCACCTGTTTGTCGCGTTCGCCCAGCACCACTCCGCTACCGTGCTCACCCACCAACGCTCCATCCGCCGCCGGCCTCCCAGGCTCGCTGAAGAAGAGCACTGCCCGCTGCCAGCCTCCCAGGCCCACTACCGCGCTCACCCGCCGCCGCTCCGTCCCCGTCTATTAACGCCTCAATGGCGCATATGTGGGGCCCATAGAGCGCCACGTCAGCAAAACCAAACAAAATTTGAGTCGGTATTGCCATGGGACCTCATTCGAACGATTTGTTTGAGTTTAGGGTACATATTTTTTGTTTTGTAGTTAAGGGATCTCAGAAAATCTCATAAGTTGAGGGACCTCCAGTGAACTTATCCGAAGCAAAATGGGCTATTAATAGTAGAGTATATGATTTTTTTTAAAAAAAACAGTAAATTTCATAAAACCACGCCAATTGTTTGGAATGCTTTTGAATTATGGAGGAGTTATTTTTTTGGAGTACTCCATATGAAATGTTGCGCATTGTCCAACAAATAGTATGAAATGTTGCCAACAAGTTCCCTATGAAAACATGTTGAATCATTTCTTTGGAATTTTTTTTGAATTATGGAAGAAAACAAATAATGAACAATAAAAAGACAAAAGTGAAAAACTCTATATATAAAAATGGAGATAATTTAGGTGACTAAATATTTGATACAAAGTTTCATATCTATTTTTATAAAATCTCGTGCCTATGATTCAAAACGACCTCCCATAGAGATAAAGTTGTAGAGCTCAATAGAATCTACTACTTTATAGAATTTATATTTGAAATTATTTGAAGCGTAAAACAAATATTATGAATTTTAAAGAGGTGACAAAAAATGAATAACAACTTCAACATAGACAAACTGCGCAGGTGCTGGGAGGAAGGTATGACGCCATGAGACGCTAATTTTGGACTATTTATCAAGAAATGTCCACA